TCAACATAGTCGACTGGTGCCTGCCTACTACAACGCTCGTCACGCCGCTATGCCACACAGATCACTGTGGATAACATTACAAATAAATATACAAATATACATGCCATAGAAGTGAATAGAGACATGCGAGGAGAGACAGGCCAAGGCAGTTGCTTATCGTAGATCGTGCAAGTCCCCGTGCACGTACTCGCTTCGCTCTGCCTGTCTGTCTGTCTGTCTGTCTCTCTCTCTCTCTCCCCCTCTTTCTCTCTCTCTCTCTCTCTCTCTCTCTCTCTCTCTCTCTCTTTCTCTCTCTCTCTCTCTCTCTCTCTCTCTCTCTCTCTCTCTCTCTCTCCTCTCTCTCTCTCTCTCTCTCTCTCTCTCTCTCTCTCTCTCTCTCTCTCTCTCTCTCTCTCTCTCTCTCTCTCTCTCTCTCTCTCTCTCTCTCTCTCTCTCTCTCTCTCTCTCTCTTCTCTCTCCTCTCTGCGTATCGGTCTGTCTGTCTCTCTGTCTATCTCTCCCTCTATCTCTCTCTCTCTCTCTAGCTCTCTCTTTCACTCTCTCTTTCTCCCTCTCTCCCTCCCTCCATCCCGCCCTCCCTCCCTCTCCCAACCTCCCTGCCTCCCTCCCTCCCTCCCTCCCTCCCTCCCTCCCTCCCTCCCTCCCTCCCTCTCTCTCTCTCTCTCTCTCTCTCTCTCTCTCTCTCTCTCTCTCTCTCTCTCTCTCTCTCTCTCTCTCTTTCGCTTTCTCTCTCTCTTGAAACCCGCCAAATATACGCATCTCCTCTTCTCTCTTTCTGCATAAAATCGGAAGGCTGTGCAACTGCCTTCCACCAAGGCTGACATCTCAAGATTCACTGTCTAAATGGCCAAAAGCTAGAAGTCCATCTTTTTCTGAATGGACTGGAGGGTCTCGCAAAGGTAGTAAAAAGACTCTCAGATTCGTCCCGTGTTATAATAAAACACGGGACGTCACGAATCAGAGGGTCTTTTTAGTTAATTTAAAGGGAACGTTAAGTTGTCTTTAAAAAAAGAATATTTGCCCTTGACCGCAGAACTCCCACTGAGACACTGTACGCTTACACCAAGATCTACACGCTAGAGCAATGCTCAACTTTCAAGTAATACGTCTTTGTCTTTTGCTGTCTGCATGGTTTATCTAGCCCACTTCTCACGAAGCACGAAGCCTTTAGAGCTTTGTAGACTGCCTTGCGGCCGCTAGAGTCCAACAGGGGCGCAGCCTTTTTTCACGAAGTGAAGGCGTTGGGCTGCCTTAAAGGCCACGGCCCGGAGATGTGCTGAGTAGGACAATGGCGAATCGACTACGCCCTGAAGCTTGATTTCCTTCTCTTCAGGAACAGTTACGCCATTGAAGATAACTGGTGGGAGCGCTGTGGTAGGCTTGCGGAGGTCAATGATGAGGGCCTGAGATTTGGATGGCTCGAAGATGACCTTCCACTTGGAACCCAGTGTGAGACGGCGTCCACTGCTTCCTGGAGTTGTGTTGCAGAGTCGGATATGCTGGCGGTGGCAGAGATGCACTGGTACAGTGTCGTGTCATCTGCATAGGTGGCAAGCTCAGCACCAGCAGGCATGGTATCCTCGCAGCCATTCTGGCTGGTAACTTAGCCAATGTCCAAGCCGATTTAGCGAGCTGCCAACAGTGGGCAAGAAACGTCCACGGCACGTTCTCTGCAGACAAGTCAAGTATAATGTCCAATTACGACCTTCCTCCTGGACACTCTGTGCAGATGGACAATGTAGACTTAAACTTCAAGCAGGATTGTAAACATTTAGGAGTGCAGCTCAGCAGTAATCTTAAGTTCGATAATCATTTCAATACCATATCCAAGAAATTTCAGCAAGCAGTAAATCTATTGTGCTACAGTCAACTTCGCTAATAACGACTGCGGATATAAGGCCATGGTAAAAAATATCTTTGATTCTCAAGTACGCGCGCATCGATTTTTGGCGGCGCACCGACGATTTTTTTAATTTCTATGCATGCATATGCGTGCATGAAAACGGTCAATGCGAAACATGACAGGCATCGACTGGTATATGTTCCATTCTGTTCCCAACCACTACGGGTCGTCTGCGAAGCTTTCTTCTTCGCCGATTCTCGGACAGATCGAACGTCTTCGCACTGTATCTCTCGTCTCCCTCAACGGATCAAAACACGGTTTTCGCCAGGACGAACACAAACCCCCAGATTTCGCGGCGGCAACATCTTCGAGTAGGGAAAAGCTAGCAGCTAACCAGGAATCCTCAAAAAACAAGTGTAATACTCAGTGTGATTTGCGACAGCTGTCATATCATCATCATTGTGCCGTCGCACCATGCATGTACCATGCACGGGAATGGAACACAGATGAGTCGTTTTATTACGACAGCCTGCACTGGCTAGCCGAAAGGCATGAATCCGGGAGTAGTAAAATACCGGTATTTTTCTACTCCCTGGCCTGAATAATAAAATATGAACCTGTGACGTACACATGTGTGACCCTATCTTTGGAAATAAAAAAATTGTGGGAATTAAAATAAAAAATCGCTCGCTCGACGCTCGCACCGATTTTCACAGGCTCATGACCTGAGAATCAACTTTATTTTTTACCATGGCCTCACGACAATTCGCGAATAGCGACAGAATTTCCGTGCCCAGAGCAAAGTCCCATCCCATTGTAATACATATAATGAGACTTCGGGTATAATGACACTTCGCGAATAAGGACACCTTTTTGATGCCCCGCCGAGTGTCGTTATAAGCGAAGTTGACTGTATAATTATGGGTCGCTATCTACCTTACCCCAACATTGCCTTGCTCTACAATTGTACAAATCATATGTACGCCCCACAATAGAATATGCCACCCCAATCTGGAGCCTCACCCTACCTACTGCACAGCTAGCTATGTTTGATGTCCTGAAGGCTAAGGTGTAGACGGTTACTAAGATCAGCCAAGATAGAATTTGACGAGAATCTCTCCATTTCAGACGTACCCTCATCGCTATTACAATTCTTTCAAGTACATCCACTTTCAACCTCATATCTTACCCCTTTTTGATATTTATTTATTGTATTTATTTATTTATTACAGCATCTCATAGCACAGTGAGAACACCGGCCAATACAAAGATATCAATATCAATGTTTCTCGTAGTGAACGCAGACCGAAAAAGCTTGTTTTCAACTCTCATGGGAAATTCTCATCTTCCCATTTCTTTCATAAATCGGTAAATTATGGAATTGCCTTCCACCCAAGATTACCGCTATAGATTCTGTTTCAGAATTTCGGACACAATTTCGCGCTCGTTATAGACGGTATATATTTGCCTGCACAAGTCGCTTCACTAGTACATGTATTTTTTTTCTCTACAAAATCCACATATCTCCAGACACTGGGGTGAATGATGGAGTGTGGTGGTGGGGCCCATTAAGCTCCGCCGACCAGAGGTCTCGGCTTCATAGCTCCATGGACGCACCAAAGGGATATTGGGTGGGGAGGATTAAATTGAAAAAGAAACCGTGAATGGTTGTAGAAAGGTCACTGTTTCCGAACACGATGTCCTCCACCTTGTTACATGCTGTCAACCAACAACATGTATACAAATACAAGCGTATTTACACAGTATTTACACTGTATTTACACTGTCTCATTGCTCCCTATAGTCTCCAAGCTGCTTGAGCGTATCGTCCATGAGCAACTCAGTCAATACGGCCTGCCTGGCTGAACATAATCTCTAGCCTTCCTGTCAATTTGGTTTCAGACGCCAGCACTCTACAGAGGATGCTCTCACAATGGTTACAGACAAATTCCTAAGAGCCCAAGATGATTGGCTGTCAACTGGCGCTGCATTCCTGGACATGTCAATGGCCTTTGACAAGGTCCAGCATCAGACACTTATGGAAGACCTATTCAGCTTTGGAATCTCCGGCACAGCCCTGAACTGGTTAAGAGACTACCTCTCAAATCGTCACAAGTAGTCATCAGCGGCGATAGCAGCTCATCCTTCACATGTTCAAGTGGGGTTCCCCAAGGGTCCGTACTGGGATCACTATTGTTTGTCATAATTATGTCAGAGAGGTGGCCAGTGAAGTGGATCAGTTTGCCGTCCAATTCGCGGACGATACCATGCTACACGATAGCAGGGAGGACAAGGTCGTGCTGTCACGCAACCTGTCCTCAGCCATCGTCCATCTCAGCAGCTGGCTTGGTGAGCTCAACCTGATCTTGAATTGTTGAAAGACACAAATATTGTTTATTCCGGCCAATCGTCATGACGACAAGACATTGAATGTGCACTGTGCAGCTACACTCCTCCAGCAAGTGTTAGTGACAAGCACCAAGTACCTGGGCTTGCATATCGATGAGGACCTGAAATGGAACACAATGGTCTACCATATAGCCAAGACAGTGTCCTCAAAGATTGCCATTCTCTTCGGCCACAGGCACAGGCAGTGCCTCCCAATGCCATGCCACTTGAGATGTATAATGTTACCCACATTTCAATATGCATGCAACAGCTTTTCTTCTTCCCTTTCCTCTGCACAACATGATCGTCTTGAGAAACTTCTCAAGCGAGCTGTGCGTGTTGTCTGTTCTGCTCTCTTCCTGTTTATATGAACGCCTCGGCATCCAACCCCTGCAATCAATGACTGTACTGCCGCAAACTCCTGCTAACGTTTTGTGTAATTCGCAATAACTGTAGTGTGCTTCTTCATGACCTCATTACACCCCTGTCATACACACCCGTCGAACAGGGAGCACGGATGTTCCCCTGCTTCTTTTCCCGAGGGTCACATCTGCCGCCGCCACACACGACCCATCATATCAATGTCCCGCTCTCTGGAATAAGTCGCCCGCATCTATACGATCACTGGAGAAACCAGGCCAATTCCAGACCGTTCTTTTATCCCACCTGAAAATCCACTACCTTACAATTATTTGTGTGCTTGTAGTCGATCTCCTGTAATAAGGCAACACTGCCTGTTTGTTCTTTGACATTAAATAAACCAATCCAATCCAATCTGAGAAAACAATTATGTTGATCATAGGAAATCTTGTGAACAAGTGCACTTGTTGCATACAATAATATTACCTGTAGTCTATATTGTAGCTGCTACACCCACTATGAGAGTGGGAGCTGCAGTGTAGGGATGTGAGTGAGGGGACATCAGTTTGCGGTATACCGGTGAGACTCGAATATGTCTTCAACTTCTGTCAGGGAGTTCAATAGCTCTACGCCATCAAATGGAAGTAAAGCTTTCTGCTGGAGCCGGTCCAGCAGAAGAGACAGCCTGACGGTGAACGTGTGCAACTCTTCGTGCCCAATCGCCGCACACGCAGCACACTCAGCACCACTGCCGACACCACCACCACCACCATCATCATCAACAGCAGCAGCAGTAGCGGGCCCTTGTCTGTTGGAAAGGCATGGGCTGGATCCATGACTGCTAGCTGAGAGCGGGAAAACAGGGCAAGTAAGACCAGTGCATGATGCAACACAGGGATCGGTGGGATCAGATAGGAGTGTGGGAGCTGACTCAACAGCAGCACTGGCCATGGCAAATGCAAGTGGAAGCGAGCCTGCGTCCATATGCCCGTGGGTATGGCACACCGTATCCATACGGTGACCAACGTCACTGCTCTCAAGCTCATCATCACTTTCTTCATCTTCACTGGAGCTGTATGCTACTAACCCAGCCAGCCTCGGTGCAGTGACAGCACTTGACCGTGAAGCATCAGAACCATCACAAGCAGCAGCAGTAGTAGTAGCAGCAGCAGAGGCAGCAGCTGAGGAAGTAGCTTGAAAAAGAGCAGCCCTGAACGGGTTGTTATCGCGAGCGAACAGAGAATCCAGTGGATCCATATCCTGGTCATTCGGTGGGGACTCGGGTGAGCTTGAGAGTGCCATGGCTCCAGGATGAATACTGCAGCTATTGCTTGCATCAGCCAGACCTGAGTTTGCCTTGGAAGACTTGATAACATATCGCAAGTAGAGTTCAAAGTAGGACAGGCAGCAGGTCTCATCTGATACAAGCCAGTCAATAAAAACCAGGTGATCGCATGATACGGCGTGAGCAATATGCATAAACAGGCGTCCTGGGTGAAACGCTGCAACCACTGTGTCCACGGCTGGGTAGGAGCTCCTGTAGACCAATCAGAATAGATCACAGTGGAGGCAGCGTTTATAAAACACTCTCAGCGCTTGCGACGAGTATGCAACCAGTAATGACAGAGTACAACCGCAAGCGTTTCTTTTCACATGCACTGCCCCGAGCACTGTCCCGAGCACTGCCCCGAGCACTGTCCCGAGCTGGCACACATGCACTGTCCCGAGCTGGCACACATGCACTGTCCCGAGCTGGCACACATGTATACAGTATATGCACTGTCTCAAGCCGACATGTACAGCTGCTACACAAGTGTACATGCATCAGCTTTACATTGGTGCCCAGGAGACTAGCAGCAGGGGTTTTCATTTTAAATGCTCACACACACACACACACACACACACACACACACACACACACACACACACACACACACACACACACACACACACATGACTTCCGTGAAGGGTGTCTGGCGAGTTAAGAAGTCCTGCAAGCATACTCACAAACCTACCATGCATCCGCAGTAGCAAGTCCATATGTACTGCACGTAGCAGCAGGAGTTTCTATTCATTCATTCATCAAGATAGGCGCTATTCTGCACTCTTACGAGAGGCTTCAGGAGTGCGCGTGGGAGTCAGACGGGCTTTACCAGCGCTACGCCGTGACCAACAGTAGGACACAGGATAAAACTGAGCGTGACATTGCGCAATGCCAGCCAGTGACTAAGTCACTTACCGTAAGTGGGTATCCTGCCAGGTAGAGAACACTGACTGCATCAACGACCAGGCTTCAAACAGGTCTTCATCGTCTTCTGCAAACATTGACGTCATACTGCACACCATGCAGGTGTCATTGAACTCCAGTAGCTTGGTAGAAACATCAGGCAGTTCGAGCAGTTTCTGAACAAAGTCAAACTTTGCTGTGTGAGCTGCAAACACACAAGCACGTAACAACACACATAAACAGCAAATAAATCTCCTAAAAGCATACCAATAACGATTAGCAAGACAACGTCCCCAAGAGCAGACCGGTAACAAACTCTAACATATGGAATCTTGCCCTTGCTGTCTGTTTCAAAGGAACCAGAGGGCTAAGCACGGTACGTTATGTAATCAGTGATACCTTGCCACTCACAACGCAAGGAGAACAGAGATCAACAAATAAGACAGACTGCTTCCTCACCGCAGTCCAGAAGACTGTGCAGACCCCGCAGTAGGAGCAGGACCGACGCACGCTGATCGGATGGATTGAATGGCGACACAAAGGACGGCGTACAGGAGCCGGGGCCCTGAGATGTGATGTGTGCTTGACCGTACCATAACGTGAGTGTTATCGCAGTCACCAGTGTATCACATACAAACTGGAAAGATTTCTCCGCTGATGTGAACAAGCTTGGCAGTGACGTTGAGTAAATACAGCGCTGGCTAAAAACACGCCTAAGGTAGGAAATGCAGCGTGACAGAGAGATGAACGGCGCTGTTTCCCCACAAAGATGCTTGACAATCACACACACGTCCATGGCCACTGATGTCATGAGCCATTTGCACAGCAGCTCAGCACTCGGGGAGACGTTTGCGGTACTACGGCTTGCAATAGCATCTGACCTATTGTCACTGGCACCATGATCACGCTGAGCTGGGTGATGATGGGTGACAAGGGACAGCATCGACGAAACAACGAGAAGCCGACTTGCCAGGGTAGCATCAGTAAGATGATGGGCCTGCAGCTGCTCACAACCAGGCCACAGGATAGACGTGTGTGAACACAGAGTGATCACGACTACATCTACAAGAGAGAACCAAGAAACACACGGACACACACACCACACACACACACACAGAAAAATTCTACAACTGAGACACAACTGAGACACATGTACCCTACTTCTCAAAGGGGTATCAGAAAGAAGGCTTTGCATGTCTCAGCTTCTAGTCACAAATATATGACTCAGAGTGTGCACAATCCATTTCGTCAACGTACATCTTCGTACAGAATCTGCTTCGCGAGACTGCATGCGGGGCACTTCAGCTGGCTAAAAGCCTACTATGTGCTTTCGGAGTAGGTTGCGCATCGGAGCTTCAAGCTTCAATATAACAGTGTATTGCCTAGCGCTGTGTATTGAGCAGGGAGGGGTGCTTTCTTGCAGGTTTGCCGAGTGGAAGGTTCGACGGGCTTCTCGTGTGCTCCAGACACAGTCGTGAGCCAGTCAATTGTCAAGTCAGTCGGCAGGAAGCGAGAGCTCCGGCGTTTGGAGCAGACACTTTCCTGCCTATGATGTCATAAATATTTCCACTCAAATCCAACCGGAACTTCAAAGCATGAAAAAAATAAAATCACGCAACCACATCACTACACTTTTCTCTCCGAAACTCAACACTTGCAAGCCAGATATGAAAGAAAGAAAAAATCATCAGTTACACCACCGGGACTCGAACCAGGGACCTTGCTATTCGCGAGCAATGCTCTAACCAACTGAGCTACAGTATGACTCTTTTCCACAGTGATGGTAAATCTATCCTTCTTCGATCAATCCATATCTGGCTTGCATCATACCGGCAACTCACACCAATCAAGAGGGCCCTCGGCCATTCGCTTGATATCATGGGGAGCGCATCAAACTACGTCCACTGCGAGCAAATACAAGGCATGTGGCCTCTAATTTCCTAAAAACTTTGAAATTCTCCGTGAAGTCCAAATTTGAAATCACATCACTACAGTTGCCTTTTATTTCCGCTCGGCGCGAAGCGATTAGAACGTGAGCTCTTCTTCTTGCGATTAGAGATGGATGAAAAGTTGAAAACTCAATCCGGCAAGCTGTTTCCTCAGCCGTTATAGATCTCCTTGCTCCAATCAATGATCGTCTGCGTGCTTTGGAAGCGACAGCGGAATGTAGAACGGGTTTGGCCAGGGGCCAGTTCTCGTGGCCCAATGGATCGGACCCTAAACTTTCCAGGTTGTGTGCAGGCACTCAATCCCAGGAGATCGCCAGTTCCTTGGGCATGCCCAAGTCTGGTTTGTCAGCTGAAATTTTTCGGTTCCACCTAGGTGCTCGAGTGGGCAGGCCTGCTCGAGTGATGCTAATTTGAACGACACCACGAGTGGGCAGGCACACTCGTGTGTAGACGTGAGCTCCGGTGTCCTCAGAGATAAAACAGTTCCTCCAGACTCGCTTCAGGAAGCCCTTGAAGGGCAAGGAGCGTAGGAATCTGGTAGAGCAGTTTCCCCGGCCGGAGGTGGACGTGGCGGTCACACCTAAGGCCGCGGTCACACTGAGCTCGATTCAGCCGTTCAGCCGAAAAAAGCGCTTGTTTACGGCACTATTACCATGGAAATGGCTGAAAAATGTCCTACAAGCGACTTTCAGCCGTGGCTGACTCTCAGCCGTTTTTTCCGGCTTGTTTCAGCCACAGCTTGTACAAGCGGCTGAAAGCCGAAATTCAAAAAATAATTTGAGTGCGCTTGGAGCACACCATGTAGCTAGTTGACATGATGAACTGATATTGATGTTCTTTCTTGTGTCCGTGGAACCGTGCTATCCCTGTGCCTTTGGCTTTGACCGTGAGTCTGTCTATCCAACTACACTGTATTCAGTTTGATTTGGATTTTGTCCGACGACCATGGATTTCGGCCGCTGTGCCTCTAGACTGCTGCGTAGATTGTTGGAGCTGTGGTTTGAGGCCAAGACAAGGCACCATACTCACGACCGAATTCATGAAGAAAGCCGGGTACGAAGAAGAGAGTGGATTGCAACTGAGTTGAAGAACGGCAACCAGCGGCGCAGAAAGCTCGACATCGGGAAACACCACCCGAACCATCGCGTCCATGCACATCGAACACATAAAAAGAGCACGACTTCGCAATTCAGAATCCGGGCTTCCTTTGCTTCTTCATCAAAACTGAACACTGGAACAAGTACAGTTTTAGATCGCGAACGTTCTGCTTTCCGGTTTCTTGCAAACATTGGTGTGTTTCGAGATATTCAAAATTTGGCGGGTAAGAAAAACAAGCCATTCAAGCTTTGCACTCAAGGTCTGGTGTGACCGCGTCACAGGGACCACGCAAGCCAGCTGAGCGCCAGCGATAACAAGCCCAAAGTGGCTTGTTTCAGTGTGACCGGGGCCTAAGCTAGACCAGGAGGTGCTGAATTTACCTGGTGTCAGGCAGTCATTCAAGAAGTTGCGAGACAACACGTTGTTCTCGCTGCAAAGCAGTGTATAGAATTGTTTGGGTCCTCTCTCTGCGCTGATGATGGAGGCCAAGGCAGCGCAGGACGCTGGCACAGGCCTGGACCCGCAAGCAGTATTGGACATGGTGCGGTCTGGCTTGTCTCTTCTGGGCGACGCCAACAATAAGCTCTCGGTGCTGAGGCGTCAGGAGTCTCTAGAACACCTGGACAAGAACCTTGTACCTATAGCGGAGGAGCCATTTGATAAAGCAGGCACAACCCTATTTGGCCCGGAACTGATGGATCGCATCCAGTCCAAGGCAGAGTCCCAGGAGGCGCCGGGCTTGGTTGTGAAACAATACAAGGACGCTCGAGCTCCTCCAAAGTCGGGCGACAGCAAGTCTGGCTCTGGAGGGGCGTCAGCGAATGAACGCCAGTTTTTCCGAGGTACTGGGGTCAGCAGGTCCGGCGGTGGCCCCGGTACCAGACTTACACCAGCCCATACAACCAGACTCAATACAGCCGAGCCGGTTGTGGCTGTGCTAACCGAAGCCGGATGCTTCCCCGCCAGGGCAACAGGACGGTCAAGGACTGAACACCAGCTACGCAGCATAGCGTGGACGCTCCTGAGGCATTTCCTGTCTCCGTTGGTGCGTATGTTAGTGCCAGAGGAGGTCTGGACTGACAAATACTGTTCGCCGCCTCGGCTCAAGCCTGGGCTTTGCCTCTCGGGGTCACCTCGCCCTTTTGGAGACAGAGGCAGTCGGGAGTATGGATGGTCAAGAGCCGCCAGGATTCGTGAGTGCCGAAAGCAGGCGGGCACTTTACGTTTGACCATGATTCTGGTGCTGGCAGGTGTGTATCTATGTGGGGAACTGCGTATGCTGTCTTACCACCTCTGCCAAACCTCTGGTGGTTCTATTCGTTTGTCCCTGCTGCGCCCAAGGAGGACACAGCGTTCGGTTGAGCTTCTCCAGCAAGTGTGTTTCGCACCTTTCCCAGTACCGGAGCTCTGCCCGGTGCAAAATGTGTTGGCGTATGTTGCGCGCTCCGTATCGTGGCGTACGGCGGACAGCACACAGCCGTCCCTCTTAGTGTCATTCCGGAAGCCACACAAGCTGGTGTCCTCCGCGAAGGTTGCCCGTTGGCTAATGGAGGTGCTATCACCAGCCGGAATCAGCACTTCAGATTTCTCCGCCCTCGACTCGCGGGGCCTCTGCACCTGCGGAGGCTCAGGCAGGAGTGCCTACGGCCATAATAATGGATACAGGTGACTGGAAGCAGGCGTCGACTTTCTACCAGTTCTACCGCCGAGACGTAGCACCGGCATCAGCAGCAGCAGCCACTTACAGTGCAGCCGTTCTCAGCTCCGGGGTTTACGCTATGGCCTGACCTGCTGGTATCAGTGCAGCCGTTCTCAGCTCCGGGGTTTACGCTATGGCCTGACCTGCTGGTATCAGTGCAGCCGTTCTCAGCTCCGGGGTTTACGCTATGGCCTGACCTGCTGGTATCAGTGCAGCCGTTCTCAGCTCCGGGGTTTACGCTATGGCCTGACCTGCTGGTATCAGTGCAGCCGTACTCAGCTCCGGGGTTTACGCTATGGCCTGACCTGCTGGTATCAGTGCAGCCGTTCTCAGCTCCGGGGTTTACGCTATGGCCTGACCTGCTGGTATCAGTGCAGCCGTTCTCAGCTCCGAGGTTTACGCTATGGCCTGACCTGCTGGTATCAGTGCAGCCGTTCTCAGCTCCGGGGTTTACGCTATGGCCTGACCTGCTGGCATCAGTGCAGCCGTTCTCAGCTCCGGGGTTTACGCTATGGCCTGACCTGCTGGTATCAGGACACTTACATGTAGGTGCATGTCCCGTGATTCCTTCAATATTAAAGGTAGTTCATGCACAATGTTGCCCATGCATCGGAATGAATATGTTTATCCCACGTATGTTTTCGTGTGTCTTGTGCGCTTTGAAGGATACACTGTTATATCGAAGCTTGAAGCTCCGATGCGCAGTTTCCCATTTCGCTAGCAACGATGCATTGTGACGGAAGTGGGAGTTGTGCGAGGAGCTGAGAGCCAGATATAAGTATACAGCTGCAAAACAGTGTCCCACCCGCCCTCCCATTGCGTGTTGGTGGATATTTGGAGTATGATTCATTTTTCCTGTCACATGCATAGTCTCGCTTCACTAAAAAAGGCAACTGTAGTGATGTGGTTGCGTGATTTTATTTTTTTCATGCTGTGAAGTTCCGGTTAGATTTGAGTGGAAACAATTAAGACGTCATAGGCAATACACTGTTATATTTCGCTCTCAGCTCCTCGCACAACTCCCACTTTCCGTCACAATGTACCATTGCTAGCAAAATGGAAAATGTTCGCTCCTAGGCTAAGAGTAAGAGAATACAGCTGGTGAGATTTAAGGTTGGATTTCAAAGTCAGTTTTTCAAGTCGTGAACTCTAGCTCTGTGTGTGATGACTAATGATCTCCAGAAAACATACTGAAGTATAAACAAAAAAATCTGCCGTCGGCCAAACTAAGCCGAGTTGCACAATTGGACTTATGTAGTCTTGGTGCCACTGACTAAGAAGAGATTCATTGTCAAAGCCAATGCAGGCACCGTACACAGGGTCATAACACTTCAAGTTGCGTGTCCTCCACTTCAGTCTGGTTGCCATGCCAGGCCCCACCATGCATGCATTCCCTTCGATGGTAAAGTCTCGTGACACCTATGCTGCATTTTGATCCATTCTGCACGCGCCTACCTAAGTTGAACTGACGACGGTTTCGTTGTTCTTTATTGCTAGCCTAATCTTCATACTGCACCCCCCCCCCCCCCCCCCCCCCGGACACGAGCAGCAGGCCACTGACAGGTCAGTCGGATAAATCAGACGCAGATCTTTGGCAACAACTGAATGTGGATGGTGCAACAGTTTCCACTGATCTACTGTTGCCGACACGCCCACGACGCACAATGGCAAATTATGGAAGGGTGAAGGCGCCGGATGATCAGGGAGTACGGAGAAGAGACAAGCGCAGGAGACGGGAATCGGAAGTTGTGGATGAGGATGGTGAGAGTGGTAGCAGCGAGGATGAGGAAGAGGGTACCCAGGAACCTGCTGTTGATCATGCAGTGTTTGGGAGTACTCATAAATTTGCTGTATTCAAGCATTTGGTGTCCAACCCCCAGTGTTTGCAATTGTATGATGATTCCTGCTTCAGTGTGGTGTGCTATGCTAGTAGTTTTCGTCTACTCTCCGTATTTAGCCATGTTTATTCGTACTCGTGATCCAGATTTATGCAAGAAGAAAGAATTTGTTACAGCACTCACACTCTTCACTTAACATACCAACACTCACATACCCACTCACATACTTGTACCTTTCTCACCTGCATTTCTCTAATCTACACTTGCTTTCACAGTGCTCGCTGCTCATGTAATCACGCCTCCCAATAGTGCTTGCTTTAGAATATTAGTGCTTCTGGTATTAGTTTTAGACCTAATAATGTTCACTTTATGGTACCATAACTATCTTTCCTTTTAATATTGTCCAACTCTCAGTGTTGGACTCGGATGGAGAGCCAAGGATTAATTTATAACAAAGAAAAGTGGACATGTTCGTGGACATTGTAGCGTAACGTTTAGCTCTTTGGTCCTTTTTCTTTGTTATAAACTCTCAGTGTGATGAAGATTTCTGATGATTATCACATGAAAACGACGTAAATATTGTTCCATTGTTCTTGTGGTATGAGTGCGCTCTCTTTACTTTCATCGATATTAGGTTTCTTGTCTCCACGCCGACTTTTTAAATAATAATAATAATAAATCCATCGGCTATGGCAAGTTGAGACTCCGATTGTCCCTGTGGTAGTTGGGACTTTGGGCACTGTTTCCAAACAGTTGTCAGGATACCTTGACACCATCGGTATCACCAGCTACTGCTCTGTGTCTGAATTGCAAAAGAATGCTCTCCTTGGCTCGGGAGCTATCCTGCGCAAGGTCCTTGATTTGTAATGCTCTGGGGCGGTGGTGGAGTTCTTTTGGTCCTATTTTCCTCCGAACCCTCTCGCGTTTCCTATGATCGATATTTAAAAAGTGTTGCGTGTTTCTCTCTGTTGTTTACCTACCGTCATATTTAATATCCAGATGATGCATGGCCCCACCTTTGGCTGCTGGATGCTAGCCGGTTAGCCCGGTGGGTGCCAATCTCCGGCCTTCGCCCGAGTGCTGATGGATAATTACAAGAGTACATAACCCCCCCAGAGTGTGCAACGCCTTTTCCAGCTCTGCATAGGGTCTTGGTCGAGCGGAATCGGATCTTTGCGTCATAATACCGTACACATCTGAGGGGAACCCGGGGAGTCGCGGGTACTCTTGGATCAAAAACAATGGTGCCCTGCCTCGAGACCGGCCTTGCGCTGGTGTGGAGTGTACGCATGACATCAGAAGATCCGATTCCGCTCGACCAAGACCCTATGCAGAGCTGGGTCGGCGTTGCACACTCTGGGGGGTTATGTACTCTTGATAATTATAATAATGCCATGCCCTGCTTTTCCCCCGTCATGCATTCCCTGCCATAGTCTGCTTTGCCTTGTCCAGCCCTGCCGTGCCCAGACATGCCTGCACAGTAGGGCAGTACGCATAACTTGGTGACTACATTACAGTGTAGCAAGCCTACCTGAGAGATGACTGGCAGCCTGTGATGAGTCGTGTATCCACTGCAGAATATCGACCAGGCATTCAAGCAGCACTGCCACGGGTTCATCTAGGCAGAGAAGAAGTGGCAACAGCAAGCACATCATACTTACAGGTGTAACACCCGTAAATACTTCGAAGTAGTAGAGAGAGAAACACATGAAGTTGCAGTCTAGCTTGCTCCAGGGTAAACATAAACACAAAGGGGATTAGCAGTCAGCTGTGCTGGACCAGATCTCTGTCAATTAAGAGTATTCCACACTTGTAGCAGTGACGATACACAAGACAGCGGGATGTTGTTAACGACCGGCCGGTGCATATGGTGTTATAGTACTGGTACGGCACTGCTGGTCTACTGGGGCCAGCTTATACTAGGCTTATAACTTAGCTAGCCTCACTGGTTCTATTCAGATTCTCCAGTCTGCAGTCTGCAGGACACATTACACATGTAGAGCATAGACACAATTGCCCAGTGAACAGTAGACGGGTAAGCCAGCAGCGAATCTATACAGCCTTACCGTCTTGAAAAGTAGGATGCTTCTCAGCGGCAGATATTTGCTCAGCCAGGAAGCTGAAGAAGGCATTCAGCCAAGATTGGAACACACCCTGCAAAAGAGTCACAGCCACCCAGTTATGCAGAGTTTCCCACGAGAAGGGTTGAAAATGCATGTGGAAATATAACATTGTGAGCGGCATAACTAGACCATAAACCTCAAACACTACAAATTGTCAGTCATAAGTCCTCTGCAGAAGCAGCAAAATACATGTACAAGACAGTGAATGCTATATCCTCCATCAGAAAAAAGCAAAATATAGAAGTGCAGAAAAGGATGCAGGCATGAAAGATCTTTGTCGGGAAAAGGGCATGATGGCACGAGGCACGAATACCCCAGCACCTTTCAACAGCTTACTGTACGTTGCGAGGCATGTACCAGGATCTGCTGGAAGGTCTTGCATGCTGAGTACTTCACGTATCGATCATTGGAACTAAGGAAAGAAACCTGAGAAATAGAAACATTGTGGAGACAGGTCTACATGAGGCACGGTGGAAAGATGAACAATTAATTTAGGAACAAATGCCCAGACAACACTAGACACAATGATGTGAAGACCTAAAAACACGCCTGCCCATACAACGCTCTCAAAGCTGCGACAATTTGCCGGGTAAGTCCTGGAGGGACGAAACACACGTCACAATCAGAGCCAAGTCATCGCTGTGTCATCGCCTAACTGATGTACCAGCCAGCTATGTGGATATATCACCAGCCATGAATCGACTAGGCCCTGTGCGCAAACAGGTGATAGTGTTGAGGGAAGGAGCGCTCTTGGCCAGAATTTTTCAGCTTAGAGAGCGTGTGGGCAGGCGTGTATTTACCGCCATTTCTCCAGGTGTGAAGAAGGGCTGAGGCTTCCTGCAGCTTCATCTCTGAAAGGAATTCGGGTGGACACACCCATTCCCATCGCGCTGCACATCCGAACCAGTTCCGTTATTTTTACAACGTTACGGCACTTGGCCATCGTCAGGTAATAACAATGAATACAGCCATTTCACCAGGTGTGTGTGTTGAACACTAGATAAATGGATAAGGTTGAGGGAGTTGAAAACGGGAAAAGTCAGAAGAAAAATAACTGTCAACACTCGGACTCGAACCAGGGACCCTCGCTTATGGACATGTACATCATTTATGAATGTGCTACTAAAGGCACATGCACCTAGAAATATTTACTACTCTTGCTAGCTATCAGAATAGATACTCTCTAGGGCTGTCACACCCAGTTACGATGGACAACAACACCATCACATGGCAATACTCATCCAGTGGAAAAAGAACCGAGGTTATTCAAGGCTAGAATGGGGTGCTTGAACCTGCGTTAGAATTTTTAGAAATACCAGTGTAAGTACAGTGTACACTGCACGTGCCAGTGGACCCTCTGCACATGCTCACATCCCATGGAAACACATACACCTTTCATTCACTCATGGCAGCATGGAGAGAGAGAGACACACACACACACACACACTCACCAGCCATTGCTGCGGTGTTACGTGATCGAAGAAGAAACACCTGAGCACGTCCTTGCTGGGAGAACATGGTTGGTCATCATCCTTGCCGGCAGCGACTCCAGCGGAGAAGATACGGCAAGTTAGCGCCAACGTGAGCAACACTCCATCACGGCATAAGGTCTGGAAACACACACGCAAGCACAAAACCTCCAGTATATGCCATGAACTACTGAAAATCTGGTGTAGATACAAGACTTTGAGAACCAGAAATCCAAAGTCCACAGTGCACAAAAAAAAGAAAAAAGCTCGTGACTGTTGAAAACCCACCCAAACCATCCATACTGAAGAGGATGGATACATTTCAAGAAAGGTGGAGTCTGGTACCGCAAGCGGTTGTAACTGTAGATTACTGTAAAAGTCATTATTCTAATGAGGCGCATTTATAACGATTTCCTAAAATTGACTGGATTACGTGTACCAAAGGTAACGATTCTCACTCATTCTCAACGCTCAATGGCAACAGTATATGTATGGATTTCTGCATAATGATTTCTATTTTAACGACAGATTTCTCCTCAAATTTGCGCTTTGTTATATATATGGCTTTTACAGTACTCTTCCATGGATCGGACCATGCCCGCATAGACCATCTACTAGTATAGCACACGGCACAGAGCACCATGCATCATTCGTTGCAACTAATAGTTTCATGCCCATCGGCAATCATCAGACAACTTACGGTATAGCATAAGTTACTTGCTATTACCGGTGTTTCCTGTATTTAATATACCGGAAAAACTAGGGCAAGTACCGGCATGCCGGGAGTTTTTGAAGAACTAAGGGAAATAGCACACAACCACGAGTTCTCAAAAACAACTTTTTGCGGTGTTAAAGATGCAAAGTGTGACCACTGAAGCGCACATACACATCATTTTTCTATTGGTATTGGAGGAGTTGCCGAAGTGAAGCGGCATTAACATGCAAAAACATACGAAGTTGTTAAGAGCTGTCTTTTCAAACAACAACAACAAAAAGGAAGACACAAAACGAAAAATGGATTGCGGGCCAAAAAAGAGAGAAAACTGGCCAGAATTGGCAAAAACGAACACGCTAAGGGAACAAGCGGGAACTAAGAGAAACTGGGCGTGTGTGGGAACAGCTTTGGCTGGGTTGGCAAGTATGCTATAGGCAGGGCGGGGTGACATCCAGACCAATGGGCACTGACTTGACTTGCAGTGCTGAAGGTCACTCGGCCTCGACACCGCACTCGCTCTATCCTAGCAACAGCACATGATATTTATTTTTACCGTAAAGTGTTGCAAAAGAAGGATCCACGAGCGGGATTCGAACCCAGCACCCCTGTCTTTCCGGGACAGTGCCCTACCGATTAGGCTACCGGGGATCACACACACTCATGGGTCCTTCTTGTTACACTGCTCCCCCGCCCCAACAGGCTGTGTCCTCACGCCGTACCTACTCGCGGGGGGTACGATGGGTCGTGGGTTCGAGCCCCACGTTGGGCGCCAATGTTGCAAAAGAAGGATCCACGAGCGGGATTCGAACCCAGCACCCGTCTTTCCGGGACAGTGCCCTATCGATCAGGCTACCGGGGATCACACACACTCATGGGTCCTTCTTGCTACAAAAGTACCGCCAGAGCGCCCCGTCTCGCGAGAGCGCCTCACCTTGATTTTACAGCCAGGGAAAGGAAAATCGCATGGCAGAGTGCAACGAAGTTTGTACGGTGTGAGAATCTTATTGTACTAAGGTCACACTAAGCAGGTTTTTGTGAGGAGCTTGTGTCCGCTCGAAGGTACGGATTGTCTTCAGAACGTGCAATATTCGTACAAAGTTCGTGTCGTATGACCTACTGACAGGAGACTACCTCCACAATACGACCACGAAAAGACGAGATGGTGGGGCGCTCTGGCGGTACTTTACGGTATTATTATTACAGGGGGGGGGGGGGTCCTGTCCACCACAAAGAGGGCTCAACAGTGCCAGGGTGCACTGGAGCAAGTACACAATGGAAGCGGTCTTCACCAAGAGAGTTAAGTTTTGTTGCCTGATGATTGATAACTCAAGAAACTCGGAGTAGGAACAGATCATGTTTTCTTGGTGAGGACCGCTTCCATTGTACTACCAGTATTATCATAACTATATACTTGACACAAAGGCACACAATGAAAACCTTGGGCAAATTCCGCTGTGACTCAGAGTTTCATGGCTGAACTAATCATCAGACAACGGTGTACTATATATTTGAGGATTTCAAAGTCTAAATTGAAGGGGATTTCATTATAATGGGAGGCTGTAGGGTGGTGATAGCAAACAGTGGATGGCTAATGAACGGCCTAGCTCAAAAATACATAATATAGGCTGAATGTTCCTGAATGGTCCTGTACTCAATAATACCCATAGCCTCGGGGTATGCCTTGAAATACAAAACAAATACAGAAACGGAAACACAAAATGAGAAGAATAAGGGGTCGTCGCAAAAGTTTTCTGTCGTCCCTGAAACGAACATTGTTCATTTCGTACTCGGACCCCCTCCCCTCCCTCTGAAACGAACACAGCTTGCTATGCTGGACGACGAAAATCGCATGCATGTGCATGTCATATGTACAGTGTCGGTCGACTTGCGATTTTGGCTCGCAATCCTCCTCCCCCCCCCCCCCCCCCCCCAATGAATTATGTTCGTTTCATGGACGACAAAAAACTTTTGCAACGACCCCTAAGTGCAGCGCTCAAAGAAGGAGAACAGAGGCATGTCAATGAGGAGTAGCATTGTGTTTGGTGTCCGAGAAGTGCATGCAAATGTGACTGCGGAACAGTGACTGCGAGGCTATGGCTCTCAGGTCTGCTGGCAAGGCATTCCAGACGGTAGCGGTACAGAAGAGAAATGACCTCCTGGCGTGTTTCCCCACCCGTGGCAGAATGCGAGTTGCCGGCGGCGACTACGCGTGGGGCAGTAGATACAATGTAAGGTGTCATCAAAACCGATCGGCGGCTCTGAAAAGTCCGGATTTTATTTGACGCAACTCCACATGTATGATGGTGACACTTGTGCCAACACTGTACAACACTGTTCAACACTGTTCAACACTGTTTAACACTATTCCGTTACTGTAAACCGCCCAATATTTGTGTCACTAAATTTTTGCGATCTCTCAGAACCAGCGAGTTTGCGATGGCAAATGTTTGCGGTACACTGTGGCCACACATATGCACCCACGGTTGAAGTTTGTTTCACGATGGTTAATATTCGTGTTACGCTCTTCTCGCAAAATTAGCAAACATTAATACGCCGCAAACATTGGGCAGTTTACATTACACTACGATGAACATCCGTCTTTCAGTTTCCCAATTCAGTCGAGTCTTTGCTTCAGTTGTTTAGTCTTTCCTTCAGTTGAATCTTTCAGTATAAGTCCTGGGCTACCTACGCTGTGTGGTAGTCCCACTGAACTATGCCTGATAGTTGCATGACTCTTGTAATGTATGTTTTGTCTCTGTCATTGATACGCTTTCAGTAATCTGCTGATATGCTAGAAGCATACTAGACCTACCTGCACTGCGTTCTTTCTGTACGCATTCTCCACATACCGTAAAGTCGCGGATAAAAGCCGGGTTTGCATACAAGCACATCGCGGATAGAAGCCTGAAAATCAAACTGGTCAAATGCATATAAGCCTGTCACGCGTAGAAGCCTGGCTTCTATGCAAGTGCGGATCGGGTGGGTCAAGAGTGCATGCGCTATGTACGGTGCATAGTAGAACTGCCGGCATACCGGTAGTCAGTGGTAGATCTATGCGTGTCGCGCGTAGAAGCCTGGCTTCTCTGTGCATACAAGCCTGGTAAAAATATCAGTGGTGCATATAAGCATGGTTTGCATACAAGCCTGGTTTGCATTTAAGCCTGATGCAGAAAGCGGCTTATGTGCTTATAAGCCCAGCTTTTATCCGCGACTTTACGGTACTTGGCATGTCCTAGCCCTAGCGCTGGGTGGTACCATGCAGTCTACCAGTGACGTAGGTCTCACGTGATACTTGTTTTAGCTACATTGTAGTTTCCCCGAAACACTGTGTATTGAGCAGGGAGTGGTGCTTTCTTGCAGGTTTGCCGAGTCGAAGGTTCGATGGACTTCTCGTGTGCTCTGGATGGCAGTCTTGAGTCAGTCAAGTATCAAGTAAAGTCGGCGGAATAGCGCGAGCTCCGGTGTGGGGAGCAAACTTTTCTTACATTGTAGTGATTGTACATATTGACGGATCCTGGCGCAAGGTCGAGGAGATCGATAGAGAGAGAGAGAGAGAGAGAGAGAGAGAGAGAGAGAGAGAGAGAGAGAGAGAGAGAGAGAGAGAGAGAGAGAGAGAGAGAGAATGGCGGCCAGATCCATATTGTCCTGATTTATATTATCCAGAACCCTTTCCTTGTATTTATTCTTATTTATCCTTTTGCTTGATTTAACCGTGTTGGCTGGTGTGATTGACGAGTTGACTAAAACACGCTGTGTGAATCTCTTTTGGAGTCGTGCAATATCACCTGTAACTAACTACTGTACTTGTGAGTCCTGAGAGATAATTACCGTATTATCTCTAATATAAGCACGGTCCTTTATTTTTTCAACGTACCTCCGCCCCGTGCTATTAATGGAGACGTTCCTTTATTGGAGACTGTTCCATTATTATTTCAACCTCATTTCAGAGGCATGTTGCCATGCCAAATTCATGTATGACACACATTTCAGGTTTTTTTTCGCCGGTACAGATGAATTTACACAGTGTGCTTATAATGGAGACTGAGCACTTTATTTTTTGAATGCCGTCCCAAGGTGTTCTATTATTGGAGACGTGCTATTATTGGAGACTGTGCTTATATTAGAGATAATACGGTATGCAGTTTGCCTTGTCACTCGGTCGCGTATTGCAACGATGCACACCGGTAGGATGGTGTGAATCAAGTACACACATCCCCAATTCAAGTTTGATAGCACGTTTCACATAACGATAGGACTATGATGCAGGATGAAGCTTACCACTGCACATGGTAAGAACAGTGAGCAACTATTATAAAATATAGAGCCTAAAATTTAAATTAATCAAATTTCACACAGAGTGCAAACGTGGCCGTTCCAAGTAGCATGCAGCATGTATTCACGACACACTAGAATCCAGTCTTGCACTACCGGTATAGCATCAAAACTGTTGAAAATACAAGTAGAGAACATACCTGCACATCAAGGCACAATACAGAGTTGGGAAATTCTCCTGTCCAATTTCCTGTCGTAACCCCCGAATACAAACTCGACAACGCGGCCTGCATTTATCGACCTTTGGATGTCAGCATTGAAAGACTCTTCTTTTATCACCCGATGGCGATCGCCTTGGTTTGGGAATGGCCACAGCGAGCAGCAGATGCAGATTGCTCTCGGAAACAATTCGAAAAGATTTATTTATTTTTGAACCCAGCTCATACGATGGACGTAGATGACGACGCCAGGCGCCTGTACCAGTGGCCTCGGCATCGTCATCTTCTACAAGCCTACAAACAGTAGCTGTCACCATGGTCACTCAAGTAAAGTGCATGCTGTCGAAATCGACGTCTCCCATGCCCAGTCTACCATGGTCTACTCTGGGCTTTCTTCACATACCTAGTCCGATTAGTCGTTGTCCTTTTTCTACTGCCCCCATTTGATTACGGTTCTGCTCAGTGTTTAGCCAAGAAGGAGGTAAGAACAGTACTCGTAGCGTGTCACTTAGAAAGTCTTTCTATGGAATGCATTTTCGTACGTGATGATTTACACCCCCATTCACCCAGAGCCTCGGCCAGTGTATATTCACTGTATTTTCTAGAAAAAATAAATACTGGTAATATACACCACTGTAGAGAAATAAATACTGTTACTAGTGTTTGTATACACCATAGGAGAGAAATAAATACTGTTAATATATACTCCTTTTTAAGATTCAGACTGAGGTACATGTAGGTATAAGTAGGATATACTGTAAAAGCCATATATATATATATATATAACGAAGTGCTAACTCTGAGTTAACGAAGAGAAATCTGTCGTTAAAATAGAAATCGTTATACAGAAATCGATACATATACTATCCTATTGAGCGTTGAGAATGAGTGAGAATCGTTATCTTTGGTACACGCAAACTAGTCAATTTTGGGAAATCGTTATATATATGCCTCGTTAGAATAATGGCTTTTACAGTACCCTTCGCGGGAGTGTATATGGAAAATATACACCATCAAACAAACCTCGGCCTTTGGCCTCGGTTTGTATAGCAATGTTTATATTCTCATAAACACAACGCCATCAGTGTTTATTCTATACATATACACTCCAGCTTAGGATATATCCTATACTTATATCAGAGATGGTCAGTTTTATTTGTAATTTTTAGGTGCTGTAAAATAATTTTCCTTCAATCTCCTCACCACGTCATCACTGAGGCACATGCGCTCCTCCTGAGCTCTGCGAGGTGAATAGCAATTTCTGGACATAAAAAAATAGAGCCCCACTGGCTGGTGTGTTTTACATTTTTCATATCTTTTTGTATTTTTTGTATGGCCTAATCCTTCATCTTTCCGAATAATGTGACAACTGCTCATGCTGCGATCCCAGAGACTTGATAGCAGGACGTTTTTGACAGGCTAATTTTTTGACCTAAATTTCAGTGTATGGAGTTCTGGACATGAAAGCAAAATAGCGTAATAGGCATCCTACACTGCACCATTTTGTTATTTTTTCTATTGGTGGACTGCAGTTGGCCTCTCAGTCACACTTCCTGCCAACAGGTCCAAGACTATACAGCGTCTGAAGTGGAGTGCACATGGGGAAGCCAACGATTCGTCCATTACTTAATTTACTTCTTATTTTACTCAAATTTCAAAATTCTCATGCGACATAGTACCACATAACTCGTTGAAATGCCGCACAAGCAAAGGCTATCAACAAGGCACCGACACGAGGAGAAACTACAACAGCCAAGCTGTCAACTACAACAAGAAAAAACTTCATCAACTCGACTGACTTGACTCTACACGCGACGAAACATTATTTTACTCGAAATGTCCAATGTCCAGAAATAGCAATTCACCTCGTAATTCTTGTTGTGAACCCTGCTCTTTATACCTAGGAGTCGTACAACACGTATAGATTATAGACCGGTTAGGAGGTCTATATACAGGATATATAGACTGAGTAAAAGATCGAGGTCTTTGACCGCTTAGGTATCAGGGAAATTAGTGTGGTCAAATACTAAGAAGGCGATATAGTATTTTACGACTCCCTGGTATACACATCAGCCTCTAAGGCTATATTGGAGAGCAAACCGTAACTTTTTTGAAAGGATCATGGGAGTCGTGCGATACGGTATTTTACCACTCCCAGGAATACACATACACATCAGCCTATTCAAGGGAGCGCAAATTAACAATTTTGAAAGGATCATGTGCGTAGCTGGGAGAAGTTATTTTCAAGTTTAATAGTTCTCCCAGTCCACTGCATGTCGTACCATGCACACGTGTATGACATGCAAGCACACAGCAGGACCGGCGGAAGCAGTTTTGATTGGTCCGGCGTAGCCTTTCCTATTAATTTTTGTGTGTGATATGGGGGATACACATGACCCCCTAGGCCCTCAGCAGTAAACACACGTTGGTGGTCAAAAAGCTGGTCTGGCCATCAGTGGACCGACCAACTGGACTGGTTTTGCCGGACCTGCACAGTCAGTCTCATGCGGATGCCGGATACAGGGGCAATGTTTGAGGTCAGATTCACACAGGCCTGCCGATTTCATGAATAGGTCAGTGCCATAGGCCCGTAGCCTTAGAAGTTAGAACTCACACACGCGTCCTTCATTCCTGCTGCTGCTTGTACGGGCAAAATAATGTTCTTCGAAAATGTCATAACATGATAGCAGTTTCTGTTGTAAGAACACACTGAAAGAATTCGATTGAAGGCCAGAAAGAGCATCGCATCAAAACAGTTTTTTGTGCATGGGAAACATGGCAATAGCCAAAGGCATAACAACGAAGGCAAAGTTTATGCATACAGGCAAGCGACATTGCATATACTAGTAAGCTGAATCATTTGACAATGCATGTAATGTAACTTTGAAGAAAGGCACAATGGTCAAAGAGCATGCTTGCAGTTTGAAACACAAGGGTAGCAATTGTCACACACACGGACATGGCCTGTTGGGAGCATACACGTAACATAGCCCCTTGCATGCGGCAAGCGGCAGAGAAAAGGAAAGCAGAGCAGCACTGCCATAGGGAATGCAGCAGCGACCATGTTAGAAACCGATGATGAACATACATGTACATGGATAATACGCAAGTCATACGAGGATACGGGTGAAAACATACATGTACATGGATAATACGCAAGTCATAAGAGGATACGGGTGAAAACATACACACAAACTACATGTATTGGAAACAGCCTCCAGAAAAGTATCCATTGACAATGAGCTGGGGGTGGGCAAGCAATTGAACCAAGCAGTGCATTGCAAAAAGGCGCCATGCACCATACCTCCAGAACAATGTATATTTGAAAAAAAAATACAGACGTTGCATTCGTAACGCACGGCTTACCCGGTTTTCAGGCAAAGCATGGCATGGCGTTGTCATCAATAACTTTGTAGCAGGAACACTGAAACTTACAGGAAAACGGAAATCAGTATCTGCAAACAAGAAATTCGGTCACCCAAGTAATGAAACATCCACTTGAGGTAAAACCTGCATCGGACCATAAGCAAGTCCTAAACAATCATACGGTTTCCACACAGCAAAATGGCACAATGGCAAAATCGAGAAAAATGAATCACAACAGCTCCATGGAATGCGAATAAGAGAAATACACATGAAACCCTACTACGGAGACACGGACAGGAATGCAACATCATATCAGAGTGATCATAATTATAAGCAAATTGAAATCATGGAGTAGCACAATACTCCCTGGTTGAAATACATCCACATGATAAGAATAGTTCAAGCACTTAGCACATTACTGCGCGATGCGGAAGAGCCGTATTGATGTGCGGGCGTCATGACGATTGCTGCTGCTGTTGAGCTTGTTGGTGTTGAAGAATGCTGGTGTTCTGCAAAACCAGGGGCAAAGTGAGAAATAAAAACCGAATGTTCACTCACGTGGTTATAGGTGTCTACTGTGGCACAACAGAACTAGAAAGTGTGCCACAGTAGCACACAGGCAACTAAAGTGTGTCGTCCAAAACTGCGTTGGCAGTAGCCTGTGTCAGAGAGACCGCAATCCTGAGTTGTTCGTCGGCGTCATAGTCTACAGTACCGAAGAAACCCAGGCCCAGTTTTAACCCCATGGGGAAACTGTAGTGTTAACACACCGTCAACAGGTCCAATCATTCTAATCGAAGCAAAGCAATGAGATGGACCATTTGCATGCTCATTCTACAGATCTGCACGTCTATTCCAGAACATTTTCTTATAACGTTATCACTGGATAGCATGATGAGTGGCTGAGTACACATGAGTACACAACATTGGAAACTAAAGTAGGACTTCATGGACAGTGAAAGCGAGAGGAATGAGTTCCCACTTGTTTAGGGGTGGAGAAGAGGACTCATTGGAGCCACCCCCGCCGCCGCCACCATAACAAGGATGCTTCCATCGATGAGGTTGATAATACTTATAATGGAAGCACCAGCCTCCGGTCCAGACAGTTGTTTGCCGTGTTTAGAGCTCAGCATGCAGTGGAGCTACATGTTGTGGGCTGAGTGAGGTGCGTGCAAGATGTGTTGGGAGGCTAAGAGTATAGCGCGGTGGTGGAGGTGGTGATGGAGGTGATGGTGGTGGTGGCAGTGATGTTCGAATTCAGTCTTGGTGATTGCATCATGTGAACGTGGTGCCCAGTGGATCTGCTGGAGTTGACCCCAGAATACACTCATGCAGGTAAGTTGTTTGAAAATCCAAGGGCGGCACCATAGATGGATTGTATGTCTCTACTCTTGCAATTCAGTCCGCATGCCATTGGTCCAATAAGAATGCTTTCTCTCCTTGATTGCTGTAGTTTGCTTTCATCCATGCTTCTGTATATTCACCACTGAACTGCACCCTCAAGCAAAGAAATTACTTTTTGTCTTTTAAATAGTGCACTTGTTTGTAACCAGAGCACAACATAAGAGAAAAATCAGCCACAGTGGATGGAGGCTTACCCAACAAATCTATGTCTCTTTCATGTCAAGTTGAAACAATGCATCCTTGCCTTCTTCAAAGCTTCCCAGCAGATCTTCCATGGTCTGTGACTCGCTAATGTCTACAGGCTCTTCCTCACAATATAGTTGACTGCAAGTTGACTCAGGGCAAAGTAGGCTTGCGGCCTGATTGGCAAAGTCAACAAGGCTGGTGGTACCGGCCAGTGTCAGAGATTGTCGTGTGTCCTTTTTGCCCTTCCGCTCAAATGAAACCGTCACGAGATTCTGCTCATCACTGGATGCTGTGACTATCTGAGCACGGGAAGGATCTGAAGAGGATGTATGCGATAGGATCACAAAGCTCAGATCCATTCCACTTTCCGCAAGATCCTGCAGAGTTGCGTCATCCAGATCGATGTCTTCCATAGATGTGTCCTTCAAAACCACACTGTCATGTTCTGGTAATTCCAGAGTGGTTACACTCAGCGATTTCAACTCTTGAAGGGTCGTGCTGGGCGGAAGACTTAGTTCAGTTGGATCAGTTGAACTGCTTTGCTTACGGATAGTTACGGTCAGGGCTGCTGATGCGGCCATCGCATGAGAATCTGCAGCAGACTGAGCAAGTGAAGGGTCAAGAGAGGATGTAGGTGATAGGATCACAAAGCTCAGATCCATTCCACTTTCCACAAGATCCTGCAGAGTTGCTTCATCCAGATCGATGTCTTCCATAGATGTGTCCTTCAAAACCACGCTGTCATGTTCTGGTAATTCCAGAGTGGTTACACTCAGCGATTTCAACTCTTGAAGGGTCGTGCTGGGCGGAAGACTTAGTTCAGCTGGATCAGTTGAACTGCTTTGCTTACGGATAGTTACGGTTAGGGCTGCTGATGCGACCATCGCATGAGAATCTGCAGCAGACTGAGCAAGTGAAGGGTCCAGAGAGGATGTAGGTGATAGGATCACAAAGCTCAGATCCATTCCATTTTCCACAAGATCCTGCAGAGTTGCTTCATCCAGATCGATGTCTTCCATAGATGTGTCCTTCAAAACCACGCTGTCATGTTCTGGTAATTCCAGAGTGGTAACACTCAGCGATTTCAGCTCTTGAAGGGTCATGCTGGGCGGCAGACTTAGTTCAGTTGGATCAGTTGAGGCATTTTGAGGACGGATGGTTACCATTAGGTCTAGTGCTGGTAATATCTGTTTCACTGAACATGGCACCACATTGGCAGTGGAGAGATCAGTTAGCTCACTGGGTGAGCACATAGCAACACATTCGGAAAGGGTCTCGCTGGTGCCGCATGTAACCAGCACATCGTTTGGCATGATTACTTGGCAAAGATCGTGCCGGCATTGAAGGAGGCAATCAGCAACAAACTCTACAAGCAGCTTTGCCCCACGGCTCTTACCCAGCTTCACCATTATTGGTGTGTTTTCTGTGGATGCTTCATCATCATCACCATCACGCCGCAGGTGCAAGCTGAACAACAATGTGTTCTCTTTAATCTCAGCAACTGTACTTAGCTGAAGACTGAAGTCATCGCAGAGTTTTACGTCAGCAATGACTGTTCCCTCACCCAACATCACTGGGCCGGCAGACAGCATGACAGGTAGCTCACTCTGAAACAACCCTTGGCACAGGCTGTTGTGCAGCAGTGCTAGGCGCAACTGATGCACTGTGCACTCGCGATTAACGCTGATATCGATGGTTTTGGGAGCGATGGAAGCATCAGGATTGTTCACTCTAATCGCTACTTTCTGCAGCCGTCGGCTGGGTAGAAGCTGAAGTACAGGCTGTTGAACTAGTGCCCAGAATTGTGGCAAAGGTGCTTGCAGCTCAAGGGCAACATTCCAAAGAACGTTCATCAAGCTTGCTTCTCCTGGAGGCTCATTTAACTCAGTACATATGTTGGTGAGGATGTCAGCAACACTCCTCACAGGCGTAACATTGACTATTCGTGGCGTGCGACTGGAATACGCTTGATACGGCGAGAGGTCAACTTGAACATTTTGCAATGAATCGGTCATCAGGCTGAAGTCTGGAGGATCTGTTTTGAATTCCACCGTTGGTGGCAAAAGGTGCTGAATCAAGATGCAGTCTGGAAGAGGATTTCCACTTTGGCAGAGCACAGCAACTTCACTCTCTGATCCTAGATGCAGCTGGAGTTGGCAGCGAATTAAACCCACAGGCGTGAACGTTGGTATGGTTAACTCAGCAACTGTGCTGCTACTTATCTGCACAGAAAGTGATGTAACACAATGATGAGGTAGCTTGTACACTGGCGTTCTGTCATCGTGGCACAGGTGAACAGTAGATGGATTGGGACACAGCGACTGATCCTCGGGCACGACCAGGCTGGAATGTTGGGCCAGTTTGTCAGAAAAGACTGACTGATAGATGTTTCCGTCCTCGCCAAAGCAGATGTCAACCACTTTGTACTTCTGGCCCACTGCAAAGTAGAGATTTACCTCCGATGTTCCGTGACAGATATCTTCCACCGTGAGGTCACCTTCACTCACAAGACAGTAGTTGGTATCAAAGAGGCCAGCTGGCTGGGCTGTCTCACTAGATGCTTTCTGCAGTGTCTGCATGACAAACAAGCACAGCAAGGAACACATTGCTGTCTTTGCAACACGAATACGTTGCAGGCAGTCACTTGCACCATCAGTCAGGTTGAGAATATTGACTGTGACTATGCTCTCAGGAAGAACGACGTGAACAATGCGTCTGCCTTCTTGAGGATCCACGGCTACATCCATCCCTGGTGGGATCAACAGACCCTGTGAGTTAGCTAGCTCAAACTTCCCTGAAGAAAGCTTGGCGTGTGTCCGGAAAGTCTCTTCAGTGAATTTCTTCAGACTGGTAAACCCTTCCTTGAGAACCTCTTCCTGCAGGAGGAAACGATATTTTGCAAACTTAGGCGCAGGAGTAAACAGACCTTTGGGCTGCACTTGTGCCATCATCCTCTGTGCTAGTTGTACGTATGGTATTTCCCTCTGTCCACATACTGAGCTAGTAACGGAAGAACTCAGTGTTGCATTGACTGTTGGATCGGAGTCAAGACTTGGGATTTGCTTGACAGCAATTGATTCTGGCTCATGCACCGCGGAAGTATTGCAAGTTAGCAATGCTGATGCCATGGGCACCATGACTGCTTCTAGACCAGCATGAACCTCCGGATGATCCAATGTAGGCAACTTTGCATCGGCATGTTCATCTCCGTGATCAGTGTGAGCTGTGGGCCTCGTGCTGTCTACATTACACTTATCATTTCCACTTTCTTCATCAGCCTCATCATCATCTGAATCAATTTCTCTGCTTTCTTCTAGGTCACTTTCAGATCCGCAAGTACTACTGCCATCCGTGGTCTCGTCATCCGACTCACTGGCTTCTCCCGAGCTTGTATCACTGTCTACTTCAGTGCCATCACCACTTCCCTCGCTTTCCTCTTCCAAATCGGTTTCCTCCCTGTCTTCGTCGCTTTCTTCTCTGCTGCTGCCGCCATCACTGCTGCTGTCACCATCACTGTCACTGTCGCCATTACTGTCAGGCTCAGAAGACGATTCATCTGTGCTCTCCTTGCTGCTTGGCCTCTTTAGCAATGTAACCCTGTTGCCACTTACAACACTCCAGCTTTCTTCATTTTCCGAACCAGAGTCTGACTGCTTATCGTCCATGCTTTCTTCTGGAGTTTCGTATTCACTGCTTTTGTCACTATCTTCTGCATCTTCAGCATCTTTGCGGGCCTTAGGATCTATTATCTCACTGATGTGGTGTGTGTTGCTGCTCTCAACGCGGTCATCTGTTTCATTTTCGGAGGTCGCCCTGGCCGGCACAATAGGATCATCTGCAAGAGATGATTCGCCTTTGACATCACCAGCTGGAACAATAACAAACTCTTCTTCCAATGGGCGGTCTGAGTCGGTAAACATGTTATCAGAATTGTCAGTTGGAAGCTCGGCAAACATTGCGAAATCTAGGAGAGAGTCATCATCCTCATCAGAAGTAGACTGCTCGCTAAATCCGCTCTCATGGGACTCTGCCGGTTCTTCATCAAATGCCGGTACTATCACAAAGTCTTCAGTGTTGTCTTCAGACCATACCTTGATAACAGGGTCAGCTGATCTAGACTCAGACTGCTCGTGTCGAACCTGTCGGCCATGCTGAATAATCTTGACCATGATAGATTGCAGATGATAGCACTTCACAGTCTGCGGCAGGTAAGCCAAGATATCTTTGTCATCAGTAACAAGGTCAAGTTTTAGGAGGAAGCTCAACAGATCTTCTTCCAAACCTGTTATGTGATCAACACACTGCTGAAGAGTTGTATATGCTGAGTCAGCATTTTCGATTAGCTCCTGTATGGGTACCCTTTCAAAGTGCTCCTGACGATAGGATTCGAATGCTTCGTTGACTTCCTTATCAATGTCTTCACCCAATGGCCGCTGTAGCAGATGGGGAACATGCATCAGCAGATGAATGCCACTGGTTAAGCGGTCTTCCAAAAGTCGGTAGAGATGGCAAATGTAGCACAAAGCCACTTCCATGTCGACACTGGTGCAGAATCGCACAAAGCTCTCTGGGGTTGTGAAAGAGTCCATGTTTGTGTGTGTGAATTCTCTCAAGCTGACATTCTTGACCATATCCACCTGCATTCTCTGCTTTGATATGGCACTGGAGATGTTCACAAGATGGTCAATGAGCTCAAGAGATTCATTGTAGTGCTGCTGCTGCTGTTGAAAAGCTTGCTGGACCCGATCCAGAAGATCTCCTGAGAGGACTTCGCCAAAGTTGTCATCATTCGTTACAAGCTTTGTCAAGGGCTTCACTTGAAGAACTTGCAGTGGAGTTGCATCAGTCTGTTTGAAGACAAATGGTGCAAGAGATTGCTCCAGATCAATTAGCTTTGCCTTGGTAACAAACTGCTGGATGTAATAACTCTGAATTGCTTCCAAATCAAAACTCACGGTGTTTCCTTCAGTCACATAGCTGTGCATTCTAGCAATATGAAGTGCTTCGTCTTCATCGAATGTCATAAGACCTTCTCCATTGGCTGTCATCGCTATCGGCTGATTGAACTCGCCTGCCATTAGATCATGGTGATAGACATCTGCAGGTGTGCTGGTGCATTTCCACTCCTCACATTTCCTGATGAACTCTTCTTGCTGTGATAGAATGGCTTGCAGGACATTTCCCAGGACTCCATGCTCATCACCTCCTTCATCCAAAATGTATATTAGTGACGTGGTTCCCGCATCTTCATCATCTTCAGGGTGAATTTTAGCAATTGTGTTCTCTCTTTGGCAAGCACCGATGTTCACCTGTCCCTCATTGTCATGCCAGAATTGATTGAAGGCCTTCTTCCCACTCAAATAAGCACTCTTAAGCTTTGCGAATCGTGCATCAACAATGTCAGCGCTGTTGCTAGTGCAGACCGCATGTAGAGACAATTGTTCCTGGAACACTGTTTCCCGAGTTATCTTACCCTCCAGGAATACGTGAGCAGCCGCATACAACCTGAAGATGTCCTTTGCATGGTGCAGCAGCCTCCAGGAAGTTGTACCACTCAAAATCGCCTTCAAAACCGGCAAGTTCTTTGTGGTGGCATGATGCTGCACGGCTGCACCAAGCAGTGACCTCATCGTGATGTCACTGCTGTTACATGATCGAAGTTCAGTCACCATCGGGTCACTGATATTCACATTTCTGCGAGCATTATCTAGAAGAGGTAAAACCTGACTGAAAGCTTCATCTTGGGCAAGTTTCTCAGCACAACTACGATCAGGTCTGCTACTGTAAGCTGGGCGATACGGAAGTGGACTATTCCTCAAGAACTGACGAAGCATCTGCTCAAATACCATCAGCACAGCGGTGCAGTACTCCTGGTGTGAGAAGTGGTAGCCATCAGCTTCATCAATACTGTGCAGTGGAGTTGCTACCCTGATGGCACAGAACTCCAGTGCCCTTTCCTTGAATGTAGCATACTGTCGTTGCTCGGGATTTATCACATATGGACTCAGAAGCAAATTGAACATTGCTTCAGCCTTCTCCTGATACAGAAGTCCCAGAAGCAAGAAGGCAGAGAATGTGATGGCCGTGTTGATATAGTTGCCCACAAGGCCCAGACAGCACCCACCTCCGTCATCCTCTGGCATGCCTTGATCATCAAATACAAGGCAGCAGTCAACATGGAACGGACACAATCGGCATTGTTGACCACGATGAGCACCAAACAGATATGTGCCTTCAAGACTGGCTGGGTTGAAAAGATAATTGGCATAGTGCAACTTCTCACTACCAATGCCGAGAAACACAGCAAGTGTATTCATCAGGAGGTGACGCAATTCGACACCAACAGTGGAGTCCTGCGGGTGGTCACCTTCTGGGAACATGCATTGAAGTGTTTGTGTACGAATGGGCGGACCTTGTTGAAGAAACTTGAGGCTGCGGGTTAGGCGATCGCTGCCTGTCAGTGTTTCACAAACTTCACGCAGTGCATCCATGTGGCCAGCTTCATAGCAGGACTTGTACACTTTCAGGAATACAAACATATCAGCACAGTTCTTGGGAAGCAGGCCAGCTACCAGTGGTGGTGCACCTTCAGATGTCTGACTACGGTGCCACTGAGCAATTCCTTGCAACCCGTCGTTAGCAGCAATACTCCTGTCAAAGAGGCCGCTGAAGTCTTGGTAGGACCGGTGTAGTTCAGCTAGATTTTCATTGCCAGGTGGTAAAACTCGACATGTGAATATGAGCTCCACGCCAGTACGTCCACCCTCACCAAGCTCTGCTAAACACAAGTTGCGAAGGCCTTCCGGGAATGTCTCAACAACAGTCTTCGCCTTTTCACTGGTGCAAATTCTGGATGCTAGAAACTGTTTCCAAAACAACTTTCCTTCCTGTAGGTAGTGTGTTGAAAGATCATGTACAGCACTCAGGATGTTCCTAGGGTCTTCGTGCTCAATACTCTCTGCCACACACTCAAAGGCCAGCCGGACATTTGCTGCAAGCTTTATGATCAGGCAGGCAACATGGGGTGATTTCCTGTTGGCCAACGTCAATGGTGTTGTAAGCCTGACACAATCCAGAATGGAGTGCATTTTCACCTTGTTCATTCTGTAGATGAAATTGTAATAGGCGTGGACAATTGGTTGATCAAATAGTTCACATATAGCCTCGTGGTTTGGGCCAATCTCTCGTGCTCTTCTTGGAATAGCTGGTGGAAGGTACAATGTATCAATTGGATTTTCCACTGATTTGCAGTAGTCTCGGAGCTGCTGGTAACCATGATGCCTGGAAAGAGTGTCTTGAATGACCTTGTCGACTCCTTCTGCGGTTTTTTTTACTGGTTGCTTAAAGCGCTTCATGACAAAAAGGAACAAGTTGATTGATTGCTGAGGCAGCAGATGGGGAAACTTCGCATCGGAATTGTTGATCACTGTGAAGAGGAATGCTAACTTTGTTTTGCTTCTTTCAATAGAGTTCTTCAAAGATTTCACCAGCAGTATCAAGAGTTGTAGACATGTTGACTTGATGTCATCAGCAGCGCATACTTGCGTGTCCTGCAAAGTGGTAGAAAATTCCTTGATGTTGTCAACAGTGTCAAATCCATCTGCTGTGAGCAGCTTCTGCGCAGTATGTAGGACTGCATGGAGGACTGGTGGATTTTCAGAGATCTGCTTGTTGTGCAAGATCACGAATACTTCGTCCATCAGGTTGAGCTCACGAGAGAATTGCTGACATATTGTGTTCATAATGCACTGCAGAATATCCTCGGGATCTGCATTGCCTTCGTGTTCCTGGTTTGGACTCCAGAAGACTCGAATGTAACGGAAACTCTGTCTCCACCTTTGAACCTCTTCAGCCATGCTAGCTGCATCCAGAAGTGTTTCGATGGCAAGCAATGATTTCCACAGTCCATTGAACAGCGCTTCTGCAAACCTTTCAATACATTCCTTGGCTGATATAGTAGCATCTTTATCATCCAATAGCGTTCTGACTGTTGAGAATCCTTCCCAGCTTGATAGTTGCTTCATGGCCTGCATACCATACAGTAGCATCATGATTTCAAAGCGAGTGTCAGCATGTACAAGGTACGCATGAGCAAATGGCACAATGTCACACTCAGTTTTGTCCGGAGAAGTTGAGCGAGCAAGTACAGAAGAACGTTTGCGCTTCAAATAGCTGACTGCGATACCGAGCATTTCCCGTGCATCGGTGCTACTCCCTGACCATTTGCACTTCTCTTTTACCAGCTCTTGCAAGTACAAATCAATGTAACGCTGCTCACAACCTAGAAACCGCTTCACAATGGCATCAGCCACCAATCGGTTGTGAAGTTTGAAGCAAGCATTCGGATCACCCAGAATCTTGAGCTGGTGAGAATGAAGTTCAATCCGCTGTTTGATAAGGCCATAGAATGGTAATTTGTTGCCTGCTACTATACTCCTGTTAATGGCCAATGCGTTGCTTCTGTACGCCTCCTCATCTTGCTCCGTCAAGCGGGGAATGAACCAAAGTAGCCTGGAAAGCAACTCCCCAGAGAAGCCCAGGTTGACAATGTTGGCAATTGTTTTGTCCTTGCACAAGTACAGTAGTAGTTTTGTCAAGATGCTTTCCAACCTAGGATTCATATGCAGCTCAACCAGGAGAGAAAAGGAGACAAAAGAGTCCCATTCAGCAACGTGGGCAGCAAGGTCTTCCATTAGTTTTACTGCTGTAGTCTGAGTGAAGAACTCAGACAGAAGTGTTCCAGCATGCTTCAGAACTTCTGGGTATTTATCCAGGATGCTGATCACTGCATCGTTCAGTTTTCTGGGTGAGGAGTTGGAGTGATACAAAGCGAGAAGTTCGGGTGGAACATCAACGTCACCATCTCCAATACAGTGAGCTCTATCTGTGTCCCCATCACCAGTAGCGTCTGTGTCCCCATCACCAGTAGCGTCTGTGTCATCTTCATCATCACCAATATCACTTTCTCTGTCATCATTATCAGGATCTTCTCCATCACTCTCAACATCATCAGCATTTTCAAACTCATTCCCGAGGTGTGGTTGCTCGCGATCATGATCTACTCCAGCTGTTTCAATTTCAGCCCTTCTTGTAACAGGTTCTGTAGCCACTTTCTGACAGAACTGCTGTACCAATGAAGACTTCTGCTTGAGAATTCCCTCTTGGAGAACTGCTTGGATTCCAACTTCTTCATCTTCATCATTCCTGCCATCCTGTATTGATTGTGCAGCAAATGCTTTGGAAATGGCTTTGAGATTCATCAAAAGCATATCACCAGCAGCTGGTAGGTCGAAATAGAGAGTGTCCCAGCCATTGAGAAAGAACGCTGGAATTTTGTGTCCAGCTGAAGCCAAAAAGAGCTGGCTGTATAGTACCAGGAAGAAGCATTTGCGTTTGTTTTTCTTGCGCATTTGAATGTCCCATGAGTCCACCAACCACTTGAGGAAAGCGACATGTTTAAATCCACCAGATGCTTGCGAGACATCGACCAAAATTAAAGCACAGTTCTTTTGGTCGCTGGCAGCAAAGTCGTCAAAGAATTTGTCTGCATCGAGTTGCTTCTTGAAGCCATTGGCATCAGCCACAGCAATGCACTCTGCATCCGTGTCAAAGAATTCCTTTTTGTCAGTAGCAAGCTGAGTGACAGCTGATGAGTGCTTTAGGAAAGCTACAAACTTGTTGCAATGTATCAAGTGCTGCTCTTCAATGGTTGTATCTGGCATACTTTGGGCAAACTCTACAACCGTTCTGCGGAATTCGAAGTGACGCAATGTGTCAAAGTAGAGTTTGTAGTAGAGCTCACGCTCCTTGATTCTCTTGAACATCATGATAAAGTGCTCTGGCGGCATCAACTGCAGGAGACGAGCACAAATTCCACGAACTGATCTCTGCGCAGGAGCTACGTGATTATCAGGAACGAGACGCTCTGCTGCTTGTGTCAAATTTGTGTAGAAACTCAACATAGGTTTGTCACCAGGACCGGAGCGATGGAAACAACTAAGCAAGAGGCACAGGAATCCACTGCCTTTGTCTAGTCCAAGGAAGTTGCGGCTAAGCATCACCTCAACAAAATCTCTGCATTGTTCATCGACCACTCTCCACAGGTTATGGTTGCCAGTATCCGGTGACAGCCATGTATGCATCTGACGCAATGCATCATCTGGCGAGAGCCTGAATTTTGCGAAGCGGCTTAGAAATGGTGCTGCCGTTTTCTTAAGGCGAGATTCCTTCAGTACGACCACACATTGGAATCCAGGATCAACAGGGCAAGCATAGAGATGGCGTCCCAGAGTTATGTTGACATACTTCTTGTCTTGTATCTTTCTGAAGCTGAGATTCAGTAGCTCATACAGGCTGCCATACACCCGGTCTGCACCCACAAGAACGACTGTTTTGGCCCGGTCCAGTGAACGTCGGATTCGAGCAACAACCTCTGCAACATAGAGCTCATCTTGATCACCTTGGAACGTGCTCATATGAATAACCTCACAGTCATCGGGTGAGAGAATGTTTAGTTGAAACATTATATCCACAGAAGAGAAGTTGTCAGTGGGATCGATTATCATTCTGAACCGAGAGGCAAGGTCATGACCAGTTGAGTACACAGAAGTGGAATCCTTGACAGTTGCCAAATCATCTTGAATGGACAGAAGGGTTTGGATAGGTCCTCTTGGCTTTGGAGCATTGGCAGAGCTGAGTGACTCTGGAAATCGTGGAAGATATTGCTTCATGTTGCGAAGAAATGTATCGGCAATCCTCTCAAATACCAGATCATTACAGCCTCCGAAGTTCTCCTCGAGCGCCTCAATGAAGTCCGACACTTGGCTACTGATTGGCAATCCGGGCCTTGAGAGGCGACGCAGCAGGTTGCGAAGCATGTAAATGAAGTCACGGTGATGAAATGTTTTCCCCAAATTGACATTGTCATAGGATAGTTTCGTCAGTTGTAAATAACCATGACATAATGCCAGCAAGAACTTCCTTTCCTCAGCTGACGCATACTGCTCTTCATGGATATTTTCATCCAGCAATTCATCCGGTGTGGCATTGCTGTCACGTCTCCTGTCATCGCCCTTCTTGATACAGCCAAGAGCTAGTGTGAATAGTTCACTCAAGGCTGCTGGAGATCGGTAGACTGTAGCCATTCGATTGGCATTGGCTGGATCAAACCGGCGATTAGACAGAGCAATAAAGGACACCTTTCTCTCATCCAGGTAGCGGTGAAGTACTTTCAAAACCATGTCATTCTCACTAAGCAGACCTGCCTCATCGAGAAATACGACACACTTGGTTGACTGCTTGAACATGTAGATCTCACCGTCGTCTGGCGCATCGTCGTCATTTCTTGTTGCCGAGTAGTTGTCCTGTGTTTCTTTCTGCCTGGTGTGCTGGCTCTCATCATAGAATACCTGACGAGCAGCTGCATTTTCGAAACACCTGCTGATTTCTTCTGTTTTTGATTGAGCCGAGCCTTGGTAGGGAAATGGATCAATAGCACTGAACTGTTTGCAGAACAGCTTTGGAGAATTGATTCCACGGAGGTTTTCCTTGACAATCATCCAGCTGAGTGTCTTTGATGTGCCTGGCTGCCCAATGATTCCAAGAGGAATTCCAGTCTGAACACAGGCAACAGTGCACAAGATATTTTCCTTCAGTGCATCAGTAAGAGCTACTTTCTGGTCGAATCTGAAGTGGCCACGGGTGACAACTTCATCGACAGCATAGTTGACAATCTTCTGAAATGCTGACAAGTCATCATTGTTGATGCTGTTGGGGCCACAATGAGGACATCTTTTGTGATCACCTTGGTGAAACGCAGCGGGGTCAGAGAGATGGATGTAGTGAGCAAAGTCCTGACGGCTGGCTCTTGCAGATTTATTAGCTACCACAAGCCTGAAGTAGTACACAACAGCGATGGACAGAAAGACACATTTCTGAAGATCAGTACCAGGATCACTGGCCATAAACCTTCCAGCACGCTCTGCCAATAAGACAACATTCTTGTTGACAAGCCAAAAGAAAGGAACCAGGAGAAACAGTCGCTGAATATCTCTTTGGCTGACGGAATTGACACCTATAAATTCTCTGCAGTAGGTGTGTGCTCTCATCATGATTCGCTTAAACTCAAGAAGAACTGTTGGTGGGAAAGAGCTATGCGATGAGTTAAGTAGAGCCTGCTGGAGCATAATTTTCTTCTCAATGTACTCATTGAGTTGTGTGTCATCCGAAATTCCTTCATATATCCACTTCATCTCATCCATCACTCTTGGTAACGGGTGGACGTTGTATTCCACTCTGTGTACTTCATCATCCAGATTTTCACCTTGCACAGACTTCTTGGGAGGCGGGTTGATGGCGGCTGTGAAAAAGATGTTCTCTTCCAGATTCTCACCGCCAAACATCCGGTCCACAAGTATGTCCTTGAAAACTCCCAGGCAACTTGATGTGTTCACCTCATCGAAGAACACCACAACTGTGTAGTTAAGGCAGCGCCTTGCAAGGTTGCGAGCCTCACTGAGAAACTTCTCAATATCTTGCCGGCTGGTTCCTGGGTCAATCAGCTTCTTGAAGAATAGAGCTTGTGGGTCGGCATTTACCAATTTCATCATTATCACCCGACATTGTGCTGGTGACAAATCATCTCTGTTGATCAGAGAAGTAAATTGATCATCCATGGGCTTTAGAATTGTGTACTTCTCCAGGCACATCGTGATATAGCCTTTGAGCTCTGTGACGAGGTCTGCAACATCCTGCTCATCAGTGAGTGACCCCTCACTAACTAGTCGCTCAATGATATCCCCTAGCTCCTCTGCCGTAGCTGCACCCTGGTCAACCCGACCAGCAATTGAGTTTGCAAGTTCCATAGGTGGTTTATCTCCTGCAGCAAGTAGCGCTCCCATAGGAAACCAGGATTGAAAATCTTCGGTGAGTTTCCCTGACCAATCTACAGTCAGACTTTTCAGCCACGTACATGTTCTCCGGGTCAGAAGGAGCGAAGTCTCCAGCTCAGGGCTGTAGAGATTTCTACAGTTAAGCAGTTTCGTGTACATTTCGAGAAGGAAAGTTTTACCAACGCCAGTTTCACCAACCATGATCAATGGTAACTTGGACCGCTGTCGTTCATCCACTAGCAGAAGCTTGTAGGTGAAGTCCCAAGTGAGGACAAAGCCGTCATTATTCAGCAGTGTCTCAACAATATTGTTCTTATCTGACATCAAACCAAATTTCCATTGAAGACATTTCAAACAATCGAGCTCCTTCCGGTTGTCGACAGCACTAAGCAACTCATCTGCTGATCTGAAGCTAAAGAATCTTGCCCACGTTTCTGGATCTCTGCGGATTCTCCTCAATGCAACGAACTCTGGCTTTTCTTCATTTGGTGGAGGGTGAGGGAAATACTTCAGCACAGCACCTTCCATAGGGTACATCTTAGCTCTGGCTGTTTCTGATGTCATGGTATTGAAGCTCACTCCGGTTGGATCCACGAACAACAACGGTATTGGACATTTCTGCCAGGAGCACACAAGTTCTTTCTGACATAAGTACTCGGATTCCTTGACGAATTGTTCGAGCAAGAAACGAGTGCAGTTGGCAAATAAGTACTTCTTGGCCACGTCAAAGGTCTCGGTGTCAAACAGCTTGATCCTGTCAAGAAAGTATCTCAGGAAAGCTACTTCCTGTGTGCGTAGCCACCTGGTCTCAGCATGTGCTGCACGATTTGTTTTACTGAACAGAATTTCCAGCAAGCGAGTGAAGTGGCTCTTATTTTGCAATTCTGTCTGCAGATTCTCGGCCGCATCAAGAATCATCATTTGGCCGTCAACCTGGCGTGCATCTTCCTGGCCATAGTAGTGGACAGCCGATACTATTTTCTCCAGAGATGATGAGTCCAGTATTGCTGAAGCTGGGGATGGTATCGTGATCTGGAAATTATGACTGCTGGAATTAATGTGACATGCCTCACTTGCCACGCATATCACAGGGAACAAGTTGCGGGCATTTGTCTGAAGAGCTTGTTCATTGGCAAATGGATCTTCACTTGGAATTTCAATGTAGAATTCCCATTGCAGGTCATTAGGCATCAAGAACGATCTGTTGTGTGATCGAATTCTCAAGCTGCGGCAGAACAACAGCTCAAAGAAGACCTGGTTGACGTAGTGAGGATCAGCGTTACCGGAGATATTGAAGTAGACCTTTGCCTGGGTGCCAAGTGCGATTAGCTTTTCTAGCCAATTTTCGGAATCTGGCACATCCGTGATACTGATAACTGAACCATCACCAATTGTTTGCTTGATGAAGTGAGACTTGCCACAGCCAGCTGGTCCAATGATTGCTTTGCACACTGGAAACATGCCTCCATCTTTCTGCTTCAGCTGGTCAAATGCGGACTTGAGTTCATCCACTTCTTTCCGAAACGCTGACCCAAAATTGGAGCGGACCTCAACATACTCCCCAGGCCAGCTTTGGCAGGAGCGTTCTTGGTTGCAGATGTAGTAGACTGTGGCAGAATTACTAAATTCCAAATGTTTGGCACGGAGTTCCTTCTGTTTCTGTAGAAGCTTCACCCGGCAATCATAGCTGAGCAGGTCAACGCCCACCACAACATAGTCCATCTCTGCAAAGCCATAAATCCGGTCAAAGAAAGTGTCGAGGTCATCCACTGCAGTCTGTTCATCACAAATCAGCACCTGAGAGCAACATGGAACGACTTTGTACACATTCAAGAAGATCTCCGCTGCCAGACAGATTGCCTGTGTCATTTCACTTCCATTGCGTGCACAGCAGACAATCTGCTTCCCTTGGGTGCCTCTCTCCACGCTCTCTTTCACTGTGAAAGTCTCTGTGAGAACACGTGCCAAGAGTTTTATCACATCTGTGAATTTATTGACATCCTCCTGGTACACTGTTATTAGATCATTCACATCAGCACCTTGACGCGAAGACGCAACATGTTGCAGAAGCCGGAAGTAGTTTTGCACACCAAGATGTTTAGAAGTCTGTTGATCCACTGAAGCAAAATTTACATTCTGACGTCGGCCACATAGGCCAACAAGATTTGGTTGACCTTCTCTCAGATTCCTTGGCAGGATATCTCCAACCATGGCTGCAATTTCCGCATTACTGAACAATGCCAAGAGCTTGCACGATTGTCGGCATGACATAAGAATATCTTCCCAGTCATGCCTGATCTTGCAGAGCTGGCCAATTTCGAGCTTCAATACATCCATGTCCAAGGGATAGCGCCATTCGCTGGCTTGAAATAGAGGATGGCCAAGTGATTCTAGCATATGCAGACAAGTTATGAGTTCCAAGGCTGCAGATAATTTCTCCGTGAACATCTTCGCCGTTTCCATGATCGAAGCAACGGCAGCATCCTTGCCTGCTCCGCAGTCGTTTTTCTCATCAGGTGTGGGATCATAAGATGACAGGTATTGCAGGTTCACCTCAAACTCCTTGAGCATTCGGTTGTCAATACGCTCTCGGTTCCCAGACTTTGCTGCATCATTGCTGTTTGTGGGCACCTCCGAGATTTCGAACGTGATGTTTCCCACTGTGTCGCCTTTCAAGACTACCACAACCTCAGCACCTCTGTTTAATTTTTCAACTTGGTTGGCAGCTGATCTCATCATGCTCTCTGTAGCTTTGTTGAAAAGTGTGGCAACCAGTTCAAATTGAGCATTGCATGTTTCCAGGCACTGAGCACTGACAGCAACAGATGTGAGGTCCTTGAACACATCCTTCAGTGGCTTCCCTTGCTTCTCCGAATCATGCCACGGTGCAAGCAGTGGAGCTAGCATGCGTCTTGCAGCAATGGTTGCCTCGACGATAGCGGCATTGGCAGGATCATCGTGTATTAGCATGTTGAGGTTCTCGACTTTAGCGGAGAAGTCCTCATACCCAGATGGTGAGAAGTAGTTCTCCTGACGAAAGAAACCAATAATCTGGCTGCAGTTTCCTATACTGATCTCCCTGAAAAACTCAAAATGACATGGGTCTAGCACTGACAGCAGTTCTGTCAGACGGTGATGCTTACTGGCCAACTTTCTGATCGAGATGTATTCGTTGATTTCATCCCCAATGCTTTGGAGGTGCAGGAAATCTGTATCATCTTCACATATGACCTGGCCATCGGTTTCATCCTGGATCATTCCAAACGCACTCACAATGTGAGAAATGTCTTCAGATGTTATCCATTTGATGATTAAGAGGGCTTGTTTGATTTCCTCGATCAGTTCACCGCCGCCAGCATCAGTGAGCTGCTTGTATGGATCGAATCCGGTCAGAACTTCAATTTCATCACTGATTGCATCTTCCTTCGAGCTCAAAAGGTCAGAGTATTGGCGAAAGTCTCCATATTCAACAGTTCCCTTCAGCAGACTCCTGAAGAATTTGTCTGCCATTGAAATCTTGTTGTGAATCAATGTAGTCCAGGTATACTCCTCAAGTGACATCTGATCACCTTTGATCTCTGTTTGACGTTGGAAAAGCAAACTGTTGCGAGATGAAAAGTGATGGATGAACTCAACAAATGTAGCAGAACATTCATTTGAAACCTTAAGGTCAAGATGGCAGGTAATTTCTTGCCGAATAGATCGCTTCAGGTTGCGTAGAGCTTTTAAAGTGGGTTTGGCACCTCCAGTAGTCGCTTTGATAATCTCAGAAAGGATCTGGCTAGCTGGGTCGACCTCCTGGCTAGCCAGCCAAGTCAGGAGGGATTTGCTTCTCAGTACTTCATCAATGATGCCTTCAAACCCATGGATTCCTCCTAGCATTGGTTGTTGAAGATTCTTGAAGAGGTTATTTAACGGCGTCCACACAGCTTGGAAATCAGCGTACTTCTCTTCTGTATAGTCGTGTTCTCGGATTGACCTGTGAGTTTGCTCGATGTCCTTCACAGCAGCCACAATAGTGGGGACATCGTCCTTTAGCCACCCATCAGCACGGGAGATGCTCAAGGCACGGTAACCCATAGCAATCATTTTGTATACACAGGGATGGAGGTGGAGTGGAGAGAACATTCCTTCTTCCTTGAACGCATCCAGTACAGCATCGTAAATCATTGCTTCCAGTGCTGGACTGCGACAATCAACGTTTTGTTCAGGTAGTTCACACAGTATTCCTGCAGCCAAGGGCTTATCGGGGCCTATTAGCAATTTCATGATGTGTATGTTGATGCGCTGACAGTACGCTTTCCAAAAGAAGTAAGCTCCACAGGTTGGGTTGATATTGCGGCCATTAGCTGCCATTATGGACATTACTACAACAGCTTCATCACGCACTTGAGTAGCAGTTTGCATGGATCCCTGTTGAAATTCATTGAATAAGTTGAAATTGACTGCTTTGACTTCCATGTCTTTCCTCCACATCAGTTCACTCGAAGAAACAAACTTGGCCAATGATGGCAAGTGATGACGAAGGAGTCCTTTGATGGTGTAGAGCATAGCACTCAGGTTGGAGGAGACAAACTGCCCACATCCCCCAATGTCCAGAGATGAATATTTGTCAAGAAGTGCAGCAAGGGAAGAAACAATGTTTCGGTCGGGCAGAACGACATTCACATCTGCTTTGAAAACAGAAGTTGTAACAGCAACAGCACAGCTGTACAATGGAAGCTCAGATAGCGCCTTGGATAGTGTGTGCACATCTGGTGTAAGCTGGCGTTCACGGCAGAATGTCTCGACGAAGGTGTTACCCACCATGTGAATCGCTTTAGCTTGACCGGGGGAGGCCGTGTTACCTCTGATTGAGCTGACAAATTGAGAGATTTGTGAATCAACAGAGACGATGGCCTGCTGAAATGTCAGACCGTAGGCAATCTTTGGGAATGTCCTCTTTGCCATCGCGGGTGTAATGCAGGTGGGTGCAACTTCTAACATCCACGCGAGTACTTTGATGTGATTCTGCGTATTTCGAATCATGATGAAATCGAACAATTCCGCCATCCACACTCGAGTGTTATCATCTCCAGGTACAAAGGTGCCAAACGTGTTCCACATGGACAGAGGAGATTTTTCATCAAGTTGTTTGTAGGTTGGGAAAAGTCTCTCAACCAACTGCAGAAGAGCGGCAATGTTCAGCTCACAAGTCATTGTCATGGGAAAGGTGACTGTTATTGAGTTAAGCTTGTCCAGGAAGTGACAGGCATTGACAATTGGATCTCTCCAAACCAATGGTTCAAAGTATTTCTCCCAGCCTCTCCCAGCTGGTCCATGATGACTGCCTCGTTGCAGAGATTGCAGTGATAGCCACCAGTCCATTGCAATGAGACACAGTATCAAGTCACAGGTCCCGCTGGTACATCTGGGTGTCAGCTGCTGGATGACAGTTGCATGCAGTGAGATTCTGCTTCGGTTTTGCCAGTCCTGGAGCTGTTCAGCTAGTCTGGTGGGCCGTGGCACATCTCCAAGCATATCCTCCACGAAACGAGGCTTCATGTATTGAGCAGCAAATGTATTCAGCTCTGAGAGAAAATTCGAGAAGTCGGTGTAGTGGACGTAAGCAGGTGATTTCGCCAGGATGCTTGTGAGGATGACCACAGCCACGCAGAAATTCACGGGGTTGCAAGAGCACTGCTTCGTGAAACTGACTGTTATTTTAAATAGCAGAAGCATATCGGCAGCATTTCCTTGTGAAATGATTGCAGCTACGCGATCAAAATCAACCGGTGTTTTATTTTTGTCAAGGTCATCCAGATAGTGTGCCAGATTATTAGCCCTGTTGTTAGAGAAGAAGCCGACAACTGAGGTGAGGAAGCCACTGAGTGCCTGCAATCAAACAACAGGACAAACAAAACAGAAAATGCAAATTCAACACACAGTATTTGTGTAGACTGGCACTTTCCAAGCCGTATAAGTCAAGGAGATGACAGCAATCTACTCATAACCCAGCATGACATCACGATGATATCAACTTTCATCCATGAGTTGATGCACAGGCCCATTGTTCACTACCCACCCAACAACTAAGCTTTAGGTGCAAGCCATTCAGTGACAGAAACAGATGATGAGCAAGCGGGATATTCTTCTACTCTATCATACAAGACATAGACCGTGTTTTTTTTGATTTTTTATCAAGACATGTGGGATGAAATTTTGCCAGCAATGGAGGTCATGCAGCCCTAATGGAGCGAATGCCCAAGGGGCCTCTCTGGATGCCAGTGGCTGATACACACCCTTCCTGGCTATATGTGAGCGTAGCCAACAACATTGGCGATGCTCTGCTCTACGTTACGAGAACGCGACGCGAAGAATCACGTGAACGCTCTTCGCATTCCCATGGTGCGAAGGAAACCTGTCCTGCTCTACGTTCACGCTGAGAAATAACTTGGAGTATGTACTGGGAATTTCCAGCTCTAAATTTGGCAGTTTTCTACCTGATTTGAATGATGCCCAGCAGATCCGTACACATTTTATCTTATGCGCCACGACGTAGAGGACCTCACCTCCCCGTAGAAATCTGGCCCCAATACACCCAAATGCATAGACTCTAACCCAGACACCTGCTCTCTACGTGACTTATCTATGTTTCACGAATAGTTGAACCTCACTATTGTCATGAATGGCAGAGTGGCAGTGGAGGAACCTTGCACATCGGACGGCCAGTGCAGTGAATGTCCCAAGGGGGACTTTCTGGGCGGGCCCAAGGGACTCACTGGGCGAGTGGGCCATGCCGTGAATGTCCCGAGGGTCTCTCTGGAAGTAAGGACAGTGCAGTGAATGCTCAAAGGGTCTCTCCGGGTGGGTGGGTAGTAGAGCGAATGCCTCATGGGCCACTCTGGCCGGGGGGGGGGGGGGGGCAGTGCAGTGAATGTTCCAAAGGCCTCTCTGGGCGGGAGGGTAATGCAGTGAATGTCCCATGGGCCTCTGGGACTGTCAATTGCATGCGCGTGTCAAAATTCTAGTGCCATGTGTATGCATGTCCCAGAACTTGTGTGTTTCAGTATCACCTTTAGAACTTGTGTCACTATCACTTTCTTTGGCTGGGTATGCTACTTTTCAATATGGAAAGTGCGCAATTGCGCCGCCTCCCCCCCCCCCCCCTTACCCTATCAACATAATATGTATTCCTTCATCTAAACCCGGACGGTGAAGCTCTAGTAGTCATGTGCAGTCAGACCTTGCTTAACCGCACACATCCGTTTTCCACAGAAATATCTGGATAGGCGAGGGAACCGGATAATCGAACACACATAGTGTATGTATGCATGACAAATGCTGTAAATCGGTAACCAACGATTTTCTTCCAGATGGCGAGGGATCCGGATAAAAGAGGACCGGATAAGCGAGGTGTGACTGTTTAAGAGTAAAGGCCAATATGTTACGAGTTATGACTAACATTCCGACAAGGTAACGATATATTATACAGTCAGATAGTGCCACAACAAGGCACAACACTGACAAGGATATTGAGACATTCAACGACCTGACACCTAGCTTGAACACATCTATGAAGTGCGAACCAAGAGCCTTCCAACTTGGATGGCTTAGGTGCAAAAATGATCCAATGAGAGGAAGGGAAGCGCAGCAACGATGTGCATGAGCTATGTCCCTCGGCAACAAAGAGTGTCGACAGTCACAGGATGATGACGAGACTAGTAAGACCATTGGACAAGCCGGACTAACTACAACTTGATGACACAAAGCCACAGGCCACCTAACCTGGGAGGCTCGAAGGTATGCAAATTACATAAAGAGGGGAAGCCAAGCTAAGACGAATTGTGACAAACCGAAAAGTCAATATCCTACTAAACTCCATGTTGATGAAAACAAAAACCCAGTGGAACAAAAATATCTGTAGGAGTCTGACAGCAGTCACTTTCCTCAAAGTCAGTCATACAGTTAGAGTCACTCACACACCGGTCACAGTTTGCCTCTTTTTAGAAACCAGTTCTGGTGCCCACAAACGAGTCACAGAACGCCGAGACTTGCCCTCTTTCCGATCACGCGTGCACAGAGTCAGTCCAGTGCAATGCATGCGCGTATCACATGCATGCATGTGAGACGTGCAAACAGTACTGCACTAGTGCACTAGGGAAACATGGATGAATGGGATTTTCGGTCTTTGACCACTTTTCTGGTGGGCTGATCTACTCACCTGCCATCGCTTGAGGAACGGCATCTGCACCTGAGATCTTTGCAGGGTGATGGCGTTGCTACGGATGCTGAAAACTCAGTCCAACTGAGTCTCAAGGGAACCGTGATTTTTTCTTTTTTAGTCGCGTGACGAAGGACAGGAAGCAACAACATAGTTACATTCCCGTCCGCAGACTGAGGATTTTGCTCCTGCTCTTGTAGCAGCTGAGCACTCTCGTGTTGGGTAGTGCCTTTGCTGTTTGCATTATGCAGAGCTCACTGACTTGTCAGTTTGAACATTCTGCCAAGGTACGTTTGGGCCTGGTGTAAATCTGGCTTTGGAAAATTTATTTTTCATTGCTATCAGGTTCGGCCTAATTTTCTCTGTACTGCGCTGATGAGTCCACAAAGGACGAAACAGTTCTGCCCGCAGATTGAGTATTTTGCTCCTGCTCTTGTAGCAGTTGAGCACTCTCGTGTTGGGTAGTGCCTTTGCTGTTTGCATTATGCAGAGCTCACTGACTTGTCAGTTTGAACATTCTGCCAAGGTACGTTTGGGCCTGGTGTAAATCTGGCTTTGGAAAATTTATTTTTCATTGCTATCAGGTTCGGCCTCATTTTCCCTGTACTGCGCTGATGAGTCCACAAAGGACGAAACAGTTCTGCCCGCAGATTGAGTATTTTGCTCCTGCTCTTGTAGCAGTTGAGCACTCTCGTGTTGGGTAGTGCATTTGCTGTTTGCGTTATGCAGAGCTCACTGACTTGTCAGTTTGACCACTCTGGCAAGGTATGTTGTCTTCCCAGTGTTGTACATGTGGCTGCGCTTGTGTCTCTTTGTCGAACCTGCTGCTGTGTTTGTGTCTCTGTATCGTACATGCTGCTGACCCGTGGTACACGCTGCTGCGCTGTATTGGAATGCGTAGTACATGCCGCTGCACCGTCTTCTGTCCCCTCCGTATGCATTCTTTCTCATCTCGTCCCCGTTGTATACGCATTTTCTCGTCTTGTCTCCGTTGCATTTGTCCAGTTGCTGTCTTGTGTCCGTCGTATTTCATTGTCTGCCATCTTTGTCTCCTGTCCCGTTCGGGACTAGTTGTAGTATTCAGGTGCACCTATTTCGCCTCCACGCCCCACTCTTGAGCACCTATTTCGTCTCCATCGCCCCACTTTTTCCCCACTTTTCCACGTCTCCACAATATATTCCCTTGTCTTGTCTTGTGGGAGTTCATTTCTCTCTTCGAGTCGTGAAGTGTGGTTTAGAAAAAGATCTCCCTCCAACGGAGAACAACCATTTTACTAGACCCTTTGTTTGTGTGGCGGGACGAAAGCGGAGAGGTACATGTAGTTTGTCCTTCGGGCAGACGACATTTGGCGCCCAACTATTAGCTCGTCTTCACCTCACGACCCTGAAGCTCGTCGCTGTGTCAGCCGGTGTTTCTCTTCTCGTCGCCGCTCCACCGTGCAATGGCGTACTACGAACGACCAGGCTCCACATTGGCGCGCCTACTCAGGTGAGCACCCGGTCTTGTTAGGTTGATTTGTGCTGCCGTTCCTCGTAGTCGAAGCGTGCATTGGGTCCCGGCTTAGGTCCGTGGTCCGTTCGATTGTTCTTGTAGAGTACCTTAGTTCTAGGACTAGTTTACCGTAGCTCTGGCCATTTCTTGCCATCATTATTCTTAGCATCCTAGGTGTACTGGTTTCGTTGTAACTTGCCCTGGTTGAGAATGCCATGTTGAGCATTTTGAAAATTGTTTGAAAAATATTGTTAGAAAAAAATAAAAAAGACCCTGTTTCGTATCACCATCAGAATAATACGCCCGCTCTACTCGTATTGTACTATACATAGTTGTTCCTCTTCATCATGTCCCAGGACACGGTCACTGTTGAGGGCCCAGGCAAGTGGCTAATGCCCAAACCGTTGGCGGGCTCGTCTGGGGAGGACCTGCAGTCCTTCCTAAATGATTTTTTACTGTGCCTAGAGGCAAACGGCTATATGGAGGTGGCACAACCACAAGATACTGTAGATGCTGAATCTCGGCCAAAAATTAGAGCTAATGGCCCGGGTAATTCTCTGCAAAAGTTTAACCGGCAGTGCAGCGTTAATGCTGCAGTCCTTGACCGCCGCTGAACGCAATGATAGAGCCACCATCGAGTCTGCCTTACATGATAGGTTTGGGGACAAGGGCAAAGAACTATTGCGGCAGACCGAGCTCCAGGCTCGCAAACGGCAGGCGGGGGAAACATTGACTGAACTCAGGGACGCCATCCAGGTTTTGGTCGCGAAGGCCTACCCGGGGGCCCCCTCCACCATTGCCAACACAGTTTCGGTGCGGGCTTTTCTCGATGCATTGGACCCGGACATGCGACGACGGGTGGGGGACCACAAGCGCAACCACATGTACAACAGGTACGTTCTGGCCTGGTTTAAATCTGGCTTTGGAAAATTATTTTTCATTGCTATCAGGTTCGGCCTCATTTTCTCTGTACGGTGCTAATGAGTCCACAAAGGACGAAACAGTTCTGCCCGCAGATTGAGCATTTTGCTCCTGCTCTTGTAGCAGTGGAGCACTCTCGCGTTGGGTAGTGCCTTTGCTGTTTGCGTTATGCAGAGCTCACTGACTTGCCAGTTTGAGCACTCTGGCAAGGTACGGGCCTGGTTTAAATCTGGCTTTGGAAATTTTATTTTTCATTGCTATCCGGTTTGGCCTCATTTACTCTGTGCTGCGCTGATGAGTCCACAAAGGACGAAACAGTTCTGTCCGCAGATTGAGTATTTTTTTTCTCCTGCTCTTGTAGCAGTTGAGCACTCTTGTGTGGGGTAGTGCCTTTGCTGTTTGCGTTATGCAGAGCTCACTGACTTGTCAGTTTGAGCACTCTGCCTAGGTACGTTCGGGCCTGGTTTAAATCTGGCTTTGGAAAATTTGTAAACAAGTGTTTCAGAGACAAGAACTTTAATTTGGCAATCAAGAGTACTAACTGTGCGGTAACCATGTGAATGTGAATTCTTCTTCTTTTTACATGTACATTTCACATTCACATTTCTCTCGCATGTTAGTTACTCGTTCAGAAAGTGGTGGACATCATGCAACTGCATTGTAAATAAAAGGGAGTTTGTCAACTGATAACCGCTCTATTTAGTTGCTATTCACTCTTGGCGCATGCGCTGGATGAAAATTATTTTATTAGTGATGTGGAAAAAATATTGACGTTTCAGGCCAGTCACCCATCGTCAGAACAATTTACAAGGAGCGAACCTGGCCTTTTATAATGAAAGCAAGCGAGAGCGTATGTATGGCCATGTACAAAACAAACACACAGTACCCGTATGAAATTGAGTGTATGAATTTGCATGTACAACAGACAAGGAGAAGTGTTTGTTACTATCGTAAAAAAGTATGGTTTCCGCACAGTTAGTACTCTTGATTGCCATATTTGGAAAATTTACTTTTCATTGCTGTCAGGTTCGGCCTCATTTTCTCTGTGCTGCGCTGATGAGTCCAAAAAGGACGTCGGAAACAGTTCTGTCCGCAGATTGAGTATGTCGTTCTGCTCTTGTAGCAGATGAGCACTTTCGTGTGGGGTAGTGCCTTTGTTACAAAACCACAAGTTCTCAAGAGTGAAAGGCCTTCTCGCCTGTGACATTGGTGTTTGTTTCAATGCAGTTGTATCTCGACTCCGCCGCCGTACCACTGATGTTTACGACGTGGTATACGCTACATGCGCTATGTGCAATTTGCTGTGTGCGCTGTAGTTGTATGTGTATGCTTTTCTGATATACGCTGTCATTTTCACGCTATAACTACCTGGTGGTTTTAGTGTTAGTTATAGTCGATCAAGTGAAATATACTGTTAAAGAGTAAATAGTTGTCCTCGGGCTGTGTGGTCGTTCGTTCCTGACTTTTAGAGAATCAGAAGGGTTCACAACAGCCTTTGCTGTTTGCATTATGCAGAGCTCACTGACTTGTCAGTTTGAGCACCACCGCGCATAGCTGTGTCACGTGTGTGTTGGTGGGGGGGGGGGGGGGGGGGAGGAGGGGGCATTAGAGGTGTTGAGACTGTATGGCTGGTATAGCTGGTGACTTGTTTGTGACTGGTGACTGGTATCAGAAGATTTGCGACTGTATGACTGGTATTAGGGACAGGGACTGCTTTGAGAGGCCTGATTCAGTGGAATCAGAGTGCTACAAAAATAAAGTCACGAAGTACAGTCTCCTGCAGTCACAACAAGACACTCACACTTCTCTGGTCTACATCGCCATTCTCATCGCTAACGTGACTTGATTTACTTTCTAACGATGGTTCTTGAGAATGGATCAATGATGTCCTGAATATATGTCTTCCCTGAACGACTTTAACTGAGAGGCAGTTTCAGTTTCAACAAGCTGGACATTGTTTTTCTGTGGAGTCTTCCACAAGAAAGACAGGGCTGCACACTGGAAGGTGTTTGATGTACTCGGTACTTTCTTGGAGATGAACATAATTAATTTTTCATTTCCATCTTAATTTTACTTTCACCTCTGCATTGTTGACCCTGTTCACTTTTGACTCCGTAATCTTGTCACTCATCCTCCCCAATAACACAAAGCCAGCGCTGCTTGTATGCTGGATCAGTTGAAATCAGTCTCCGCTCTACCAAGATCGGCATGCAAAAAATTACCTGACTGAAAATATTCCAAAATAGCCTTTCTGAATGGCGAAGTATGTTCTTCAAAGACGAAAAATAGTACAATCCACTAGCCAGAACATCCTCTCAAAGACATTCTATCTGAAGCCTGCACGATTTCTGATCACCTTTCGTTTTCGAGAGGAGTGCACACACCTGACTCCAGCTGCAAGAATACGCGGAGATTGAGAGTTGATTGAAATATTCTTGCTCAAGTCTTAAAAGTTCCCTTTTCCTTGTCACGAGATCGCGTGAATGCCTTCAGTTGAGTCGTAAAATTCGACGTGGATCCTGTGACCGTTCACAGAGAAAATCGCGGCGATTTGTGACTGGTCATCGGGATTCAAACTGGTGCGTGACTTTGTGACTGCTCTTCGGGGATTTGTGACTGTTTGGCTGGTCGCGGGGATCGTGATCGGTCATGGAGACGTGACTGATCACGGAGTCCTACATATATCTCATCAAAGTAGCAAGTTTCTTCTGTAAACTCGTGTTGATTTAAAGATGATGGACAGGTTAGGTACAAGAACAAGTAGTTTTACACAACATACATTTCACCGTATTGCTGGTGATGACTCATCAGGTGTGCTTATTCAACCTCGGATGGTGCGCCAATAGATGTGTTGGAGCTAGTGTCAGACCGGTGTCAGGTCGTTGTATGTCTCAGTACCCCTGTCAGTTGTGTGCCTTGCTGTCTCACTATCTGACTGTATATTGTCTCGCTACCGTGGCGGACTGATAGTCATAACTCGTAACATATTGGCCATTTCTCCTACTTGTGTACATTTCTTTATCTGCTATTTATTCCTTATCTACCTCCTCCAGCTCTCAAGGAGCGAAACAGTTGTATGGAGGATGTGCAACATCTACCCAAGAACAAATTCCCTTGCTATGGTGTTGCTTAGGGGCCCAAGAGTGCAGCGTGTAGTTTTGAAGTGCTTTAACCCTTAGGTGCCGGAAACTACGAAAAATCTGAAATTCAGTCAGGCACCAAAGGGTTAAGGCATGCTCTTCTCGCGGAAATAGTGAACATCAGGCTGTTTACAGGACATAATTATATAAGAGTTCAGCTTACCTGTTGAGCTGAAAATGATGTCTGTGGCGCGACTTCCGCTTTCTTGCTTCCATAGCTCACCCAGTCTGTTCCTGTAAATACATGTGCAGTTAGAAACGTAATATACGACAGAGAAAGGAGAATGAATTTCCATTGACTCTGGTATATGCTGTAGAGTGTATTATTTCATGCACGCAATGCCATATTTGTCTTCCCCGCTCTAGTGCAATCGAGCACAGGTTATCTGATATATTCCCAGTTAGGATCTATGTATTTTCAAGATCTGACAACAAACGTCCCGACCACAGTTGTGCAGTGACAGCATAGCTTTGTGCATGTGTCGCGCACCACAAGTTTTAGGCCCTTTTCCCTATGATACAGAAACTATCCAGGAAATCAGCACAACATGTTGATATCACCCGCAATTTTGACTGTGCCATTGTGTGTGAGTATGCATGCGTGTGTGTCATCCCTGATCTTTCCTTTTAAGCTAAAGAGGAAGTATGGTCTAAAATCAATGTTTCACTACACACTGTACTTGTAGTTTTCGGGGTGCTAGGTCGAATGGTCTTGGTCCGAGGAAGCTGAGACGCTCCCCTCCTGCCACACTCCCTATCGAACTTACACGCTTCCCCGAAAACTAGGTGGTTGCCCCCCCCCCCCTTATATAGGGATTTGTGTGGAACATTTCAAGGAATGTGTCACTTCGTTCTTATAGAAGCACGGATGAACGTGAAATCCAAGAATCTATAGTCTTCTGGATGTCGAGTCGAATGATCTTGGTCCGAGGAGGCTGTGATGCAGCGTTCAACCCTTATTCTCAACGTGGTCGAACACAGTCCCACACACGATCCTTTACCGATGCGTGCACCAGTCACTCGTTCCAGACTGCGATACCAGTGCGGTCAAGAGTACACAGTAGTAACCCCAGAGCTCACGTGGAGCTTGCTGATTTTTCAGTTTGAGCACTCTGGCGAGGTACGTTCGGGCCTGGTTTATATCTGGCTTTGGACATTTTATTTTTTCATTGCCATCAGGTTTGGCCTCATTTTCTCTGTGCTGTGCTGATGAGTCCACAAGGGACGAACAGCATGCTGTCTGCAGATTGAGCATTTTGCTCCTGCTGTTGTCGTAGTCGAGCACTCTCGTGTGGAGTAATACAGTCTATAGTCTGTTTCAAAAAGATTTACAATCAGGTTTGGGTCTTAAAAAGTATGAAGATAAGGGAAATTTGGACAACAAAGTACATAGAATGGCTTGTTAGGACACGGCAAATTGTTCTGTGAAGGTTTCGGAACAATTGGACCAACCGTTAAGGAGTGAGAATTTCGGCCAGGTTTCCGGCCTTTTCCCATGGTTTACAATTTGCCCAGGAAGCCAGTATCGATTTTTTATCAAAACCCACGATTTATCCTTTCCTTTTTGGCCTTGTGGTTATGAATGCTGTCTGCTGACCATGAAGTTGTGAGTTCAAATCCCAACCTATCCTCAAGTCAAACTCTTTTTTCATTGTTTTGGTGATCAAGCTGGTACAAGACAAAGAAGATGGCTGCACCAAACGACTTGTTGTTGGAGGTCGCGCTTCCTGCCGAACTGACTGACACTTGACTGGCTCACGCCATGTGAACACACCCACAACACTGCAATCGTGTGAGTGAATATGGAAGTCATCGCGCTGTAGCTTTTTGAGATTTATTTTTAGTATTTCAAGATCGCCAATTTATTTGAATTTAGCAGTCAACGCCGTCTTCTATCAGCGTTCACAAGCGTCTGTTTTTCTCAAAATGTCGTCGAAGTCACACGGATAGCTTTGCCAAGTCATGGCCTTGGGAATGAGTCCGTGTCGATGTCGTTTTCGTCACACGGTGAGTAAATTGCATCGCAGCTCAAAGAAACTATTCTGGTCACAAAACGGATTGGGACACATGCCGCTCGTCAACATTTACAACACTTTCGTTTCGACATGTCCTCTCTGACTCCATTATTGATACGAGGAAGAACTCGTTTGTTGTAAACCAGACGTACGTCCATGACTGTGTCAACGTGAGTGAGTTGTCATTTTTCCTGCTTTCGCGCGGAATATTTCTTCGAGTTCACAGTGAGTTTTTCCAGGCAGCGCTCGAGTGCTCATACGGTAAGACGCCAAACTCCGCGGGCGATCGCCAGGGTTGTAAATCTTTTTGAAACGGACTGTACAGTCTACAGTCAGTGCACGGAGAACCCCAGTCACAGACCGCTCGGCTTGCACCGTCACGATACAAGGAATGCACTCGTGCCGGAAGTTGCAGGTTGTCGCCTGCGCTGGCGCATGTCATGGTGACCAGGTAACTGGTGTGCGAATCAGTTCGGAAACGAGTATGGGACCGCGTTCGAACGCGTCCGATTGGGAATAAGGGGTAAGCGCTGTATTGCAGCCTCCTTAGACAAAGACCATCCCATTCAGCATCCAGAAGACTACGGGTTCTGGGAGTGTCATATTCATCCATGCTTTTATAAGAACAAAGTGACGCTTTCAGTGACATTTTACACACAAATCCCTATCTAGTAGGGTGCGTACACCCAGTTTCGGGGGAAATGCGTGAGTTCAATTGGGAATATACATGTAGAATTTCACCAATTTTTAAGAATAGCCAGGCTAGAATTTTTAGAACACGGAGGCTCCACTGCAACCAATTCATATCATGATCAGTCACCACATCTACACAAAGGTCGTTGACGCGGCAAATTTCTGCACTCACATCACCATCACCACAGCGAGGACAATTTTAAACGTATTCCCGGACGGTCGCATTCGGGAGGTTCCGTGGAGGTTTGAGACAAGCGGGATAGTTCCTCAACATCAAATGCTAGATCAAAATTTAGCAGCATCGGACGCAGCACAGCCTTGATTGGAGTGAAAGCCCCATGGGCCTCTCGTTGTGTCAAGTGGCTGGTTTGCGGCGGAAGATGCTGACTGAAGGCGCAGGCAACATCAGTGTACGTGTTCAACGGGCATGGCGGCGTGGTGTGGCTCTGTGCGACGGGCTGGCAGGACAGCGATTGCCTCAGGGGCCTCTGGGTCTGCCGCGTTGGCTAGTTCGCTTCGTCGTTCGTTCCCCGTCACGTCACTATGGGACAAGTACAGTCAGCCGCAGTATCTTTGTTTTTGTGGCACATGCAATAACTAACTTTTCTGGTGTTAGACTGACTGCTGTTTTTGCGCCCCTTTTTCACACGTGCTACATGTTCCTGTACCAGCCATGAGCGCGTGTCGTTATCACCTGACCTTGTTTTCACTTTTGTCCCTTTTGTCACTTAGGGTATGCCACGTTTCTGTGCAGAATGAGCGCAATTGCGCCACTTTAGCCCTATAAAGATAGTCTATTCTTATTATTCTTTAATTCAACATCATATGCCTCCACTGATGAGCTCAGGAGGGGCAAAACAGCTGTCTGGAGGGTCATTGTCAATACATGTATCAATTATATACCGGAATTGTCCTCGCTGTGGTGATGGTGATGTGAGTGCAGAAATTTGCAGCGTCAACAGAAATGCTTGATTTTCTTTATTTTTTATACGAAAGTCCACTATATTCCCGAATATGTGCGAGAAGTGGTGGCGGGGCCCGGCTGCTCTGCCGACCTCAAAGGTCTCGGCGTCTACGCAGACAAAGCGCGCCATATGATGTACATGCATACAATACACTGTACACACTACATAGGACAAGTCGAGTATTCAGTAGTTGCCAAACGAGTACTCACTCGTTTCAAATTTCGATATACTCGTTTCACTCCTACTATAATGTACACTCAGACGTATAACTCTGCATAAATGTAAGACTATACCATCGAACAAGAACGAAACGGCTGTGTTTACTAAAAATAAGAACGGGCTAGGCTAGAATCCTGCCCCCCCCCCCCCCCCCCATCCCAGTTCTTCGGCGCCCGACAGTATTGTAGTGAGGTTGACTGCACTGCATACGTAGAATCTACGCGTTTGCATGCTCATGACTCATGAGTCATGACTCATGGTCACTGTTCTAGAGTACGGATCCTGAACTTTTCCGCCAGCGGTCTGGATGCAGCGTCTGAGTCGAGACTCGTAGTAGCATCGATCATCGCGCCTGCACAAAAAACCTGAAAAAGTCGGTACATGTAGCTGCATTCGATCTGCGGAACTTGCCCCCCCCCCCCCCTGGGTATGGGCCTGTGTGTCCAAAGTAATGTCCTCCACCAGGATTTCTTTGTCGAATAAAACATTACAGTGGACTAATTGGAAAATCGTACCCAATGTTCTAAACAACAGAAATAGTAAAAATAATAACTAACTGCCTTGAAAGACCACTTTTCGCTCACGAAACTGTCTTTTTGTACTTGGTCCGCGTCATCAATATTGTCGCTTATCTTTTGACAATTTGAACTTAGACTTTGGACAACAATGCGTGCACTTGAGGTGATAAAACCTGGTACGATGGAAGGTAAGGTATAGAATGACAACTAGCCATGAGGACTTTATTGTCCGAGGAAGGGTTCATACTTTTTTTGGTTCTCCTCGTCGTTGTTCTCGGTGCTGATGATATATATGTTTGCTCGGGATTGACTCTCTCGCTTTCGCAAGCTCATCTCTCTTCCTCTCTGCTGCCTGGCTATTTTCTAAAGGGAAGTCGATCGTGATGGTCGCCTTCTCGACGGGACTTCGTGTGGGCAGCACAACTAGCTGTGTGGTTCAAATTAGTCTCCGTTCTTTGCAAGAATATATTTTTGAAGGACGACGCGTACAGTACTTGTAAATCTCCACTCCGTGCGTTGAGCTGGAGGTGAGTGAACTGCGATTTCAACTTGGCGAGCAATCCCCGGTAAGCGATTTCGGCCATTTTGCAAAATGGAACTGATTCCGAGTAGCCAATTACTTTCTTGTGCGCCACGCTGCTCTTTCCTGTGCAGAGTGATTTGAGGTTCTATTTTGATGCGGCTTGGTATCAATCAGAATCACCCACCCGTCGCTCTTGAAATCCACTCGAAATCTAGCTAGACCTTTCTGGTGCTAGTAAACTAACTTACTAACCAAAAGTGGGATGAAATGGGCTGCCAAGTGAGCATTGGCGACATAAAAACCAAGCTGAAAGATAAGCGACAATATTGGTGACGCGGACCAAGTAAGATAAATGGATGGGCTCCGAATATGAGTTTTATATAGCAAAGGGCAAAGAAGGTGTCTTACCAAAAGTATTTTGAGTAACAATGTTGCCACTTGGACTGCTGCGTACATCGTGCACACGTGGCTTACGTTGCTGTAAGCTGCTGGGAAACACCCGTGTCTTGTGTCCGGCTCCGTTGCGTATTTCAAACATGCCTTGCGCAACCTCCCTCAGGACTTTGACCTCATCTCCTTTCGTTGCCAATACTTCACCATCATCACCCATGATTTCTTCAGTGGCAATCACACTGTCAGAGAACTGTATAACTCGTTGTTCTGCTGCTCTATAGCCGGCACCATCTGCACAGGAGAAAATCATAATGTTATATTGTACAAGTCAGTACGGAGTTTGGGCTCCATATCGTCTCCAGACAGTGCTACATTCGCAGGGGGCGGCAATGTTTTATTTGATACGAGTACTACGAGTACATGGATTTTCTGAGGGTGTGTTTGTTTAACAGTGACGGTAGCTCTGACTGTGCAATTGCATATGGAAATACAGTAGGTATCGGTTATAGCATGGTGTTTGAAAAACGGCTTTCTATTCTTATTTCGATATTTCTTACACGCGATAAATATAGTGTGACGTATCATATGCATGTGCGCATAGCCAGGAAGATCATCATACATGCAACGTAGTGTTGCTGTGTATGCAGTTGCTCGTACTTCCAAAGTAGTCCCATACTGGGCCATAGCCTGCATAGGTTCACCATGTGGCTGAGCAACATGAGTTACATGACCACAACAGACGCACTTGCAGCATTATGATGCAATTCGAGTCGGTTCAGAACTGTATCGGGCAGATGTTATTACTACAGGCGATACACTTTGTACTAATCTGGCATGTTTTGCTACACAAAGTCCATTCTTAGGACCGATATAATCTATTACACGATAACATTGCTTGTAAGAATAAATATACACATGAAAAACCCATGTAATGATTATGAAAATATGAGTGTTCATTCTTGTAGGCAGTATATTCTTTTACACGCAGTGGAGGGTTTGGGGGGGGGGGCGGGCCCCCCCCACCCCCCCCCCCCCCCAAAAGTTTCGACCTAGGTTTCGAAAAATAAAAGGCAGGGCGCCGGGGCTAGCTAGGCTTTTGTAGGCTAGGCTCGGGGCGCACGCGGCTTGAAACGATCGTCCAAAAGCGGTCGCACGGTACGGTGCTCGAGCTGGTGTTGATTGTACACACTACAGACTAGTACAGTCTACAGATAACAGTGAGCATGCACGGCTACAGAAACACGGTGACCTGACTGTGTACACTGTACTGCTGTACACGCATCGTCGTTCGAATCGTGTTTTGGTTGACTCGGACTTTTCTTCGATGTCTCAGCGACATCCCGAAAGGCCAAGCTCTAGCCAGCAGAGCCTGGATTTTTTGTAAAGCGTTCCTGTGGCGGCGCAACTCCTGCTGCCGCTCCAACAGGAAACAGTGGGAGTGATGAAGTCGCTGTTATTTCAGTTGAACTTTCGGAGCGGACTGACAGTCACACTCTGCCAGACGTGGAAGCACCTGTTGTCAGCGAGCAGCCAGAACATGAAGTACAGCCCACAGTGACAAATGGACATAGTACCGCTGCCTATGTAAAGGATGCTTTGAGCGGTGAGAAATTGTTGCACTCGCATAAATTGCAGTTGATTCGCTCACATAACGGCAAGTTTGAAGTTTATAATGTACAATGTTGCTGCGTGTACAGAAATACTGCTCGTGGTATGTGAGATTTATGGCTTCTTGACATCGGTTTTCAAAATGGCTGACCTGGGACAGTAGCATGATGTCATCTACCCCCACCCCATCCCGGCCGCAACCCCCCCCCCCCCCCCCCCCCCCCCTCAGCCAAATCCTAGACACGCCACTGACACGACCACACTATCACCGATACGCACTGTACTTCTTGCATTGAATGGAGTGCACAGATTGAGAGGGGGGGGATTCTGAGAGAGGAATCACCGACCACGTTACACATCTCACAACACTCGAACAAGATCCACAAGGGCGCCGACAACTTGTAGTTTTGTTCCTAAACCCCAAGAGAGTGGTGATGCTCTCTTGTATACCAGGCCATGTTGCAAACTACTGCCCCAGACTGTAACTTCTCTGAGCTTCCACACTTGACTTCCCGACTATACCATAGATGAAAGCAGAGTCAAAAGGCAAGTGTTGTACATGTGGCTGCGTGTGTAGCTCTTTGTCGTACATGCTGCTGCGCTTGTGTCTCTTTGTCGTACATGTTGCTGACCCGTGGTGCATGCTGCTGCGCTGCTTTATTGTACTGCTGACACGTGCATATTTTTGTGCTGATGAGTACACCATTTTTGTGCTGATGAGGGCAACAATTTCCTAATATGTTTCCTTTGTTAGTTGTCAGCTGTCAGTTCTCCCGTCAGCTCACGAAGTGTGGTAATGAAAAGCTCTCTCTCTCTCTCTCTCTCTCTCTCTCTCTCTCTCTCTCTCTCTCTCTCGAAAGAGAGAACAACTACTTTCCTAGACCCGGGGGGCCTTTGTTTGTGTGGCGGGACGAAAGCGGAGAGGTAGTTCGTCTCTCGCGCGACGACACAAGTGCTGCAGTGGCAAATGGTGAATAAGAAAGGCGGTTTACACGTTCTCACTTCTCAGGTGTTCTTGGATACATCGGAAGAAAGATGTTCAGTTAACGTAAGCGTTAACCGTTGTTAACAGTCACGTACCATTGCCTCTGCTACTGGATCTTTATGACGGGTCGCATGACCCTCTTTAAGTGTGTGCACGATCTTGCTCTCTCCACATACTGCTGTGTATCATAGACATCACATGCTCGCACGCTCTGCGCATGCTCAGATTTCCCTTGCGCACAACAGAACTTGCTGTCTTTTCCACTTTAGTTACCTGCAGACAGCTTTCATATTCTGACCCATCCTCCTCATCCCATTTATTACTCGCACCGTCAGGCGAAATAGCACGTCATAGTACATTCGAGATCAGCGGGAAGAAGGTGACGACGTCCACTAATTTAGTATCTGTGCACACGAATCTGCTGTGTGTGTGTTACTCTGTGTGTCAGCTATGGCATCATCGCCTGTGGTTCCATGCCTAGCATGTACGTTTGAACCATCCTGCAAAGGTTGAATGACGTAGGTTGAGCGATCGCTCCGCGAAACATACTTTTCGAAATTCTCTTCATAGTATATCTTCCACCATTGAAATTTCGAATTTCTTCGAATTTTTTGCTGAGAGGGGTGGCTTGCAACCTCGATATGGCTTGTTCCAGGCATGCTTTGGAGCCATCGCCTGTTGAAGTAGTGGCGGGGATCTGCCCTGCAACTGCTTCAACAAAAATGATTCGATCTGAGAAAGGGTGAGACCGCGAATCTCGGTTGAATATTGAGTATTTCAAGCCTTTTCACGACGAAGATGGAGTTCTTTTTGGAGATGGACGTCGCGGCAAAGGACATGGTGTCCGACTTCTGGCGTCTGGTGAAGCCAGGGATCATTTGTCCAGTCCGGTCGGCAGCCTAATCGTCGGTAAGTTTGTGTTTGGATCCCGTTCTGCTCGATGTGGTAGATCACAAACAATTTGATATCGCACAAATTGATCTCAGCATAGTGCGTACGGTATTTCATATTCAGAAAATCCCAAAGTGTCTCTGTGTGGCCGTCCTATGCCACGAGAAACTCAAATCAGGCTCCTATGTCCTCTGCCTTCATGATTGAACGTCCACTTCGTTTGAACAACGAACACAACAATCGAGGACGGCTTTGCAATGAAAAATACAGCTATACTGGAGCTGAAAAAAAGAAGAAAAAAACGTGCTCAGGATGAGACTCGAGTACACGCATACTCTCCCAGCAGGTGAAACGCAAATTTTTGTGAAAAATGCGTGTCGCCGACTGACCAGTAATTTCGCCTGACGACTATACTCAACATCACCTAATTCTCATGCAGTATCCCACGATCACGTATTTGAAACAGATGCAGGAACTCCTCCGTAACTGGCCTCCCGCGCACTACTATTAAACACGCATGGGTATAAACCACTCCTGCTTAACGCAGGCCAACCCACTAATTCACATGGGTCACAAACCGCTGCTGCTCAACGCAGGCCCACCCACTTGGTCATGTAAAGCTTCTTCCCTCGGTACGCTGACCTCACGATTTGTGAACGCATGCTCAATCGAGGCCAGCTACTCTGCCCGACATTCCCATTACTCCAAACACACTCTCTTGTCTCCTGGTGTGTCGCGTCCTGCATGCGTGTATGTCTGCTCTGTACTCTAGCATGAGGAGTAAGATGTTAACTCCTATTTGGAGGGCTTATCGATGTATGTTATTTGACCATGATGAGGAGTGTAGCGTTGTCCATAGTAATGACCAGGCAGGCCAAGCTGCTCACAACTCAGAATCATGATAATATCTACGGTGGAGAACTGTGATTCCAAGTCTACTGGCATTTGCGACCTCGTTATGCTGACGTGCTTCTGTATCGTGTTCTCACAAATGAGAGGAATGTAGTGTTGTAGAACGATATTTTGTGTACGTCGTGTGTACGTCATGTTGATGCATGCGCGTGTTGCTGTGGTGTGAAATGCTGTCTTCGTCTTGAGTTCATGATATCTTCGTCTTGAGTTCATCATGTCTAGTTGTGTTTCCGTCGTCGTCTTGTAATACACAGTCTTCCTAAATCTAGTTATCGTCGTCCCTTTGTACAAGTGTGGAGATGGCACGGGACTGAGAGCAGGTAGAGAAAGGCAGTTACAACATTGGTGGCAGCGGTGATAGAAATTTGTTGTCAACTTCTGGATTCGTCCTGCGTGGCCTTCGCTCCCAGTTTCCGATGTCATCTCCAGTTGTCCTACCGTCACAGTTTCGTCCGTCTTCAAGAAGTTCGTCCGTCGTCCTCGTCCTTCATCATTCGTCTCTCCCGTCTCTTGTCAGTCGTCGTCACTGGTGGTCCCGGACACGACGTAAAACTGTGCCCAGAAGTGGTCCCGGACACGACGTAAAACTGTGCCCAGAAGTGGTCCCGGACACGACGTAAAACTGTGCCCAGAAGAAAAGGAAAAGAAAAAGAAGAATGGATGGTCCCGGACACGACGTAAAACTGTGCCCAGAAGAAAAGCTAAAAAAAAAGAAGAAGGACGGATGGTCCCGGACACGACGTAAAACTGTGCCCAGAAGTGAGGATGTCGACGCTGAGCAGCGCTCCTGGAGAGGGTGGACGACATGGCAGACGGCGTGAGGAGTTCCGTTGGTGAGAGGGTACGTGTGTTGTTGTGAACGTGATGAGTATGTGAGTTTTGTATTTTCTGTTCTCCCGAACATTTTCTTCTTTATTATTTGCTCTCCTCGAGGGTAAAGAGGCGCCCGCACAGCGCGTGTGTTCTGTTCTTTTTTTGATTTGCTCTTCTATGAGGATAACTAGAGGCCCCCACAGAGCCAGTGGATTCTGTTCTTTTTGTTATTCTTATGATTCGTGCTCTCACATTTTAGAATTTTTGCGTGATCGTGAGGTGGTGTGTTGAGTGAAGCATTAGTTAGAGTTTTGAGGTTATCAGTTCCCACACGTGTGACAGCGAACGTGGCTGGTGTTCTAGGTGGGCGGACAGAGTTTTTTTTTAATAATCTGCAGTGCAGGCAGAGGTATTTTATTTCTGGGTGTGACTGGTATGGTATGATTGAGTGATTTGTGTGATCTTTTCCTCTTTTTCCTCTGTTTTAGTATTAGAATCGAGGACGATTCTACTCTTGGGAGGGAGATATGTTGTAGTACGATATTTTGTGTACGCCGTGTGTACGTCATGTTTGGTGCATGCGCGTGTTGCTGTGGTGTGAAAAGCTGTCTTCGTCTTGAGTTCATGATGTCTTCGTCTCGAGTTTGTCATGTCTAGTTGTGTTTCCGTCGTCGTCTTGTAATAAACAGTCTTCCTAAATGTAGTTATCGTCGTCCCTTTGTATAAGTGTGGAGATGGCACGGGACTGGGAACAGGTAGAGAAAGCCAGTTACAACAGTAGCACTACAGTCGACCTACCCTTATAACGATAACCTCTATAACGATATTACCCTTATAACGATATTATTCTGCCAAACCAAATCACTCCATTGACTTGTGTATACAATGCCTTACCCTTATAACAATATTGCTATAACGATATTACCCCTATAACGATATAAAATGGGCTGACCAATCGACATTTTCCATTTTATAACAATATCTAGCAGGGAATATAGAGCCCACTATCCAGGTAGGGCAAGCTTCACTTGATAAGGCGCTAGGACTTGACGAAATACAAAGGGGGCACCTTGCTGTGCATATAATGCGCATGTACGTCAGTTTTTTATGCTATGAAGAGTGTAAAAATGAACAAAATCCATGCATTATGACGTACATGTATGAAATGAACCAGTTACCCTTATAACAATATTACCCTTATAACAATATTTCTTGGTCTGACGCAAATATCGTTATAAGGGTAGGTCGACTGTACTTCAATGAAATTGAACACCTGGATATAATCGCTATAACCGGCAACTCGATCGTTAACAAATACAGGCAATCGATAGCCAATTTTCAGTTATCGTGTTACCCCTTCTCAAAGCTGACATATTTCAACGTGTCATGATTCAGCTTTGAACACCAGATAATAAAGTTAACAACCTTGAGCGAGAGAGAAAGTGACTCGCACCAAAATTTTCTTGCACTGATCCAATGTGCGTTGTCCAAGCGCATGCACACAGTTGAGCCATCACGGCCGTTGTGGTGCGCTGTTGAATTCGCAAAGTACTAGTTATGCGACCTATCACATGCTACTGTACGCAACGTTCATTAGACCATCGCAGTGTAAAGGAGGCGAAATCGCCTGTTTGTGGTGCGACGTTAAAGAAACTTCTACAACAACAAGTGTAAACTGCACCGACGTGTTTTGGGCAAATCGAGTGTCTGAAATGCGGCTCATAATCCGGAAAATACGGTACGTGAAAGAATACCGTACATCTCCAAGATATGCACTGTGATTTGCTGCCAAAGGCTCAACGACTTCCACCCTCCCTCCTATTACTTTCGGGCAATTGGACCTGTGCACGGGTGAGCTGAATATCAGAAGAACTTACGCGCTTTTTGATGCTGGTAAGATAAGCGTGCAGGCGTCCACAATATATTTTGATGGCCATGTGCCAAATTGGGGGATAGTGTGATCTCATTGGCTCCTGCAGATAGCCTGGGCGACGGAATAGTGTAAGGCTGGGATAGACTTCGCAGTGGAATTGAAGCTTGATGTGCACCCTGGCCAGTGGAAAGTGTCAAGGTGAATCCATTTGCAATGTTCCTGTCACATGTAGGCATTGTCACTTGGAGACCAGCTGCAATGTATGTGGCAGTACAATTACCAACTACAACAGACAATCAGCAACACAACAATTACCATAATTTCAACAATAGCATATTCGATAGGGAAAAGGCTTTGCCGCTACTCCAAAAAAACATTCAACCCAGCACCAACAGAGCTCCAGGTTCTGAAACATTCATGCATGCAATACATGTACTGTCCATCTCATACGTCAACTAACGCCTAATGTGTACGCCCTTATATCTTTCTTATCCGGATCTCGCTAAATTATAGACACCTCTGCCAGATATTGGGCACTTCCCCATCAAAATATACGTGATCAACGGAATCGACTGTAATGTGTTCCAGTATCTTCGGCGACCTACAAACTCCAAACATACAGCGAAGAACATTTTCCTCTCATGCACGAGGACATGTCCCCCTCACACTCTTCATAAACAAACTCCCCTCTAGCAAGTTGCAGACAGTGCTTAGCACATGGTGGAGGTTCATTTTTTCAATATTTTGGGCATCACTTACGTTGCATGAAGATGATGCTGCTTGATGCAATACCTCTATGAGCAGCTTTGACAACGAGGTTGTATGTTGCGCCCGGCTCCAAATTGTCAATCTGAAGACTCCGGCTCTTGACATACATGTTAACCTCTCTTTCCGTTCCAGGAATCGGCTGCAGACTTTCATTGATCTTGGATATCAGCACCACCCAGTAGTTTGTTCCAGGACTGTACTGCGCTGAGTTGGAAAGACGGATGTTGCTGGACGTTGCCGATGTTTGCTTGAATGAGATAGCACCAATGTCTGGTATCAAGGTGAGCAGATGCAAAGCATACAAAAACAAATAGGTTCAGAATGTGAGCATGGCAGTAGAGTTATTTTATATTTAAACAATATGCCACATTTGCACTCATTCGTTTGAGGCAACTGAAGGGGGGGGGGGACTGAAGAACAAAAGGTTGTTGGAGGGTCTGATCTACTGACCTCCCACCACTTTAGGAGCTGCACCTGTGTCTTGATCCTTGAGGGTGATGACGTTCCTACGGATGTGGAAAATTCGGTCTAACTGGGGCTCCACACAAGCCGTGAATATGTTGTGTTGCACGAAGCAGACAGGCGTAGTGGGATGGTGTGAGACCGTGATTGAGAAACAGGGCATGCCAGATTCAAGACTTGCTTGGAAGAGGAATGGTGTTTTCAGCCATACCCACAGTTAATTTGGAAACTCGTGGCATGGCATGAGGGAAACATGGATGCAGCGAGTGGCATTTTCGGTCTTTGACCACTTGGTGGTGGGTCTGATCTACTCACCTCCCACCGCTTTATGAGCTGCATCTGCGCCTTGATGTTTGAGGATGATGGCGTTCCTACGGATATGCAAAACCCAGTCTTATAGGGGATTCACACACACGGGTAAAACCACGGTTATGGGAAAGTTGTTTTGGAGACTATGGTACTGGGGGAAAGGAAGAACCTCTCGGGAAAACACTGGCAAAGCCGTGGCCGTGGGCCTCCGGGCGTTTGTCAAGGGAAAAATCCCATGGCTTTTTAAGACGCGCATGCGTAGATCTTTTCTTTGGCGAGAACTCTGAACCCTAGTTGTACGAGTGCATCACAACCTGCATTTTCAGACAGTGCCCATCGGGAAATCGTGCATGGCGAATGCAAATAAGTACAGAATGTACTACAAAAATGCAGTACAGATACTTTTTTTTAATTGCCCCGCCACACGTTCATGGCCAAACATGCGGCCAAGGGAAAACTGACCATGGGTGCGAACGGCCCCACTCCGTTGACCGAAGGTCTGAACTTTTACCTTGTCCCGTGACCTCGGGTTTCCCCGTGAGTGTGAATCCCCTATAAGTGAGTATGACGCAAACCGTGAACTTTTTCGTTGTACAAAAATGTAACTGATGTAGTCTTGCCGAGAGAAATAACTGCTGCTGCTCCAGTGTTCCCCAGGGTTTTATTCCAGCTAAGTTAACTGCGAGCTATCGACCTCTGAAGCACACTTTGAAATTTGCACAGTATTGCTCCTGTAGCAAACTGCAGACAAACTGGCGTAGAATGTTGTGGTCATTTCAACTCAAGTCTCAGATAGTTTCATCGCATGTTCAGTTTTCTTTGACGCAAAATGATTCTCTGTTATTGTAAGGGCTGGGTTCCACTGCGGCTCCGCGGTTCCGCAACACTTGGCTACATGCAGTGTTGCAGCGCTGTTCCACTGGCACTCGCCATTCGCCGTACCGTGGTCGTGCTCGACGGTTTTTATGGTGTTTTACCTGCCTGCGCGCGCGTGCACGAAATCAAAAAAACCTCATGTTCTGGCCTGTGCAACAAATTAAATTTGAACTTTAAAATTCTCGCATATAAAACAATGCAAAGTACGGGAAACAGGCAGAGCCGCGATCGCGGAGAGCAGTTTTTGATCAAGGTCCGAAGCGAAAGCTAGTGATAAGCCGTGACCTCGTTGCACCAGCTCGAGCCGCGGTCACTATGGTAATGATGACGTTCGATGCCGCAGATGACGAGCAGCGGAGCAGCGGAGCCGCCGTGGAACCCGGCCCTCAGAGCAGAGTGCTTGGCATGGTATTATCACCGTGTCTACATAATTTATAGAAAGTAGCCATTCCAAGTACATTATGCTTACCTTTTGTCACACTGCTGTGGGTGTATTGCTTGCGCACTTCAGTCACACACGGAGGCCCTGCAGCAGAAAGTTCCACATCGTATTTCTTGCCTTTCACTAGCTCCTCTATGATAATATACTGCTCTTGAACTTTGGCCACTTTCAGGGTTGTCTGTCCGGCTCCTCCAGCCTCACTCCAACGGACATGCCACTGAGTTACCAGATTGTGATCAGAAACTGGCAATGTCACGGTTGCCTTATCTGCAGAATGATACTCAACGATGAGCTCACCAACTGAAGGGAAGAAGGCAGAACACATATACAACGCTGTCTGAAATACGATTCTTCAGGTTTTTCCTGCTATCAAACTTAGTACAAGCGGGGCATATGTTATGGAGTATACCTAAGCTTATCATTGCCATTGTACCATCCCGCTGAGACTTCAGCATTTTAAGATACTCGTCACTTTGCATTCCCAGCAGGCACTCCATAGTTGTTTTCCTTGCCTTCTCCGCTACGTTCAGAACATGATGTCATCCGGCTAGCTCTGTTGGTAGAGCATGAGACATGGGTTCCAGCTCCGCATTGGGCGCCAAAATGTCTTCAGGCATTTTAATTGAGTTACTATCATTAGCTCCTGACGATAGGGCTCTTCCGCTGCTCTCCAGCCCCCCCCCCCCCCCCTCCAACGCACACAGGGCAACACTTTTTGAAGTGGTATGAAAAGAGAGTTCAGGAAGAAGCCCTTGCAAGAATGACAACATGAATATATCATATACATGTACAAGCCCGTGTGCAGTGGTGCAACCCACGCGCAGTCTACTTTCAGTGTCGCAAGCAGCGGCAGACCTCGCACGCACAGCAAAGACAAAAGGGGCGCTCAGACCATGTAGGGGTCAAAAAGGCAAGAAGAGGCAAGAATGAGTTTAGTTGATAGGTTTTTTATTCCATCATAGGTACGCAAGAGAAAACTAATGTCACAAGAGTAATATTTGCGCAGGGCTAAATGTGAAATTGCTCTCGCAGCTTCAGGTCAAACATAGAGACATCACATATAAGCAGGCATCTGGGTTGGAGTTTACGCCCTGCGTATGTTTTAGTGTTGAAGCGAGCGTATCTATGTCAAACGAGCTATCAGTTCCACTAGCGAGCAAGCTATCGAGCGAGCTAACGAGTTTCATCGATGTGGCAAAATATGATTTTTTAAATATTTTTTTAAGTTGGATTTTTTCAGCTGGTTCAAATTATCACCGCCGGCATTTGGGGTTGCTGCTGCTTCACTTCGGACTGCTGTTTGGTGTCGAGATATTTTTCAGCGCCGTCGTTGAGCAGCCTTTGAGTAACTAAACATCGTTTTCAAAGATTGCAAGCCCTGTTCTTCGCTGCATTGCGGGAGAAACCTTCCAAACGACTGAGCGTAACTTTCACTCGAATGGAGAGTTGACTGAAGCATATCCTGCGACACGTCAGCAGATGCGGAACAAGACATCAGTGGAGTCCACCAAAGCTGCAACGACAACTGAAACAACTCAAGTGTCGTGCAGGTATACAGTCACTGTAACTGCGAGTGATTTTCACTTTGCCTGGGACTGGACTCTCGATTGACCAGAGAGTCGTAAAATATTCTACGACTCCCCGGTCGACATATATTGCCATGTGTACGGAGTACGGTGTGCGGTGTTCGTTAGTGCCAACGAGCTGGCCGCACAAACGAGCCGAGTTTCTGGCGAGCGAGATAACGAGTACCCGGTGAGATCGTTTCAACACTAGTACATGTATGTTTCAAGTCCAGATTTATATGCCGAGATGGCTGGAATGAGGATGTCTAGGTTTGAGGCACATACAAAGATAATACATGGAGATCTAGAATGTGTCACTAAAATGTCGAACAAGGGTGCCCAAAAACTGCCAAATTACATGTTTAATTATGGGAATTTCCCTGTTCTTATTTCCCATGATTTCTTGGCGTGAACTTTTAAGGGCATCTTCGATATGAATAATGGAAGTATGGTGCCTCATTCTTCACATTGCGCTTCCTGAACCAAAACCTCACTAATTTCAACCAATTCTGAACTGGGTCAGGGGGGGGGGGGGGGGTTAACTCCTTTTCAAGATACGCACACCATTAGCTGTAAATTCCTGACTGGTGTGTTGTGTGTTACGGCCTTCACTTCAAGTCTGGCAGTGATTCGTTTTACTACATTCCTGTATGCTCTACTTCAAACTACTTTCCATTTGTGATTACACTTCTCGTACTGAGGCGTGTAGCCAGGCTGTCAAAAGGGCAGTCAAATTTAAAAGGCATACCATATACATGAAATAAAATACAACATGTGCAGGCAAGTAGGCTAAACAAGATTTTTCCCGATTTTTCAAGGCTTTGGCGGAAAGAGGGGAGGGGGACTAGGCCGCACCCTCCCCGCTACGAGCCGCATGTGCCTGGTATTACTGCTTCCCTGTTTACCAGTGTATAGTTTCTTTTTAAACGCTTGCTACAGGCGAGTAGTGGCGGCGCGTGCAAACGTTGATTGCACTTGATTTGGTCATCAACACCCTCAACAGCAGAAGCAGCAGCGGCGGCGGCGGCAGTGGCGACGGCAGGGGCAGCAGCAACACTATCACATAACGCGAAGTCTGTTTGGTGTCAAAGATCAAGAAAAGGGCATAGAGTGCCTGATATCTCCTACGATGTCAACAAGTTCAACAATACAATACAAAACCATGACCACTCCAATTACACATGCTATCTAACCAAGCGTAATTTCCTCCGCGTACAATTCGGGCACAGGGATAGCCATTACCTTTGCAGAATACTTGACGAAGCTCGGCCACAACAGAGTTGTCACTTCCGAGGATTTCCACAATGATCTGATAGGATTTACCAACTTCGAGCTCATCACATGTCACTTCTTTACGTGTCGCTCTGAACTGTTCTGACCAAACTGGTGTTGTTCCAATGCTATCATCAAGCGTGTAGCATGACACCTTGTACTTCTTGACTCTCTTTTTGTCCACTGCGGGCAAGTGAAATTTGGTTGATGTTTTAGAGGGATGGCTGATGGCAATCTCTCCAACTACCAGGACAAAACACAAAATGCACAACATAATAATTATAATGCCATTGCTTTTCAAAGCGGACACAACAAAGGGAATAGGGGAGAGAACCACACACAGAATACAAACCCATACACAAGGCCAAAACAAAAAATAGGCTTGTTTCAGGTCGGCAACCCCTCACAAAGGAGACTTGGTTGGCCGACATAACACTTTTTTGCGTAATTTGTTCGGTTCATCAATTGTTGCGTTATTGATGGACAAGAGCAATTTACAATTATATGTGTACGTGTACAGGCCTTTCCACTCAGCACAATCTAGACGAGCTCTCCATGATGGCCCCAGGATCGAGCAGCTTGGAGACGGTTTACTCACGCGACGTAGCGCGCGTGGGGGTGCCAACAATCTTTAGCCGAGGAACACCAGCGGAACCAGGTGTTGTACAGAAACATTATACCTATTGTGTCAATGCATATTGTACGCGATCTATCACATATTTTTTCCGAGATAATTATTTTATTTTATTGTACGTGTACATGCCGTATTTCCGCGAATATAAAGCCATGGCGTTATATCCGAATATAAGGCCACCCTCACTTATAAAGCCATGGCGTTATAAGTGAACAAAATTCAATGTGGAGGAAGTTGCATCAGGCTTTTTAAAGGTGAGTTCAATTCTTTCAGTGAACCTACAGTAGCGGTGATTCTCTCTGCATGTACCCATCCCCACTGTCACATGCCATACCGCCACCGCACCTTCACACAAGTTTGTATGCCACCTTGTACACAATAGGTTCACAATTTGAAATTTTCAGGGAAAATTGAAAGTACATGGATGCTCGACATAAACGTGCAACGGCACCGTACGAGTACTCGAAGTTCATACTCTGCCGATTTTTTGCATGTACGCGTCTCTCACTTTTAGCGCTATGACGTTAAAACTGAGGCTATTTTCTCCAAAAATTTGGTCCAAACGTGACAGCGATGTTTCACCTACAACGCCATGGCTTTACATGCGAGGAAATGCGGTATACATCGTGTACTTGTACTTGTACATGTATCATGGTATCGAACAGCTGACAGACTGTTCTTGCACGGCCTGTCGTGTATTCCTGTCGTCCTAGATCCTGATAGTGAAAGCTACTGGATGCATGCACGGCACAGTGCAAATGACCGGTTTCGCCAGCTACTAGTACTACTACCGTAAAGTACCGCAAGAGCACCCCACCATCTCATCCACTCATGGCCGTGTTGTGGAGGTGATGTCCTGTCTGTAGGTCAGACGACGCTTACCTTGTACACACATTGCACGTTGTGCAGTCAATCCGTACTCAATTTACCTTCAAGCAGATGCGAGCTCCGCACAAGAGCGTGCGAAGTGTGACCTTAGTCCACTAAAGCCTAGTTCACATTCGACGGGCGCAACAGGACGCGACGTAAGGATCGACTCTAAGCAACGGGACTGTCTGACGGCGTCCAATGTGAGCACCAGGAACGGGAACGCAACCGTACTACCGTACCGATCGGGAAGCGAGAGGAAGAGTGATCAGTTCCACTTTTCATACCGTAGACGGGGACGCAAGCGTACAAAACGGCTGCATTTTGAGTGTGAACAGGAGACGGCGGCGTGCGCCGACTACTCCCAATTCGTGCTTGGAAATGTTTAGCACTTAACACTGCGCTTCACATGATAACTCACAGAATGGCTACCACACCTTGGGTTGAATTTTGGCAAGATAAGATCTGATGGTACTTATGGCATTTTAGGACAGTTCAGGGGCATGACAGACGAACTGTTGTATTATTTCCTGAGGCTACGATTTGAATAGCACAACCTTCAGGGATACTTTTTGCTCTTCATGGAAAACTGGTATTGTGAACTTGATTCCGCTGCATTCAAGGTGAAATCATTTTAAAAAGAAGTCCGATGAACAAGAAATTAGGTCCGAAAGTCACCCCGTCACGGACCGTGCGCTATGACTCGCGCCGTTCGCTGTTGAACAACACAACGACTGCAGCATGACGTGTCGTACGAAGCGTACAAGATGTTACAGCTCACCCCAGCCCTTACGTCCCGTACCGTCAGCGTTGCATCGAATGTGAACTAGGCTTAAAGTTCTCACACCGTACAAACTTAGTATCACTCTGCCATGCGATTTCCCTTCCCTTGGCTGTAAAATCAAGGTGGGGCGCTCTCGCGGTATTTCATAGTACAGTGTATACTGTGGATGCATGCATGCACCTTCTGTGTACATTTGGGACCAGGCCATGCGATAAGAAATCATGGATGTTCGGACATAATGTCCTGACACTTCTTCAATTGTTCGGACATGCCCGAACATACCAGTTTGCCACACATGTCTTTAAAAGCTAACGTTTTCAAATTTCTCGACCCAACGATGCACTGTTGTGGGCATGGAAATCCAGTCGAATGACCGGGGCCGGCGCCCTCAGCACGTACAGAACGTTGCAGGCAGTGCACGTGTTGATCCGATGCGACCAGCGCACTGCAGCGCATACTAGTAGTGTCTGCTCTTACCGCTTACTCCCGCCGCCACGGCTGCATGGCCAGCGCCCTGGGGCCGCTAGACGTGCGACCGGATTTCCTCGTCCAAGACAGTAGGACTCTGAGAAATGTTTGGAAAAATAAATTCCTCAGCGAACCGTACACAAATCTTGCATCTGCAATTGTAAAAGCACTTCACCACTGGGCGATCGTCTTTGCATCTCTCATATCCAATCCAAAAAATTCACGGTTCGCGTAAGACTCGGTTTATCTATATAGAGCCCAATCAAATGGATGTCAAAATGTCCTTGTCGCGCTCAGCAGTCCACTTGTCACAAGTGGCCACACACACAGCGTGGAACTTCTTGCCAAGAGGAGCGCCATCGTGGCCACCTTTTCTCTTGCCTAAACTCGCCATTTCTGATTGCAGCACAAGCGCGTGCACCACAACTGTACAAGGAATCGGTTTTTATAAGGCTGAAACGATCGTGGATTTTCATTTTATGATTGTTTTTTGCCTCGGAATCATCGGACGTGACGCTTTGTCTGTCGCACGGTTATTTCGCCCGGTCAACGGCCGACAACGATCGGAATATGTCTGATGTCCGACCATTCTTTCATGGACTAGGGACCAAAATTTTGTTCAGAAATTGGGGGGAAATGGCCCGGTCATCCGACCCGAAACAATGTCATTGTCTATTTTGGCCTAATACTGAGTCGGCAAAGATATGCGGATCTGCTAGGGACCTGTATATCTAGCAAAGACCCTAGCTTCTTCAGTCGGAATGGATCCCATTAATTCCACTAGACAGGACCGGTGGAAGCAGTTTTTCATTGGTCCAGCCATACTGTAGCCTCCCATACTTCGTGTATTCTATTGAGGGCACATCAATACACATGACCCCTAGCAGTAAACACACGTTGGTGGCCACAAAGTTGGTCCGGCCATCAGTGGACTGACCAACTGGACCGATTCCGCCGGGCCTGCTAAACATGGGCACGATAAGGGCTGTTGCTCTGATGCCCTGGGAAGAGCCAACTCTTCAAGAATCCTTGGGGATCCTATTTACCACTTCGGCATGGCTTTGCGTTTCACTTTTAAAAAGCCCCTGGCAATTGTTTTTAGCTGCTCACAAGTCGAGCTGCATTTGGAGGCTTTTCATCATGCTGATTGACTCAAATTTGCACATGTTCCCTTGTGGAATTTTCAAGAGTTTGCAGCAATAAATCAGAACTCAACGATCGTGGAACATTAAATCGCCGGAGCAGGACGCAGTGGCACGCATTCGGAGAATACTTCGTACCTCTGCTGCTCTCTATTGCTGGAGACACGGTATCCTGGCCATCACAGCCATTCTCATTCTCTTCCTTTCATGGGAATTTTCCATGAAGCTCAAGATTGTTTAGATAGAGCGACTAGAACCGAAGTTGTGACCCAAGGAAAAAATCAGAATGTTCATAATCAATTTCACTCGGGTACTGAGCCGTGGATAGTTGCTTCATAACTCGTTCCCATGTGATTTCTTCTATTTTTATTATAATTGATTTCGTTCTAGTATAGCGGCCGCTGCAGCACTTCCACCTGTTTTCACATCCGTCTGAACATGGCCTAAGGAAGTTCTTCCAGTTTAATTCATGACTGAGTGTAAAACTTAGTAACCTGCTTTCAAACTTGAGCTAATAGTGAGTTCTCTGCGCTAGAACTTCACACCTGAAAGAATGTAAAACACAATTTTGTACACATGCAGTATTCCTTGCGGTCTGAATAGACGATGCAATCCGGTTCACTTTTACCTTAGCATGCAGCACGCAGTATGGAGTTCTAGTCCCGCTCCATACCCAAATACCTGCCTAAAAACTGGTTATCAGTGAACACTCACTTTGCAAGAAAGTCAAGTCCGTTGGCTTCTGGCTGGATCCAGCCAAGTGCAGTGAGATGTGGTAGGTAGCACCTGGTCGAAGACCAGTTAGCGCATACTGCTGTTCTATTGTTGAAATGGTTTCCTTGGAGTGCAGTTCCAATGGCGCCTTCGAACTTTGGTCCGTCAACTCACCAACCTTTATTTCCCATTCACCACTATTGCGTATCTTAGTCGGCCCGGGCAATATAAGCACAGCACTTGTTGTAGACAGTTGCCTCATGTCCACTGGAGGATCACATAAAAGCAAACATATGCAGGAAGTAGGGGTGAAACGATTACCGATTTTCACTGCACATAATCTTCAATCGCCATATTATGTATCTACTGGCTCATCTGGTGCTCAGAATGGCCATGGAAAACTGATTGCATGTATCCGGCCGTAGAGACGAGAGAAAGATACTCAACCAAATAAGGAATGCCTAACACCATGAGGTGGAGCCTCCCATAGAAATTAATAGAGGAAATACAAGAGATCTGGCAACGAAGGGCACTCCAACTATGCTTGTTCTTGATTGGTAACTTAGGTATAGCGAACGCATAGAAAGACATTGCCATCCACTATCAATGTTCTTTGGATACTAACCTTGTGGCGCGAATATGCCAGTACGGTGCAGTATTTGCTTTGTGCTGAACTGGTTCACACCTCCAACGTTGACTGGGCTTGCAAAACGTCCTGGGTCAGGCAATGCATCCTCTCTTGATAGGCTAGATGATGCCAGTGAAGTTTCAGGTGACGTCATGCCTGTGCCTTCATCCAGCGATGCTGTGGCTAAGCTCTGAGTTATCCGCTCAGGCACATTGATAATTGGTGTTGCTGTCTTTGGTGTTGGTCGATCTCGAGCCACTGGAACAGCAGCGAGGAAGCCAGGATTTACAAAGCCCTGTTTTCCAGTTGGAAGATGTGTGACATACCAACGATCATGGGTGTTTATTTGAAGAAGAACGACCTGATCATTGCAGTTAGCTCTAAGATCCTCACCTGCATCGTCGCCTACCGTGTCTCTGATGACTGTTAGCATAGAGCCGATAACTGGTACAGGCATATTCGGTTCACCTGAGGAATCATAGACACAGTCAAGCATTTGGACAGAGCGGCTCAAAGGCATTGTGTTGTAAGGTTGAGACGAGCTCTTTCTGCCCGCACACGAAAATACATGAAATCAACAAAAAGCATTGGACCACGCAAAACTGTGTGATCAACAACGGAATCCGCAAGCAATAGTTTCGCTGAGCACCCCAGCTGGGGAACTGTCCCATATCAGTACATGTATTCCCTTTTAGGATCTTCTACGGGCCAGCAAAGGTGCATGTATAACACATGTGTGGATAAGCCAAATAGACTGGATGGCTTCCACAATGTACAATTGAAGAGCTTAGATGCAAGACCTGATAATCGCCAAATTGGGCAAGTTGAAATGTTTGTTACGAAATTGGCTTTCACTAAGTTCCGTACCATGGAGTAGTGGTCTACCAGCAAAATCACACTCGGGTAATTGAGGAAGCTGGAGTATTAGCATAACTCAGGCGCGTACGCAGGGTCACCTCTGGGGGGGGGTCCAACCGAATCACAAACAATTTAAAGCCCTAGGAATTTTTTTCGTGTTCCTTGGCTCATAACTTCAGTTCTACTCACTCAATCTTCATAATCTTGGGCTACCTCGAAGTGGAATTGAGAGGTATCCGGGAGAGGAAGAGAATGAGATCAACCATGATAGCAACTCTAGCACTGTACACATTGTACACATTGTACACATTGTACACATTGTACACATTGTACATGTATCCAGTGCTAGAGTGCAGCGATGGTGGGAAAATTGCCCCAAAAGGCCCAAACGCGTCCTGCTCCAGCTATTGTTTTCGTCGATCGCAGAGTTTCGATTTTTTTTCGCTGTGTACTCTTCAGTTTATCACAAGTGAAACCCGTGTGAATTTGAGCAAGTCAGGGTGACAAATAGTCTCAAAATCTCGATACTCAAGTCTCACTGCGTGCTTTCGAAATTGCCGAGATCGCAGCTCAACTTACGAATGATTTATCTCAAGAACCATTGCTCGCAGCGCTTCGCGAATTGTTTCTACCGACAGCTGACAGTTTTCTATTTGACCTGGATATTAGGATCTTTGGATTTGATCGAGATTTGACTGAGCTAAGATCTGTTGAAGTGTTGCATTCTTGTCAAATCGATCGCTCGCCCTACCAAAAAGTGCCCGACACCGTTGCTCGTTTGGAACATTTGGGGGGTTTCCGGGCAACGCCCCCCCCCCCCCCCCACCCTGCGTACGCGCCTGATAACGGAGAGAAATGTGTTATAATCGCCCTAGAACAGCCGAAAATGTCCACCTCTTCCGTGGTATTGGCTGAATTGCTCTCCTTGTTCATTGGGCGCTTTTGATTGCACAATCACACATTCTGTAACCAGGTTTCGAATGAACAGAATGAACGGATTATGGCCATGTAAACGAACGACTACACGTGAAAATCGTAAAAGGGGATCACGTGGGATCCCGTACACCCTTGCGCGCAGCTGCGCACGTGGACCTACCATGGCGTGTACGTCGAGTGCGTCAATTCTGGCGGGAGGATTAGCGCATTTCCGTCCTCTCTTCAGAATTGACGGAATTCACGGAATTGGATTCTGTCGATTCTGACGACGGAATTTGTGTAATCAAATGGTGCATCCACCATAACTAATTCTAGAATTGACCAAAATGTGTGTAATCGAACGCTCCCAATGAGTGCCTTTCAGCTTCTTTCAGCCCACTAAAAGGTTGACTGAATTCCGGCAGACACACTCAACTGCAGCGCCTTTATCATGTAATGCCATGAAACTCTGAGTCACAACGGAATTAATTTGCTCTTGCAGAACCAAAGCATATTGCCTCTGTTGATCATGTAATGTTATTTCATTAAGTTACCCGCACACTAGTCTGTGTGCTATGTGTGCGGGTGCAGTGAGGACTGCATCTCACCAGCCTGTGCAGTTTCACAGGAAAAATGAGTTTCGCAGTCTGAAGAAATGCCGAATAACCGCTCCTTGGATAACGACAATGTCAGACCTTAGCGGTAGAGCATAAATTTTGGCTTTAGCGAAGGTCCCTGGTTTGAGTCCCGGTGGTGACAGTCAACGCAAAGCAAATGGTCTCTTTGTAGAAAATTCCGTATCTCAAGGAGCCACCAACGGAACTTTTCCCTTCACAAATTAATCCCTCGACTAATGAATATTTAAAGTTTTCTTTACTTTCACTCACCGCTATTGGCTGTTGTCGGCGTGATCATTGGCTGATCAGCAAGTCCATGGTCCAGGGATTGAGGCATTGCATCAGCACTAGACTCGACTTTCTCCTCCTCTTCCTCCGAGTCACCTTTCTTTTCCTTCTTGCTCCTTTTCGACTTTTTACTCTTCTTCTTCTTGCTAGGTGTCTCGTCCAAGCTTGGCTTTGCTACCTCAAGTGGAGTGAGGTACTGTTTGTGGATGTAGAACTTAGCAGGTCTTCCGCTACTAGTAGTGCCGGGGATCTGCACTTGTACCCACATTGCCCATTCAGACTTTGGAACGTCCGCCTTCTTTGCCTTCTTCTTGAATGTGTCCACACCACTTGCATCTTGGAGATATTGGACGTGTGTTCCTTTTTCCATTCGAAAAGTGCTTTCTTCATAGTGAGTAGTTGTGACAGTGACAACGAAGGTGGCTGCAGATGAAGAGTCAGCTGGCGAGATTTCGGCAACGTGACTGGCCTTTACTTGTCCGTTTTTCTCAGGTGCGTCCGATTTTGGATTTTTTGCAGAAGTTGCTTTCTGCTTAGGCTTAGCAGCAGCGTCTCCTGGTGCGTCCGTAGCGGCATCTCCATGAGCGCCGGCAACAGCATCTCCGGGGTTGTCCAGAGTAGCATCTCCGGGATTCTTTGCAACATTAGGCACCTCGCTGTTGACCTGAGACAGCTTTCGTCTGTCAGCAAACCGAACAAATGGCTCAGCATCACCTGTGCAACATTCTATTGTGACCCAGTACTGCCACTCGTGTTCGGGGATCCTGGCTTTCGTCGCCTTTTCTCTGAATGATTTGGCGTGGGAAGCATCGCCTAGGATTCGGATTCCGGTGCCTTTTGCTACCTGGAATTGCACTTGCTTGTGGCGGATGGCTTCTGCAACCACACACGGTGCTTCTTCCACAGCTTCCCCTAGATTTCGACGGTCAGCATAGCGTGTCTCCTTCGTTCCCGTCGAGTCAAAATATTCGACTTTCACCCAGTGTTGCCACGCACTCTCATTCAGTCTCTCCTTCCTTGCAGCGCCCTTGAACGTGTTGGAAGACCTCCCGGCCTTTACCGCTCGAACCAGCGTTCCTGCGACAACGTTTAGTTGCTTTTGTGTGAACACAGTAGTGCAGAGAACAGGCCGGAGGCCCGGCGCTATTTCTGCGCCTGCGCGGCTTGATCGCCTCGGAGGCATATTGGATGATCTTTGCACTCAACGGCGCGTCGATCTACAGAATCTGGTGCAGTGAGCTCACTGTGCGCACGCAGTGCAGGCACATCTACTCTTGTCCACCAACTTGAAACATGGCATAGCGCCAAGGAAAGGAGCCATTCCCATGGGTCATATCAAGCACGCACATGCACAGACAGACTAAGTTTTCCTCAACGACTCTGTGCCGGCCACACTGTGCCCTCCTCCTAGCCTTGGTCGATTAGATCACTTTTCACGACTTTCGTGTACTACATGAATTTGCTTTGCAAACCTTCCCCAAGGAGGATTGAAGACAAATGATAGGGTTAGCAGCGCGGGCCTCGGTAAAATACAGCCTGAAACGGGAACTAGCATTTCAGAATCTCACAAGCGTCACAAGCGTCAGCTGCACGAAGGCCCCGGACTGGCGGGCAGAGAGCTACCGCCAGTACCGGGTGCTTGCAGGAAATCGTGCAAACTGAGAGCATTACACATGTACGTGTACTGTACTTGAAAACTAGTTTATTCACAACACCATGTACATGTACCAATCGCAATGAGTCCTCACTACCAACTCACTATAAAGATTCGGCTCCGTGTTGTCAGCGCCACTTCTCACGTATTTTATAAATAGCTACAGTGCGTCATTGGTCACGGAAATGCTACACATATGTGCTGACCGCAAACCGCGTAGCACACGACATTCAGCTTGCAATGACACAATTTATCACAAAGCTGTCGTCGCTAAAACTAATTATTAGTAATTATTAGTACTTGTAGATATTTCCATTTTTCAGGATCCCTGTGGGGCAACACTGAGTATGTGGAGGTGTCGGTGGCAGTGGAAGGCCAGGTAGGGGTCTGACATGGAGCCACGTCTTGCACGAACTAGAAGTACCAAGAGGTACCAGTAGAGAGGATGGCAGGTAGTCAACATGGTGCGTGAGTGGTGAACTTCGGCGGCTTGACTATTGAGGGTCCGGAACCTAGACACAATCGACAATCATCAGAAACACTGCATGTACAATGTAGTCAGTTTTTCACTGTTCTCTGATAATCATCAAAACGACGTTACCATGGCTACGAAGAAAACTGAAGAACACTAAAGAATACCCAAGAATCACGTCTCTGGATCCTATGCCTATGGCTATGCACATATTTCATTTCACAATAATTATTAGGACAAGGGGGTTTGTCAACTTTAACTGACAACCGCGTACTGCTCTATTCAGGTGCTATTCACAATCGTCACATGCCGACATGCACTGGACGAAAGTGATGTCGAAAAATTATGACGTTTCGGGTAGGTACCGGTGGATTATGCCGGCGTAAGTTATAAAAATTGAGGTACACATGTACATGTAGTTGATTTGGTCATGTTGGAAGGAGAGGTGGAACTACGGGAGAGATGAGCTGATTATTCGCAGGGTGAGGGTAACATCGGTTGGACGAGTATGACGATTACGAAGATAGTTCAACATGATAATAATTTTCAAAGGTAACTCAAACTAATTTGGCAATGAAAAAATCTTTTTACAAAAGAAGTCAACTAAAGAATAGAAGAAGTAATGTTTTCTCTTTTCCATGTTGATCATCTCTAGTATGCATAGTCACCTTGGTATGGGGATACTCATGTACATGTACATAAACATGCATGTATTATGTTGTACTTTGTGGCCACTTGCAAGTACGAAAAAGGCACAATTTTCCGAACTTTGATGCACCATTATAAGTACAACAAATTGAATACACGTACATGTATGCATCCCCGCGTGCCAAAGCATAATATGAGGATTTTGCGAGCATAATCACCGTGCGAATCCATGAAAGCATAATTTCAAGATCTCGCGAGCATAATCCGCAGGAGCCTAGTTTCGGGCCAGTAACTCATCGTCAGAACAATTATTTACAACTGGCGAACCTGGCCTTTTTTCGCCCCTTGTGCGATGTTTTTTTTTCTTGGTACTTTTTTCTGTGCAATGGACTGTGATTAAAACAGAAACAGAAAATAATAAGGCACCCATTTTGATAGTCCAGGGGATGGCCCACGCCTGGTAAAGAGAATAAACTAGAGAAAAGGAAAGACGGATATTTCACAGGAAGTACATGTACAATGGGGACACAGTGTAAGTAGTTAGTTCTCACAACGCCAAGCCACACTGCGCAACAGCCAAAGCTGCTGACCGGTTCTGATCAACGGCAGAGGAAGAGGCTGAACGTCGATGACCATGAATGGCATTGGCAGCTGCTCGGACGAGGGCAAAGCCCAACCTCACCCGAAGAAAGGCAATCGCCGACGAGAAAGACTCTCCTGTCTTCTCCGATACCATGGACGCAACCCTGCGGTAGAGAGCCTTCGCTACTTTGCCTTGCCCGCCAGTGCAACTGAGCACGCAGTGGACAAATGACGCATGCTCGATGTGCAAAACTCGTGCTTCGTAGCTGCGATGCTTCTCCTTCTCGTGTCTGGCATAGACGGACGCCAGGGAGGCGGGGTTTCGGTTTGAACGAGCATAAGGGTGTACGATGGTGGCATCTCGCATCTTGGATGATCTTTGCACTCAACGGCGCGTAGATCTACAGAATCTGGTGAGTTCACTGTACACACGCTGTGCAGGCATACATGTATCTACCTACTACAGTCATGTACTTACCGGTACTAGGGTTTCCCCAAATCGGCCGAAAACGAGACTTATCGAAAAATCGCTAACCTGTCCGCCGATTTTGGAGGGTTTATTTGAGAATCGCGGAAAATCTACCAATTATGTTGTTGCAAAGTGCAATGCATGCCTTGTGTGGTCTGTCCTGCTGTATGGAGCTGAGAGTTGGACTCTGCGGAAGACAGATGAACGACGAATACAGGCAGCAGAAATGTGGTGCTACCGACGTCTGCTCAGAGTATCCTGGATGGAGAAGCGCACAAATGACAGTATCCTGGTGGAGTTGGGAGTACAGAGACAGCTGCTAGCCAGGGTCAAGATACGCAAACTGACCTATTTCGGGCACACATGCCGCCCATCTGGCTGCGAGCTTGTACGTGACGTGATGTTTGGTGTCGTGGATGGTAAGAGAAAGCGTGGTCGTCCGAAGATTTCCTTTGCTGACAACATCGTTTCGTGGACTGGTATGTCTCTGCATGAGAATTGCCAGTTGGCATCTGACAGAGATGCCTGGCAGTCGCACTGTGCATTATATCTACTGCTTACACAGCTGCATAATGCCGTTTATTATTATTATTTTTTAAATTTTACTTTTATTATTTATTCGGCAACGCAGATGATGATGATGATGATGATGAAAGTGCGTTTACGAACGAATGGTGTTTACTGCATGCCAGCATGACCGCTGCGAGCTCTCTACTTCACCGTCTTCAGTACTTGTACTGCTAGTGTGATGAGGTCGTGTGAGTCATGCCCGTTGACCTCCTCTGGAGCAAACATTGGCCATTAGTAGGCATTAGGAAGATCGTTACTTATACTTACTAGTACAATACTGCACTACAACTTACTGTTGTGGCCAGTTCCATCTAGCAGAGCAGTATTTCCAATATCACACCAATTTTGAAGCCAATGTGCCAACAATTTTTTTAGCCGATTTTCCAGTATATTCCAATTTTGCACCCGAATCTGATGTAATTTTGAGCCAAGCGAAAAAGCCGAATAGGCGAAATAAACGGGCCGATTTGGGGAAAGCCTCTACTCTTGTCCACCAACTTGAAAGTTAAAACATGTAATCGCGCCAAGGAAAGGAACCATTCCCATGCGTCATATCACGCACACACATGCAGAGACGGTCTCCCTCAACGACTCTGTGCCGGCCACACTGTGCACTCCTCCTAGCCTTGGTCGATTAGATCACTTTTCACGACTTTCGTGTACTACATGAATTTGCTTTGCAAACCTTCCCCAAGGAGGATTGAAGACAAATGATAGGGTTAGCAGCGTGGGCCTCGGTAAAATACAGCCTGAAACGAGAACTAGCATTTCAGAATCTCACAAGCGTCACAAGCGTCACCAAAGGCCCTGGACTGGGGGACAGAGAGCTACAGGGTGCTTGCAGGAAATCGTGCAAACTGAGTACTTACATGTACATGTAAATATACTTGAAAACAAGTTTATTCACAACATCATGTACCAATCGCAATGAGTCCTTACTACCAACTCGTTCACATCACTGTAAAGATTCGGCTCCGTGTTGTCAGCGCCACTTGACACGTATTTTAAAAATGGCTACAGTGCGTCATTGGTCACGGAAAATGCTACACATATGTGCTGACCGCAAACCGCGTAGCACACGACATTCAGCTTGCAATGACACAAAGCTGTCGTCGCTAAAACTAATTATTAGTAATTATTAGTACTTGTAGATATTTCCATTTTTCAGGATCCCTGTGGGGCAACACTGAGTATGTGGAGGTGTCGGTGGTAGTGGAAGGCCAGGTAGGGGTCTGACATGGAGCCACGTCTTGCACGAACTAGAACTAAGTAGAAGTACCAGTAGAGAGGATGGCAGGTAGCCAACATGATGCGTGAGTGGTGAACTTCGGCGGCTTGACTAGAGGGTCCGGAACCTAGACACAATCGACAATCATCAGAAACACTGCATGTACAATGTAGTCAGTTTTTCACTGTTCTCTGATAATCATCAAAACGACGTTACCATGGCTACGAAGAAAACTGAAGAACACTAAAGAATACCCAAGAATCACGTCTCTGGATCCTATGCCTATGGCTATGCACATATTTCATTTCACAATAATTATTAGGACAAGGGGGTTTGTCAACTGACAACCGCGTACCGCTCTATTCAGGTGCTATTCACAACCGTCACATGCCGACATGCACTGGACGAAAGTGATGTCGAAAAATTATGACGTTTCGGGTAGGTACCGGTGGATTATGCCGGCGTAAGTTATAAAAATTGAGGTACACATGTACATGTAGTTGATTTGGTCATGTTGGAAGGAGAGGTGGAACTACGGGAGAGATGAGCTGATTATTCGCAGGGTGAGGGTAACATCGGTTGGACGAGTATGACGATTACGAAGATAGTTCAACATGATATTAATTTTCAAAGGTAACTCAAACTAATTTGGCAATGAAAAAATCTTTTTACAAAAGAAGTCAACTAAAGAATAGAAGAAGTAATGTTTTCTCTTTTCCATGTTGATCATCTCTAGTATGCATGGCCACCTTGGTATGGGGATACTCATGTACATGTACATGTACATGCATGCATTATGTTGTACTTTGTGGCCACTTGCAAGTACGAAAAAGGCACAATTTTCCGAACTTTGATGCCCCATAAGTACAACAAATTGAATACACGTACATCTATGTATCCCCGCGTGCCAAAGCATAATAACTATGAGGATTTTGCGAGCATAATCACCGTGCGAATCCATGAAAGCATAATTTCAAGATCTCGCGAGCATAATCCGCCGGAGCCTAGTTTCAGGCCAGTAACTCATCGTCAGAACAATTATTTACAAGGGGCGAACCTGGCCTTTTTTCGCCCCTTGTGCGATGGTTTTTTTTCTTGGTACTTTTTTCTGTGCAATGGACTGTGATTAAAACAGAAACAGAAAATAATAAGGCACCCATTTTGATAGTCCAGGGGATGGCCCACGCCTGGTAAAGAGAATAAAATAGAGAAAAGAAAAGACGGATATTTCACAGGAAGTACATGTACAAAGGGGACATGGTGTAAGTAGTTAGTTCTCACAACGCCAAGCCACACTGCGCAACAGCCAAAGCTGCTGACCGGTTCTGATCAACTGCAGAGGAAGAGGCTGAAAGTCGATGACCACGAATGGCAGCGGCAGCTGCTCGGACGAGGGCAAAGCCCAACCTCACGCGAAGAAAGGCAATCACCGACGAGAAAGACTCTCCTGTCTTCTCCGATACCATGGACGCAACCCTGCGGTAGAGAGCCTTCGCTGCTTTGCCTTGCCCGCCAGTGCAACTGAGGACGACGTGGACAATGACGCATGCTCGATGTGCAAAACTCGTGCTTCGTAGCTGCGTTGCTTCTCTTTCTCGTGTCTGGCATAGACGGACGCTAGGGAGGCGGGGTTTCGGTTTGAACGAGCATCTTGCATCTTGGATGATCTTTGCACTCAACGGCGCGTAGATCTACAGAATCTAGTAATAGTGAGTTCACAGTACACACGCTGTGCAGGCATATTCTACTACTTACTAGGGTTTCCCCAAATCGGCCGGCCGAAAACGAGACTTATCGAAAAATCGCTAATCTGTTCGCCGATTTTGGAGGGTTTCTTTGAGAATCGCCGAAAATCTACCAATTATGTTGTTGCAAAGTGCGTTTACGAACGAATGGTGTTTACTGCATGCCAGCATGACCGCTGCGAGCTCTCTACTTCAGTCTTCAGTACATGTACAATTGTAGTTGTAGTGCAGTGCTAGTGTGATGAGGTCGTGTGAGTCATGCCCGTTGACCTCCTCTGGAGCAAACATTGGCCATTAGGAAGATCGTTACTACTACTTACCAGTAAAATACTGCACCACAACTTACGGTTGTGGCCAGTTCCATCTAGCAGAGCGGTATTTCCAATATCTCACAAATTTTGAAAGCCGATTTTCCAGTATATTCCAATTTTGCAGCCGAATCTGATGTAATTTTGAGCCAAGCGAAAAGCCGAATAGGCGAAATAAACGGGCCAATTTGGGGAAAGCCTCTACTCTTGTCCACCAACTTTAAAGTTGAAACACGCGACTTTAAATAAAATTCAACAACAACATGTCATCGCGCCAAGGAAAGGAACCATTCCCATGCGTCATAATTATCACGCACACACATGCAGAGACGGTCTTCCTCAACGACTCTGTGCTGGCCACACTGTGCCCTCCTCCTAGCCTTGGTCGATTAGATCACTTTTCACGACTTTCGTGTACTACATGAATTCGCTTTGTAAACCTTCCCCAAGGAGGATTGAAGACAAATGATAGGGTTAGCAGCGTGGGCCTCGGTAAAATACAGCCTGAAACGGGAACTAGCATTTCAGAATCTCACAAGCGTCACAAGCGTCACCAAAGGCCCTGGACTGGGGGACAGAGAGCTACAGGGTGCTTGCAGGAAATCGTGCAAACTGAGTACTTACATGTACATGTAAATGTACTTGAAAACAAGTTTATTCACAACATCATGTACCAATCGCAATGAGTCCTTACTACCAACTCGTTCACATCACTGTAAAGATTCGGCTCCGTGTTGTCAGCGCCACTTGACACGTATTTAAAAAATGGCTACAGTGCGTCATTGGTCACGGAAAATGCTACACATATGTGCTGACCGCAAACCGCGTAGCACACGACATTCAGCTTGCAATGACACAAAGCTGTCGTCGCTGAAACTAATTATTAGTAATTATTAGTACTTGTAGATATTTCCATTTTTCAGGATCCCTGTGGGGCAACACTGAGTATGTGTGGAGGTGTCGGTGGTAGTGGAAGGCCAGGTAGGGGTCTGACATGGAGCCACGTCTTGCACGAACTAGAACTAAGTAGAAGTACCAGTAGAGGGGATGGCAGGTAGTCGTCAACATGATGCATGAGTGGTGAACTATTACTTCGGCGGCTTGACTACTGACGGTCCGGAACCTAGACACAATCGACAATCATCAGAAACACTACAATGTACAATGTAGTCAGCTTTTCACTGTTCTCTGATAATCATCAAAACGACGTTACCATGGCTACGAAGAAAACTGAAGAACACTAAAGAATACCCAAGAATCACGTCTCTGGTCGTCTGGATCCTATGGCTATGCAAATATTTCATTTTCACAATAATTATTAGGACAAGGGGGGCTGTCGACTGACAACCGCGTACCGCTCTATTCAGTTGCTATTCACAATCGCCACATGCACGGGATGAAAGTGATGTCGAAAATTATGAGGTTGCGGGTAGGCACCGGCGGATTATGCCGGCGTAAGTTATAAATTGAGGTACACATGTACATGTAGTTGATTTGGTCATGTTGGAAGGAGAGGTGGAACTACGGGAGAGATGAGCTGATTATTCGCAGGGTGAGGGTAACATCGGTTGGACGAGTATGACGATTACGAAGATAGTTCAACATGATATTAATTTTCAAAGGTAACTCAAACTAATTTGGCAATGAAAAAATCTTTTTACAAAAGAAGTCAACTAAAGAATAGAAGAAGTGTGTTTTCTCTTTTCCATGTTGATCTCTAGTATGCATGGCCACCTTGGTATGGGGATACTCATGTACATGTACATAAACATGCATGTATTATGTTGTACTTTGTGGCCACTTGCAAGTACGAAAAAGGCACAATTTTCCGAACTTCGATGCCCCATATTATTATTATTATTATTATTATAGGCTTTTCCGCGTTGGCATCGCCAAGCAAGCTTGGCTAGCCTTCGCATAAGCTGCTCCATAATGATGAGACGAAACAATGAATGCATGTATAATATATACGATCTAGTACAGAACCAAGGTTGCGGATATTTTTGAAGAAAGCTGCAAGTTGTGTTGAGAAACACAAAGTTGCAAACTCTACGAAAGTAAACTGCAAGAAATGTTTTGGGGTTGATCTCATGATTATTGTAGTCACAGGTTGTGTTAGTAGCATTAAAGATGCCCCATAAGTACAACAAATTGAATACATGTACATGTGTGTATCCCTGGGTGCCAAAGCATAATGAGGATTTTGCGAGCATAATCACCGTGCGAATCCATGAAAGCATATTTTCAAGATCTCGCGAGCATAATCCGCAGGAGCCTAGTTTCGGGCCAGTAACTCATCGTCAGAACAATTATTTACAAGGGGCGAACCTGGCCTTTTTTCGCCCCTTGTACGATGGTTTTTATTCTTGGTACTTTTTCTGTGCAATGGACTGTCATTAAAACAGAAACAGAAAAATAAAAAGCCACCCATTTTGATAGTCCAGGGGATGGCCCACGCCTGGTAAAGAGAATAAATAGAGAAAAGAAAAGACGGATATTTCACAGGAAGTCAAGTACAAGAATACAAGGCCATCTGAAACTAGAAGTGCGCCGAAGGATTCGCTGTGACAGGAGAAAGTGGTTAGAGGATAAATGTAAACACGTTGAATCTTCTGGGAGGAACCATGATATCCGAGAGGTATTCAACACCATTAAATCCATTAAAAAATCATCGTTCCGGCCAAATTAAGCATGTATCAATGCTGCTGATGGCACGACCCTGACGGAGAAGGAAGATTGTATTGCTGCGGTGGTGTGAATATGGGCAGCAGCTATTTGGGCAGCCGTCAGGAGATCAAGGGTGTTCGGCCTCGGCGGAGAGTGGTGCGGAAGAGCTTCCATCGCCACTAATTACCCCTGAACCTGTGCCTCTCTTGGCTGAGGTTGAGCAAGCCATATTGTCCCTGAAGAAGAGGAAAGCCCCTGGACTTTGATGGGATCGTGGCGGAACTGACTCAGCATGCATCCTCAGTTTGTGTTCTATTCCTACATAAACTTTGTTTGGCGATTTGGAAAACAGGGAGATGGCCAAAAGCATGGAAACGTCAAGAAATCGTCATGCTATCCAAAGCTGGATCAGCTAAGGAGTGTTCCAACTATCGGACCATTGCTTTGATGTCACATGCAAGCAAGATCCTTCTGACAATAATCTTGAATCGTATGAAAAAGAAGATAGAGGCTGAGTTACCAGATGAGCAGGCTGGTTTTCGAGCTGGTCGCAGTACTGTATGCTCTGTGTTCTGCAAATCATTATCGAAAAATCTCTTGAATGGCAGAATCCTGTATCCATTGTTTTTATCGATTATCGTAAAGCCTTTGACACAGTTAACCACTCACATCTTTTCGGTTGCCTTTTGGATTTTGGTTTCCCTCGCCACATAGTTTGTTTGCTTCAGAATCTTTACACAGGGATGAGCGGAGTTATCAGATGGAATGGCTCGCATTCGCCGGAGTTCGCCATCAAGAAGGGTGTTCGGCAGGGCTGTATTTTGTCCCCACATCTATTTAGCCTGTACACTGAGAGTGTTATGCGTGTTGCTGATGTGGACAGTATCGGTGTGAGAATCGGAGGACGCCAGCTGTCGAACCTACGATATGCAGATGACACGGGATTGTGTGCACATCCATCAGAAGTGTCTACCCTCACCAATGCTGTTAACCCTTTGCGTGCTGAAGAGAGAAGGGCCTGTCACTGAATCTGTCCAAAACCAAGATCATGCATATCGGAACCTGTACTGCTGGTGCAAACAATACTGCTCCAACGCCACTTGAGGTCGACGGAGAACGAATTGCAGAGGTGAGCAGTTTCAAGTATCTGGGATCCTGGAAGACAACAAACGGTGATTGCAGCCTCGATATTCGGTCAAGAATTGCCATGGCGAAAGAGCGTATGCTGCAGTTAGTTGACATCTGGAAAGACCACAACATCTCCAGACAGCTGAAAATCCGGATAATGCATGCCTTAGTGTGGTCTGTCCTGCTGTATGGAGCTGAGAGTTGGACTCTGCGGAAGACAGATGAACGACGAATACAGGCAGCAGAAATGTGGTGCTACCGACGTCTGCTCAGAGTATCCTGGATGGAGAAGCGCACAAATGACAGTATCCTGGTGGAGTTGGGAGTACAGAGACAGCTGCTAGCCAGGGTCAAGATACGCAAACTGACCTATTTCGGGCACACATGCCGCCCATCTGGCTGCGAGCTTGTACGTGACGTGATGTTTGGTGTCGTGGATGGTAAGAGAAAGCGTGGTCGTCCGAAGATTTCCTTTGCTGACAACATCGTTTCGTGGACTGGTATGTCTCTGCATGAGAATTGCCAGTTGGCATCTGACAGAGATGCCTGGCAGTCGCACTGTGCATTATATCTACTGCTTACACAGCTGCATAATGCCGTTTATTATTATTTTTTTATTTTACTTTTATTATTTTTTCGGCAACGCAGATGATGATGATGATGATGATGATGATGATGATGATGATGATGATGATGATGATGATGACATGTATAATGGGGACATGGTGTAAGTAGTTAGTTCTCACAATGCCAAGCCACACTGCGCAACAGCCAAAGCTGCTGACCGGTTCTGATCAACGGCGGAGGAAGAGGCTGGACGTCGATGACCACGAATGGCAGCGGCAGCTGCTCGGACGAGGGCAAAGCCCAACCTCACGCGAAGAAAGGCAATCACCGACGAGAAAGACTCTCCTGTCTTCTCCGATACCATGGACGCAACCCTGCGGTAGAGAGTCTTCGCTGCTTTGCCTTGCCCGCCAGTGCAACTGAGGACGACGTGGACAATGACGCATGCTCGATGTGCAAAACTCGTGCTTCGTAGCTGCGATGCTTCTCCTTCTCGTGTCTGGCATAGACGGACGCCAGGGAGGCGGGGTTTCGGTTTGAACGAGCATAAGGGTGTACGATGGTGGCATCTCGCATCTTGGATGATCTTTGCACTCAACGGCGCGTAGATCTACAGAATCTAGTGAGTTCACTGTACACACGCTGTGCAGACATATTCTACTACTTACTAGGGTTTCCCCAAATCGGCCGGCCGAAAACGAGACTTATCGAAAAATCGCTAATCTGTTCGCCGATTTTGGAGGGTTTCTTTGAGAATCGCCGAAAATCTACCAATTATGTTGTTGCAAAGTGCGTTTACGAACGAATGGTGTTTACTGCATGCCAGCATGACCGCTGCGAGCTCTCTACTTCACCGTCTTCAGTACTTCTACTTACTAGTACAATACTGCACTACAACTTACTGTTGTGGCCAGTTCCATCTAGCAGAGCAGTATTTCCAATATCACACCAATTTTGAAGCCAATGTGCCAACAATTTTTTTAGCCGATTTTCCAGTATATTCCAATTTTGCAGCCGAATCTGATGTAATTTTGAGCCAAGGGAAAAGCCGAATAGGCGAAATAAACGGGCCGATTTGGGGAAAGCCTCTACTCTTGTCCACCAACTAGTTACTTGAAAGTTGACTCAATGGTTCCTTTCCTTGGCGCGATGACATGTCATGTCATCGCGCCAAGGAAAGGAGCCATTCCCATGCGTCATATCACGCACACACATGCAGAGACGGTCTTCCTCAATGACTCTGTGCCGGCCACACTGTGGCTGTGCCCTCCTCCTAGCCGTGGTCGATTAGATAATTTTTCACGACTTTCGTGTACTACATGAATTCGCTTTGCAAACCTTCCCCAAGGAGGACTGAAGACAAATGATAGGGTTAGCAGCGCGGGCCTCGGTAAAATACAGCCTGATATGGGAACTAGCATTTCAGAATCTCACAAGCGCCAGAAGCGTCACTGAAGGCCCCGGACTGGCGGACAGAGAGCTACAGGGTGCTTGCCGTTGAGGAAATCGTGCAAACTGAGTACTTACATGTACATGTAAATGTACTTGAAAACAAGTTTATTCACAACACCATGTACCAATCGCAATGAGTCCTTACTAGTATTACTACCAACTCACTGTAAATATTCGGCTCCGTGTTGTCAGCGCCACTTGACACGTATTTTAAAAATGGCTACAGTGCGTCATTGGTCACGGAAAATGCTACACATATATGCTGACCGCAAACCGCGTAGCACACGACATTCAGCTTGCAATGACACAATTTATCACAAAGCTGTCGTCGCTAAAACTAATTATTAGTAATTATTAGTACTTGTAGATATTTCCATTTTTCAGGATCCCTGTGGGGCAACACTGAGTATGTGTGGAAGTGTCGGTGGTAGTGGAAGGCCAGGTAGGGGTCTGACATGGAGCCACGTCTCGCACGAACTAGAACTACCAGTAGAGGGGATGGCAGGTAGTCGTCAACATGATGCATGAGTGGTGAACAACATTACTTCGGCGGCTTGACTACTGACGGTCCGGAACCAAGACACGACAATCATCAGAAACACGTCATGTACTATGATGTAGTCTAAGTCAGCTTTTCACTGTTCTCTGATAAGCGCGCCTCTGCAGTGTCTGATATAAAGCGAAGGGACCGTCACTTAATATTTGCCGACTACCCGCCAAAAAATCTTTTCGTTTCACGTGTCAGACACGTACACGTCCGCGTGCGCGTACCACTCGCTACCTTTCACGTCAAGCAATCTGTTCACGCCACATATGCCATCACGTCAATGAAGACTTGCAAAGACTTGCAAAAGTTAATATTTTACAAGTCCAGCTATCAGGCTATGCGCTAGGCCGAGCTGCTACTGACTGTTGGTGAGAGTTCTGACTCTTTACTCAGTAATGCCTAATGGCAGCTGACTTTATTTTCGGAGAAACACTACTGGAGTGTCATTGTAGTAAAAAGTAACAATAATACGGAATGGCGATAGCATCTAGGAAGGATCGCTTTATTTTTTACCAGGCGTGGGCCATCCCCTGATGTCATAGGTGCCAAAAATGGAAGGATCCCTACCTTAACGTGAAGGAAAGGCCTTGCGCGGCTACTCTACGACGTGTTGAAGAAAGACTCAAAGTTAGTTGCTGGACGAACAACTCGCTGGTGCCGGAAAACTACTGAATTGGCCCCCAACGATGGTGTTTGGTGAATCATCAAGCATAGTGTCTTGTAGTAGCAGTGTTCACCGAGGAAGGAGAACGCTCTAGCCGCTGCTGTTGTCCGTTTCATCCACGTTGGGCTTAGTACTCCATGGACACACATTAGCATTCTGAGCGATTGTGGAGCTACAATTTACTTCACACAGCGTTGTATTGCCCACGAGCGCAAACTTCATTATCAGCAGTATTAAAGGGGAAGTGCATCGATTTTTCAAGTAGGGTCCAGAAGAAAGACAATTTGATATCGGTTCGAATGGCATACTGTATCTCTCGCTTTCATACGATAAGCCAAACTTGCCAAATCGCCAATTGTATGCTCACGTTGCCATAGCGACCAGCGGAGTGATGACGTACGAAAGGCTTAGCTCCTCCACAGAGAAGGTCGATCACTGCATAAATTGGTCATTTTCAATTGTCTTAATGTATTCACGATGTGAAAGAAGTGCTGTGTTCAATGCTGTTAGTGCCGTGAACTATTTGTCGCCCTTCTCATGCATTTCCCTAGGCTGACTGTGCCTTGGAAATGGTTTCCTCCAGGACAAGATGCTTGGAATTCGCCGTCTCTCCTGAGACATTTTCAGCAAACTTTCAAACCTACGACATTATTTCATTCGTCAATCTCCACCACCCGTCGTCTCACCTGGCTTCAGAAGATGTTACGAGAGATAGGAGAGTCGCCAGGAAGCATCACATTCATCTTCAGGAAGTGGAAAGAGCAAACGGCATGGTCCTTGGTTGGGGGAAATGCTGAACGTCTGATTTGTCCCAACCAAGATTTCAGCATTTTGTTCGTCACTATTTTCGCTTGTCTGCTGGTGTCTCCGCGCTCCAGATTTCTCCTATCGGTGTCACGTCCCAGTACACAACCGAGAGGACTACTAACAAACAGTTCACTGCACTTACAGCATTGAACACAGCCCTTCTTTCACTTCGTGAATACAATAAACCAATTGAAAATGACCAAATTCTGCAGTGATCGACCTCTGTGGTGGAGCTAAGCCTTTCGTACGTCATCACTGCGCTGGTCGCTATGGCAACGTGAGTGTACAATTGGCGATTTGGCAAGTTTGGCTTATCGTATGGAAGAGAGAGATATGCCATTCGAACCGATATCAAATTGTCTTTCTTCTGGACCATACTCGAAAAATCGATGCACTTCCCCTTTAACTGTTTCAGTTACTCTTCATCCTACATGTAGATTTGGAGTATACACGGCCTTGTCACGACAGCGACAGCTCTACAGAGTGTTCAAGTGAGAAACATTAATTTCAATTGTTGGTGGACGAATAAATGGCTGGTTCCGAAAAACGCGGCCTGCACCGATGGTGTTTGGTGGATCATCAAACAGGGTGACCAGCAGTGTTCACCGAGGAAGGAGAATGCACTCGCCACCACTCCGATTCATCCAAGTGGGCGTTAGCTGCGCCGCGCCTATTGTGTTTTAGTATTCCATGGACGCACACTAGCGTTCTCAGCGATTGTGGAGCCACAACATATCCTTATGCGGCGTTGCACTGTCCAAGAGCAGAAACGTCAGCAGTGACCCATCATCATACATGTAGATTTGGAGTATACACACTGCTACTACAAGACACTATGCTTGATGGGCCTTGGCACAACAGCGGCAGCTCAACGGGGTGTGCAAGTGAGAAACATTTGTTTCGACTGTTGGTGGACGAACAAATCGTCGGTGCCGAAAAACGTGGCCTGCGCCGATGGTGCTTGAAACATCAAGCATGGTATATGGTGGCAGCCACGGGGCGCTGGCCTTGCAGATGTGAGTACGCATACGGTACATATTCACATGACTCTATTGCATGCTGGACACTGCTGGTCCATTGTTGCAGTGTGTAAGTGAACTGCAGTACCTATTCCGTGATGGAACATCTACTCTTGAAAGAATAGTCTTTTACTTCACTCTCATGCTGCTCATATATACATTATATATTTAAATAGAGAGGTAACGACTCGTCTGGTCACCGGGTGGATATGGTGTGCCATGCACACAACCACATAGACACAGGCCCATTTCCACGTGCATTTCGCATGGCCAATGCCGCTGTTGAGTCAGCTCCCACACTTCTATCTGATCCCACCCATCCCTGTGTTGCATCGTGGACTGGTCTTGCTTTCCCTGTTTTCCAGCTCTCTGCTAGCAGTCATGGATCCCGGAGGCCATGTCTTTCCAACAGACAAGGCCCCGCTGCTGCTGCTGCTGCTGTTGATGATGGTGATATCGGCAGAGGTGCTGAATGTGCTGCGTATGCGGCGATTGGGCACTAAGAGTTGCACACGTTCATCGTCAGGCTGTCTCTACTGCTGGACCGGCTCCAGCAGAAAGCTTTACTTCCATCTGATGGCGTGGAGCTATTGAACTCCCTGGCAGAAGTTGAAGACATCATCAAGAAATACCAATATACCGGAAACTGATGTCCCCTCACTCGCATCCCTACACTGCAGCTCTCACTCTCATTGTGGGTGTAGCAGCTACAGTATAGACTACAGGTAATATTATTGTATGCAACAAGTGTACTTGTACATTCACACAAGATTTCCTATGATCAACATAATCATCATCTCATATTCAAACCATTACATCAGGCAAAGTACAATAAGCCACACATAGATGTTTTCATTGAATTATTTATTTTAAAAAAAGAGCTTTGCATAATTTCCAGCATCTGGGAAAAGATCTGTGTGTTATTTTGGTAATTGGAGCAACTGCTCAAGATGCATGCTGTATGTAGTAACTAGTAAGGAAGTTTTTTTACATTCAAGTGACTACTCAACAACAGAACCAGCTGATAAAAACAAGGCGTGAGATGGAGTGTGATTGGAATAATAATGGCAATGCGTGCCGTGACGGAGCTGTCATGAGTTTGCTCCCCGGGTAGTCTGGGTGTGGCGTTTGAATAGTTTATCAAGATAGCAGCAGTGAGAGAAGGAGAGGTCATCTGTTAGATTGTGGACAGTGTGGGTTGGCAACCAATGGGCTTGTTTAGTTTGGTGTCGGGTAAGAACCGGAAAATGCAAAGTGGGAGAGAAAAGAAACGCAACACACGAGCATGCACGTTTGCGCAGAGCTTTGTGAGAGAGGTGAGGTAAGAGATTCACAGTCGGGTGCAGGTTTAGCCGCACATGCTCGCCTCCTATAGATAGATATATTGATCATGTTATTGATATCTGTGACCAGCACATTGAGGAGCACATCTACAAGAGCTATTCCCTGCAAGCTGCGCCTAATGTTTCTTGTGAGTGAGAGCTATTCCGTACGCTGTATATTCAGAGGACTGTGCGTTAGAGCAATTATTTCAGTTCGTATCTGACAAACCGAGTGCCCTACTTCCATCCTGCAATCGCTTGGCAACGCGTCGGCGCAAGTTGGTCACCTCGCGGAGTAGCTGCTCTTCGTCATGTGCAGCCTTTGGCCGCCGTGAGAACATTGCGCTTGTATCCGCCGGGTCGGTATCGCTGGGCGACAGAGAGGACATGCTGAGATCGGAAGCGGGCGGCGAGTCCGTCAGGTTGACCGTGGCAAGGGGTGCGCGTGGTTGCTGCGCTGCCCGCGTATGCGCACCACCAGCTGAAGCCTGTCCCGTGGCACTAGTATTCCCGGTTGTCTGCTGCTGATGACGTTCGCGCAGCTCTGCGCCGTGCAGTGTCTGCGACAGCTTATCAGCATGGCCTTGGTTCAGCAGTTTCTGACGATCAACCTACACAGCAGCAAGAATAACACTCCACATTTCGCTATCCACATGAAAGACGACAAGACTTACCAGTCCTGATCCTTGGGGTAATTTTCTGGTGGTGTTTCCGGCTTTGAGCTGATAAACCAGAGCCTTTTATAGGCCATTCAGACGACGTGTAAACACTTGCACGTGTGTGACCAAGATAACGCTGGCAAACCATGATCCAGTTCACACGGTGCTGGGCAAACTTTGCAACCGTCAATGTATCCATAGTGACCTTCTGAAAATGCCGGGAAATGTTCAATTTTGAATTTTCCCTTGTTCGAGGACTGCATTTGCAGTACGCACTTTCAACAACCGACACTTTTCCTGGCGTGCAAAGATAATTGCGAGCAAAAGGGCCTCGGCCAAGATAAAAAATCAGTTGCACGCGTGGGTCCAAGTTTATCGTATCCGAGTAAATATCCTTGGAAACGGTACGCTAAAAGTGAGTTTGCACGTCGTGTGAATGGCCTATTAGGGATGTCAGATGCCAGTGGTGTGAAGCGTGCTTATGCATGCTGCACAGATTCTGTCAAAGTTAGTTTGGGGAGTTTATGCATTCAAATCCGGGTTCGAGAGTACACTATTATAAGTCCGTGCAGAACTCTCGTGCACGCGCATGCGTTTCTGGACAATCGACATACATGTACTCGCATTCATCTAAATTTGTGAATTACCAGACAAAACCCCAAACAATGCCAATGCCTGTTGAACTGCATGCCTGGGCCAAAAGGCTAAGAGACTGGAGGTAAAATTTACTAAATACCGTTGAAACAATACTAGTACCTGAAGCTGTTCTAGCTCCTGCTCGAGAGTGTCAATTCGAGCTCTGAACTGCACTTCCGCCTTGCCGTGCTGAGCAGCGTTCTGCTGCTGCAGCCGTGCCAGTCGCTGCTGAGCCTCGAACACCTGCTTCTGCTGCTTGCGTCTGGTGTCCAGAATGGTCTGCTGTGCTGCACTGGTACCAGTATGCAGTGCAGTATCATGCTGAGAGGAAAACATGCCAGACATAAACCAGACAATGATAAGTTATTCAGCACAACTAGGGCAGTCAATGATAGTCAAATCAGCACAATCAGCACAGTCAGGGCAGGCCAGCACCTCATGGCAGAAGACACTGTTCATCCCTTGATGATATGACTTTACTAAAAGCGTTGAGGTATTGCCTGACTGCATGGTAAGCTGCATGACTGCGTTACCCCCAAGCTCTGTGTTACGTAGCTCTGTGACCTGCACGACGGTGCTCCCAAACACTGCGTTATGTACCTCTGTTGCACAAGTAGTACAGATAATAGAATCATAGCCCTGTCTAGTTAAAATAAAATAAATAAATATCACGCTTCGCGGCAGTTTTCCGCATCCGCCGTGGGAACGCCACCACCCTCTAGGATCAAGGCGCAGATGCGACGTCTAGTTAGCAGTCTACTAACCTCATGCTGAGCCCATGCATGCTTCAGTGCAGTGTCCGCCGCCTGGTGCTGACTTGACATCTCTGCCTCCAGCATAGCTTTCTGCAACTCCATCTCTGCCGACTGCACTTGGGCTGCTTCGACGGCAAGCTGCGTTTCCTCATGTCGAAGGCGTGCCTGAACAGCAGATTAGGGAGCACAGAGAATCTTATACTAACACTGTCAGGAAGTTACACTGAGGTAACTCTGAGAGAAAGTCAGTGTCCTAGGTGGAAGCATGGGCGCATGAACAAGTATACTAGTAGTGTACAGTCAGGGTTTGTCACAACTCCAGGTGAAGGGTTTGGAATTTTAGATTGGTGTGAGCCAAAGCAGAGCCTTCAAACCAAAGCTAGCAAATGTGCACTCAATGAAGCCACGCCACACGACCAGTGCAACTACCATTCCCTCGCACACACAGCGGCGTACCCAGAGCAAGGGCGTAAGGCAGATGTCCACGTCTTCAGCATACGAAAATAGAACAATACCTTTCTGTCCACTTGTGCGTCGAGTCGCTTCAGCTCCGCTTCTCTCTGGGCTACCTGCTGCTCCATAAGACGACGGCGAGTTGCATCCATGGCAACCATGTCACTGGCCTGGACTTCACGTTTTAGAGCAAGAAGTCTGAACCACAAGAACGCAGGCAGGTGACAGAAAGAGACAAGAAAATGAGAGCACAGAAAAAATGGATTCAACCACTAGTGACATTCTCAAATAAGAACTCCAGATAAAAAAGAACTCAGATGGTGAGCCAAGAAAACGTCTGACTGTTCAAAATCTGGTTTAGTTGATGGACTCGATCGCATAACTTGTGCCCACATTTTTCTAGATCAAAACATTGCGATTGGCGGTAAGAAAGAGAAGCGGCAAAGAGAAAATGGACAAACAGGACCAATACAAACCACCAACTCAGTGGCTTTCCGTACCTCATGCGTTGCTCATGTAATTTCCGATCTTCCTCTTCAAGCTGTGCCAGCTGCTCTTGCTCAGCCTCGGCTAGCATTTGTTGGTGTCGCTGGAATGTCTCTTCGTCTCGGTGGTGCTGTGTTTTGGACTGGTGTGCAGCTATGGTTGCCTGGCGCTCACGCAGTAGCTCGAGTTCTTCCTGGCGTATACGATCACGTTCTTGCCTCTACAAGCACACGCACAGAGAGAGAGAGAGAGAGAGACAGACAGAGAGAGAGAGAGAGACAGAGAGAGACAGAGAGAGCGAGAGACAGAGAGAGAAAAAGGAAGAGAGGGCCATGCCCACGACAAATGATACTGTGCTTGCCAGAGTATATTATTCCCTCAAATATGACAACACAACAACGCGTTCACTACACTGCAACACAACAACGCGTTCACTACACTGCAACACATGAAAATGCGAAGGCAAACACACATTCACTCTCATCCCGTTACCTGATAGTCCACAGCATACTTGGGATAATCACTGAACACTGGGTACTGTCCCTTGGTCAGCGGCTCACACGCTTTGTACTCCGACTGAGGATGTATGTCGCAGGGCGTGCTCTCACTCAACCTGCATGCATGCAAAGAGATAGGCAATGCATAACAGCTGGATGTCCTGTGCTTGCTCACAGCTTACCATATTCGTCGGAGTATAGTGTGCACTTTTAGATGCGCTATTTCAAACTCCAAATTGCGGGTGCGCACTGTGCTCCGAGTATGAGAATGCATGAACTTCGAAAAGTAGTGCAATGCATCAGACTGTTTGCCACTTCTGAGCCGGGGCAAGCCACAATAGCAGTGAAAAAAGTCTCAGCCAGGTACGTGTACATGTACACGGATGCCCAGCGTAGTAACTTAGATGCAAGCGTCGGCTGGTGTTAACGTGTTGTAGGTGTGTATGCGTGTGAGGGGGATGGAAATTACCCACTACCTACAACGCACTACGAGCAGCAATGGTCAGCTGGCCAAACAGTATTATCAAGCGTCCACGTCAACTCAATGCAACATTATCAAAACCCGACATAGAAACACCATACACACACACACACACACGCGCGCGCGTGTAGTGAATGTGAATACGAGGCCATACCGGTATGCTTCTTTCACAACCTGGCCAATGTCGATAGCATTGCGATGCTTGAAGAAGAAGTCAAAGTCCTTTGACTTGCAGCGCAGTAGTGTTTGACGACAGGCAATGAGGTACGATATCACCAGGAAGAGAAGATAGTGCGGTGGATTGGAGAGGACATTGTCCATTCCGTACAGCCACTCCTCACGCGTCAACACCTCGGAAAGCATCGTCTCAAGAAGCGGCCATGCGTAACCAGCTGATGTGATCTGAGAGAAGTACAGTGAGGGCAGAGAAGAAGACACACCGTCAAGTAGAGCAACTGAAACAACAGAAAGGAAGGCTTGACACAAGTTGACAGAGAAGAGAGCAACGAGTACTTCGAAGTAGTTACCATTTAGTACGGAGACAGACTACAAAACGGCAGGCGTCCGACGATCCCCAAACACAGCAGCACACCATACATATCATACGGAGCAGCTCACATTGTTCTTGGTGAAGTGGCGTATCAAGCCAATATCATGATGTGCCAAGACACTCTCCACCATTCCCAGGACACCAACGGGCAAGTGTGGGTGGAAATCAAACCAATGCTGCGTGTAGTTGAGTAGCAGCGTTGCGCACATTTCAAACGCAAGCAGGCGGTTGTTGGAGAACAGCTTGATGAACGGGAAGATCAGCGGAGCGAGGAATGTTACCTCACCGAATATCGGAGACCAGTGGGCAAGAGCAGATAGTGTCCTACAGGTGCACATACAATACACAAGGAGGTGTCGACATCAGTACCCTGTTTCCTCCTTGTCAATACATGTAGTGGCTAATGGAGACAGGAAATGCTTAAAACGTCTACGGTATATCTTTGAATATATGTCGTACTTTTTTTGCGTCACAAGTACACTTATCATCAAGGTCATAGAAGTGGATGCAATGCAGAGTCGAATGTGAACTACTATTCAAATGAATGCATTGGAATCATGAAAAAGGCATGATGGCAGTGAGTGATTGTGCCAAACGTCAAGCGGAAGGGCGCAAAAGGCCACGGGAAGACTTATCAGGTCTTGCCAGAGCCACTGTTGCCTACCTTTGAAGCTGTCGCAGTAATTTCCTGCTCTTCACAGGATACTTCTCTTGAATGTCCTGAAAGGCAACATGAGTGCCTCTATTGCACAGCGATGCGTAAGCAGCATGGTTTTCAGGCAGGCGAAGTACCGAGCGCCAGATAAACAGCCGATACTTCTCCGGATAGCGGCCGTAGCCACGCAGGATCGAATACAGCTTGGTGACATCCACGGCCATCTCCCCGACAGCGGCGGCCTCCGAATCGTCTGCGACGATGGAGTGCCCATTGCCTGTACAAACCAAGAGAATAGGCTAGACATCAACACACGGAGTACTGTTGATACGGAAAAAAAGAAAGTTTACCTCGCTGCACAAATGAACCCACAAAAACCAACACTTAGAGTCGCAAGTTCACCCTAGAGACTGAAATGGACAATGAGCTGAGTGTGCTGGGTACACCGTGGATGCAGTGGCTCAAGCATAAAGCCAGCCAGTCAGCCAAGGGGGGGGGGGGGAGACTAAGAGGACATGGAAACCATGGCGCACAGCTTCCGTGCCACAGTCTTGTCACGGTAAAATTCATGGTTACGTCATAGTTGATACAGATGAGTCATGCGAAGTGGCATACAGAATTACAGATACAGTGGTCCATACAATGGAGGTGCATTCGGGCAGCATCAGCAGCAGACCTGCTTGAATCTCACTGGCAGACAATACATCACAATCATGATGCATGGCTGGCATTGCACTGCCGAAACGCTGTCTTCACACACAGGTTCTGGCAATACGGCACCATGGTATTAATGGTGTGTGTGTGTATGTGCTGTCTAGTAATTGCTTTATGCGTAAAACTCTGAGTTACAGCTAGACAGTTGTGTTGCATGTACACATGATGAACAGACTCAGTTACAGTAGTGGCATGCAAGCAGTACAGCCGTTCTCATGAACTGGCTACACAACATGCGTGTCCAGTCCGCCAGCCTTACAGTGCTCAATGTCTATACATACACACAGCAAAATAACATGTCATATTAGTCGACAAGCAGTTATATCCGCACCTCCAAATAACATGGGAATACGATCATCAGACGATCATGTTCCGATGATCGGTATTCCAGTGAAACTCAAGGGTACTGAACAGAACTGCACGTCCTCTAACAGGGTGAACAGGCTACTACTAGTACATCAAGTACAATGGCAAGGTCGAAGCAACAACTACCTGTGCCTGATTGAGAGGGTGATGGCACAACCACCGAATCTTCTCCAGCAGCAGTTTCATCACCAGTGTCACTTGCCGTACAAGCAACACCGGAGTGCTTGGATGGAGTGCTGGCCAGAGCAGGCTTTCTGATTGAGACAGGTGCCTTAGAGGCAGGTTTCTTGCCAACTGCCCTACCAGGCTCTGTGGCATAATCAACACCAAACAACACAGTCACACAAATGCAAACTCATAAGTCACACACAACTGCATGTACACTTCTACAAAGTCATGTGTGATGGTTGTTCAACGGTAATTCGCACAAGTGACGTCACTTCCCACACAGCAACTGCCATGTTTCAGAGATATCACGCTAGTGTTACCATATAAGTGTACTTACTCGAGTCAGCGACTAGAGTGCGAACAAGTGGAGCAGGCGGCTGTGACAGCTGTGGGCACACCGTCTCCACATTGAACAGCTGCACAGAGCCGGTATCGGATACAGAGGCAACATAACGGCCATCGGCGCTGACAGTAGAGTGTATCATAGACTCTACTTGGGCCTGGCTTGTGCTGGTTGTAGCGGACTGTCCGCTACTGTTGCACACTCCCAGTTCAAACAGGAGTCGGCACGTGTCAATCCGTAAGAACCTTGTTATGCCATCCTGACATACCACACCGATGCTCTGTTGAACACAATGCAAACAGCAGCAGAGTCAGACACAGTCAGAATGACACACACACAGTCAGAATGACACACACACACACACACACACACACACACGCACGCACGCACGCACGCACACACACACACACACCAGCATATGGCATGCACACTTCAGCAATGAGCGACTTGTACTAATGTCGATCATTTCACTAATGCCAACATGACCATGCAAATGATATTCCAAACAGGCCAGGCATGATACAAACATAATGAAGGCATGCACATACACAACGAAGGTCTTGGTCTACACATACCTGGCTGACACCACCCTCGCAATTATCTTTGATGAAGAAAAGGTGCTCCACACGGCGTACGGCGCTCGGCAACTCAATAACGCGGGCCAAACGGCGTGTGTCCAGAGCCCAAACGTGCAGGAACTGTGATCTACCACAATAAACACACATGCAGGCAGGCACACAAACACACGTGCAGGCACGCACACAAACACACATGCACACACAGAGCCCCTGAAAAATTGAAACAGACAATAGTACTATAAATCAGCAGACCACTAGCCACACGGCGCTTAGAACATATACATCTGTGTCACCGACAATAAGCTACTAACAGTTAGTACTTCGAAGTATAACAGCCATATCAGAACACAGTATGAGTACTCACACATGCATTACTGCACACAGTCACATACACATAGACATACAGACTGACAACGTCTCTCTCTCTCTCTCTCTCTCTCTCTCACACACATACACACACACACGTACATACACACACACACACACACACACACACACACACACACACACACACACACACACACACACACGTACATAGTCATATACACACACTCACCTGCCACCTGCCACCAGAAAGCGACCATCAGATGACGCTGCTAAGGCCCGGAACTTGGGCGCTGGTCCATCGTGAACTACAAGCCGATATTGGTATTGTAGACTGTCGATAGTCCAGGCGAATATTGAGTCGTCCTTGAAGCAAGTGATCAGAGTGTTGCTAATTGGCAGAAAGAGTGCCTTGAATTGCAAACAGAAAGGAGGTAATGTCGATAAGATATCAAGCTGCTGTCACCACTAAACGCAGGACAGATATGCCAGGCATAATAGATAACATCAGCCAACCGCCCCCCGGCACCATACAATGGAGCAGCGGTTGTGCAGCCGATTGTTACAAGGCTCGCAGGCAATACAGTAGCTACACAAACTGTCATGTACAATCAGGCCGGCCGGTCGGGACAGTTTGCAAGAGTGCTCTACGCACCAGGGTGTAGAGTGGCATACATGTACACGGATACAGAAGACAAGAGGCTGGTTTTCAGTAACTTCAAAAAAAAACCTTCACGCCCGAGGCAATCCTTAGACAGTAAGACCATAATTTTGTTCTGAGCATAGCTTTATACCGGTAGCTAGTGTACATGTATGAGTCAGCGTGCATATGCACATGTACACAGCAGTGGTTCAGCGCCATTCGGTTTGGCTGGGCTAGTAATAGTAGTAAAACACACACACACACACACACACACACACACACACACACTTCATCGCAAGCAATGTACTAGTAGCAGGGCAGACAACTGTCACTACCAGTGTGAAAAAGTGGCACCAAAGGAAGGCAGGAGGAGGTGCTAAAACTTTGGTTTCAGGTAACAGATAGACATAAGTTTGGTAAGCAGAACTTATTGTCTACCTCAGCTTGATCCTAAAGGATCTCAAGCTTCTCAGCTAGGCACAGGGGGCATAGTTTTGTCACATTGGGTTATGCTGGAGCCTTCCTGATGACAGACCAGCCAATGCTGTGCTGGGTATTTCGCGCTTCAGATCCCAGACGCACCTCGACTATTCTGTACTCTTCTCCAGTCTCTCATGCCTTGTTGTCCTGATGACATGAGCCAGAAGTTGTCATACCTTTGTTTGAAGGGTGGTTCCGCTAAGCCAAAGCACTCCTTCTGTTCATCCTTTCGGGTTATAGAGACAGATACCTTGAAGACGATGGATTGGATGCGACAATCACCATTCATTGGGCTGTTTTTTGGCCTTGGCAGTTACATTTCTTGCCAGTGTTCTCCTGTCCCTGTGTTTGTCTCTTCCTTTGCACATGGTTGTTGTGTGACTGGACTATTGCCGATGCATTCGACATGCAACTCTAGTATAGTAAATCTGCCCTACTACACTACTCGCGATGATGACGTGTGTGTTGTAGTACTACTTTGAAGTACAGTTGTGCTCGGGGAAATCTGACCCAAAGTGTGTATCTGGCGCCCTAACATTGCACAGCCCTTCACCTGGCCCTGGTAGTGGTACGAATGCAGCTAGACGTACACATGTACAAGTACAGTGATGTAATCGGAACTGGGCCAGGGCGCCAGTTTTGCACTTCGGGTCGGATTTCAGTGAGCGCAACTGTATGACTAGCCCAGCCAAACCAAATGGCGCTGAACCACTATTACATGCACACATGCACGCTGATTCATACATGAACTCTAGCTACTGGCATATACCGTAATCCTGCTCAGAACAAAATTACGGTCATGCTACTATCTAATGATCGCCCTGTGCTTGAAACTTTTCATTAAGCTACTGCAAAAAAAGCCTTTTGTCTCCTGTATTCGTACAAAACATCATGAATGTGTGTACATGTACTGACAATAACTATGCTAACAACCCTGGCCCCAAGAGGTTAGTGACAAGTGCCGATTGTCTAATGCATACATCGAAGTATAGAACAAAAAGGCTATCACAAACGTGTTATGTTGTTCTGGAAAGTGTACATGCGCAAAAACACGCACATGTACTCACACGCAACACACACACACACACACACACACACACATGCGCACGCGCGCGCGCGCGCACACACACACACACCATATACCACACGGACACAGACACACACAGACACACACAGCACATCACGCACTTGCTGGACACCAACACCTTGTGCGCCGTTGAGCGTCCGCAATCTCTGATGAGTCTTCGCGTCCCATAGAATAGCCTCAGCCGAGGATGTGGTCATGAAGAATCTGCCATCAGTGTGTGAAGAGATATACCTCACGGATGAACTATGGCCGCGTAGTGTCGCCACTAGCTCTCCGCTCTTCCAGTTTAGGCAATGAACAGCACCATCAGACAATGCCACGTACAGTTCGCAGCTACTGACAGTAGCAAACTCCAGTGCAGTGCAAGCTACACCCAGCCGTCGCAGCAAGGAGAATCGATTATGACGTAGGGTGATGAGGAACACATTGCCCAGCTGGTCGGCAGCTGCTAGCTTATTGCTTGTATGACAGAACGCAACTCGGTTGAAGCGTATTGCCCTGCCGTGGAGCGTGGAAGATGTTGTGGCGTGCCTGTGCATGATGTGCGCCAACAAGCCATCTTCAGCAGAAGCTGAGGGCTTGCACGTCCACAAATTACCATCGCTCTTCCCCGTCAAATCAAGGACTGCCGGCTTTCTTTTGGACATTTTTCAGCGAAGGCCTGCTCTGCTTTATCCACTAGCTGAGTTGGCGTGTGCTGGCAATCCAGGACCCCAAATTGCAGCCACCATATTGAATAGAGTCTTCATGACCACAACAACCTAGTAGTACCTCGCATTGATAGAAAGGAAATTATTTTGACAATTTTTCTCATCTCTTCCTTGCATGAAATGCATGAAATAGCCATGCGACGTGTAGTTATTTTTTGTCCAACCGCCTGCGTTTTTGAAACACCCGCGAAAATGCGCGTCAGGGATCAAAAACGCGTAAATTTTGTGAAACATTTTGATGAATGCTTGATCCAATGACGTGACATGATTGGGCAAGCACGTTACTTCGCCAAGGGCAAGGCATAAAGTAAACAGTTTATGCACTCTTGCCGTCTTGGTACAGAGAAGCAGTTCCCTATTGCTTATTGGATTATGCAAGTACATGTATTAGCAAGAGTACATAAGACCCCAGGTTATACTCTTGGTACTACTCTCAGTGTTTGTTTGGTTACTGAAATTGTAGGTATGAAACAGATGCACCGAAAATAAAAGTACAAGTACACCGAAAATCTGTGAATTGCAGTACATGTATGTACATGTACATGACTGATCCAGAACAACAGTACAGTCGGGCGCCGAAGAAAGAGCGGCATAGAATTTCACCAAGGCACAAAATGACGTATACACGATGACTCAACTGTGCATAGACTGTAGTCATGGTAGTGTAGCACATGAAAATAAGAACGGTCTGTAGCCTCTACTGCTCTAGGCTACGAAGTACAAGGCTGACCCCCAGTTCTTCGGCTACCGACAGTACAGTGTTGTGCACATTTAAAAAAAAGAAGGATCAAACTGCCAAGTTACTGCACTTTATTACATGTAACTGAGCTCCACGCTGCATAACGTTAGTACCAGACACTAGATGGCAATGACTACTTTAACGGGAAGCACAATGGTTATGTGCTCAACGAATGTGTGGTGAACCGTAGAAGTGCTCAACACACACTGGTCACACACACACACACACACACACTACGCACACACCTTGCCATGACTCTAGTGTCGGGCCTAACAGAAGGAACGTAATATCCGATTCTTGGCAGATGAATTAAGATCAAGCAATCATATCAAAAATACGACAACTACAATACCTACAACTATAACAACAGTACGGATTGGTTGGTCTAATAAAAAAAAATGTTCACACCTAGCATGATTCTTGTATTGAATTGTTTATGAATCTGATGAGTTTTGCGATGAAGTTTTCACTTTGTTTCATTTCTGACAGAATGCTGCACTATGTGGAATTATATGAGTGCTACTTTAGTGTGATTGTGAGGATGGTTTTAAATGGTCTTGTACAGTATCAACGGAGTGCCCTAACATGCATGGCTTCTGATATTGGACTACTAAAAATGGCAATGTCTTGTTGCTCTCCATCTGAGTCCATTCTTGTGGGTAATGTTAAAATTAAATGACCTGATGTGCATATGCGAGTTGAGCACTTGTCTAGTCATGACACACCTCATGAACCTTGCTCCATAGCATCTTGGTTGGCTCCACCGTGGATTGAGAGCTGCGCTGAACGGAGAAATTAGACACGTCACTCGGCCCTGCCACAAATCCCTTCACAACGTCTTCGCCACTGCCTATAACTTGTAACGGGGCAATGGCTTTGAGAAGATTCAACCGTACGTTCCTTCTCTCCACTCGCCGCTCAACGATATTGTTGTGTGATTCAAGCTGCTGTAGACGCTTCTGTAACTCTGCACAGCGCTCCTGCGAGAGAGCGTTCGGGGGCGGGTCCTGGTCGACGGCATTTCCCAAAGCTTGGCGAACCTCCTTTCCAACTGCCACCAATCGCTGCACTTCGCCACTGTTCTGGTTCTTTTCCTGCGCTGGCCGTCGATTCTCCTTCTCTACCACCTCCTCCAGAGTTAGAAGTCTCTTAATCTCCTCCTGTCCGATACCATCTCTATGTCTCGCTTCCGTGATAATTGTTCGCTGTTTGGTATTGGCTTGCTCAGTCAAAGAGACTACTTGTGAACTGTTTTCTCCTACAAGCCAGCAACACTGTTCACACAAATCATTTAGCTCTCTGATGCTCTCTTCCCCAGGTGCATCCATTGTCGCAGAAGCCTACTCCACACAACACGCGATGAATCAGTACAAGACAAACTCTTCGCTTGCATCCAGCTCTACGAAGGTTGACGTGGGACAAATCCAAAGCAAATTATTATTTTCTACCAGATGCAGAGATGAAAAATTTGAAGGTGCCGCTTCGAACCTGTTGCCGTAGTTACACGCAGTCAGTTGAGTTTACGTCATCGCGCACAGCTGAGTACAGTCTGGATTCTGGAACTCTGGTTGCAGCTAGCTCAGCAGTTTTTTGTTTGCTTTGTTTGCTTTGTCATGTCACGGCTTGCTTTCGATGAAGTCGGAGCTCTACTCGATGACATGGGCGAGTGTGGTTCGTTGTGTTAGAAAAGGCTGAAAGAAGAGATGGTGCACATGGACTCTTGGTGCATTTTACATTGCCAGTTTGGCCACACAGTATATCCATAACAGACAGTAACATGCAAGACAATTAGATGTTGTCAGGACTTTGACCTTCATCCTGGACAACCTAAAAACTTTCAACAGCCATCTATATACAGTCAGTGCACTACTTTTACTTCTCGCTCAGCCTTTCAGGTGCTACTAGCTGGCATTAGGATCTCCTCCTGCATCAGTGCGTGTGTTGAGAGGTGGTCAATCAAACCGTCAGAACAGGCAGCATGTGTTTGAAGTGACGTGACTTTTCAGACATGTCACTGGTGGTCACGATGATGTTCGTCACTCTTGAAGGTGGTCATGCGGATTCATGTCAACAGACTCAACACGGGCTCAGTTCATTCACTCCTGCACTGCTCGTTTGTATTTTTATAGGCAAGTGTACTGTTTGAAATTCACTCTTGTATTTGCGGACTGCAAGAGACAGTGAAGATGCAACTGGGCAGAAAGTAGTTAGATCAAACAAGAGCTAATAACCAAGTGTAGATAAACAGTTTATCTACTCTGTAATAACGTATAACGATCGTTGCTGCTGTTTGAATAGTCGACTAGTCAACACGTTGTGTTCCTGGTGCACGTGTCTCGTATCACTCAGGACTGGCAGTACACTTGACCTTGGAAAGGCTTTCAGCCACGTGCCGGTTTGCTACCTGGTCAACTTATAAACTTATATTGTGTAGCTACATGTAGTGGATTGAACAGCCGCCACAGCAGTTGAGATGGTGCAGAGCCTGGAAGTGACGCGGCTGCATTATGCCGTGAAGGAGGCCGACTCCAAGCAGAAGTTGATGAGGAAACTGGTTGGTCTGGGTTGCACATGTTCAGCGGAGGACGAGAAGTGGCGAACAATTCTGGATGGCGTGTCATTGCAGGTGAAGCGTGGTGAAGTCATGGCTATCATGGGGAACTCTGGCTGTGGTAAGACATCTCTACTGGATATCATTGCTTGTCGTCAGGACACTGGCAGCTCCGTTACCCTCAGTGGTGATGTACTGATCGATGGTAAAGCGCGCACCCTGGAAATGGTTCGCAGCTCCGTTGGCTATGTGCGGCAGGACGATCGCTTAATTGCTCAGCTGACGGTGCGCGAGACGCTGGAGTTCGTTGCTGCCTTACGTTTGCCGGCCGATATGCTTTGGTCGGACAAGTCGGCTTGGGTGGAGAGGGTCATCCAGGAGCTTGCACTCTGGCATGTGGTGGACCAGCCAGTCGGCAGCGTGGAGAAACGTGGCATCTCCGGTGGCGAACGACGGCGAGTGAGCATCGGTGTGCAGATGCTGCTCAACCCTGAGCTGCTGCTCTTGGACGAGCCAACGTCCGGCCTGGATGCATTCAACGCTGCACAGCTGACGGAGCTGCTGCATCAACTGTCGCGCTCCGGCCGTATCATACTGATGACCGTGCACCAGCCACGTGCTGCTATCTTTCATAGATTTGACAAGCTGATGCTGCTCTCGGCTGGTGGACGTACTGTGTACTGTGGAGAGAGCAAGAAGACTGTCCTGGACTACTTCAGCTCCGTTGGATACGCATGCCCAAAGCTTAATAATCCGGCCGATTACCTTGTAGACATATCCACGGTGGACCTACATTCGGACGAGAAGGAGGCGACCTCAAGACAGCGCGTTGATCAGCTTGTGGAGGAGTTTCGCCAGAGAACCACCGCAGCCAATGTGCTGATGTGGAGCGGGCCTGAGAGTGATGAAGGCTGCGTGGTGGAGTCAGACACACACAATGCCGGTGCACAGAATGCGCTGGCGGCGCATCGTCACACTGCTGATGTTCACATGCTGCCTACTGGCGCTAGTCCAGGTATGTTCCGCCAGTTCCTCATCCTCTGCTGGCGTGCCTGGTTGAAGGAGCTACGTAGTGTCGGCTGGCAGTTCCAGCAACTGCTTGCCGCTCTGTGGATGTCACTAGAGGTCGGTCTTATCTACTTTGATATCGGGCAAGATCAACGCGGCATTCGTGATCGCATCTCCGTCGTCTACTCGTCGCTAGCAATTTATCCGTTTATGGTAACCCTCGACACAGTAGCCAAGCTGCATTCGGAACGCCGATTCTTCTTCTACGAGATCCAAGACGGCATGTACAGCTCTGGGCCGTTCTTCTTCTCGAAGCTGCTATGTGAGCTGCCGTTCAACTTGCTCGCCTGGGTGTGTTTTGTCCCCATCTTCTACTGGATGGCCAATCTGAAGCCGGACATTCTCAGCTTCGTGTACACCTCACTGTTTGTGCTGCTCGTCGTCTATGTGTCCCGATCAGCTGCTCTGGCGATTGCGACTGGCATTCACAAGTTCCAGGTGAGTGGCCTGCACGTGCATTCTTATAGTGTGTCACCTGATAGTGATGTATCCCCGCATGTGTTCTCTCTCTATATCCGTCTCTGTCTCTTTCTCTCTCTCTCTCTCTCTCTCTCTCTCTCTCTCTCTCTCTCTCTCTCTTTCTCTCTCTCTCTCTCTCTCTCTCTCTCTCTCTCTCTCTCTCTCTCTCTCTTTCACACACACACACACACACACACACACACACACACACACACACACACACACTATCTCACTCTCACTCTCTCCCTCTCTCTCTTTCTCTCTCTCTCTCTCTCTCTCTCTCTCTCTCTCTCTCTCTCTCTCTCTCTCTCTCTCTCTCTCCCTCTCCGTCTCTCTCTAGCTATCCATTTCTGCTCTAAACTGCATAGGCATGCCTGCGTACAATGTACTTCAGTACCCAGGTGGCATACTCTGCTGCTGTGTGCCGATTCTCTACTTGTGTATGGCAGAGCATGCAGTGACGCGCAATGAGTATGCGTGCAGTCAGTTGGGTAAGCACATACATGTACAGTGCTGCCTATAACAAAACAGAATTGAATTTATAGTTTATAGAACTTTTTTTTCTAACTAACTCGGACACTACGACTGTGAAGTTTATAATGTATTTATTGTTGTTGTTTTGCTGTGCAGGTTGCTCAGTTTGTTGCCAATCTCGCATTCACTATCAACATCTTCACATCCGGCTTCATTCTCAACCTGACTAGTCTCAACCCTGGTGTGCACTGGACAAGCTACCTGGGATTCGTACGCTGGGCCATCCAGGGCATGGCTGCACTGCAGTTCCGTGACATCAAGTTTTCCTGCGCCGACGCCGAATCCAACTCGACGTGCATACCCACTGGTCAAGAGGCACTGAAGTTCTATGCCCTGGACGAGTACACGGAGGTGGACAGCTGGTACATCCTGGGTGGCATGTTCATTGCCTGGAATCTGCTCACCTTGGTCTTTCTCAAGTTCAGAAGCCAGCGACCAGAGCAGATCTAGGTATCTGCTAGGTCCAGGCATGCATCTGCCTGCACGACATGGCTCGGTGGATGGCTGCCACCCGGTGTGCATAGCAGTGCCTCCGCTCACTCGCGGACCAACTGATCTCCGTTTCCTGCTACAACATCGCTGTCTGTGTGTTGTTTGTGTTGACAAAGAAACTACTGCACATACACCCTGATCTGTTTTCTCTACTTCTTATCACCCCTTCCACCTAGTGTCGTATTTCCATATTTTACCTTATCCCATGAGCTTTATGATAGTATTTTTATAACCACATGTCACGTCATCACATTTACTCAAAAGGCTGGCCCTGTATTTTTCAATTTTCACCATTCTAATCAACCTGTACCAATGGCGGACATCCAAAGAATCCGTTCAAAAATCACTTGAACACTCCCGAGCTTCTTTTTACCAGCCTGCATACGTCCTCATTTTCGATCGGCGTATTGAAAACCCAGGACTCCCAGAGCACTGGATATTATACAGTGCTGCCTGATTGAAAAGATATATTTTTAATTGATTTTTCACTGATGATAATGATGCAGGCTGCACACAACATCACGTTACATGTTGTATGCTTTTAAAACTGTGCCATACTCCAGGCTCCTAGTATTCTTGTTACTACCGGTACTCCCGGTGTACATGTACATAGACAACAAAATGGTGAACGAGCGGAGTTTTGTGAAATCAACTCCAGTTCTTGAAATCTCATGTCCACTGCATAGTACAGAGTACATACACGTGGACTGTGGTCATCGTTTCCTCAGTCAGAAGCAGGGAGTACAGTAGTAAAACACTACTGTCCCCGATCACAAGTGTCTTCGCTTAAGTAGAAAAAAAGAGTAAATTATCGTGTCCGCTCACGACGGCCGCTAACACCCGGTAAACCCTTCGCTCCATGATAGCTTGCAAACTCTCCTACAGCCACTTACACATCACACAAGTCCATTCAAACTCTTGCATTCACACACTCAACTGTCTCTTTGCCGCAATAGCGTTCACAATGCCTTGTCATTGAGGTTACGTGTTGGAAATATGATGATCACTTACAACGTAGTGAGCGACTGTCAGATTTGGAATGGCGTTTCCAAATGTAGAAAAGAAACTACATTTATGTGTCCCGAACTGTGTATGTACACGAGACAGAGCCAGCGGAAATCGACTGCTGTTCAAAGTATTGCTATGAAGCCTTAAAAAAAGCCAAACTTTTCGGCAGGATAGAATGGATGCTAGCAATGGAATGAAAAATAAAAAATAGCGATGAGATGCACAAATGTTCAAATGTCACATGCACAAACGCGTGCAATTTTAGTTCATGTACGCGTGGCCTGACTCCTTGTATGCCATCACCCGACGTGGAGTACAGCTTGTCCCCCGACAACATGCTCACTACTACTATTTTGCCAACCGTCCTCTCTTGACAGTAGCGCGGAGGGAAAAGCACCGACTCACATGGAGCACGCGGTACCCATTGGCAGGGCGGCACTTCAATTGTGTAGTCTAGAGTTGACAAGCCATATCGTCCCAAGAGAGTTTCACACCAGCAGCCACGAAACTGGCAGAGTCCTCTCGTAAATGCTGTACGTGGGATGATGTAGCTCACGTCGTGTACGTGTTGTCCTCGCTGCCGTAGCAGGCGTACAGTGCAAGTAGTGGGCCAACATCACACATGGAGCGGATCAGGCAGCACGTCCATTGCTCGCTATGCCCTACTCTACCACAAGCGCACACAATTCAACGCGATCAATGTGCAGAGAGCAGGCCAACAGCCCAGAGGTTGGTAACCAGGTCCAGAGCGTCGTCAGCTTCCAAGCCAAGATCTGAGACGGAGACTGGCTTTAGCTGAGACAGCAACTTGCCAACAGCTGGTACTGCGGACATCGGAAGTCTGATAGATGATAGTGAAGAACGCTACATGTCAAAAACAAAACAAGCACAGCGACAAACGAGCGTCAGTGTAAGTAGACAGGCGAGAGGCACAGGACCAGTGCATACACTTTCTACTTCATTGCTGTACAGTGGAGGCAAGCAGAAGGAAACCTCATGGACATAGTACTGTCGTGGACATAGAAATCCAGTCGGAGGTCAAGCGGCCCCAGTACGCTGGCCATGCAGCCGTGAGTACGCATACGATCAACATGTGCACTAGTAGCGCACTGTGCATGCAACTTTCTGCATGCACTGAGGGCGCCGGCCCCGGTCATTCGACCGGATTTCCATGTCCACGACAGTAGCTGCCGGCCGTACAGTACAATTACTGTAAGTACCGGGTTTAGCAATAAGTGCAAGTACAGCATGTTCAAACAGAACTCGGAACATGCACACATCCGCTAAGATGTCTCTGACGATAGTTCCAAAAGGGAAATGGACCGCAGCCATGTTATTCTCACCAGTGCTTGCATGCAACTTTACAACAAGAAAGTCTAGGAGTGCACGCATGAACTCACGCATGAACACACACACACACATACACAGACACGGGCGTCACATGCACGCCATGACCAAACACAAGAATTCCCATCACTTACGAATCCAGAGACTCTGGTCATGTGCATGCGTCGCATGTTACCGAAATCAAAGTAGATGTAGCAAGCATCCTCTTCAGCCTCATCGCCACAACAGCTATCATCATCACCACAACAGTTAGCATCATCGCCACAACCACCAAGCTTCTTCAGACACTTGGCAATAGCACCATTCTCCTTGGCATCGTCAGCTGCGTTCTCGTCGTCGTCGTCGTCGTCATCTTCTTCGCTGCCATCCTTACCATTTCCATCTTCATCTGAATCGCTATCGTCATCAAACTCATCCTCCATCATGTCCGCGTCATCCTCATCTGGGTCGTCAATGTTCTGGCCAACAATCACACGCATGTGATTGCGATGTAGCAGGCACACCTTAGAACCTGCTGTGGGCTTGGGGCCAACAGGATCTAGTAGCAACAGCAACAACAGCAGCAACATTTTCATGATTGCATCAGTGTCGCAGTATGAACAAACAACAATGACCACACCAAAGGATAGGGAAGTACCACAAGTGGTGCAATTTGAGCGACACCTAAGGCCTCCCCTAACCCAGAGCAAGGTATAAGCACAACCGGAAGTGTGCAAGACCTGCCCAAGTAAAGTTCAATGCTACACCAAGGGCTTACAAAGGTTCAGTAGCAAAGTCGATCGGGAGTTGATGATGGATATCTACGTGGATATGCACATGTAACTACGGTATGTGTCATTGCACAAAAATCATCTTCTCTGAACACGGCTCACAACGAAAGTCAGCGGATGCACATCCTGTGGTTGTTTGTTTGAGCAATACACACCGTAAAGTCTTGTATAAAAGCCACACTTGAATAGAAGCCGCAATTTTGGGCCCATCAAATCACACATAAGCCTGGTTTTAGTGTTGACAAACATAGAAATACCTGTCTTGTATAGAAGCCTGCAAAATTTCACCCAGAAAGTCATAGAAGCCGCGGCTTTTATACAAGACGTTACGGTACATGTACAATGTAGATGTGTAGAAAAGCCAGCAACCTAACCACTTACCACCAGCACCGCTTTCGGCTGTCAGATCAACAACGTCGACAGCGTCCTCCTTCTTGCCCTTGCCCTTCTTCCGCTTGGCTGCTGGCTCTTCGGGGGCAGGCTCAGTTGCCGAGTAAGCGGGTGGCGGGGGCAGCCTGTTTCTCAGAAAGTCAGAGCTGAGCAGATCGACAGCTGATGCGGGCGACACATAGCTGGAGAGTTTCTGAACGAGGGTGGCCAATGTAGACTTGACACTGTCTTCAGCATTGGTTGTACGGCGATCGGCACCGCTCACCTGAACACACAAATACAGCACGCACCAATCAATAAGCTCATTGCGCAACGACGTAATTTGTACCGTAAACACCCCATACAGCCACCTGGGCATGGCCGCGTGGGGTGTTGAACAATGCATTGCTGATCCCAGCGTACCCACATGCATGAACTCATACCTTTCATATTTTTTGGCGATAAGCAATGGGCTTATAGCCAGAACAGTTTTAAAGACAACGTTACTACATGCAGCCCACTTCTTCAGAAGACCACAGCATCAAGCCGCACCGAAGAACAATGCTTGATCAACGACACCTGGCCGAAAGTAAAATGTTGCAGCCAGGTCCGAAACTGCTTCAAACTGTTCACAGTGGAACGAGTGGATATTCCCAATTTAAAGCTTGGTAACTTTTGGAGTGACAGGAAAACCTAGAGATTGAAGGGGGTCTTATTGAGGAGTCCCAACCTGGGTGCTCCTTGGCATAACGTTCCTCGCTATGCGCGACCGCTGTATTCAGCAACAGTGGGACAAGCTCAAGTATTCACAGTTCTCAAAGTTGTCACTGCCATTCCAAGCGGGACAGTGCGTCCAGGAAAACAAGGTAGATCAGTAGCAGTGTACTGTAAACCGCTCAATATTCGCGTCACTAACTGTTTGCGATCTCTCAGAACCAGCGAGTAAGCGGTGATCAATGTTTGCGGAGCACTGTGGCCACTCATATGGACCCACTGTTGAAGTTTGACTTCACGATGGTTAATATTGGCATCATGCTCTTCTTGCAAAATTTAATAGCAAACATTAATTTACAGTACGCACAACTACACGGCGCAACCTACCTGCCCACTTCCCGCGGATGACATGACATTGAGGGGAAGACCCTGCCTGAACGCCGAGGCCGATTCATCCTTCATCGCTTCTTCAATGGCAAACGGAAGTGCTATCTGCAACAGCTCACCGTATGTCCTACAGTGAGAGCACAGTCATATCAGGGTTCGCAGCCAACCGAGCACACAGAATTCCAAACTTTTTCCAAACTTTTTCCAAACCAATTTCAAGAATTTCCAAACCCACTCGTGCAGGAAAAATAAAAATTTAAAATATTATAAACCTCTGAACGACTGTCTTCTCCACTACGAGAACAACCAGGGAGTAGCAAAATCCTCCCTGGTATCACTACCATCAACAAATTCACCAAGGTGCATGGCGATGATATCGCCTTCAGCAGCTAGAGCCCCTGAAAATAGCAGGGGAATTCATACGACGAGAGTTCCCCTCCGTAAGTTCAAATCCGCCTCCAGAGGGGGTTCCAATGAAACATTTACATAGCTGGTGTCCATCTCAGCGCTAAAGACGGCTTCATCCTCGCCAGCAAACTCATCTGAGTGCGAAAGGACCTCGCCATCCTGCTGTCCCGACTTCAAAGAATCAAAGTCGAGCGCGAGCGCCAGTAACAAAAAACGGCCAAATAAAAGGCATCACCGGCCGCGCTTGAGCTGCACTGAAATGACTGTACGAGACGCGTCCATGCAGTGAACACCACGCATCGCCAGCGCGTCTTCTATCGCGGCACTCAAAACGGCCACTTGCACTGTACTGCAGGAGTGCAGCACATCTGCGGCCAAAAAATCGAAATTCAAAACTTTTTCCAAACTTTTTCAAAAGGAGCACCTTTTCAAAACCTTTTCCAGACCTGGAAAATTGAATTATAAAATCCAAACTTTTTCCAGACTTCCCAACTTCGCTGCGAACCCTGTCATATGGAAAGCACAACAAACGCTGAGTGTACGTAAAAGGTGTCTATGAACAGTACATGTCCATGGTGCAGTAGAATCAAATATGGGGGTGGGGGGAGGAGGAGGAGGAGGAAGCTACAGCAGAAATACAAGAGTTTGAATCCTACTTTTCCAACACAGATTGCTTATTGCACAACTAGCTGTTGAATTTTAACCTAATTTGGTCTTCCGCAGTGAAGCAGTATTCTAGGAAAAAATGATCTAGATATTCAAACAGCAAACAATTTATTAGGGAGGTTTCGCTCTACGGAATTACGCATGAAAATAATGTAGGAACTGCACGGAATTTTCATACGTAAAAATCAGAGCTGTTGGGTTTCGCTCTACGTGATTTCTCCACGACTGCTAAACATGCGTTGTTGCTTTGGAGACGCGTTGGCTGCATGAGCCCACCGCATGAACCGAAACCGAGTTTTCCATTTTATTTTGCACGTGGTGTACGGTGTGTGTACCTTGTGTTTCACGCAGCTTGAACGTTGCCATGGACAAACGCGGAAAATGCGAAAAAATATTTCAAAAGTCCTACGGAGGACCCAACGCAGGAAAGAGCTTTCGTACGAAAATCCGTAGAGAGATTTACGTATGAAAGTTGCCCTCGCTCCCTGGCGTGTACGACATACGGATTTTCATACGTAATTACGTAGAGCGAAACCTCCCTATTATGGCAATCAGCAGAATCAGCGAAGCGGACATTAGACGTAGTAATCACAGTTTTGTGCCGTGCTCGTAGATATATCCATCTTTTATGTTTGTTGATTACTACGTCCAATGTCCGCTTCGCTGATTCTGCTGATTGCCATAATGAAGTTATTGTCTCCGCGCCGCTTATTAGCAGACAATTTTGTTGTAGATACCTGCAACGTCCGGAGCGTATGTGTTGGATAGTGGTGCATACTCTTTGCCATGTTGAGCATAGAGTGAGGACAGAATGCTAATGACATGCCACAGACAGTGAAAACTTAGCAATGACTGAATACTAGTACCCATGATACATGTACAGTCAAACTGCTATCACAGAACAGGATACCTCAGGCCACATGGAGGCAGCTATCAGTTGAACTTGTACCCGGCCTCATGATAGGTATACATGTTCTATGAGTGCAGTCAGAGAAGACGGCAAGTGCCTAGGTTGGGGTACGTTCTTTGTGCGTTCAACTCCTAGTTAATCATTTTAGGGGCCGTCCATAATTGTCGATCTTTTACACGAAGAGAAAAAGTTTCGTTTATGGGTGGGTGAGTCAAGGGGAATTTTGTTTAGAAAAATACTAATATGTGAGACATCAAGGCATTCTTGCTGTCAAGTCAATCTATTTTTCGTTCAGGGGGGGGGGAAGGGAGAGTCCTAACTACTTTAAGTAAACTTTTTTGTTTCCTGAAAAATTATCGATAATACCGGATAGCCCCATACTGTAGCAAAGATGAAGGCAGGTGCTGTGCCTATTCACAGTACTACAGTCCATTTCAAAACTATAGACGCGTAGGGTTTTTAAATTCCAATTTGGCTGGAACTTTTTGAGAATAGTTTTCGGAATATTGCTCAGGACCGCTCCACAATTACTCTCATATAGTTTCTGAACGATTGGATAACAGACGCCCAATTTGGAAAAATTTATGCACAAAGTGATCACAGATTTTATGTGGTATAGATGCTGGCATAACGGTTTTTGCCTAGGTACGCGTCTATAGTTTTGAAATGGATTGTACTACCCACGCTATGTTGGTTGGGGGAATACTAACCAGTTCTGATAGGTGCTGATGGTGATGTGCGTGCTGTGTGGAACACCGGCTGGCGTGTCCGCTTGGTGAATCGTGCCGCGCGGGAAGTACATCACGTCACCAGCCTGCCCAGCACAAACGCCGCAGGATGACAAACACTTTAAAGCACACCTGCCGTAGATACCAGCATCCCAAAACTAGCGCCCACTACACGCCAACGTACGCTGTGTCCCGCACGTGCGTTGTGCTATGGAGTGGGTGAAGATACCAATAGGCACATCATCTTGTCTTGTCCCGGAATGGACTCCTGCGTCGCTTGCAGGCCAAACATAACATACCCCACCATCTAATTTGCCGCTGCTTAAAATTAAATTCCACCGAATTCCATCAGAATTCCAAGAAGTAGTTGTACAGTACAACAAGGCAGTCCTACCTCCAGAACGATGTCATGGGTGGGATCACCAATGTCAGACGTGTCTAGATCGTCACTGCAAGTCCTAGCCAGCTTCTCAGCGGGAGAATAGAGACGCCAGTGCTTCCGGCCCTCTAGTTGGATGATGAACACCTGCAACACAGCGCAAAACATGCACAGAAATGAGTAAATTACAAGGTGCAAGACTACTGGCGGGGGCTTCCACAGGTTTCCATGGACTCCACAACCCCCATGACAATCTGGTCTCTGCACAGATGATTTTCGCGCAATAGTGGCCTACTGATTAGGCTACCAGGGATTAAACACACCCGTGGCCCCAAACACAACCAGTGCAGCGATGCCGTACGTGAGCGTGCATAAATCGGCCCTGCTCCAGGAACAACTGGAGCAGGTAGCTCTGGAGCAAAACCCGTATTCTTTAACCGCACAGTCGCTCGTGTCGTCTCCCTGTATGCTACAACTCCCCGACGTAGACACACTCCACATAGACATACGCACACACTTGCACACACACATGCACACTGCACTGAGCGAGTCTACAGCCAGACGCTGCACGTGTAAAGAGTCGGTGTGTCCATGTACCGTGTACGTACGCTGCTGAGTGGCATATGCACGTTCACTAAGTCTAGAGAGCATAACTATGTCCTACGTGCTACATAATTTCATAAAGCTACTTCGCATGATGTAGTTGACTTTACCTCGACATCATCGTGGTGGGGTGCAAGTCCTTGCGAGTCTCCAGGCGTCATATAGATATTGGATCCAACCAAGCAACCGAAAAAGCTCTCAAGTGACGAACACAGATGCCACAAGCTGTCTTGAAATTGCTGTGGCTGGTGGAACTGGACCGTGGCGCGATCGCCATCAAACAATTTCCACACGCGCTTGGCAGTGGCACGTGTAGGCTCTCCAGTTTCCTCGTTCTCAGCCGGGTTTGTGTTTTCCCGTGCACCATCCACGTATCGACAACTATTCAAATGGAGACCAAAGTCAATTTTCTCCTTCTTCAGAATCTTGTCGAGAGCTTCTCGGGAAAACAACTGCGTGAGCTTTCCATTTCTCTGGGCTTTAGCAGCAGGGATAACTAGAGGCTCTTTCTCCCAATTCTTGGCAAAGAAATCCTTTGCGTTGGTATTTCCCAATAGGGAAGCGAAGACGTTCTCAGGAGTTTCCTGGGCCCACCAGGGAACTTCCTGAGCCTCTGAAGCAGATCTCTTGGCCATTGCTGACTTGAATTGCTTGCAAATCAATCTTCTCCCTTGTCGCTGTTCGGAAAACACAGGAATATGCACTGCATGCACTGAGCTCACAGTACAGATCATGCAGGCCGGAGGCTTCCACGACCACGTGTACGTGTTCCATGAGGCATGATCCAGAAAGTCAAAAAACGAGAAAAGCGGCACCATAACTACCATAGCAACGGGGGGTGGCTTCGCAAAAATTACGTGAAAATACAGCTTGACAAACGGCGCGAAAGGATTCGTTTCGAAAAAGCTATTTTCTGACGGATTTCAAACTAAGCAACCCATGTGCTGCTTTCTTCTTCGAAAAGCTTTAGCTACCAATATTCCTGCACTGCACAGCTTTTTGCACAACTAATTCAGAATGTAATGGTGTTGCTTGCCCAGTGAACCATTGGCTTTTCAGCTCAGTAAAAGGCTGTGACATGGCAAACCACGCTTTCGGACAGTCGCACCCATCGGATATCAAGTCTGCTTTGTTTTCGCTCGCATCGCATTCCTTACGTGATGACCCAGGTAACCAGCTAACTAATCTGATTCTGTGGCGCGGCATCCACTTTTTAGACGATTACGGTCTTACATGCTCTGTCCTATTATATTTTTCAGTTGCAACATCTGCGGCGTTCTCCCACTGCTGCAAAATTCTTGACAGGTAAATTGTGTTTCTAAAAGTTTCACTCTTCTAGACTGTAAGTGTTCTCAACTACTTAATTGTTGTGGATTATTCACGCCTACTGACAGGTTTCACTGTTCTCTCTATAACTCGAAAGCAGTGGTTTCTTTATGGCCAGTCACACATACAGTTTGTACCAACGTCAACAACATGCCATTCTAACAAAATAAAAAAAACTATAATTTATTATTAAAACAAGGTTATAGCCAAAACAAAAGTGAAGGGGACCGGGGATCATTGGACCCATATTTTTGTGATTTTAACGCCATCTTGGCAGCTTTCACCGACATCAGTAAGCAAACGACCAACTTCCATTCCATGTACAGTGTTTTATTCACCGGCCACTGGAACCCGCCATGGGTATGGTTTTCAGAGGCAAGTGATGATTATAGGAAACAATGACTCATACACTGATGTGCTACTGCTACATGATATGTACTCATCATGCATATAAAATCATTAAAATGGTGGCGCTCGCACTCTGAAGGGTGGCTCATTCATTTTGAAAGGGGTTGGTCAAAAATTGAAGGAGAGCGCAGCGCCCCGCTATGTCGCTTTGGCGAGAACCCTGTATAACTGAACACGAAAGTGAAAAACAGGAACTAACAAATGCACTTGACAATTGGAGAGCCTGTCCTCCGACAGTGAATCAATCTTTTTCTAAAGCAAGCAGAAATGTTGATTGGGCACGTCAATACTCAGCTCAGCAGTTACAACACGTCTTAAGATGTTCACAACGAGGCTGCAAAATGACCAGATCATTCCCATCCATTGCTGTATCTGTTCAATGCGCTTGCATCTTCAGCCACCCGGAGTCCAATGTCTTTTGCAAGGAGGATCGCTTGATCTTGGATCGAATCAATTCACGACGTTAGTCTGGAGTTTGTCCTCTGTGTGTGTGTGTGTGCGTGCGTGCGTGCGTGTGTGTGTGTGTGTGTGTGTATGCAGGTGTGTGTGTGTGTGCATGTGTGTCCACGTGTATGTTTGTGTGTGTACTTCGAAGTATGTGTGTGTTCATGCATGCATGTGTTCTGTGATGTGTGCATGTGTGTGTGTGTGTTGCGGGGGGAGGAATTGCGAGCTGGTATCGTACCTTTTATGGAAGAGAGCATTCAGCATGTTTGTGTCCTATCTTTCATCAATTTTGTTTGTTTTCTGTTGATATGATAGGCGGTCAGCCTTTGGGTCATCCTAATAAAGTTATTATTATTATTATATTTATAGTAAGCGTGTACCGGCGGCAATGGATAGAATGGGAGAAGCCAGGGTTTTAAACACTTTTTTTCACCAATACAGACCGTGATTATTCCTAAGGGCCTGGTCAGACTGCGGCAAATTTTGGTTGCCTGACGAAAAAGGAACAGCGTCCAGAATTTGAATCGCGATCACACTACACATGTGGGGAGAGTGAAAATTCAAACTTCATTTCGAGCGTCAAGTGGTAATCTCCACGAACGACGTCAAATTCCTTCACCTTGGGGATCGCCAACACCTTCAGTGCAATCCTTGCAACCATCCTTATGAGTTTTGTTGTTGTCCGTGGCCAATTAGCTCCTCGATATCGAGATGAAAAAATCAGTGATTATCAGCGTCAATGGCGTATCAGCGTCAAATCCTGTTTGGAGCGGAAAAGCGTGGTCCGTTCTTGCTTTTTTTTTGGAGCATCAACTCTCGCTTTTGCCGCTCTGGCGGCAAGTTACTATGGAGATGCGGATTATAGTCCTAGGATTATTTCGATTTTGCCGCAGTCTGACCAGGCCCTTACCGAAGCTTTATCGTTCGAATCGGGGGTAGTTATTTTCCAGCGCAATTGCTCCGTTTCCAGGTATCCTGCCCTCCAAGTATCTGCATGCCATGCAAGGGCCCTCGAGTGTTTTCTGCTAGCAGCATTTGATGTGTGTGTGTGTGTCCGTCCGTGCATGTGTCATTTTCTACGTATGTAGTGGCAAGGCAAGGCAGGGAGCGTGATGCTGTGCGTGTCACTGAGCTCGTGCAGAGGCTGGAGGCTATGGTATGGTGTCTTGCTCATCTTTTCACAATCCTTCACTACCCAGTACAATGCCCCGTTGCCTGTCACCATAACGCATAACGCATACATTAGAGAGGTTACGCACAATGAAAAGTCGTAAGATCTTGATCGCCCGGGTTCGAGTAGCGAAAGTTGCTGCGAAGATTCGTCCAAACGCGACCGAAACAGAACAGATCTACGAAACTATTTTTCGTCACATGGAGTACTAAAATGCTGATATTTTACAACTCCCGGTCTGGACTCTTTTCATATCCACAGCGCCAGCTTCGACCTTCTGCGAAAAAGTTCACATGCGCGCAACCTCACGGTTTACGTATTTTCGTTAGCTTTTTTCGTTAAAATATATTCGTTATGGTGCTACGGATTTTTGTTGTGCGCAGCCTCTCTATTATGATGATGGGTGTAGACACTGTGGTGTGGTTTGTTTCAAAGTTTACCATTACCATTTACAAGTGCTTGTACCGGCCGATTAATCACATCACAGAATGAAAGTTGCCACAATTTCCCGAAATGTGGACACCCAACGAGTCATAACTTTAGTTTACCTTGGGCAATTTTTACGATCTTGGGCTCCTGGAAAGATCTCGCTATTAAAGAGGAACAATTTGAGATTAAACTCAAGTCAGCACATGCGACGAGGCCATCGCAGCAGCCCAGAGACAGGGCAAGAGCGCTGGAATCGTCCTGAAGATCGATCCTCATTGGCCATTTCACTCTCCTTGCTCCTATCAATCTCAAATTTTGCGAAGATTCACTCACGTCCCATTCACGATTTGAATCCATGTTCCAATAGAAACAACCAGCGGATATTGGGATACAGTCAGACCTCGTTTATCTGGTCCTCTTTTATCCGGATTCCTTGCCATCCGGAAGAAAATCGTTGGTTACCAATTTACAGCATATATCATGCATACATACAGTATGTGTGTTCGATTATCCGGTTCCCTCGCCTATCCGGATATTTCTGTGGAAAGTAGTGGTGAAACGAATGTCAAAACCTACTAGTCGAATATTCTTCAGCTTAACGAACGAATGAACGAATATTCTTTTGGTAACACAGATTACATCACATGCCCTCCTCTCAGTCATTTGATGGATATTGTCAATACTAATATATTATTAGGTATGACAAACGGTAGTGCCACGTAAAATATACTGCCACATAAGGCTACTTCGAAGTTCATAAATGTTATGTGCAACATTGGCAGTCCAGTATGGACATACATTTGCATGCATGCAGTACAAAGTCACAGGCAGGCTGTACGCACTGCACTATACCATGTTCGGCGTCCATGTATGTGCATGCACTGCATTCGAAGTGACGTAACGAATACTCGAATGTGACTTAACGAATATTCGAATGTGACAAACCGAACGAATGTTCAAATATTCGAATATTCGTTTCACCACTAGTGGAAAGCAGATGTGTGCGGTTAAGCGAGGTCTGACTGTATCCCCAACTCAGTGACAAGCAGGCGCTTTTTTCGAGCAAACGTACCGTGGCTCAACTTCAAAGAATCGTAGCACATCAACGGTACATCCTATCGCTCGGCGATGGAATGATACGAGTTTCCTCTTCGATTTAGATGATTATTTCGATGGTGAAAACCGGCCAAATATTGACCAAGTTATGAAACAGTCATCATGTTTCCTTCAACAGCGCACTCGGTCAGTTGGAGGGCCTGGTACTCCTACTATACTGGCAGGAACACACACACACACACACACACACACACTTGTACTTGTACTTGTTGCTCACTGCCAAAACTGGTCACGTGGGTCTCCCCGGGAGAGGGGAGAGAGACTCAAAAGGAATCTTGGAAAGATGACTCAACTGGCTATTGAACCGCCCAACGGCCGACACCCCCTGAAATCCCCAAAACTCTGGGTGGACTTGAAAATGATCCCGCTTATGGGCTCACCACACCTCAGTAAGTGGGTGAGGACAAGGTGCAGAAAAAGGATTGACGGCATCAGGGTATCCGTCCTGGGATCCAACTGCAGTTACCCCTGCCCCCAGTGAAGGTAATACTTGCTACTAGTGTGGGTGGCTAAATCAGAGTGGATCTGATCTAAGCGTCACTAGCATCATTGATTACACAAGAGTTAATCTAGCCAGAAGCAGTCCATGGTTAACAGGTATGTATACTTCAAATAGAAAGTAACCTGAAACCAACAAAGGTGGCAGATACAACAATACACCTTCAAGCAGCCGAGCCTGTTGGCAACAGACCCAACACAATCAGGCATAAGTGTACCCACCAACCGGACTAGCTGGCACACACACACACACACACACACACACAGACCTTTTGACCTTTTGACCTTTTGATGCCCATCACCGGAGGCGCTGATAGCGATGCTACAGCAGAAGCCATAGCAATTGTGCTGGGATTGCACCATTCAACAGCTTGCAAGGCTGAAGAATTGACTGCCATTATACAGCCTGGTCTACACCACACAGCTATGAACACACACACACACCACGTACACACACACACACCTTGTACACACACACACACACACACAAACCTCGTACACACAAACACACACACACACACACACACACACACACACCTCGTACACACACACACACACGATTGCTGCCAATGGGCTGCAGTACTCTGGCTCTGGTACCGGCCCCGGCTCGGTAGCTGGCAAGCACTGTCGACTGCTCACCGATATAAACATAACTTTGAATGTTCAGTGATGCTTTGCAGGTAGTTTTTACAATAGTGTGGAAAAGAAGAAAACATATTTCCTTAAAACTGATGTGGCTACTGTGCGAGCTAGTACGGGCATCAAGCAATGAAATGACAAGCAGCAGCAGACTGTACACAAAAGTCTTGATATACATATAGCGAAGTATCACACTGTAATTTCACAATTTCAGTGTACATTTATTTTCGGTACTTTCGGTGCATCTGTTTCATACTTTTAATTCCAATACACCGAACAAACACTAACGCAACTGCTTCTCTGTACCTAAGATTTCTGTTCACCTAACCTGGCCTTCTGCCCTCATGCCGAAAATATTGAGCACCTGAAATTTCTGAAATTAAGAGTATATGCTTAAGACAGCATGTCATGCGCACACCTACTGTGGCATTACTTGCTGGTCACTAGATGGCTGAGAACCATACTCGTTATCTGTAGCAGCACCACTAGCAATACGCTGCTGCTGCCTAGCTTGCTACTTGCGGACGCCACAGGTATGACAACAAATGTGACGCTGGTTGAGGTGTTGTCAGCATCAACCGTTGCTGTGCATGTGATTACATTGTTATTCCAGCCGTTGTAGTCCTTTACCGTGTAGGAAACAACAGTTGAGGCGATGCTCTCTTGAAGAAGGATGTCTTTTGGCTCGGTGGTGCGCCGTTGGAGGTAGAGCCTTGTGGCGTTGGTCCTGGTGCAGGTCAATATGACTTCCTTTTGATACTTGGGATGGACACGTAGTGTGCCGTTAAATGGAGGCGGCGAGAAACGTGGGTTGTTTACACTGTCTGACTGTCCACTTGCTGGGCTGGACTTTGTCAGGACAACAATCGCTGCAATCCATAGCATCACCATCACCTTGCTGGTGTTGTGCAGTCCCATAGTTATGCTAGCAGAAGCAGGCCTCTGTGTTGAGTGTGCCATGGTCTAGTGGCGCTGGTGACTCCTCTAGTCCTCGTGTTGCTACTGCTGCTGCTGCTGCTGCTGCTGCTGCTGCTGCTGTTGCTGCTGCTGTAGCTGTTGCTGGTTCTGCCTGTATAGCTGTCAAGAGTACCTGTACAAGTATGCCTTGCTCTGTTGCACTAGTAACTGGAAAGTTCCTCTGTCAAGTTGGTTGAAAGGGAAAGGCCGCAGTGTCGGCTGTGCCCTGGCCTTTTTATAGCTTGTGCACCCTGACGGCCTGAGTGTACATGTGTGACGCAGCACACGGGTTGGCGGTTTAGGCGTTCTCTCTTGAGTTGCCGAGCATACTGCTGCCATGCCGTGAGTTGAAACCAACCGGGGGCTGAAGTGCCACCCGTCTGTCGCAAGCGCCCGCTTCCTCCTCGTATCCTGCTGTGCAGGAAGCGCCCGGAATAGTACTCTCCTTGATTTACACGTTGTGATGATAGGTGGTATAGTGTGGCTGGTGTTGTTATCAACAACTCTCTCCTGTTATGATATACTGGTACCTATGATCCACTCGACTTCCCTGATTTAGTGCAGCCCCAACATTGTGTTGGTGTATTGTATTGCGAGCAGTGGTGACCTTCGGATGCTCGACATGCCATGACAGTGTACACTGGGAAAAAGCCAGACGTAGCTTGTGCACCCCCCCCCCCCCCCCCCCACACACACACACTGTGTGTGTGTACCATGTATACATGTACATGTAGGTATGAGTGTCTGCCCTTGCCCTTTGTCATGCTTGACTGCACGTCTGCCTGTTAGCCTGACCACTTGGCAGGAAGTGTCCACTTCCTGTCCTATTGGGGGCAGTGTGCCCAGGTGTGTACATTACTGGCACATGCTAACATCTGGGAGCAGTACGGGAGCAGCCCACTGCCAAAATAACTCTTTGCTTGCCCACAAGCTTGGCTAGTAGTATGTACCAAGATATACATGACAGTGTCGTGTGTGTATGTGTGTGTGTGTGGTGTGTGTGTGTGGTGTGTGTGTGTGGTGTGTGTGTGTGGTGTGTGTGTGTGTGTGTGTGTGTGTGTGTGTGTGTGTGTTGTTAGATGGGTGGAAGTGGAAGTCTGCGGGTGGCTGTTGTTCTTGTAATCTGCTGTCTTGATCGAGTATCTATTTGCATCGCATGTGCTGTGCGTATTGGATCCAGACTACATTGCATGTGTTATTCCATAGGATGCACTGCATTCTACATGTAGAGAGAAACTTCAGTGAAATGAATGTGCTTCCAAGGGCGGTAAAGTCTCTACTTTCTCAGGTTCAGATTAACTGTCGCAGCTCTAAGAGCAAACGTATATAATAGAGCATTTGTTAATGTGAGCAAGCCCCACTGCACCCACTTTATTACATCATCCTGATGACGGCTCCTAGCCGAAAATTGTTATTTGTAGCGAAGAGACCACTGGATTTGAGAATGGTGTGTGTAGGGTTTTTCATATACGAGAGCAACAATTTTAATGAACTGGAGGAATTACGTTATAATCGGTGCACTCTATGCAAGGTCAAATGAACTGACCGGTGTAGTATTTTTTAGGCTCCTCCAGAATACTGCTAGTTCTTTATAGAGTGAGTTTCGTTGTCTGAAGAAAATGTTGAACAGTCTCTGCTTGGATGAGGACTGCACCAAAGCTGAGCGGTGGAGCACCGCTGACCTATAGCGAAGGTCTCTGCCTCTCTACTTTGATTCCTGGCGGTGACAGTCAATTTGTTCTTCAGGCTTTTCTCCTTGTCATTCCCTGAAACTGATGAGTGTTTATAATTTATTTAATGTTTAAAAATTATTTTTCATTGCTATCAGGTTCGGCCTCATTTTTTCTGTGCTGCGCTGATGAGTCCACAAAGGACGAAACAGTTCTGTCCGCAGATTGAGAGTGTATATATCCTATAGTTTTCTTGCATTGACACTCAAGAAAAGAACAGGCTTTATATATTGTAGGCTCCTTGCAGTCAACATCTTCATCTATGTCCCATAGTAGGTTGTATTCAGGGTAGTGTGTGCTGAGCTGCATCACTGTATGTGCACCAGTGCTATTCTAGCATATTCTGTTGAGTTCTGAATGAGTCATGCAAGTGACGTACGTGGAACCTTCATCAGAATGGCTTGGCGAGGTTCCTTTTTGCTATGGGGGTGAGAGTGACGGGGTTGCTTGGCTATTGTGCGAGTCACTGCACATCTACTCTGATCCTAGACTTGTGTTATCCGCTGTTGTGTGGGCTTGTAAGAGGTGTGTTGGTGGATGGCGCCGTGGTGTGGTCTAACTCAATACAGTGTCACTGGTGTGGTTCTCATGCACTGTGTAACGTCATCCAGATCACCCTTCTGTCATTCCACCTCTCTTTCCCTACGTAATTGCCTTCCATCTGCCACCCTGGACACTCCTCTCTCTCTCATCTTCTGCTTGTCGGGCCTCCGTCAATGTACACACATCTACCGTCTACCGCAGTGTAGTGTTCTTTGCTGTAATACGTCCGCTGCTGTGCTTGTCTGTACTTGTCTATATTCTTGTTTGTATTCTGGTTTGTATTCTTGTTTGTATTCTGGTTTGTATTCTTGTACGCTTACTGCATGTAATGCGGGAAATAGTGCATGTGCATCCCTTGTTCCACCTCCACCAAACACACTCTCTGGCCGACCTCACACACCAGCAACATGACTCCAAGTTGTAGGTACTGACCAATAGTTTTTCCTCCACACTGCGCTGTTTCGACCACTATAGGTCTCATCAGTGAAGCTGCTGGTTACCCTTGGAGAACAAGTATCCTTTGTTGGCAGCACAACCCGATACTGTTACTGTGTTGGTACTTAATTTCTCTCTTCCGCTGGCACCATACCAGCAGAGAAAACGGGTGTTGCCGACTCTCTGGAGACTCCGGGCTTGGGAAAGCTGAGGAAAGAAAATCTGTGTTGTTGTTGTTTGCTACTTTTGTTGCTGTTCGCTCCCGGTGGTGTCGAGTTGGTATCCAGTGTCAGGTGGATTGTTTCCTGTTTGTATCTGACCTTACTACAGTGTAGAGTGTATGTAGCAGCAACAACAGCAGCCACCGATAGCTCATTAGCATTGTCTATAGTAGCTGCGTTAGCAAAGGACATGGTACTGGCTAAATAATCCTGTCTGGAGTCTAAGCGCTGTGCAATGATTTCGCTGACTGTACATCTGAGTGTTGTATTAGGCTACCTTCACATCCAAGTCTGCTTGAGGCCTTGTACCCTCATCCCTACAGTGATTACCCGACCTCTTTGAAAGTATTGTATTACATCAGTACATGATTGTATTGCATCAGTACATGTATCACAACAGTGCCTGTATTACTATTACATCAGTACATGATTGTATTACATCAGTAGGTATGCTGTGGCAAAGTGCAGAACCTAATGCACATGCCGGCTAGTCTCTCTCTCTCTCTCTCTCTCTCTCTCTCTCTCTCTCTCTCTCTCTCTCTCTCTCTCTCTCTCTCTCTCTCTCTCTCTCTCTCTCTCTCTCTCTCTCTCTCTCTCTCTCTCTCTCTCTCTCTCTCTCTCTCTCTCTCTCTCTCTCTCTCTCTCTCTCTCTCTCTCTCTCTCTCTCTCTCCCTGTCTCCCTCTGTGCATGAGATAGCATAACAACTGCAGGAATGCTAGTAGCACGACTACACAGTGACATGCAGATGCACCAAGTGACAATCACGTGAACGACACGCAGGCTTGTGCTATACCAGAGTATGCACTATGTATTAGGGGTCAAACGGGTGTACCTTTAACTAACGAACGGGTAATTTTCTTAACGGGTGGGTTAACGGGTACCCTTTAGCAGCCATGTTTTTTTTTGTGCAATTTTCGCATAAATCAAGATATAATCTATCTGTTCTCGGGTTGCATTTTGATATCACAATGTGATTCGCAAATTGATTGGTGTCTGATAGTCGCAGAGGTAGATCTACTAGGTGCGAAAATGCAACAACAATGCAGACATCCAGCGTGGAGTTGTAAATAATTGACTCCCGCCTGGAATACACGATCCCTGCAGTGTTGCTCCATACTGACTGGTTCATCAAAATCCAAACGGGTACCCTTTTACTAACGGTACCTGAGATTATCGGGCGGGTACCCGGGTAACCGGTACACCCCTTTGACCCCTACTATGTATGCACTGCACTATGTATGCACTGCACGACGGCCGGTATTGTTTTTTCAAAGCCCTCTAAGCTCCGTGCGTATGTGTGACTAAACCAACACTGATCGCGCAGACACACATGACCAAGATGGTAGAATATTGCCACGCAACGTTGATCACGTCCACACTGGATATCTATGCAGTGTGGCAAAGTTAGGTTCTGCACTTTGCCACAGCATACCTACTGATGTAATAGTAATACAGGCACTGTTGTGATACATGTACTGAGAGAGAGAGAGAGAGAGAGAGAGAGAGAGAGAGAGAGAGAGAGAGACTAGCCGGCATGTGCATCATGCAGTGCACATCATCAGTATCAGTCTGTTCCCACTGTGTACCAGGCGTATTCCCAGTAATGTGTATGCATTGTATTACAAACTGATACTCAGGAGGATTTCAGGAGTTTTAGGCAAATAGCGTCGCTTGGCAGGGGGCCTATGCGAACATACCATGATGCTTCTGCTTAGTCCAATGCGGCTTCTCGTGCCCTATGCTGCTTGCATTTCTTTTCCATTTGCTTTGGCAAGAAAAATACTTGTTTTATCTTGTGATGATGTTAAGTTGATTGTTGGGCATTTCACCCCTTTGTTCTTTCAGGGCCAACTCTCCAATCGGCCGGCCATCCTCTACTTCCTCTTCCTACTTGGCGGGAGCTCTGCGTCTGCTACTGACGTAAGGTTTGTGTGTATATTGGGAGGTTATCGTTTCAAAACAGAAGTCAATGCTGTGTTCAATAAGACAAGCTGAATCGACATTTTTTCACTTCAAAGTATACTTTATTCATGCAATTCAGCTTGTCTTATTGATTGCGGTTATCAAATTATTGTCTCCTCGCCCTTTGTTCAATGCTGCGTATGTTCGGTTTAAAATTTTTGTTTTGAAAGGGATGTTGTCAGCCTGAAGCAGATGTTGTCCCTGCTATCTTCTAGTTTTGACTGCATGGTGTGTGTTCAGGGGCCGCAAGCGGCATCGTTGCTGTCGAGTCGACTCTAAGCATACTCGTGTTCTTTCTTCGTCACGCACGTATGCGCGAACTCATGCATACACACACGTGTGCGCGCGCGCACACACACACACACACACTCTCTCTCTCTCTCTCTCTCTCTCCGTCTTCGCGTCCACATACAGCATTCAGCAAGCAGCACGGTTCTATCGTCATTGCGTCATCGTCCATCTGCCACGACAGCCATGGCCACACCATTCACCAACCTGCATACCGATCAACGTCAGGACAAACGGCATCAAGCGCCTCGTGAGTGTGTGTATGCTCCTTGTGAATTTTTGGTACACCCTTTCCTTTTCTGCCTGTCACATACGCGTACGTCATGCTACCTGTGGGGGTGATGCGGAGTGTGTGTTTGAAGATGAAGCACTGGGTGCTTATTTTAAATGATCGCCTACTCCCTCCCCTCCCCTGCCTTTGAAATCAAGACTCTCCGCCCGTACTGGCAGTAACCTTTGGGCATGCTTTTCAGCTGAGGGCTTATTGCCGAAAAGGCCACACCGGCTGACCGATAGTTTTCAGTCGTTTTAGCGACATACACTGTAACCGTTATACTTGTATGATGGGCTTTCTTTCGTTGGTATTCTCTACTTGCTGTATGCAGGCACGTATCGACCGCTGCGTGTCAACCGACCACTGGGTATGAACAGCAGTAGTAGCGGCGTCGGTCTCAGCTCCGGCCTGGATGGAAGCACTATGCCGTGGAGTAGCGACGAAAGTGCACGACTGCCGGACGGTGCGGAGGGACGCACGGTTGTTGGTACGCGATGGTGTTTTCAGGCCTGTTTTGCTGTGTGTGGGTGTTCGCGTGATGTCAACGTCTTAGTGTTGCAGCAGTACTCTGCACACTGAGATGTGCCTGTAGAGCATGTACATAGCATATGAGTACATGTGCTAGGGCCTGTAATTGTACAAAACTCCACTGAACCATGCGTAAAAGCCATTATACACTAATAAAATGGTCTTTGGCAGGTTACTCCATTGGTGCCACACTGTTCACGTGACCAATGCGTGTTGTGGAGCTGGCGGCATGTTCGAATGTTCTTGTTGATGACCAATGCCTAGGTAGAACGGTCAACACTGTCTGCCTGAGTAGTCTGTACATGTACATATGCATGGCTGATGACCAGGTGAGAACATTCCTGACTTCTAGCCTGAATTTTGTTATCGTTGCTAGCCTATGTGCCTATCTGTGACCACTATGTGACAAAATGAGAAGGTACTGCTGTTGTTGCTGCTGCTGCTGCTGTTGTTGCTGTTGACACAGTTGTTGCTGTTGTTGTTGTATTCAACTCTGTACAGTAGCTGGCGGTCGCCGTCCTGCCCAGCGTGTCTTGCCCCGAGCTCAGACCCGTCCCGGAGCACCGCGTACCAAGATCGGGCAGCCTAACTTCCAGTCACGCTACACGCCTGCCGCGCACAGCACGTTCGCAACTAGTTACGACACGAGTAAGTGTGTTGGTCGATGACATGTTTACACGCTGGTTGGCTGCTGTTTTTTGCGGCCGGCCAGATCCTAGATCCACCCCTGGTTCATGTGTATAATTATGTTTGTGGGCACGCACATGTATGTGTGTGCGTGTGTGTGTGTGTGCATGTGTGTGTGTGCGTGTGTATGTGTGTGTGTGTGTGTGTGTGTGTGTGTGTGTGTGTGTGTGTGTGTGTGTGTGTGTGTGTGTGTAACGTGTCAGCACTGCTCTCGGAGATTTCGGCAGGCCAGGGACCTGACCCGGCACCGGCGTGTTTGCTCCTCTCCCTCCTCCCGCAATGGGACCACGTAACCTTTAAGGCAGTGGGTCAACAGGACAGGTGTGTGTGTGTGTGTGTGTGTGTGTGTGTGTGTGTGTGTGTGTGTGTGTGTGTGCATAATGACAGGTAGCAGTAGTACGATGGCTAGCAACACCATGGACTATGTGTACGGGCAGCGCACGGCAGCAGCAGGCGCTGCCTCTGCCAAATCCGACGCTACCATATCGGTCATCAATCCGGCAGTGCCGGAGGAGTCATTTGCCACCACCACAGCTCCTCAAGCAGATGTTGGTGTTCCTCGTCCCACTGTTAGAGCTGGCGATGCTCTGTTTAAACCATACGAAGGAACCGCTGAGGGTAAGATGATTGGAATGTGTGATAATACTGGTGTCCTTCAAGCTTACACGTGAGCTAGCTGGAATGATCTCCACACACACACACACAATTTATTTCTCAAATGGCAATGATTTAGGTAGCTGTCTGCGTGCCTCCTCAAGCTCCAATATCAGGCACCGCTCCTGACGCCAGTGCGCCAAACACTGCAGCCGTTTGTACTCATGTTGAATATTGCTAGTGTGCGTGGAGACAATGGCAGTGCTAGCAGGCTGCCGGATCCGTGTTGTAATCAAGGAAGGCAGATATTGTGTCACACAGTCCCTTGGAATACATGTTCTAGGATGTGTGCGTGCGTGCGTGTGTGTGTGTGTGTGTGCGTATGTGCTTGGACATGCGTTCCCTCTGCATTGGGCCGTGTTGCTATTCTAGTTCCGGGACCGATGGTCTGCGAGGCAACGCTAGTACGGGACTTGATCTTCGTCTTTCAAGGCATTGATGGCCACTACATCAAGTACAACGAGAAAGCCGACGCATTCCGAGTCGACCCAAAGGTTTGTGAATTACAGAGTCCTTTAATACCTGCCACTAGTGTTAGCCAAGTCTTCCGTGTAGTTTGATGCAATCTTGTGCTAGTGTTGCTTCAGTTAAATGACATGGTTGTTGTTGTACCTGGCTGCTGCTGCTGCTGGTGTTTATGATGGTGAACTTCCTCAGGCCTTTATACCTGCCAGTATCCAAGACCAGGCGCACAAATTGGCTGAGCTGGGCTGGTTGTACAAGCGTCTGCGGCGGTTTGTCGATGAGCACTCCAAGATCATGTCCTATGGTCTTGTTGGCCAGGTACGTGTTATGTGTAGCTGTGCTGTTGGGGTGTTGGGCCAGCTTTCTCTCCTCTATCTGCTTATTTGTCTCTTCTATCTCTCTATGTATCTACACGAAAAAAGAGAAATAGGTCCAGTTTGGATTTGTCAGAACTCAAAGTTTCATGCCACTGCAATCTCTTTTGATCTATCCATTTCTAACTTGTGCTCGTGTCTGGAAACAATGCCGTTAGGCGTTAAAGGGGAAGTCCGGTGAAAAATTTAAATTTCAGGGTCGGTAGAGTTTCGGGCGCTGAGTCGAATGGTGTTGGTCCCACGTGTCTCCGACAAAGCGTTCTCGAGATATTTCCGTTTGAAAAACTGAGTTTCGGGGGCTGCGTCATGCGGCCGCGCCACACTCTCTGCAACGTCATAGCGTGCAGCTAGGTCAAAAGGAGTGCGTGAAAGCAATAGTGTCAGTGCTATTTCAAATGATTTGGCGACTGTTATGAGGTGGTGCAAGCGACCCCGAAGACCTGTAACTCCTTGTGAGGGTGAGGATGCAGCCATGGCTGACCTTCATGAGTTCGGTCTGGGGCTGAAAACCTCGGTATTCAGCTGAAGAAATGGCCGCGTGGGCCGGTCAAGAGTGAGCGCTACTGAGTTTCCGACTGATGAAGAAGCAGCAGCTATTGCAGACGAGGCTGATGTAATTATCAGATCGCTGGAGAGCAGGGTCGCCAAAATGGAGAAGAGTGATGCGAGTGCTCTAAATGTTGTTCCATACCGACTAGATTCGCTTAGACTCCAGTAGCCTGCCACATGGTGATGTTTTGGTGCGAACTTGGAATATTTCGGACTACTCAATTGGAGAACAGGGCAGGCTCTTTGAACCACGGGCACGACTCTTCGCTCGCAACGCTATGGAATCTGAAGTTCTAGGTCCGGGAGCTGTTCGCTGTTTTGTCACTTGTCACGTTTGTGCACTCATCGCTGTAGCATAAAATAATGAGGCGGGTGCGGAAAACTAAAATTTTCTTTCTCAAAGCACAACCACCGGCACCGGCAAGGTGAAACGCACGTTCTCTGACTACATGACTGTACAATACGACTGATACGAGTGTAGTACATGACAAGTCCGTGTGTTGACTAGTTTTCTGAGTCTTGACTCTTGTGTCAGTTGTGACATGAGTTTGTTGACCATGGTTGACTGCACTACAGCTAGATAACACACTGCACGCACTGCATGCACGCAGCGCAGAGCGCGTAGACGGGCTGACGGAAAAGTCCAACTCGGAAACGGCTAACATACGGTATAACCTCCAGGTTTACCGAGCTGAAAATCACAGGGTACGTAGTGTTTGTAACACTGAATCGAATGGTCTTGGTCCGAAGAAGCTGCGACAAACGGTTCCCCAATCGAACGCGCTCCGAATATGGCCATTTTTGTACACAACTAGATGGTGTGGCTACCTGGCTGCACGCTGTGACGTCATCACCTGGATCTGGGTGATGCGCGCTCAAATTCGCACATGTTCGATTGGGCGTATCTGACGAACCATAAGCCGCAGCCTCCTCGGACAAAGACCATTCGACTCAGCGACCCGAACTCTACGGACTGTGCAATTTAAATTTTTCACCGGACTTCCCCTTTAACAGCAATGCTCTTGATGTGTCTCCACCAGCTAGCATTCACCGGGTAATTGTGTTATTGCCGTTGCTACTGTTGTTCTGCATCATTCCCTGCTCTGCAGAGCTTCTGTGCTGCGCTGAGTCATGAGCTGACCGAGTACTATCGCCTCATTGCCGTCTTGGAACGTCAGGTATGGTGGTGCAGCGTACACTGCTTTGCCAACTGTACTGGACTGTCTGAAGTAGTACTTCCCCTCCTGTGGCTTCTGTGTATCCGTTACTCGCTGCCATTCGTGCAAACCAGATCCAGTACAGCAGCTAGTGTGCTATGACTGTGCTGTGGCTATGCTGTGTCTCTGGAGCTGCTAACACCAGGAACTGGGCCTATGTGATAACCAGCAGTGTGGTGTGTGGGTCACCATGGTCGCACATCCTGGAGTTTCTGTTGTGTTAACGGTGTGTTGTTTTGCCGCTACATGCTTTTGTTCACGCTGGGATCCTGTAAATGACGTGCACGGTTCCTTTAGTAGCTTCACGGTATTCTCCTCGCGTGTATGAACTGAGGGTTTGGTGCGGGCAATGCAACAATGATGTTGGCTTGCTTGTGTAATGTTGCCACTGTGTCGATGTGTTGTCGCGATGTGCAGCAAGTGCAGCCTGATGACGTAGAGGGCTTGTCGAGTGGAGGCCTTACCCTGACCAGACTGCGTGTCTGGGCAATGGAACCCATGAAGCGACTCATGGTCCTGGTCTGGCTCGTCAGTGAATGTCAAGGTGAGCTCTCACTGGGCAAGCACCATCTCATTCTTCTTCTGTTTGTTCATGCACTTACATAGCTGGTGACTCCATGTGACAGGATCATAGCTGGGGTCCAGGAAAGCACAACGAGGGGTTTCTGTATCTTGTAGTGGGCAATCAGCGCCAGCTTGCTAGATGAATGAAAGTTTTCCAGCAACCGAGCGCTCGCTATCAATTCTTGCTACTTTGTGTGTTTAAATTTAAACTCGGATACTGAGCCAGTAATGAATGTAAAAAAAAGAAGAAGAGAAGAAACACATGAGAATGAATTATGCAGCAACTATCCAGTTTTGTGCCCTATCGTCGCAATTTCTGACTGTTTAATAATCATCTTGTTACAGTCGTGGATAGTTGTTGCATAACTCGTTCTCATGTGTTTCTCCTCTTCTTCTTTTCTTCTTTTTTACTTTATGTGTTTGCCTATAAATATGGCTGTTTCTTCTTGCTGTGATTGGATATGTTGGTGCGCGCTCTCCCACCCGCCTGTGTCCCATACAGACCTGAAAGGTGGCTCTCTGGCCGGGATTGTCTACAATTTCTCGCACACCAGTGATCCCGACGTCCTAGCACTGATGAGGCATCTACTTATTCAGGTACAGGTGGAATCCTGATAATTCGAACCTCCAAATGCCAGCAAAAAACTTCTAATTATCGGGACATTCTAATTATCCAAACATGAACCCACAACACAATATGTATGTCAAAATGCTCCCATGGTCACGCAGAGTTGCGCTATGGACCTTAGACACAGATTTCACGGATACTGAACTGACCAGCACAGCCTGCTCATGCAAACTGAACTGACCAGTACAGTGTACAGTGAACTTCGAATTACACTTTGCTAACTTCGAATTATCAGCACAAATCCGACACATTTTCTATGTAAGTGGAATCCGTGGAACTTCGAATTAATCGGACATGTCCAGTTCGAGGTTCGAATTATCAGAAAAATATATGTGGGAATCGTATTGACAGAAATCGGTCCTGGAAAAACTTCTAATTAAGCGGTATGTTCGAATTAAGCCATATTCGAATTATCAGGATTCCACGTGTACTAGTACAGGACGGTGTGTGTGTGTGTTTGTACAGTTCTGTCGGTCGCCGAAGAACGGGGGGGGGGGGGGGGTCAGCCTCCTAGCCGAGGCCTAGACCGTTCTTACTTTCATGTATCACAGTCTATGCACAGTTGAGCACCGTGTATACATTGGTATGCTGTGCGTGGTGAAATTCTAGCCTGGTCCGTTCTTCGGCATCTGACAGTACTGTACTGTATAGTTATGATGTTGTGTACTTGATTTGTGTAAAGTGCAACTTGTCCTGGAGATTGCCTAATCAAAGCACCCGGCTATCATGATTATGACTTTTTAATTTATGAGCTAACAATTGAAGTTTTGAATGTTCTTGTTGCCAGGTTGCGCTGCCTCTTCGGCATTTCCTGGACAGCTGGATCTACGACGGCGAGCTGGAGGACCGCTTTCATGAGGTATTGTTATCTATGTTGGTGCACGGGAAGTGTCTGTGCCTGGAATGGCTTGTTGTGTCCCGTGCGTTGGTACGGTATGGTGCTGATTTTTTTTAGGGCTGAGTCGGGGAGCATTTTCTTCGGGTATCGGGTTCGGGTAGTTTTCCACGGGTAGCACGGGTACCCGATCGGGTAATGTTTCCATTGTAACACCAAAATGCACTCCTTCCCTTACACACTGGGTAGCCATGCGGAGTATTACATGAATTCGTACACGTGCCCCGTACATGATGTCGTCTGCTACTTCGGGTACTATTCTGTACGCGTCTACCCGAGGTCCTCACGAATTTGTTTCTCATAGTCTAGTACTTCACGTGACGGGCTTTTCGGTTGTGATCACTCGGGTCAATCTGATTGATTCTTACCCGCACCATTTTAGGAGCTGCATATGTGCCTTGATCCTGGTGGCATTCCTTGACATTTGTCAACACCTGTTAATGTGCTATAACAATGTTGATGAACATGGTGTGGACAGGCTGGGTGTGATTCGGACTCCAACCATGCCTTTTCCTGGCCTGTTCTTCGTATGCTTTTGGTGACCCCTTGAACAATCGATATGAAGCGGTATGTCTAACACACGTGTGTGCTGCACATATATGGACTTACTTGCTGTGACCTCGTGTAGTTTTTTGTCGCCGAAGATGTGTCCGTTCCTGCCAGCCATTTGTGGGCTGCTAAGTATTCCTTGCGCAAGTCTGTACTGCCACCGTTTATTCCTCTGGACCTCGCAGAGAAGGTACAGTTCAACCACTATTCATCTCTGCAAAGCTTGTTCAATTCATACAGTTACACTGGCATGTACATGTAAAACCTGGGTGGCTGGCCTTGTCTAATTTCTAATACCTGAGTCAGAACAGTGTTGCAATACAGTCAGTGTGGTTGTTATTGTTATTGGTGGTTAGTGGTGGTGTTAGTGGTGTTGAGCTCCGCTCCTTGAAATCAATGGTGTTGCCCTTAGATTGAAATATGTTCTGTGTCAGTGGACAGCATTTCATTAGTACTATATGCAACATTTAATGTGCTTCTTGTTTGCGTGGGTTGCCTCTCCGTGAATCTCTGCCTTGTAGATTCTGCTGATTGGCAAATCGATTAACTTCTTACGTCATCTGTGCAATGATCGCACACAGCTGGGGCTACGGCCAAAGCAGAGCTCTGTGGATCAGGATGTTGCAGGTACTAGTACTAGTATTTGTCCAGGTCTTGGTTGGTTACAAGATTTGGTTGCCACCGTGTACAGTCTTTTCCAAGCACCTGTGTACTAGTAATCGGTCACCACTGCGTGGCTGACTGCCTTGTTCTGCGTCACATGCATGACACCGGTGGCATTAGTGCATTGTAATCTGCAGTGATAGTGTGCGGCATGCTGTGATGTGAGTAGCCAGTGAATTATGCATCAGGGTAATGTGCCTGTTTAGAAGCTGCATCTGTGCCTTTGATCCTAGGGTGGTGGTGTTCCCGCAGATACGGAAAGCTCAGTGTATCTGAGTGTAACGCGAGCCGTGAAAAACATTATGTGTCTGTGACTGTGTGCTTGAATCTGGCATCTCACTGCCATACCAGTTGGCTGTGAATGTGTTGTACATGTACTACTACCAAGAGTACATAACCCCCCAGAGTGTGCAACGCCGATCTAGTTCTGCATAGGGTCTTGGTCGAGCGGAATCGGATCTTCTGATGTCATGCGTACATTAGGGCTGAAACGAATGCTCAATGAAGCGAACGAATATTCTTTTTCCGAATACATGCGAAACGAAGAATATTTCGAATATTCTAAACCATACAATTTCCATGGATACCTAGTTTTATCCATGGTAACCATAGACCATTAACTGGCATACACCTCAATTACAAGAGAGACATTTGAAAAATCATTTGTCTTTCTTATTATAACACATCGAAAGAGGCAAGCCTACTTATATTTTGCACCAAATAAGCTTGATCGATGTCAAAAAGGCGAGTTTCTGTACATAATACGAATATTCCTATTCTACTTTAACGAAGAATATTCCTTTTCCGCTTTGCATATTTCGAATATTCGAATAATTCGAATATTCCTTTCAGCCCTAGCGTACATTCCACACCAGCGCAAGGCCGGTCTCGAGGCAGGGCACCGTTGTTTTTGATCTGAGAGTACCCGCGACTCCCCGGATTCCCCTCAGGTGTGTACGGTATTATGACGCAAAGATCCGATTACGCTCGACCAAGACCCTATGCAGAGCTGGATCAGGCGTTGCACACTCTGGGGGGTTATGTACTCTTGCTACTACATGTTGTATTGTGGTTGTTGCATTACAGCCGGTCTACGTTTCCCCTCCAGCCTGCTTACACCACTTACAACACCCGGTACTTACCCTGTGTTTGAATGTCTGTTTGCCGTTGGGCTCAGGTGCCGTGGACCTGATAGAGGGCTGCACGATGGGTGGTCGCCTGCGCACCACGGTCGAGGCCGTGTACCAAGCCACGAGCCAACATCTTCTCAACACCTTGCACCAGCAGTACAAGCTGTCAGACCATTTGAAGGTAGGTGCTTTGTATGCGCATACTACTTTACTCGGTTTGTTTTTAAATTGCCTGTGTGCTCTTGTATCACAGTACTCGTACGTTCCCGTTTGTGTTTTTAACCCTTTATGGACGGATTGCTAGCACAGTATGCACCAGAATTACAAAATGTCAGTACAATTTTCAACTTTTCCATGTCATAACTTTGGTGTCCTTCACTTGATTTTCACAATCAAGGGCTCATTGGAAAGCTCTTGGCGAGAGCAACGCCAGGTTACCAATCTCCATTATCCAGGCGCCACAAATCATGCGCAGTAACACAGCAAAGTCGTCTCCAAGCCTGATATGCAAGCAAATTCGTCCCATCAACGCCATTCCACTCTCCTTCATCGCAGAACGCTCAAATCTGTTTGAGACGATTCAAACTTCAGCCGGCTACGTCATTATCATGTGCTCAGTCGCTCAAAGAGCACACGAAAAGGGATTTTCCCCCAAAATGGCGAAATGATCGATCAAAAATTTGAATTTGCCGAGGTAAGAATACGGCGTGCGATATCTCTGGCGTCCGACATCGTAAGTCTTCGGCGATTGTTGCTTCGGACAGCTTGGAGTTTCCGAGACCCTTCGATTGTGGAATTTCAGGGCTAGTACTTGTACAGAAACACGTGGGCGCCATCTTGGTTCACGTGACATGTGTCACACCATGCTGTGTACAGGGAATCTTGCCGTACTTCGCGTCTACTCTGGCCTGTTCAAATCCACGCAAGTGAGCCACAGTTCTCTCTAGCAGGCTGAGATTTTGCAGGCACCGAGTTCAGATGTGGGCAAAGGGATTCACCGAAGGATTTTTTGATTTTCGCAATTTAGACTTCAAATAACACCCTCAAACTCGGTAAACGTGTCCCACCTCTAGGATCGTTTTGGCGAAATTCGCTTCGGTGAAAGTATGGAGCATCTTCTACTGAAAATTTTGAGCCATCGATTGTCAAAATCGGCTGATGTGGAGCTCACTTGTGTCGTTTTGAAGGACGCCGCGCCACGCGACTTGCGCTGGTTCTTTCACAAACGGAAGACACCAGTCAGAACTGCAGACTGTGACAGTGCAGTGCGCACGGCAAGGAAAAGAAGGAGACGTGCATTTTCCATTTGTTGCACTGTGTCCTTTGCTTTTATTGTTCACTGATACCATGTACGCAAAATCTTGAGCTAGAGAGAAGACTGACTTACAATCTTATTCATCTAGGCTTCAGCGTGATGCACGTATTCCAGACCATAGGAAATATTGGGAAAGGAACCGGGAACCACGAGAATAATTTTTCTGGAGCGAATCCAATTATTACCATGGTTCCTTGTTCTTGAACACCGCGCTCCACCACATCGTCAATGTTTCTGCGAGGTAAGGATTTCAGGACTACTGTCGGTTTGTTCGACCTCGGGGCGATCTGATCTACGTCCAGCTGGCCATGATACTGAGCCGAACTGGCCACTAGTTCGCTTCTTTCTCGACTCGGGATAATCAAGCCGGTCAGAGTGCGATTTCCTACCCTGGATGCGATCCATGGTGCGGACTGAAAATAACTACTGAACACCTCCTTGTACAAGCACTGACATACAAGACCGGTGGTGGATACAAACTGACCACAGGAAACCCTAACAGCACCCGCTCTGTCAAAGAAAGTCGAAGGGAAGCAGTTCGAACTAGTTCAAGCACCACCAAAAAATAAAAACTAGCACTTGCTCTTGCAGCTAGGTCAAAGATCTGTACTGGCAAGTACACTTTTGCGCAGTCGCGACCTCGCGGCCCCGCATCACGTGCGGGTATCTGATGACGTAGCGTGATTCAAGATGGCCTCTGACGTGTTCCCGTTTTGTGATCCCAAATACCAGCCCTGAATTTGCTCAAGAAACGATGGAGTTACGAAGATTTTACCGCCTGCAGACTTTCGATCTTATTAGATCGAAACTCGTACAGTCCGTCCACAAAGGGTTAAACAAACAAAAGAAATATTAAAATATCTTCAATGCAGTTCTTGCTGTTCTTATCATTGTCGCCGTGTTTGCTGTAGGCAATGCGTCGCTACCTGCTGCTGGGTCAGGGTGACTTTATTCGCCACCTAATGGACTTGCTTCTGTAAGAGTTCCCCGGGGTTGTGTTTGTGCACTTTCTTTCAGAGTGAGAATGTTCGGTGGCAGTGCTCCGGCTTGCTTAAGCCACTGAATTCCCGCTATTGTGTGGGCTTTTGTGCGCGTGTGTGTGTGTGTGGACGTGCGTATGTGTGTGTGTGTGGTGGTGGTGGTGGTATGGGGAAGGCTGCAATCAGGACTGGTATTGGTCTATTTGGTATCTGCAGAAATCGATCATGCTGACTCTCTTGGTCACATTTCAGAGTTTCCCTTTGAAGGGGTCAAGCAGACATGTTATCATGTTTGGTCAAGTCTGTAATCATGTTTGGTCAAGTCTGTTAGTTACCGTACTTTACCGGGTGCTAGTACAAGTCGACCTTTCATGGCGTAAAAACCGAACTAAAAAGCGGTAGTAGACAATACAGCCGGGGTTTAGCTGATTTATCCCGTGTGCTGTGCGTGCTGCTACACAGGGATGAGCTTGCTCGGCCCGCCACCACTCTGTTTCTGCACAATCTGATTGGAACCCTGGACGTCGCGGTGCGTGCCACAAACGCACAGTTTGAGGAGCCCGACACACTGGAGCGCCTGGATGTCAAACTCCTGGAGGTTTGTATTTCCTTGTTTGTTTTCTTACTTGGCGTGCCAGCTTCACTTGTAATTGCAGAGCCGTTGGGCTTTTTAAACAGTCATGTAGTTCTTGTGGATGAAAAGGCCGTCGAACTATGTCTGCAAGCCCTCCGTGCCAGGAATTCATGGACCTTTCAACAGGGGACCTGCACATGCACACACACGCCTGTCCTGTCCTGTAGAGCCACTACCACTAGGGTGACGTGGGCCCCAGAGGGGCAGCAGAGAGAGCGAAAGAGCACGCCACCCGATGGCGCTCCAGATGCGAGACTAGTCGGAATCAGCGAGAGCAGATACAAATATGGGGGAACTTGTCCCGTTCTCTAGCCGTTGGGCGGTGGCAGTGCATTGAACAGGGATGGCGGTTGCATCCCTGGGTTGAGCGGAAACAACGATTGCAGATGGCACAGTGAGCATTGCAGCAACTCCGAGCGGTACTGTCACCGGTGGCAACAGCAGCTGGTGCGGTCAGTGCTGGACATGAGGTAGAAGCGGAGCAACGATGCACAGCCAAGCCACCGCGGCTCCGGAACCAACAATGACACCGAGGGCACTGACATGCACTTCTCTGCTCCAAGACCGGCTTCTGCTGTTCAGCCGTGCACTTGTGCCGAGCGAGGTCGCCCTGACGTGCGAAGTGGCGGGCGCATGTGCAGCAAGTTAGTCGCTGGTACAGGGGGATCCGGGCGTCCGAGGGTTAAGCCTACCTCCAGTCTGGGCGAGAGTCACAGGTCACTCTGTGCCAGTCTGCTTCAAGGTCTCGTGAGCACACACACACACACACACACACACACACACACACACATATACACACACATACACACACACATACGCACACACACACACATGCACACAGAGATTCAATCTTGATGGCTAGCCAAGTTCATCAGCTGGCAGCATGGGATCCGAATCTGGCTGATGGCGTCATGGAAAGTCTAGTGTGGCACTCTATCATTATCCAGAAGAGGCGCTTAACCCGGCCAATGCCACACTCCCACTAGTGTGCAGTAGTAGTTGCTGGGATTTCACTCCGTCAAGCAGCTCAGTTGCCCTTGTGGCAGGTGAAATGGAGCGGAGAACTTAGAGAAAGAAGACACTAGCAAGCCATGGCTCATAAGTTTTGTGCTGCTCCTCCGCTCACAGCATTGCTGTATATGCCTGGAGGGTACGTCTTGTGTGACGGACTCGTTGGGTAATGTTCTTGTTGCTTTGTTCTCTGTGCGTTTGCTTTGTTGTACAGGTATCGTCCGGTGATGTTGGCTGGGATGTGTTCAGCCTGGACTACCATGTCGATGGGCCTATTCGCACGGTATGTACCTCAGTCATAATGACAGAAAGGTAGACTGGAAACGTACCGTAAAGTCTTGTATAAAAGCCGCGGCTTCTATGACTTTCTTCGTGAAATTTTGCAGGCTTCTATACAAGACAGGTATTTCTATGTATGTCAACACTAAAACCAGGCTTATGTGTGATTTGATGGGCCCAAAATTGCGGCTTCTATTCAAGTGCGGCTTTTATACAAGACTTTACGGTATGTGCATTGACTTTGTGTAGGGTGTGCACGAGGGGCGACTGAACTTCTTGATAGAGTGGTACAGCTTCTATTGTGTTTGGTATTTGTTTGTAAGAATGGGTTGTGTGCGCGTGTGCATGTGTGTGTTTGTTTGTTTGTTTGTCCATTCTCAGGTGTTTGATGAGGGTGCTATGCTGCGCTACCTCCGCATCTTCAATTTCTTGTGGCGGGCCAAACGCATGTCCTACATATTGTCGGCACTCTGGACATTGCAGACTGGCTGCCCTGCACAGCGCAAAGTGATCCCTGGTGAGCCTCCCCCTCTCTTCCCCCGATCGCTCAGCTGGCATTGATTGTACAGTACACACTCATTCTGTCCTCTCTTACTTTGTGCTTTTGTCATGATGTTGCCTTGATCCTGAAATGTTTGTCATCTGCTTTGAAATTGCTTGACTAAACTCCACTGCAGACAATTGGCAATATCAGTATGTGTTACCGTGATCATTCGTATGTGCAGTACAGCTATGCACCTGAGAAAAGCCTTGGTTCAATCGGGCGGCCACACCCCGTAGATAGCAATCATGGAGATTTTTTTGAATGAGGGAATGTATTTTATAGCAAAGAAAAGGACCAAGACCATACATGTATTTCGGTGAGTTTACCTCCAGTCTTGCTCTGTCTGTGTCTGCACAGAGTTGAAGCCACTGTTCCACAAAGCACACTTGCTCTCCTCCAGAATGATCCACTTCATGCAGCAGATGGAGTATTACATCAATTTTGAAGTGAGTGGGTACATGAGCGTTGTGTTGGGCACTGCAAAGACTTTTTTTAAAGTATGGTATAGTTTGCTTCAGTGAACTACAAATAAGCTCATCCACATGGCAGTGTGATACATGTACAAGTCGTGCTAAAGAATGACCGGACACATATCACAATTCGATGAAGGAATTGATCGGCTGGCTGTCCACGCAAATAGTAGTACATGTAGTGATAATAGATACCGTATATGTCTCTATTATAAGCGCCGTGCTTATATTTTTCAACACCCCTCTACCCCGTGCTTATATTGGAGACCGCGCTTATATTGGAGACCGTGCTTATATTTTTCAACCAATACATCCATACAGAGAAAGAAGAAATACATGCTAGATATTATGCATGCAGCATTGATTTCCATAAAGACCGTGCTAGTAATAGAGACTGTGCTTATAATGTTTCGAAAGGTGCTCACAGTGTGCTAGTATTAGAGACTGTGCTAGTAATGGAGACCTGTGCTTGTAATAGAGAATATACGGTACTTGTTGATTGTTCCAGTGTTCCAGCCTCACCTTTTGCTGTGTGTAGTGTCTGTAGTTCCTTGACATACTGATTCAAGTTGTTTATTGTACAATAAGCTGGGCTTGCAGTAACAAATGAATCCCTCACATCGATGGGCTTCCTGCTGCGGACAAGTAACTGACCAGCTGCCAGCGCATGTGCCTGTTGTACAGTCATGTACCTTAAAGTACCCTAATTGGAAAAGGAAGTTTGTCGAGTATTGTTGTTCCTTGCCAGTGCTTCTACGATATAGTGCACAAAAAACGTGTATTTGTGTACTCGTATTACTAACTGTTATTAGACTAAGTATTAGTTTGTATGAACTCTTGCCCCTAATGGCCATATGAGACTCAGTGTTCTAGCCAGGTCAAAATAGTAGGGGGCGGGCATGGGAAAAAGTTACCCCATGACCCATTTTTTCCATTGTCCAAAATTGTGTTGCCATGCAAAATGTAACATACGGGGTGAACCCCTCACAAATGTGCCTTTATGAACCCTCTAGTAGTGACTATCGACTGTATTTTCGTTGAATGGCGTGAAAAAACACAAAAATCGGAAAATGAGTAGGGGGCGGCACTTTTTCACAGGGGGGGGGGCGCGCAAACGGAGTAGGGGGGCGCTGCGCCCCCCCCCCCCCCCCCCCCTACCCCCCTTTGGCTAGAACCCTGGAGACTCGCAATGTCTAAAACGCCGTGCATGTTGGGATCCATCGTTGCATGCTTCGTGTTTGCTTGTGTCATTTGAACGTGTTGCCCATTTGCATTGTCCGCACATGTATTTGCTTTTCAGGTGCTAGAGTGTACATGGGCAGAATTGCAGAAGAAAGTAGAGGCGGCCAAGGACTTGGACGAGGTCATTGCCGCTCACAATCGCTTCCTAGACGACGTCACCGTTCGATGCTTGCTCACCGAATCTTCTCAGGTGGGTAGCTATTTTATGCTTGGCTGGTGCTCCTGCACCTGGTGCTGGTGCTGCTTGTGCTGCTGCTGCTGCTGCTTGGCTTGGCTGGGGCTCCTGCTCCTGGTGCTGCTTGTGCTGCTGCTGCTGCTGCTTGGCTTGGCTTGGCTGGGGCTCCTGTTCCTGGTGCTGCTGCTGCTGCTTGGCTTGGTTGCTGCTGCTGGTGCCACACTCCAGCATGCGTTAGTAGATGGCAGCAGTGTGACAACGTCATCGCAGTTGAGGGAAAGACATTTATTCAACGAGTGTATTGTTCTTTTATCGTTACAGGTGTGCACCTTTTGGTCTCGAAGGTTGAACGCGTTTCACAGTATACTTGTGTTGGTGTTTTCTTTCTTGTTTTTTTTTCGGTCAGGACATGCTTACAAAGTTGCGCGCAATCTTTGATGAAGTGGTGCGCTTCCAGAAAATCTTGAGCGACCTCAATGATTCGACTGAAGAGGAGATCCAAGCGCGTCGCTACACGGAGAAGCTGGCGTCACAGAGGTCGAAAAAGGTGTGTTCATAACTCCAATGTTCATGCTCTCTTTCTCCGGATCAATAGAAATAATCAGCACAGAATCCATGTACCGTATTTTGCTGATTGTAGGTCGCACTCGATTATAAGGCGCACCCCCATTTTCTCTGAACTATATTTTTTCAATGTATTCAAGCCATGCTCGATTGTAAGTTGCACCCCCTTTGTTTCATACCAATACTCTTCAAGTTGAATACAGTGGTGATTAGAAACAAATGTTTCCATTCACTTGTGCATTTCTTCTTGGTTTTCGCTTGTGTTTCAGGGCGAGTGGGGTTTGACAGCCATGGATTCTGCAGCGGCTGAGGAGCGGGAGAGGATTTTCTTGTTCAAGACGTTGCCCATGCTGCGCTCTGAGCTGACAGTACGCATGAACTCCTACGAGGTAAATCTCGGCTCTCCATTTCCCTCTGGGTGATGTCTGCTTGGAAATCCAACCTCACGCGTATCTAGTTTCCTCGCAGACAAAAATGCTAGAACACTAAGAAAGAGCGCACACAGTTCAGGTTCTTCAATGCCAACATGTTGACAAGTTTCACAAGTGAACTTTCGCGCCTTCTGTTCAGATTATGTTCCCCTGTTCTTGCCCGTATGTCACCTGAAGAAAAGGCAAGAAGGTTTACTTGTGAAACCTTTCAAAGTGTTGGTGTTGAACCTGAAGTGTGTGCTCTGTCTGTCCGTGGGGATTATGGACCCTGAAACCAACAAATTTGGCAGGTACAACAATACACCTTGAAGCAGCGTAGTATGATGCCATCAGATCCAACCTCTCTCTCTCTCTCTCTCTCTCTCTCTCTCTCTCTCTCTCTCTCTCTCTCTCTCTCCCTCTCCCTCCCTCCCTCTCTCTCTCTCTCTCTCTCTCTCTCTCTCTCTCTCTCTCTCTCTCTCTCTCTCTCTCTCTCTCTCTCTCTCTCTCTCTCTCTCTCTCTCTGTTGTGTATCACTGGCCAATTATCTATGTCAGTCCATAACACACGACAAGAGCTACGGTTGTTGTAGCTTGACTCTGGTCAAGGCTACGAGTAAGATCATTTCAAGTAATGAAGTCGATGATAAGAATAAATTCGGCAGCTCTTTCACCAACCGGAAAGAGCTCTTTGTTTCGGGGAAAAACAGCAGCAACACCATTACGAGCACACTGTAACCAAATATGAATACTACAGAAAAAAGGTGAGTACGGTGCTGGCCCAATTCGGCACTAGCACCCCGAAGAGAAAATACAGCGTACAACAGTACAGTACGCATGGCAGATTTAGGCGCACGATGCGCAAATAAGGAGTTGATTAGATTATTCTCGCGATTCGGGACACTCTCTCTCTGGCTCCCTGAACGCTTATTCTTTCTTACCACTATGTGTGTGTTTGCTAGGACATGGTGAAGGTGTTCCTGTCCTTGTTGTCAAAGCACCCCGACCTGAGTCTGCGATCGCTGAGCTTCCGCCTCAACTTCAGCAACTATTACCCAGTCAAGGTGATGCGAGCGTCTATGGGATTCCGCGGGAGGCCACCAGCCCCCGCTCAGTTCATCTCGCAAACACATTGACAATGACTAGCTTCAACTATCTGCAAGTACCTGCATTCTCGGTTTGTTCTTTTAGTATTTCCACGTTTACTCCTAGAGCATTCTTCTAACCTTTTTATACACTCTCATGTGTTACTTTCTCGCTATTCATGCAGTCTGATATGGTATTTTTATAGCCCAGTTTTTGATGGGCGAGATATGCTCGGCACGTACAATGTAGCTGAGGTCATGAAGCAGGACTACCGTTGAACATCGGAGTACGCCTGCTGCCAATATTGCAATCTGGTTGCATGTATACCAGGTGCACCCCGTAGTACAGCATGTGATCATTTCTTTTTTTTGGCAGTGCCATGTTTTTTTTTTAGTTTAGCCATGGCTGTACGTGCATGTGCGCTTAATTGCAAAATTTGAACATGGCCTCTGTGCCAAGACTTTATAAAATTAACCATCTACTTCAGTACTTCGTTCTCAAAGTATTGAAGAGATCTATGTGTATGTGTGTGATACTAGATCGACTAGTACAGTAAGAGTCGCACTTCCAAGGACGTTTTTTTGACTCGTTTACAAGAGGCCAGGCTAGCTGGGACGTTCTTATCTTCGAGCGTCTGTGTGCCCTTCGCACGAGATTCTTAGAAACGGTGTTGTACTGGATCATATGCACTATGCTGTGTTCTTGGTGAATTGGGCTCCACCTTCTTTGGTGTGCGACTCTACCGTAGGTACTGTATATTCTTGTGCATTGTATGGGTTTTTTCCTGAACTCAGTCAATAAAGCGACATTGCGCCAAAAATACGTATAGAATAAACACCGATGTTGTAGAAAAAACCGAGGCGTTGCCGAGGTTTTTATGGACAGTGTTTATATTCCCATTATTAACACAAGACACAGGTGCTGGGCCCTTGAAAGTTGAAAAGTTACAACCTCTCAAGTGATTCTGCATCTTCTGCACTAACATAATAATTATTATTGCATTGCTAGTATAGTAGAAGCCCACCATGCCCAGTCACGGCCTCCTGCCTAAAATAACACCGGTAGCCTTGAAACCTATCGAGCCCCCACATTCTCACACAGCGCTACAAGACCCACCCTCTCCTGGCTTCTACATGCATGTTGTACGAGTTGTGCCACCCCATCGCTGAATGAAGGAACATAAGACTTTCCTATTGTCACTGATTCAGTCTGAAAAATAAATTGCAGGAATATCATATTTCCAAACACAGATCAAACATCCTCTTTCTTCAATAATCAGGCTGCGTTCAATGGAAGAAATGGGTGGATTCGACACCCACAAGACAGGGAGGAGGGCTCAACTATAACTGGGCCGACCAGGCTCCACACAGCTAGCAGACATGTCCAAACTCCTCATGCACAAGCACTGACCAAACAAGAGAAGCCTTCTCTCCCCCACACAGCAGTGACCAGAGGCAAGTTCACGCTAGTACATGAATATTTATAGGGCCTACTCAATCATAGATATGCAAAATTATGATTGCCACCATGGCATGCGTCCCACCTAAACAAATCATTTTGATAGTTCATAAGTCTTTTTCATGAATATGGGTATAAACCCCAGCTTAACCAGACATACCGGAGGTGTTACATGGGGAGAACTATGACTTTAACAGGCAAAGAAGATGTAGCATGCAACAAATAGCGATGTATAGTCCTAGAAATGATGCAAAACGTTGTATAACTAGTATGTTCAAACAAGTGGGTTGGTGAAAAGGTGATGGCCACAGAATTGATCAAGCGGCAAAGCTGTGCATTGCAGTATGGATGACTGCCTCAGTGAAATGGTGAAGAATAGCCGAGCTGACGAAGGGAGTAGCGAGAGGCTGATATAACCAGAGATCGTGCACGGTTAGTGGGACACGCTCACACACACACACACAGGGCACCACAACAGTAGTAGGGTACGATAACGCTCGTGTGCTACGTCTACTGGGCCTTGCCTGTGGTTCCCTTCTTGGCCATTAAGCTCTTGTGGATGTGAGGAATGACTCCTGAAAACAACACAAACAAAGCAGAATATAATTTGCACAGAGGCAGAATTGAAACGGTGTACACATTTTTGACAACTGGAATAGATTAGAAAAGGGCGCCAAATACGAAGCAGGGCAAGTGGTCCAACGTACATACATGTATAGCAGATGTCCTATCAAACTGGTGGCTGTCATAGGTGATGCTTATCGTATCATGCACAAGCGCGCACAATGACTCACAAGAGGGTTCAGTCATCGACAGAAAATCAAACTTACCACCACCGGCAATCGTGGCCTTGATGAGACTATCGAGCTCTTCATCTCCACGAATAGCCAGCTGCAAGTGGCGTGGTGTGATACGCTTCACTTTCAGATCCTTGGAGGCGTTACCTGCCAATTCCAAAACCTGTAGCCACAGATGCAATACAAAGCCAAGGTACTAGGTCACACAACTGAATATTTGAATTGAACACAGCAACTGAACTGCCACTGGTAACTTACTCGGCATCATTATCATGCTCATGTTGCACAACACAAAATTGCAACAAAAGAATAAACTAAAGTGGACGAAGACTCACCTCAGCAGTGAGGTACTCGAGGATAGCTGCGCTGTACACGGCAGCAGTTGCTCCCACACGGCCATGGCTAGTCGTTCGGCTTTTCAAATGACGATGAATACGTCCGACTGCAAATGCCAACACATGCCCGACAGACAAAAAAATTCAAATAATTGGTACGTACACATGGAGCATGGAGTACCGGTAACGAAAAACGACTAGCAGAAAAAACGAACTCACCAGGGAATTGAAGCCCAGCTCTCGCTGACTGAGAGATCGCCTTAGCCTTGGCCTTGGAGTCCTTTCCAGCTTTTCCACCAGGCTGCACGAAGAAACAGTCCAACCGACACTCTAACTTGTAGTAAACCGATATCCATTTTTTTACTTCTTGGATACTCTCAAACACTACCATCCCCAAAACAGCACGCTCTTTTCATGACTGCAGCTACGGAACACAACGTCGCCTTTCTATTTTATCTACATAATTACTGATCAGTAAGAGTTGCTTACCATGTTTGCAACGGCAAGAGTCAGCAACAAAGCTAAAATCCAAAAACAACCGACGTGAATCGTTCAACAAACGACTGCACCGTGTACGCTTCTTCTACCGATGAAGGCAACAACTAACTTTCTGGCGCGCTTTTTGCTCGATTTGATGGAGAGAAAAAGAACCAATCAGCGACTCGAAAGGTGTATCATGATGACGTCCAGCATCCAGTCTTTTCGCGACTTCTTGACTGAACAGCGTTCTACTTCTAGATCTAGCGTATGCAGCGTGCACAAAACGAGCGAAATCACCTAACCCGCGTACCCGGCCGTCCGTAGCGCATATGTGCCAGTACGTAGCGCTACGACTCGAGCCTACACGGCACACAGGCTAGCATACACACAGACACAGTACAGTGCTGAGTGCAGTGGCACGTCATCATGATCATGACGTGTGCATGTGATCGAAGTGATAATCCATCACTACCATCAAGGGTACATAACCTGGGTTATGTACTCTAGTCTTGCTACCATCATCCGATTCGACATCAAAAATATAAAGCAGGATATCAAGCGAAACATCGCGCGATGCCGATGAACAAACTGTTTGTGACAAAAGACTGAAAGAACTACAATATTTTGGAAATACTGGTACAAGTACTCAATCTACAAGGGTCGACACGCTCATCAATATTGCACCTGGCTGAGCTGGTTCAGTTGTAGATGTTAGAAATCGTGTGACATTCATGCATCATCTACAATGGCTTCGAGGTCTGGTCGTTTCGCAATGGACCCAGCTATCAAAGAGAGACTGAATAAGTGGGACAACAAATACGCTCCTCTCTCTGAGAAACAAGTGGAGAGCTACATGACCTTGATGGATCAGTGTTCTGAACGACCGATGCCCTCTGAGGTATGTACTCCCTCTTGGAGAATTTATTGACGTTTTTTCTTTGTCATTTCCTGAACCAAATCACAAGATTTTGTTAATTTTCTTTGGAAAAAGCAATTCTATGCCTATGGGCTCTGTGAAGTGTGCAGATCAAAATTTATTTGGACCGTATTGTAAACCATGACTGAATAGCAGTGGTTTTGATCAATGGACTGTACACTTGTGTGCAGTATACCTGCTGGAATGATATGCACACATGATATGCACACATGAGATGCACACATCAACGGAACTGAACGCCATACAATCAAGCCCGCAAAGCTTCGGGTCAAGAGTGCATGGACAGTATGTTCTGCAGGTGAAACTCCCATAGTATGTGCCCGGATAAGGCATACATCTACTTGATGCGAACATTTGTTTAAAACTTTACAGATCTACATTGCATTCATATTGTACGGACTCTGCTATTGAACGCATGGTGCATAGTGTATGACAATCTCACTCCCCAGCCTGTCCCGTGAAGAGGTGGCCTCGTATGCCACACACATTCCGTGCTTTCCGATACTTGGCAGGGCGCTGTGCATCATAATTCAGCATCGAATCGCTGCTGTCAGTATGACAACTGAGCGTTGACTGGGCTACGGCGTTCTTTGCCTTTTTCTTCCCAGTGCTTGGTTGAGGCTTTGCAACAGCAGAAAAGAAGCATTGGTCGGGAGACATTTTTAATTTTCGTTGCACTTGGAAAATATGTTGATCCTTTTGACACAGAGAAGAGGAAAAACAATTTGGAGCATGTTTTGACTAGCAGTCCACCAATGTACAGTGCTGCTCTATGAAATCCGGTCGCACGAGTCAAGTTTGCGCCTTCCACCATGTCTCAGCCCAGTGTTCGCAGGTCTAGGGCTGTTTGATGATGTGAAGTGTTCCCTGGCAATTGGATATTTGAATTCTTCTCAGGACCTCACTTGTCCTCTCAGATAGTGCGACAATTAGGTAGGCACAGAACACGACAGAGAGTACTGAGATATCAATTCAACGCCCTGACACCTGGCTCCAGTGTGTCTTCAAAATGCAAACCAAGAACCTACTAACGTAGAAGGCTCCAGGGTTGGGAAAGTTCACAAAGGGTACCGCAAGGCCTTGGTCATAGCGTCAGGTGTGCGACAACTGCTTAGGTGACGTGCCAAACTTCTAGTGACCATGGGAAGCCTCTTGATGGGGTTTTGGTTTTATCAGCCAGTACTTTTTTCCTTGTGGAAATTGGTTGTAAAAGAGAGGCAGCACATTCTAATCAGCGTTTAACTCTTCATTCACGCGTGCATTAGAGCAATCACGCAGTGGACTAACTTTCTATCCTTCTCTTGTACAAGGAAAGTAGCGTTGGTAGTAGTTTTTCGCCCCCTTCCGGATCAGTGCCATATTTTCGCTTCAGTTTATAATACGTTTAGCGTCCGATAATCCACCCATCAGGGCAATATAGCAGTAGATCAACTGAATTTGTGTTTTCTTTCCTAGCACAGCTTTTAGTTTTTGCGTCGTATTGATTTCTTCACTGACACACACACACACACGCGCACACACACGCGCACACACACACACACACGCGCACACACACACACACACACACACACACGCACACTACTACTACTACTACTACTACTACTACTACTACTACTACTACTACTACTACTACTACTACTACTACTACTACTACTACTACTACTACTACTACTACTACTACTATGTACAGCTACCCTATCGGGCCACGCCGCTCCCAGAAGCGGGAGGCAACGACAAGAAGAGAGAAGAGAAAAGAGAGAAATCACAAAGTCAACAGTATTGGGCATGGCGTTGCAAGTCCTGTGGCCTTGAGAACCGCCTTTCGCAATGCTCGCATTCATGACGGCAGTTGTTCCTGGCTGCACGTGACATCCGTTTCGCACGGTCACAGTGATGACGGCTCAAACCAGAACGGGAGCGGAAAGATCGGCGACAAACATCACATCGAAAAGAGTCAGATTAGATACAGTAGGGACATCCGTGGACACAGGACAGCGATGCACAGCCAGTCATCCAGCGCTCCTCAACCACCGCATGCACTTCATACATTGCCTGGCACCCTTCTGTTGTGACACAGGCAACTTCCGCTGGGCAATGCACTTGTGTCGGGCCATGTCGTTACGGCGGCGGAAGTCTCTGGCACACAGCAAGCAGCGCAAAGGTGGCGAATCATCTGTGTGCGGTGGTGGCTCAGCAAGGAACATCCTCCAGTTCTGCCGGTCTTGGGCATTCTGAAACCAGGAATCCACGCCAGCATGTCTCTCTGGACAACGTCTTTCCAGCGCCGCCGGGGACCACAAGGGGGGCGACGACCACTCAACCTTCCAAACAAAATCTGGACGGGAGCACGGTCTGCAGGCATGCGCGCGACGTGCCCGAGCCATTCCAACCGCCGACGCCGAATAAGGACACACACACACACACATACACACACACATACACACACACACACACACACACACACACACACACACACACACACACACACACACAAGTGTGATTGCACCGTAGTACACACCCATCTACTCTGCATTTATGGTGGTGACTGTATGCTATTGTCTGCTCAACACAGTTGATTCCAGATGAGCCAAGTCCATTTGATCGGCATTCTGTTGCCCTGGCATCTGGAGAGACAGCCAATGCATCGTCAGCAGAGGCTCACGGCATTGCCATGTTAGACGAGCCCCTGCAGAAGCTTGCTCTTGACGGACAGAACATGCAGACTGCCCAGCAGGTGAGTGGGCAATGGGAGCTTTGCTCGGTGTGAGTGTGTGTGTGTGTGTGTGTGTGTGTGTGTGTGTGTGTGTGTGTGTGTGTGTGTGTGTGTGTGTGTGTGTGTGTGTGTGTGTGTGCGTATGTGTGTGTGCGTGTGTGTGGCGTGGAGTGGTGGCAGCAGCAGGTGAGGAAAAGGCCCTGCCCCGAAGAGCATTGAGTGCCCAACCTGCAACCGTCTGTTCCGCCGTATTTCTTACATAGCCCGGCACAAGTGTTCGACAATCCGTCAGCTCCCGGTATCGGAGCAGCCTGGATTAGTGCAGTGTCCAACATGCAACCGATGGCTACGTAGCAGGGGGGTTTTGCGGTGCATAAGTGTCGGCTAGGCGATGACGAACAGCCGCCGGCCCCTGCTCCTCTTGTTGTTACGGGTGTAACTTGCACAACCTGTCAGCGTTCGTTTAAGTCCAAAGCGCCCTGTGGCTGAACGCCCGCTATTCAAGTTTCACTGCCAAGTTTGCCACAACCGACGGTTCCGGAGGCGGCAAGATCTGGATCGCCACTTGGAGCATTGCCTTCCTCCCCCCTAACCTCTCTGACAGTACCTCCCATCTGGTGTGTGTGTGTGTGTGTGTGTGTGTGTGTGTGTGTGTGTGTGTGTGTGTGTGTGTGTGTGCGTGCGTGTCCGTGTGTGTCCGCGTGCGGGTGCATGGGGAGGGGGGGGGGGGGGCAGGCCCCAGTTTGCAATGCCAGTTATACGGGTTGGGTAGTTACACTCTCTTATGTGTTTTTTCCCCCTTCTGTGTACGTGCAGTTCTTGTCCTGGTTTGCTGACGTGGAAGCAGCGATGCGTCAAGACGAGGAATCTGAGTTCAGGTGAGTATGTCCTACTTGTGCCACTGCAACCAGATGCTGTTTAGTGTTGTATGCACGGTCTGCAGCATGCCAAGCATCTATCAATACATTCAGTCAATGTGCGTTTTAGTTACGTGCTGTTCCATGGGTGTGTACATATATGATGAGACCTTTTGGTGCACTAGAATTTCCTCGATCTGTTTGATTAATTATTTGATTAGGGCTTGCCGTGTTGAGCGTATTATTTCGGCAATTGCTGATGTCAGCCGCATTCTCCCGCTCTGATGTAGAATCCTACATTTCTCTTCTGGCACTCTCAATTTGTGGTGGTGTTGCTATGTGTGCTGTGTGTGTGTGTGTGTGTGTGTGTTTGTGTGTGTGTGTGTGTGTGTGTGTGTGTGTGTGTATGTGTGTGTGTGTGTATGGGTGTATAGGGAGTACTTGTCGGAGCTGCGCCGCTACACTGATCACTGTGACAGCATCCTGTCGGACATCAATACGACAATGAGAGAGCTGGATCGGCTCAAGGATCAGTACTGTCACGTGTCCACACAGACCGGTGCTCTGCACTCTGCGTGTGAGCAGCTGCTGGAGGACCAAACACGTCTGGTAGAGACGGTCACCATCATCAGCGACAAGCTAGTGTACTTTGACGACTTTGACTCATTGCATCATGTGAGTTCACAATATGATTAGAATGCTTTTCTATGTCTATCGTGGTGCATTATCTGATTGTCTCTGATGCTTTTTGATGCACTGGACAAATCGTGTTGTACTCTTTTTGACTGCAGTGTTGAATTGTGGACTGGAATGCGACTTTGTTCTTCTGTCTTGTTTGTTCTGTAGAAACTGCACTCGCCCATGCTGTCGGTGATGAGTGAAACATTCATGCCGATACTGACAAGACTGGACGAGTGCATCACGTACTTATCAGCGCATGTAAGTACACGTAGTGTCTGTGTGAATGCCATGCAACAACCTAGACTACTCTTGACACTGGGTGAATGCCGGACAAAGTGTTCAGCGGCTGCTTGCTGAGTCTCCCCAGCCCTTTCTTGAATTGTTCTGGGGTTATTCACATTGCTACTCGCGATCTTTCTCGGCTTTACTAGATCCATTCTGGATTTCTATGCGGAAGGGTCCGGAGTTTTGAATGCAACCCATTATGATTTTGTGAGTGAGTTGTTCCGAAAGACTCCGCAAATGCCTGCAGTGGTTGATGTGGTTTGGTTTCGTTCCTGATTGTACAGCCCCAATTCCAGGAGTCTTCGGTGTACTTGACTCGCTTCAGGCAGTGTCAGAGCTATGCGTTGTCTCTGATCAAAGTACACACGATCAACACACTGCGTGAAGCCACCAAACAGGTCATGCCCAGCCCCTCGGTGAGTTCACCGTTGCGCTAGCGTATAGTGCTCAAATGTGGTGCCCCTGCTTGTGCTGTTGCCGCCAATGCACCGCATGGAATATCGCCGCCTTTGGTGGCTGCCTTGGAGGTGCCCCGTGCTTGCATGTTGTTTTAGTTATTGTGGCATTCAGCCTGATTCAGGGCGTGTATGATGTGGTTGTTACCGTGTGCCAGTGTCTATCAGGCTATCACTGCCTCCACACCAGCACTTTCTGCAAGTATGTTTCATGTACGGTACTAGTGTACTAAGTTGGGCTGAACATATCCTCTATCAGAATGCTGAGTTCTATGGGTCTCACAGTTTTCTCTCTTTGACGTGGTCTGGTTGACAATGATTTAGTGGTAATTGTATGTTGAAGTTGACTAATACCATCCTTCTCTTACAAAGTGCATTGATATCTGTTACTTCGGCCCTGTTTACCACCACCACCACCCCCCTCCCCTTGGCAGGCATGTACTAGTTTGAGCTGATTGCGAATCTAATGTCTTGTGTATGCTCCAACTCTTGTATGGGCAGGCTCTGGCCTCGATATCCACGGAGGACATGTTCGGGTCGTTCTTCGGGAAGTTCCGCACCTGTGCACCGCGCATCAAGGTGGGTCTAAGACTCGTCTTTGATCATGCCAGTATGAGAACTTGAGCTACTAGTGCAGGCGAGTTTGTGCAGCGTGTATGAACGTGAAAGATACAGGGCAGAACGTATATGAGCATTGTGTGTGGCATTTCGCTTTGCAGAACCACGCTAACTTCTTATGCATCTTTGGCATGCTGTCCCTGTCATTGTCTTCCTCGGTGTCAAAGCAAGTGTGTGTGTGTGTGTGTGTGTGTGTGTGTGTGTGTGTGTGTGTGTGTGCATGTGTGTGTGTGTGTGTGTGTGTGTGTGTGTGTGTGTGTGTGCATGTGTGTGTGTGCGTGTGTGTGTGTGTGTGTGTGTGTGTGTGTGTGTGTGTGTGTGTGTGTGAATTGCTGTTATCGTTACTGCAGCTGCTCATGGAGCAAGTGGAGGAGAAAGCGGGAAGTAAAGAAGAGTAAGTCGCAAATGTCTCCCTGAATAAATAAATAATTTTTGTTTTTCGCAAAGTGGACGACACGTTATGAGCAGTACTCTGGCTCTTTTATAAATATGAATTGTAGCTGAGTGCCCATACATGTAAATGTTTGAGGCTTGCCCAGAACAGCTGTTGTTGTTTGTAGGGCTGAAACGAATGCTCAATGAAGCGAACGAATATTCTTTTTCCGAATACATGCGAAACGAAGAATATTCCGAATATTCTAAACCGTGCAATTTCCATGGATACCTAGTTTTATCCATGGTAACCATAGGCCATTAATTGGCATACACCCCAATTACAAGAGAGACATTTGAAAAATCATGTGTCTTGCTGATTATAGCACATCGAAAAAGGCAAGCCTACTTATATTTTGCACCAAATAACCTTGATCGATGTCAAAAAGGCGAGTTTCTGTACATTTACGAATATTCCTATTCTACTTTAACGAAGATTATTCTTTTTCCGCTTTGCATATTTCGAATATTCGAATAGTTCGAATATTCCTTTCAGCCCTAGTTGTTTGTGTGATGGTGTCGTAGAGCAGGCCTGTGGCTGTCCTGACGACTCCTTTGTGTTGCTGACTGGCTCCACCATGTGCAGTCACACTCCCCTCTTGGAGGCACTATGTCACGTTCCAGTTTGGTGTTCATCCTTAGTGTAATGCATGTCGGGCGTCTAACCACGGAGGGGGTGGGGGTAGGGGGCTGTATGTTGCATCAAGTGCTTTCCCTGTCCCCCCTCCCCCCCCCCCCCCCCCCCCTACTATTTGCTCCTGGCTAGAACCCTGGCATGTTTTGGGGTTTAAGACACAGCGCATTTCAGACCTTTTTCCAATATAAAGTGTAGCGCAAACCACCGTAAAATACAGCACCTGTTTTTCCTCAGCGGAAGTAGTGATGGCTTCATCTTCAGTAGAATAATATGCCAGTACCCTGGCAAATACAGTATCTGTATTCCATGTGTGTGTGTGTGTGTGTGTGTGTGTGTGTGTGTGTGTGTGTGTGTGTGTGTGTGTGTGTGTGTGTGTGTGTGTGTGTGTGTGTGTGTGTGTGTGTGTGTGTGTGTGTGTGTGTGTGTGTGTGTGTGTTGTGTGTGTGTTGGTGGGTATTGTGTTGTGTGCAGCTACTGCTCACTGCTGCAAGACTGTCAGCAGTGCTACTTCAATTTCCGCCTGACATTGTTGCAGCCTAGCCTGGCGCAGGCTATGCGCAAGCTAGTGGTTCAGCACAATACTGACAAGCCCTCGCTGGTATGATGTGCCATGTGACAAATGAACTGTGTGTGTGTCTGTGCCCGTGTGTGTGTCTGTGCGTGTCTGTGCCCGCGTGTATGAGTGTGTGTGTGTGTGTGTGTGTGTGTGTGTGGGTGGGTGTGTGTGTGTGTGAGTGTCTGTGTCTGTGTGTGCGCGCACGCGCATGTGTGCACGCGTGTGTGAAAGCGTGCGTGTTGTCACTGTGTACATATGGGTGTGTTCTACCCTGTCGTGAATTATACCGGTAATCAGTGCGCGTAGTTCCTGCGCTGTGCAGTAGGGTGCTATGGATGCAGGGATTAGGAGTGGTCTGTCTCTGACCTCTTTGTTATGTCTTGTCAATTGAGTCTGACGATCGCCACTTTATGAACTGTTTCCGTGCCCTGATATTTGAGGGTGGTGCTGTTCCTGCGGATGTGGGAAATTCAGTTGGACTGACTCTCGCGAAAGCCGCAGAGTTTCTTTTTATGCTCTTTTATAGTGCTTTGTTGTTGTTGTTGTTTTTCACTTCTTCCAATCTCTTGTTTGATCTCTCTTACCGTGTGTTGTCAGGTACGGGCTGGCGGTACATTCATGGTTCGGTTGTGTCAGGATGAATACCAGCTGTATCTGCGGTTCTTTTCCTCACCTTGTCCCGGTCTAGAGTAAGTCAATCTGTAGCAATTGGCCAGTAGCGGATTCGTCTGTGTGACTATGTGTGGGTGTTTATGGATGATTACCGTATTTTTCGGAGTATAGTGCGCACCTTTGTATAATGCGCACCTTTGTATAATGCGCACCCCCAATCTTCATTGGGGGTGCGCACTTCAATCTTCATTGAAGTACATGCATTTCATATTCGGAGCATAGTGCGCACCTGCGATTTAGGGCCTAAAATAGCACATCTAAAGTGCGCACTTTACTCCGGAAAATACGGTAGTTGGAGTTAACAAATGTTGATGGTGTTCTTGTTGTCTCACTGCCCTCTGTATGTTGCAACGGTGGTGTTGACGGTATGTTCCACCCTGCAGTGATTACCTGGAGTCGCTGTCTTCAGTGCTCTACGATGAGCTGCGGCCATGCTTCATTCAGCTCAACCATTTGGAAACTCTGGCAGACCTCTGCCTTGTGCTCAAGGTCAGTGTTGTGTGCTCCCCGGCTAAGTGGTTTTTCCAATACATTGTAAACGGGACCTCAGCAATGCCTCTCGTACAGGCTAGGGTAGCACACTGCCATTTCTCGCCTTAGAATGTAAAAAGCAATGCTGGCTGCACCATCGTAGCCTGCGTCTGGAACTTGGAAGTTTTGTTCGTAAATGCTCTGAATTGAACGGTACACTGTCTGTACATGTGTGTTGCCTCCCATTGTAAGGTGTACTTCAGTATCACAGCATTCTCTCTGCTTACTTTGATTGTGCGCTCTTCAGGTGGAGCTGATTGAAGACTATGTGGCGCAAAAACGTAAGACTGCTACAGAGTGCAGGCCCAGGACTTGTATCTCCGGTTCAAGCGGGAAAATGTATTTTTTTACAGTTTCACGTCAAGATAGAGATGTGTGTTTATGCTATTCCTCGAGTGAAGCTACTTATTAACATAAACTGTATGTCCGTGGAATGACATCAACCAGCCCCCTGGGCCAGCTAGAAACCTGCCTATTACCCATTTTAACCCTTTATGTACTGATTTCCAGCACAGAATGAAGCAGAATTTGAATTTTCAGCACAATTTTCACATTCAACAGGCTCTAACTTTGGCCTCCTTCGCTTCATTTCCACAGTCTTGGGCTCTTTGGAAAGCTCCTGGCGAGAGCAACGCCAGGATACCAGGCTCCATCAACTAGCTGCCACAAATCAGGCGCGGGAACACAGCAAAGTCGTCTCCAAGCCCAATATGCGAGCAAATTTCCCCATCAACGCCATTCCACTCTCCTCTATCGCAGAATGCTCAAATCTTTTCGAGGCGATTCAAACTTCAGCCAACTACATCATTATCATGTGCTGAGTTGGTCAAAGAGCACACGAAAAGGGATTTTCCCCTAAGATGGCGAAGAGATCGATAAAAAAAATTGAATTTGCCGAGACAAGAATACGGCGCGCGATATCTCTGGATTCGTACATCGTAGCTCTTCGGCGATTATTGCATTGGAAAGCTTGGAGTTTCCGCAACCAAATAGACCCTTCGATTGTTGAATTCGGACAAGAAATGATGGAGTTACGAAGGTTTTACGGATTGATCATGAATCGATCATATGTGATCGATTCACGTACCCACCGTACATAAAGGGTTAATGGCTGCTGTCCAGTTTACACAGTGTTTAGAGTGTTGCCTGTCTGATGTGAGCTGGTATATGTGTATCCTGTGATGTGTGCTGTGTGTGTAGCGCGGGAGCTGGCGGCTTTTGGTGTAGTTGCTGAGCAAATGCTGGAGGATGTTCAGCAGAGGCTTGTGTATCGTGCACAGGTACGTGGCACTAATGCTTGTGACTGTGCAGAGGCACGCTATGGTCACTACGGTATTGGCTGTACCACTCTTTGTCCCAGGTACCCCGGGAATCAACGAAATGCACTGATTTGGGATCTTTGTTTTGAAAAATTCCAACAGAGCCACCCCTCCCAACAAGTGGATTGTACTTCAGATAGCTAACAGTACCACCCTAAACTACCTTGTGACGCCCCTGCTGTGTGTGTGAGCTAGGGCAATGGTTGCCCCTGCTGTGTGTGTGAGCTAGGGGAATGGTTGGCATGGTCTTTAGCTAGGGGAATGGTTGGCATGGTATTTAGCCGCTGGACCTTGTTCAGTATTTACTCCATCATTGGGATGTTGCAGAGGGTTTAATGGAAGCATAGATTACTTATCTCACAATCACAGTTTGTGAATACCGGTAGGTTGAAGTCACTCTAGCCCTTTCACCACAACCATCATACACAATGCCTTTCAGAGGGCAGGCTCTCTTTTCTCACTGCTCCTGCTCAAGAGCGTAAGGACTGCAACGCAATGCTAGCCACTACCATAGTCACACCTCAGGCACGTGCACCGTATGAGTTTTTTGGTGTCTGGAAACCACCTTTTTTCGGGCAATCTTGCCAAAGGAAAAGCGTGCCTACTGGATTGATTGGTTATCGTGCATACCCGTCGACTGACGGGCAGTTTACAGTACAATGACTGTCCTTATTTCGAAGTGAGAGAGAGTTGCTTTGCATGCAGTTCAAAATACATTATTTTCTCTTCTGGTTCGCTCCTGGATTGGCAATGTCGTTCAAGAAAGCCGTTTGGTCTCAAAATTTGGGTCAAGCACGCGCGATGCAAGTCAGTTCAAGGATATGATTGACGATATCTCCTTCCAAACTGTTGACTCAAATCAAGGTCTCCACAGCCTTTCGTTCTCGCTCATGTGCGCAGCAGAGATGTTCGTCAAAAACGTTGTCGGCTGGAAGACTTAAAAGTGTGCGTCCATGATCCACTTGCGCCGCTTCAGAACAAAGCGCTGCTCCGGCCGCGACTCAAGGACGCGGGGCTTCGCTTTTCTTCGGCGAGCTTCCATCGAAGCAAGGTTCATAACTCTTTATTGAAATCATGTGAAACATTGCCAATACATGCTGAAAACTTCGTCATAAGAACAGAAAGAACGATACGTCGAATGTAAGCAGTGTTTTGATGAAACGAACAGGCCTGGAGTGGACTAGTGAAGTACCATAGTCTGATAGACGTAGTGTTATAGACTGTAGTGTAGCCTGGGCGGCCAGGCCTATCAAACTTTTACGGGTTCAATATGACAAACATGTATGAGTTACATGTACATTGACTTTTGAGCCCTCTTTGCGAATACTTTTTGAAGTGCTGGTATGTAAAAGGTACCCCGTTTTATCCTGCTACCGGTTATACATGTACCAACATTTCCATGTAACATCGTCCCCTCCCTCCATTCCTCATTACTCTTACTTTCTGTCCTTTCTACCCCTGGACCTGGTTGCCTCTCAGACGCGTTTGTGCCGGCATGATCTGATGATAGCAGTCGGACGAGCCCCACATCTCATCAGCACCAGTGTTCATTGGTGCCCTGCACCCCTGATCTACAGTCCCCTCCTCCCTAGCCCTCGCCGTTATCTCCGACGGGATGTTCGGGGGATGCGCATGTGCACAAATACATAATTATATAGTGGGTCTCCATAAAAAAATTACCAACTCTAGAAACCCCCCTTTCAAGACTCGGTGCACGCCACTGCACCTAGTGTATATCACTCATTGGCTTATTAACAGACTTGTGGACACTCATTTTGCTGGTTGCTGCTGCTGCCCAAAGAAAGCACCTTTTTCCACTCTATTTATACTCGGAACCACCGGCACTATTATATTGCGTGACTTGGAGAATGAATGTGTTGCCTTACGGTAGACTTGTTGTGTAACTGCTTTTGTATGATTTCGTTGCCTTCTTGAACTGCAGTCCTTCATGCAGTCGGACATTCAGCGCTATGCACCCGGTCCAGGTGACCTGGCCTATCCCGAGAAGCTACAAATGGTTAGTTACGGCCTTCTCCTGTACTTCTCCTGTACTTCTCCTGTACTCATGTACTCATGTATGTTTAGCAGTAAACAGGTTGATGGGTTTGCTAACCTCCAGCTTGGCTACCTCCCTAGGTTTCTGACTCATCCTCCATTTACAAGTACATGTATCTTTGCTGTAGCTTCCATACTCAATTTATCCTCGTAACGTTGCTGTCTGGTTGCTCCCCAATCTGGTTGTCTTTGCACCACAGCAACTTGATTCCTGCTATCACTACTTTCCTGCCTTTACTAATTACTAGCACATTACTAGCACTGGTTATTAGGGTTTTGGAGATTGCTTGTAGCTCCTTCTGTCACCGTGCATCCGGTGTGTGTCATCCGGTGTGTGTCATCCGGTGTGTGGTGTGTGGTGTGTGGTGTGTGTCTAGCCACACTTCATGTACTAGTACTTTGTACTTCGAGAAGTTGTTTTTTGTTTTTGTTTGTTTGTTTGTCTCTCTGTTTGTTTAGTGTGCTGTGGTGATTCTCATGAATGCGATAATTATACTGAAGCATTACTGAGCTCTTTCTGTGTGCTCTCTCTCTCTCTCTCTCTCTCTCTCTCTTTCTCTCTCTCTTCTGCTCTCTCTCTCTGTCCATGTATCTGTCTCTGTTCAGAGCAAGTCCTCTGACTCTACAACGGGTGCATCACAGGTCCCTGCAGCAGGTAGTCCCACGGCAGGATTGCTGACCCCGGGAATGCAGCAGCAACTAGCTGCAGCTGACCAGCAGGGCATGTGGTATCCCACGCTGCGACGTACACTCGTGTGCCTGGCTAAGCTCTACCGGTGTATCAACGTGAGTACACGTAGCTGCCTCTGTACTTCTTGAGTTTTCTGGCCTCATACAGGAAGAATTTCATGGCCAGCCTGAAGAGGATTACAGGTACCAGAAATTGTTTTGAAAAAGTCCAGATTTTCATGGTTATTCAAGTGAACCTAAGGTCCATCATTTCTGGCTGGATTTTGGGTCATGTGAAATCAGATAAATGATTTCACGTGTCACACTTGTCACCAGTGTAGTTCTGTTGGTGCACTATAACTCAATCTCCACACATATGACTGTATGTCTCTGCATTCAACAAGAGCAAAGCATCCAATTTGACTTCTCGCCCTGCAGAGCAGGGATTGCTTGGCCGTGCTGCAGTGTCAGCAGGCAACCAGTTCTTGCCAGCTGTAAACTGACTCCTTGCTTGTACGCGTATGTTGTAACAACTGTTCTCTGCTGTGCAGAAAGGTGTATTCGAGAGCCTGTCACAAGAAGCACTGGCCATATGCGTACAGTCGCTTGTGTACGCTTCCACGGAGATTACGAAGAAGAAAACCCAGCTGAACGGCTTGCTCTTCCTGATCAAGCACTTGCTGATCCTGCGCGAGCAGATTGCACCATTCGATGTGAACTTTGCTGTGAAGGAACGTGGTCTGGATTTCTCACACCTGAAAGGTTTGTGCTCTTCCGGTAGTACAGTCGACCTACCCTTATAACGATATTTGCGTCAGACCAAGAAATATTGTTATAAGGGTAATATTGTTATAGGGGTAACTGGTTCACTTCATACACATACGTCATAATACATGGACTTTATTCATTTTTTACACTCTTCATGCATGTAGAATTAAAAACTGACGCACATGCACATTATGTACACAGCAAGGTGCACTGGTGCCCCCATTGCATTTTGTCATTTCCCAGCAACTTATCAAGTGAAGCTTGCCCTACCTGGATAGTGCATGCTATTAGTGGGCTCTACATATTCCTTGCAAGATATTGTTATAAAATGGAAAATGTCGATTGGTCAGCCCATTTTATATTGTTATAGGGGTAATATCGTTATAGCAATATTGTTATAGAGGTAAGGCATTGTATACGCAAGTCAATGGAGTGATTTGGTTTGGCAGAAAAATATCGTTATAAGGGTAATATCGTTATAGAGGTTATCGTTATAAGGGTAATATCGTTATAGAGGTTATCGTTATAAGGGTAGGTCGACTGTAGCTCAAGATTATTACTAGCGATTCCAGTCCAATTCTTTAATAAGCTGAAATTATAGAAAGCTTGATCCGTACTGGAGTGATGAGGCCACAAAGTTGGTATGCAATTCTATGCAGAGTGATCAGGTGGCACAAAAGTGGGTTTTCTCCGACCTCATGAATATCATGCATACACAGTGAATGTATGCGGGATTTTGGTGTCGTTGGAGAGTGGTAGAGAGACTATCGTGGGTGTTTGGAAGGATGAGTGGCTTTGATGGATTGAAATAATCAGCTCCTTCTCAAGCATGTCCACGGTATTAACGTAAAAAAAACTGCAGTGGCCATGGATTTACATATTTGATGCATTGGAACAAAGACAGACTAAAAAGTAGGGATTCACTGGCCAGAAAGCCACTTCCAAAAGCTGTGCAGTGTGTAGACCAGGCTGAATAGTGCCAGTTAATTCTTCCTCAGCCTTGCAAGCTGTTGAATGGTGCAATCCCAGCACAAGTGCGATGGCTTCTGCTGCAGCATCGCTATCATTGCTCCCGGTGATGGGCGTCGAATGGTCTAAATGTGTGTGTGTGTGTGTGTGTGTGTGTGTGTATGTCTGTCTGTGTAGATGTCGCCTTTGGTCTTTTCCAGCATCGTAGTCGTCTGTTTGCGCTCACCTATCAGAACGCCTTGCTGGAGTTTGTGGTGAAGGTTAGAAGACATTGAACTACCTGTATGTACATGTATCTGCTACTCGTTGTCTATTTCACAACTTTACACAGGCTTCTAGCCAGGTCAAACTAGTAGGGGGGGGGTAGGGGAAACAGTTACGCCGTAACGCCTGTTTTCCATTTTTATTTATTTCCAAAACGGTCTTGCCATGCGAAATGCAATGCACGGGGGCGAACTCCCGACTTCACCCCAGACAAGTGTGCATTTAGGATTTCGCTAAATAGCCTATGCAAATTGATGAAATGGGTTTCATGAGGTGTTTGGAACTGTTCTCCATACACTTCCGTAGGAATAATCCAAATTTCAAGCCGATCGGCCAATTTTCGGGGTGAAGTTTCCGCTGTAGTACCGTAAAGTACCGCCAGAGCGCCCCGTCTCGCCAGAGCGCCCCACCTTGATTTTACAGCCAGAGAAAGGAAAATCGTATGGCAGAGTGCAACGAAGTTTGTACGATGTGAGAATCTTAGTGTACTAAGGTCACGCTTGGCAGGGTTTTATGTGGAGCTTGTGTCCGCTCGAAGGTACGGATTGACTGCAAAACGTGCAATATGTGTTCAAGGTTCATGCCGTATGACCTACAGACAGCAGACCACCTCCACAATACGACCACGAAAGGATGAGTGTGGTGGGGCGCTCTGGCGGTACTTTACGGTACAGTTAAAAGCACTAGATATTCCAACCTGCGGCAGTGCTCCCCAATCAATCACAGACATCTATGCATGGTATCCATGTACTTATTCAGCATACTAAGCATTCTATCATCATCTGCATCCATTACAACACTCTGGATAATGCAGAACACTCGAATCCTACATAATTATAGGATCTGACAAAAACTGACATGTCCTCTCTAAAACGGCCCTATAAGTCAATTGATAATAGTATCATAATACTGGCACTCTTGAAAACTTCTAAAGAAAAAAGGGGTCAAAAATACAAACAAGGCTGGTCGAGGCAGCTCGAGGTAGAGTGCTCACTGCTCAATGCACAAATGTGCAGTATACACATGCAGCGGGAGCGGAAAAAAATCACCACGTACAGCTCCATGAGCTCCCTTTCCATTGCTGAGTCAAACAAAGATTTCGGCATGATGGAAGAAGTTGGCAGTCTAGAAGTCAAAACTCAAAAGCATGCAGTGAGACTGAAAGAGTAGAGGCTGAAATAAAAGAAAAGACGGAACATGCGGACATGCGGTGCAAGGATATCAAAAGTGCTGCCGCGTGCCGCCGGAATCTGCATTCCACTGGCTTGCAAAGTGGTGGGAAACCTTTTCCATGTTTAGGGGCCATCCGTAAATATCGATAGTTTTTTCAATCCGTGAATTTTACAAAGTAACCAGGACCCACCACCCCCCCCCCCCCCCCTACTTTTTACGGAATAAAATATTGATGACACATGTACTGTACCTACATAAATGTAGGTGGAGTCCATGGAGTCCATACACACTCAGGCATGCGCTCACCGTGTCATTCATAACTAGAGTACAGCAATGTATTTTGGCAGACTTGGCCTGAGTTTGCCGGTCCTCGCCAGGTTCCTGCGATGCAGCGTCCTTCGGGGTGTCGGCGGAGGTGGAAGTCTGTGCGAAAATGCTACTTCCTAGCTTCTGCCCGTCCTTCGCTCTGAGTGAATTGGCCTTTTGGATGATCTCCGACCTTGCCTGTGGGTCTGCGGAAAACGTCTCCATCCACTACTTCTGTGCTTTGGTGAAAAACGCAGATCGATTATTGGACGTTTCAACAGTCCACAAGGCCTCGATGACGGTGTAGTAGCCATCGTCGTCTTCACCAGGGCTGTCAAGCTCTTTGAAAAACTTATCTTTTTTGGCAGCTGTCCCAAACAAAGTAATCTGCCGTGCCATTTTCGTTAGGCAGCTGTACCAAACAAAGTAGTCTGCCGTGCCATTTTCGTTAGGCCACGCTCCACATGGGAACTGTTCCAACCATTGGCGATGTAGCAATTCTTCGATGTGGAGTTCAAATAAGAGCTGGACTTGACCCGGATTAATCAGGTATTGTGATACTTCGAATAATTGTGCAATAATTATACTTGTGAATAATATCTGACAAACTTCCCTCTTTCTTTTGCTTCAAGAGTTTCGATCTCCACTACATTTTTTGGAGACAACAATCTACGTGTACGTGTGGTTCGACGCACGCAGACCCACGCACACGCAGTACTGGGCGCCAGGTCCGCGTGTCATCGATATTTTATTTACTTTGAATTTCGGCTGCACCCACCACCCAGGTACGAAAATTTCACGGATTGTAAAAACTATCGACATTTACGGACGGCCCCTTACGCTGGCGGGAACGTCACGTGAGCGATTCACCGTAACAACTTTCAGATTCCGCTTGCTTTTTACGCAAGTCTGAGCGCGTCCTTACTCTGAATTGTGTGTTTCTTGTTTGCACTGACAATGCTGTGTGTTTGTGTGCAATATCATGTCATAGAGTGGACCCACGTTGACTGAAAACTATCTGGACTCACGAAAGGTAATACTAAATTCCTTCTGAATTGATCCCGGGACCAAGAGCGTTGCTATCTTGGATGTTGTTCAGTTGCCGTATTGGATATGTGTGCTAGGGATCCGGTGTGAGTCCGAATTCTCCAGGATACCTCAATGAAAATTCATCCCGCTATGTGTGTCGTATGAGTTTTTTCTAAGGAATTGCACTTGTATGGATAGCGTGTGTTATACTGTATAGCACAAAGTACTAGTTTTGATGCTTTAGCTACTCCTAACTAACTAAATTCAATGTCTTACTGACAAGGTGTGCATGTCAGTAGGACATTGCCTTAGCACCGATAAGCGAGAAGTGCCACTTTCTCAGCCTGACACATGTAATTCCTTTTTCTATGTGTAAACAGCATCCTTTACCGGCAAAATAAACACAATGAGCATAATTCCGAATTGGTCCCAAATTCAATTTTCTATCGAAGTGTTTTGCTTATGATTCTTCTTTCTATACAATAATAACTAATACTAGTAACAATACATTGTCAGGCCTGAGGGCGTACTGTCATGGAGAAGTATCAACTGTGTGTCATGCTCCTCCGCAACGATATCATTGTATGTGTGTATGTGTGTGTGTGTGTTTGCACAGGATGTGGACAACCGCTTGAAGTCATCATGTGAGCAGTTTGTATCGACTGTGTCGTCGCAGCTATCAGGACCACTGCGTGACTATTTGGAGAAGGTATGGTCGTGTTGGCAGTATGGTTTCACAGCCCCTACTCATCCTTTTCTTTTGCTCGGTGGTCTCGACCTTAGCGTAGACTGTGATACACTGTTGCTCTGGTCTATTGCAGTTTTGTAGGTGGGCGGGCAAACAGGGGGGGGGGGGGGGGGGGGGGAGATGCTATCGTTTGCTGCGTACTCCGTCGTGAAGTGAGGCTACGAGTGAAATCCTGTAGATTCGTGACCGACACATGTAATGAGTCAGATCCATTGTCCTGCCTGGCTGCTGTTCTACTGTCCTGGAAACCCTGCTTGGGCTGCATGTTGCTTGTTCTGGTCAGCTGGCGATATCCCCAGAGTTGTTCAATATCCTCGTCCTTTTCTCTTCCCGGGTTATGGTTCTCAGGCACAGAGGCTACTGGACCTGTCTGCCAAGCAGGGCTCCAAAATCAAGCTACGGCAACAGCCATTCGCCGACCCAGGTATGATGTCTTGATGTTTGTGCTCTCTCTCTCTCTCTCTCTCTCTCTCTCTCTCTCTCTCTCTCTCTCTCTCTCTCTCTCTCTCTCTCTCTCTCTTACCCGTTACTGTAAAAGCCATATTTATAACGAAGTGCTAACTCTAACGAATTAACGAGGAGCAATCTGTCGTTAAAATAGAAATCGTTATACAGAAATCGATACATATACTGTCCTATTGAGCGTTGAGAATGAGTGAGAATCGTTACTTTTGGTACACGTAAACTGGTCAATTTTGGGAAATCGTTATATATGCGCCTCGTTAGAATAATGGCTTTTACAGTATAATTATGTTTCTTCTTTCTTGCACTGTACTAACGTACTAACTCTGAGATAGTGTGTGCCACTGTAGTTAATGCTAGGTTTTATTCCCGTAGCTATGCAGAAGACGTTACTTCAGTAACGTCTGGCGCTAGCCAGGGTCCACACAGCTTTAATTTGGTATTTGTTTGTTTGTTTGTGTGTTTGTTTGTTTGTGTCACGCCTGGCGCTATCCCGTATCTGTCCCGTATCTGTGACTACAAAGGCTCTACAGGATTGTACATAACAGCTGTCCACAATATTTGCGGGCTCCTGTATCTGTCCCGTACCGTACCAATATTCGTCGTATTATGCATACGACTCCCTGATGTAGAGTGGGATTTGGAAAGAAATAGGGAGACGAGGAGGAAATTAAATTAGAATAGACGCCGATAAGGTGATAGGATGCGTCAGCATAAACATACTTTGGAAGAGAGATCCCGTCGTCTCCAAAATAAGCGTGAAAGAGCGATTCAGTGCCGGTCACAGGAAACGTCGGAAGAGAGATCCCGTCGACTCCAGAACGCCCGTGGTCGGTAGAGTCCGGCGGTACCAGGCAACGTCAGGACAGACATCCCGTTGAGTCCAGAACGCCCGTGATCGGCAGAGTCTAAGCCGGTCCCAAGAAACGTCAGGACAGACATCCCGTCGAGTCCAGAACGCCGTGATCGGCAGAGTCAGCGCCGGTCCCAGTAAACGTCAGGACAGACATCCCGTCGACGCGCAGAAAAACAAAATCTGCAGCCTCTTTTGCCGTCGAACAGGATACGTATTTATATAGGAGACTGTAAAGTTATGTAATGTCCAAATTTCGATGTGAGCAGCAGGTCACTCGCGTTGATTTTTTCGACGTGCGAGCCAAATAACGCGAGCTGAACTTTCGCGTCGCAGACATCCCGTCGACGCGCAGAAAAACTAAATCTGCAGCCTCTTTTGCCGTCGGACAGGATACGTATTTTAGGAGACTGTAAAGTTATGTAATGTGCTCCTCAGGCAACCATGCATTCGGCGTCGTCATTGGCTCAACAGGTCAATGTACATGTATTACTACAAAAAGGCCAGAAAATCCGATTCCTGTATTAAAATCAACTAATGTTCGCTGGCGATTTAATTTCGCTGATTTCGCCGCTTGATACCAACCGGACAAAGTAAATCGCAGGCCAACGTTTGTCATATAGGCAAATGATGCATGATTGAGCAATGGATGCATGTGAGAGCAAAAATACCGATCGATTTCAAATTTGACGTGAAACTGCGCGTCACGTCGGAAATAACGTGCATCTTAACCTCTCTAATCGAGAGGTTTCTATTTCTCATCGGCCAAAATTTGTTGATTTACAATATAAGGAGATAAAAATTAAAGAAGGAGCAAAACAAAAGTAGATGATTATTAGAGAAACAACAATCCGCAATAAATTCTGCAAATACTTTTGCCTAACTCATAATATTCAAACCGATTGAAACGTTTTTGCAATACAGTGATGTGGCCAATGAACGGAAAAAGACAATTCCATCAGTTCTTATAACATGTACGATGAGCTAGGCAAAAAAGCATAAAAGCATAGCGTAGGGCCCTGAGCTTCCAAGCTCTCTCGTTTGTGATCCTTGCAAAGCTGAAGATGGCATCTTCAATTTCGGCTTTATCCTTTTTTTACTCTTGCCTGCATTGGTGTTTGTTTTCTCCCTTGAGTGCCCCGATCTGGTTTGTTCATGTCATTTCGTTGCTGGTATTGGCTGCCTGGAATGCACAGGCAAAGTACACCAAGTGGTCATGGCTAACTTCAAGGTCCTGGAGACACAAATGCCGGAGATCTTGAGGCTGATGAATCTCTACCTTGCCAACAAGGAGTTGGAGTGCATCCTCTTCAAACCCGTCAAGGTCAGTCCTGGCTTTGAGCCATGCTTCTTTACATTGCAGGCAAATATACCTTGTTTATTGACATACACAACACAACCCTGTACTCTCTAGAGATATACAACTCTAGAAAATATGTGATCAGACAACAATCATCACATATCAGCATCTGAGGTGGACGTTGTGGCTGTAATTGCTGTAGCACATGCATATAGGCAGGCAGCGTCAGCAGCCATGTGTAATCGTTTCCTTCAGGTCTTCTCCGAGCATTGTTCTCTTTTCTTATCTGTGTTTGTCTACAGGAGGGAGTGGTGTCGACCTACAAGCAGCTTTCAGCCATCGTGTTGGCTCATTACTCTACAGAGGATCAAGCAATCATTGCCTGCCCCGGTGAAGAACAGGTAATTATCATGCTACATGATGACTGTGTTGTGCTTTGTTACGCGATGTGTCGTGCTTTGTAGTAGTACCGGTGTGTACGTACATTGTTTGAACTATTGTAAGTTGTAACATTCGCTGATGGTCGCCTCAGAAATCCCACAGCAACAGAATAGGAAGGAAGAAAGAGAGTTGGTTGATGTTGCTGTGTGGTCCATTGGGGTGATTGTGTGAGTACAAAGGTGAGTTCATTGCATTTATTGTATTGGTCTGTCTCTCTCTGTTCTGTGTGTGTGCGTGTGTGTGTCTGTGTCTTGGTATGTGTGTGTGTGTGTGTGTGTCTCTCTCTCTCTCTCTCTCTCTCTCTCTCTCTCTCTCTCTCTCTCTCTCTCTCTCTCTCTCTCTCTCTCTCTCTCTCTCTCTCTCTCTCTCTCTCTCTCTCTCTCTCTCTCTCTCTCTCTCTCTCTCTCTCTCTCTTGTGTCCAGATCACTGCGCTGATTGTTATGCCATGAAACAACGAGACTGATGCGCATGGCAACCTCTAGGGCAAGCGTGGTTCAATGAAATACTTTCTGTAGTAGGCTGGACTATAGCTAAGGCCCTCTTATCTGGATTGCTTGCCGTCCGCTTATCTTAGCAGTGCTAAGTGACATTGATATTGCTTATAGTTTGCAGTCAACACCAGGCCTGTTTCGGAGAGCTTTAGTCTAGTAACTAGTCATTACATCTATGCAGTATGCCGTATGTACTCATAGCTTTTACTGGTTGTTATTTCTGCTAATTTTAACATTAGGCCTATGACCCATTTGATGTTTCTGGATTCGCTTCTTCTCGACCATGCACCATAATCATTGTCTCTGCTGGGACATCTCAGATAAGAAGCCCTTGTGTCCAATTTCTACGTACCAAATGGTGTGTAAACATGTTTGTGCGGCCGATGCTGAGACTGAGGTGGGTGCTATTGTGGGGTCTACATGTTACTAGTGCCTATAGTGGGGCTATTGTCTTCGGGCTGGCAGACCTATGCCCTATCCAAGTTTGGTATTGACACCCTGATTCAGGCTGAAATGCCATTCTGGCATGACATCATGGTATGTGGTGTTGTATGGCAACACTGCCGGTATACTGGTGCTAGTAATAACAAGAGAGTGTGTACTCCTACAATGTAGTGTGGTGTCAGTCTTGGGCAGAGTGATTGTGTACTACCTGGTTCTCTTCATGGCTTGGATTCCAATCCGGCACGATGACAATGACCATGTTGGTATAGCACACCAACTCAGTCATGTGCTGGGTACTGCATGCTGGTGTCTGTCATCCACAGTCACGTCACATTGGCTCCGTCAGCTATGCGATGATGGGCTGGCATGGCTCCACGCATGTCACCTCAGTCTGGCCTGCTGTGAAGAACAACAAAGACCTGTCCGTCATCCAAGACCTTGAGGCCAATAGCAAGCTGAAGAGGAGGGTTTGTTGTGGAACTAGTCTTCAGTTCCCGGAGCATGATCTTAGTACTGGGAAGGTGTCGCTACCCATATGCAATGTACATGTACTGCCATCGCCGGTATCTGCTGCAATGTCCACTAGGGAGTAGTACAATAATAATTATTGTACTCCCTGATGTCCACAGTATACATTTAGACCTTTCTACTACAGTACAGTACCTGCATGGTCCGTGCACTGTCTGTCCAGTGCAGTGGGTCATGTGAAGACAGTAGGAATATCAAACACGTCATGCCACGTCTACAATTGTCAACGTGGGCGCATGCTACGTCTAGTCTACAACTGACTGTCAACGTGACGTGGGTGCATGCATGGGGCAATAACCTTATCTTTCAGTCTGAAAGTGCCTTGATTGGTAGTGCACAAGAACTGTACACAATCAAATGACTGTACGAGTACTGCCCATGTTCAGCGATTGTTATCATCACTTTGCTACTGCATTGTCAGCTAGCTGTCACTAGTATTGGCTCATTCATTATTTCCAGTGTCCAGTCATGGCTATGAGTATGAGTGACTGTCTTGGCAGTCGTTCAGAAACCAGCTGCCAAAAGCACATTGACAGTCATTGTAATAGTATTATCACCAACACACGTCGCTGTCCAAAGAGTCACGTGGGACTGATTATCAGTCAATCTCAGATGATTCATGGCCATGCATGCAAGAGTGGTAGACATGCAATACAATCACATGTGCATCATGTGCATGGTGACCGGTGAGTAGAGCTAGGGTTCAGAGAGGCATGATACATGTACATGTATTTGATAGAATACTTCAGAACTTTCGTGAAAGACAGTCTCTGAGTCTGAGAATCTCAGATCTGACGTGTCAATGGCAGAATGTAATCACGACCTGACCAGCTGACTGTGCTAGCACGTCATTGCATACGTTGTACTTGAGTATACTATAATAATGTCATTGTATGTGAATACAACGAGTGTCAGTTCAGGGTCCCAAACCTCCCACTGGTGCACCATACAGTCCGCTATCTACATCTACCATCATGCATCAGGCTCAGGTCATGTCCATGTCGACTGCTGAGCAGCGCACATGCAGGACTACGATTGAGTACATAATATGCCACTACATGTACCACGTTGAAAGAGAAGAAAAGCTACATGTAGGCTACACGTAGGCGGCTACCGTAGAGCACACTTCATTGCTTGTTGTAAGATAAGAAGACGATAGACTTGGTCTTTGTTCATGGTATTAAACAGCCCCGAAACCATGTGGTTAAAGGACTGCAAACTCGATCGATCAGGTTGGAGCACCGATCCCGAGGGTATTCATCATGGTTACCACAGCCTATCAAGTCCGGACCGAGTCCACATGCACAAGGCACAGCCCGGTGTTATGGACTGTAACATTAGAAGTTGTGGGCGAGTCAAATGAAGCAGCATCGACCCAGTGCCCTGCGACTGCTGCGTAATCTTCCAAGGTGGGCAGGACCAAGTGGTGCCATGATCACTCAGCGGCTCCATAATCCTATCCACTATACTGTGGGACCAGTCCGACTCCTGGTAATGACAAGCCTGAGAGTACCATCATACATGTAAAGCTCCCACGGTCTCTGTACTAGTACTACTAGTACTATCTACTACATGTATTGACTCTGGCCGATACCAAGAAATTCGAGTGAATTTAAAGGTGGAAGCTTCTGTACTCTTGGAGTTAGCAGCTACTCGCAGTAGGACGGTATAGAAGCCCACGTCAAAACCTTGGCTTTGGCCACATTGACACACGACACCATCATTGAAAGTTGCACTGAAGTCTGAAACTGACAAACTAAAATTAAAAAAAGGCTATTGCATACCAATGGTGCATGCCTAACTGTACTAAAGTGTCGCTCTTGCAGAACTTGCCAGAAGGCAGACACGGACCCACGGTATTGCACTTGCTACAAACGTCACCATGGTCACGGCACTGTACTGATTATGACAATCAGAGAAACATGCAGCTGCTACATCAGTACAATCATGTCATTAACGTGCCGCTGAACATGAAGGCAGATCAGAGTGTTGGGCTTTCATGCTAACGATATGCAAGAACTAACTACTGTAAAAGCCATTTACTAGTATTCTAACGAGGCGCATATAATTATAACGATTTCCCAAAATTGACTAGTTTACGTGTACCAAAGGTAACGATCCTCACTCATTCTCAACGCTCAATAGGACAGTATATGTATCGATTTCTGTATAACGATTTCTATTTTAACGACAGATTTAACTCGTTAGAGTTAGCACTTCGTTATATACATACCGGTATGGCTTTGACAGTACATTGCATTGTAGATACTAGAACTTCGAAAATGTGTAGAGCTGAGCAGAAAAAAGGCAAACGTGGAATGGTGACCGATGCACAGTATCACTACTTATCTACAACTACTTGGTATTTTATTAGTTGCTGTATCGCTGGCCACCTCGAGACTTAGCATGAACAGCAACGTTCAACACCAAACAAACACCATAATCATTATTATGACGTGACGTGAACGTCGATACAGGATTGCGCTTCGATAAGTGTGTCCTCCGTCTTGTAAGCCACAGCAAGAGTACATAAAAGGGTTTATGTACTCTTGGCCACAGACAATAATACATGTACAGTTATGTAAAGTATTAAACCTGCTGTCAACCAACAACAGGATTGCACTTGCATGATGTAATTGTGACAGTAGTGTACTGGTCGTTTCGAACTGCAGTGCAACTACATTATTATGATTATCATAAGCTGACTACTACTATTATTAGTTCGAGAGAATAAATTTAGCAGATGAATCTTGCAGGAGCGTGTCATGTTTGAGTCCTGTCAGAACGGTATGGCGCAAGGAATGGCGCAACATGCACACTGAGTCACTGACCTTCGCTAGGAGGCATGATTCACCATTAGCAGTGTCATGGAGGGCCCGGGCACACGTGTTATGTGTGTCAGTGAACCGTCTCCAGTTACAAAAAAACTTACAATAGAGGCTCATTAGTTATCACTTGTAACTGGTAGTTAGGAATTAGCCTTTGTTGTTACGGCCAACACTATTATCGAGTCATTGATGGTCAATTCCCAGTTGCTTGCTATCCTGATTTCAATAGTAATAAGTCGAAATGTGCAGCTAGTGCAGAACAGTACAGCAATGTACATTGTACATGTAGGTTGTTGTCTCAGTCTCACAGAAGTTCAGGCTTTGTTGAAGTTCAGCAACTACTAATACATGTAAAGTGAGTTACTTACATGTACTATTGTAGAGTACTTACGTCGTTGTGTGATACTTGAAAGTAGTATTATGATTATTATAAACGAGGATGGCCCGGACATTTGCGCCTATCGACGCCATTGGTCCTATGCACACCTATGAAGGTCAGTTTCCTACTTCAGCAGTGCAGTATCTACATGTACATGACTGTACATAATCATTGTATGATCGGGAACTACTTAGTTTTTAGAAGTAATTATAATGGTGCATTGCGTCGTTCCTACTCTGAATCGGTTTCATCTTCCTGCATTTCGGAGGGCAGGCTCTTTTCAAATCATGTGACCGGCGGTATGCAACCTAGTTTCACATCAGCAGAACTCTAGCGACAACAAGCATTGAGAGTGAGACTTCCCATGGGAGCCTATACTATGGTGCTGTATACCCATTCTTCAGAATTGTTGCTCTCATGGACAGATCTTTCAAGACTTTGCGTCGCGAACGGCAACTACATGTAATACATGCAATTACTTAAAGTCTTTACTCTTGATGTAGCGCCATTGCCGATCACTATGTAGAGTCTACAGTCCTGTATTGTATTCTTTATTTTACTTTGCAAAGTCAAACGGGATCATTGCTCAATGTCAGTAACGTAATGTGGTCCTGCGTACATGTAGATTTCTCACCAGTTTCGTGCTGTATTTTTGGTGGTGACGCGGTACAGAATCTGTAGTGTCGTGTAGTGTGAGTCTGTGAGATCAAGATCAAGAGGTCCATTATCAATCATCAAGAGAGTAGTCCGGTGCTAGCTGCTAAGGGCCAGTATGGGGTATTTTTTACTATTACCCCCCTCCCCTCCCCATGCCCATGCAGAGCCGGCTGAGCGCGAGGGGCACTGCGTAGTGCGTACTGCATGCAGAGTCAAGAAGTCCAGTGCTATGATTGGGTATCAATATTAAAATACGTAGATTCTACGTCTTGCGTGATGTTGTTGAAAGTGCTGAAATACCACAATTTTAACACAACCATCATCTCGGACTTTTTGTAGTTGATGCCAACTGTGTTCCGCGGAACCTGAGACAGAAAACACGGTGCTCACTGCCACCTACATGTACATGATTATACATTGTACTAGTACATGTACATGTAAGTCCGTGGGTCCGTGACGCCATGGCATGGCCATGAGTCATGACTGTACTGCCACTAGTGCACTGGTTGAAGAGTGGTTCCTTACTACAATCATGCTACTAGTACTAGTTCCAGTATTTCTGCAGCTCTGGACCGGCCGAAGACCTGTGTGACTTGTTGAAAATAATAATTGACTATTCGAGTGAGACTGTGTGTGTGTGTGTGTGCGCGCGCGCGCGCGCGCGTGTGTGTGTGTGTGTGTGTGTGTAAGGTAACGGCTGAGACTAGTACTACTAGTACTACTAGTAGTAGGCCATTCAATTTTAGTTTCTTCCAGGAAGACATCTTCTTCACAAATATAATATTATAATATTATTAGGATCGGATCATCGTCAGCTTCGAGGGAGTTGAAATGGGAAGTAATAGTTACATGTAGTTCGAAGTCAGCTCCATCATCTCAGTCAAGTACAGGGCTGCGCCCGCACTGCAGCCTGCAGGCTGCAGCTAGCACACAATCATGGTACAGGGGACCAGGCCGCAGGGGTACTGGACCGGGTCAATATGGCCCATTATGGCTATGGGCCCAGGTCCACAAGAAGGGATCGATACAGTCAGTACATCACCATGCAGTGACCATGGTGACTAGTGCAGCACCGCAGAGTTACACTTACAGTATACGTCGTACATGCACGTCTTGAGACGGACTGTCTGTACCGGGCATGCCGGCAGTGAACCATGTCGCCAGCTAGCTAGCTCCAGGCCTAGCTAGCGCTAGCGCCTGGGCCACATGCAAAATGCAGGGCCATGGACTTTTCAGGCTTTTTGAAGTGTAGCATAAAAAAAGAGTCTGAGGGTGCATGCTACACTACACTACAGCCATGCTATTACACTACAGACTACATCCATATCCACTACAACTTCAAGTCTACATACCAGTAGATCTACGCAGTAGTGGCAGTACAGACAGTAGATCTATCACTGGAGTGGAGTGGCATGCCATGGAAGTGTGTTGGTGTATCGACACTGACAAACTGTAGACTGAGTCTGTAGACTGTACTCTGTAGTCAGTTCAGCATTGCCATTGGCCTTGGCAGCAACTACATGAAACCGTGCCAGAAAGACGGCAGGCGTGCAGATATGGGACGCGTGACGACGCGATGCGAGCACCTGCCCGTATACGCGTACTTGCTGCATGCCGTCGACATGAGCTACTCAGCTGCAGGCACGCGACAGGTCTTGTGTTTCTGCAGAGCGCAGGGAATATCCCGAGCCTGACGCGACATGTCGCAGCTTCAACAAAACCAGCTGCAGCGCGAATGGAGCTGTCATTTCAACAACAATCTGGATCGGAGAAGGTAGAGGGGCCACTGTGGCCCTGTCGAATCGAGGGCGGTGATGGTGGTGTTGTACAACCATCAGGCGAGAGTTGGTTTGTTGCTGATGCGGCGCTTGCTACCTGACTATGTCCACTATGCTGACCGCCACCAGACCAGCAGCAGCAGTGTGCACCGGTGAACCGTGCCAACCCTCGGCCCCCACATTTGCACAAGAGATTTTTGCAGCAAGCCCCGACTCATCGCGTTATGCCCACCATCATCCATCATCCACAGCAGGCAGCAGTCACCATCCAACCACCCCCGGCTGCAATGCCTGCAAAGGTGAGGCATAGGCGCAGGCAATCAAGAGAGCGAGCGACCTTGTGTATGCAACGTCGAGTAATCAATATCATGGTTTAGGGAAGTGCTGTCAGAAGTTTTTGCTGGCACGGTGAAAACTACTGTGTTCTCTTCGCTGATCTGCTGAGTGCAATGTGGTCCTCAGCGACGTTCTTTCCGCGACTAGACGTTGCTAGTATCAGGTGCTCTTGTTGTTGTCCCTTGGCTTTGGAGTCAATTGTGTTTTGTCTTTGTATGCTAATGGTACGTGTTGTTGCTGCTGGCGTGCGTGTGTGTGTTTTTTCCCTTCGTCGACGCAGTGCCATGCATGGCATCTTCAACAACTCCTTTCCACCCCTCCGCACCAGTTGGCGTGACTGATTTCGGAAGTTCGGTCTCCGTAAGTATTCGGCCTTCCCTTGAGTACTCTGCTGTTGGAGTGCTGCCTAACATTCGCTGAATTATTTTGCGCGATGGTACACTCGACTTTCTGCTTCAGCGGCTATGTCCGCGGGTGTCACGGATTTGAAATTTTGCCTGCAAGCTGCATGTCATTGCACTTTTGAATGCAATGACCATGATGACTGAACTGTTCCCTGTCGCAGTCCGACCTAGCTAGCTTCGCATAGGCTTTTGACATACCGGTTATCATGATGAATGACTCAGATCAGTAGAACCTCTACATGTGATAGTTTTTGTCCGGGATGGCTTCTCTGCGCTCGTGCATGCTGCGCAGACGTTCTGTGTACATGTGTGTGTGTGTGTGTGCATGTGCGTGACATGTGAAGCTGCTCAGGCATTGAGGCATTGAACAGCGACAGTTTCAGGCGCATTCAGCGTGATTGAGTTTTTGGCTCTTCCGCTTTGCGAGCGGCGGCGGTATTTGATTTGTTGATGTGCTGTTGCAATCTTCGAGCTTCACGCGTTTCGAGTGACCGTTGCTTCGTTTCTTGTTTCTTCCATGTTTGACGATCTCACGTCTTGCAGACTAGTGATACAGTGGCTGCGGAGTCTTCCTCCTCCGTCTCATGGTAAGAATCTCAAAATCGCGTGGCATTTTGATGAAGACGTTTACAATGGTTTACTCCGCATGAGACAGTTGTGGCTTTTCATTTTAGTCGCGTGCAGCTCCCCGTCGCTTTTGTTCTTGCTGTTGTAGAATGCGGGGCCGGGGGTGGTGTATTTCTGTCCCGTGCCGAGTGGACTCAGTGGTGCTTTGAGTACGAGCTCTAATGTGCTTTAGCCACATCGTCCGTAATTACTTCTAGTGTGGCTCTCCTTCCCCTTGTCTTTATCCATCTCGGCTCGAAGGTTTTGGCTGTTGGGTTACATAGCCATTGGGTGACTACGGTAGTATATCTCTTCCTGTGTCATTCGCGTGCTGATAAGCTGAATCGAAAGTGTGTTGCCGGTGGTGGGCTAAAGAAAGCATCTCGACTGAATTCTATCAGTGCGAGTTTTTTGTTTCTTGTTCATGTGGAGCGTGTTCTGGTCAGGTATTCTCCTATGCTATTTCGTCGATCAGTTCGTACAACCGAGCGGCTTTGACCGGTGCTCCTGAGTGCTTGTGCCGCACTAATAGTCTATAACTGCATGATCCCTGCAAATAGCAATGTAGTCTTGCGGCAGTGCCTCTTCTCGCCGATTTCGCTAGGGGTTTCTAGGCCGGCCAGTGACAGCTGTTTGTTGTAGGCATCAGATCGAGACTGCTCCTATGTGTTCACCCTGTCGTTGAGGCTTGCAATGCCGGTTCCAGCCATAGCACGAGTACATGACTGTATCTACCATGTGACTGACTGGCAGTGACTAGACTGCTGTACGAGCTGAGGTCATCGTTTGCCATCGCCACGTGGAAACAGTAGAATAATTACGATACAGTTCATTAGTGACTCACATAATACTTATCCAGACTCCAATAGCACTGGGGCTAGGCAAAATGGGTATGTTGTAGGTATTGTCAAAGTCAGATCGAGCCCATATCGTTCCTGTCACAGCTGCTTTCGCGTGGTTAGACGCTCTACTGGCCACCGATGACTCTCCAGCTGAACTAGAGTTGGCAGCATCGCCCTAATCATTTCCTTGCTCAATGACTTCCACCGACCGAATCGCAGCCAACGCGATGATTGCTGACTCTCTGCCAGGATACTTCCATGCTGACTGTTGATTCCGTGTTGTGTGGACTGTACCACGACGACCTTCGTAGTCGCACAACGTATGCTCTGCTTGGGAAGGCTCTGCTTGAACGACGTATCATTCACAAGCACCCCATTAGTGATGTTGCTTTCCTGTACATCCTACTACTGGTAAAGAGCTGTTACATGGTTGTACTATTTACTGATGCAAAGTGGTGCTAACACCTACTGTGGAGTGTGATTTATTGATTTGTGCCAACTCTGTATCCATTTGTGACGGGTTTGCTTTCAGTTTCTGTTTCTCAGTTGACATTTTTTGGTCCGGCTTGTTGGATGTCGTGTGTGCGTGTGTATGCATGTGTGTGTATGCTGTGTGTGTATATATATTCAGCACCCCTAGCAGCAAGCCAGTAGCCATAACAGCACGTGCAGGTGATGCAGCACCCAACGACTACCCGTACTGCGTAGGTCAACTGGAAGATTCCCTTGATTCAGGTAAGCAACGGGGATGGAATAGACTGTTACCCCTGGTCAAACAACAACCACATGTATTTGTCTACGGCTAGTTTTGTTCAGACTGCTTGTGTTTGTCTATGATGCCATGACTCTCTTTAGCAGCAGCAGCAGCCGCCGAGCACTCTATCTACGGGAGCATGGGGCATAGGTGGGATTCATCCTGTTGAAACGCTAGTGTGTAGGGTGGTATGCATGATATCTCCTACACCCCAGATGACCCCTTGGCGCGTGGGTGGGCTACTTCAGTCAGGGCTACTTCAGTTGGATGTTTTCCAGGTTGAGTTTTGGAGGCATGCACCATGGTCTCATTACTTCAGGCTTCTTGAGCACCATCGGAAGAGAGTTTGTCGGATGTGAATGAGGGCAACAGCGGGAGCAGTGGCGGAATGCCAGAATGATGCGCCCCATTGCCCTTTTGCTACCATATGCTACTAACAGCCACAAGGGGACCCCACACAGTAGCAACACACACTCATATCCTCGTTGCTATTCACTAATACTATGAGGCTATGACCTTACCCCTAGTAGCAGGGTTTGCTGGGCTGCCATCCTGGGTTGGAGTCAGCTTAGGTGGTATTGCAGAATGAAGGAAACAACACAGTATCCACTGGTAGTGATTTACTGTGCAGGCAGAAAATTTCGTCGGTCAATAATTTCGTCCAACTCCAAAGAAAGGGAGTTCGTCTGGTTGTAAATTTCGTCCATGGATCATAAGAGTGTATTGAAAAGCTGGACAAATCGACATTAATCCCGCATTTAATTTAGTCCAAAACCTCCTTGGACGAAAAAGACGAAATTAAATTAATTCCAGACGAATATTAACTTTTCTGCATGTACAGTATAGGTAAATAATATTTGCATAATTATTTTCTGTGGTACAGCAGAGTTCTCCCTCATTTCCTTGCCCTGTGACCTGTGCCTAGGAAACAGAGTACTAGTAGGTTTTCCTGGTGACAGTATTTACTTGGAGAAACACTTGTGATCCTTCTTAGACTAGCATAGAACTTAGAAGCTGCTTATGACAGTAACTGAGCTAGAAGGAGGAGTCCCTTCTCAAGTTCTTAGCACGTGTAATTGGATTTTGTGGGTGATCAGGTAATTTAGCTTATCAGCTACCTGTAGCACCAGAAGTACTAGTAGCTGTCAGCCTGTACTGCTGTCTAGGTTGAGGAAAGCACCCCATTCCAACCCTGCGCACTCCTCCTCTCCTCTTATCAGCTGAGCGTGGCCCAGATATAGCTCAAGAAGGCCTTGTCAAGAGGCTGAAATAGTCACTTGATGGGCCAAAGTGCTGCACTTGGAACTGGGCCAGGCGGGTCAGTCCTTCAGAGAGTACTTACTGCACTGCTGGTCTACTTTATCTTCTCACTTATCTCCTTCCACTGCATGCACTGGTGGCAGTTGTATTGTATCTACTACAACTACACTACAGTACAGATCGGGTTACTGTTGGTGTTCCAGGCTAGACCGCTGCTGCTGACTGCCTGCAGGCCGCTGAGTGTTTCATAAGGAAGCATATTGGGCTAACTAAACAGTACTCTACATCTCTCTACCTGAGCCTCTTGCATTGAACCAATCAGGGAATAGCACTATTCACAAAGGCCCTCCAGAGTGATAATTATCATGATGAACAGTGAACATTATGTATTTTGCATGAACTGACCTTGTTGGCCTTTTGCGTCTGTGTGTATCCCATGCAGCCCTTAGCGAAAATAGTTTCAATGAGCATTCCAATACAAGTAAGAAGAAGAAGAAGAAGAAGCGACGTTTCAATGCAGATGCCAGCAATTTTGTCAATTCCTTTTATGGTAAGGATAACTGGTCATGTTCGTGTGATGGACGATTGGCTTTCTGGGCCTGGCCCATTTGCTGTGCTGTCACGTGTGCCATGTTAGCATGTTATCTTCTATTCTACTTGGAAGAAGAAGGAAGAGGTTTGGTGCGAGAGTGGCATGCACTGCTTCGAACATAATGCAATGGTTGTTGCGTGGAGTTGTGTGCTGGGACTTACCCGGGATGCAGTATGGGGGACTGGTCGTACACACAATCTGATGTACTTCAGCTATCCTACAGGGACTTTCCACACCGCTGGAGAGGTTTATGCCGTTGTAGATGGGAGGACTCATTGCACTTCACTTGTGGACTACTGTTACTATGTACTACCGGTAGTATTAGTAGTAGTAGTAGTAGTAGTAGTAGTAGTAGTAGTAGTGCAAGGCTAGTGTGATGTAGGACAATGCAGTGCCGGCAATGGAGCCTGTCCAAACAGCACATCCATTCCAAGGACACTACTCCATGTAGTACATCTAGTGACTAACACTTAACAGGATTACGGTGGTATTGTGTAAGGACTTTAGGTGGTTGCTCGGTGAGAGGGCTCCTCTGGTGCCAGCTTTATAGCACCTGGCAAGTGCAGTGTAAAATTTGATTCTGATTCTGACCAGCTTCCACTTGGGAAAACCCCGGCTGTGATGCAAGTGGTTGCACTTGGTTGTTTGATGGTGGCTCCTTCTATCTCTTGCCTATCATGTCAGAGATTTTGACAATGATATCATACGCTAAGTGCAGTGGGATTGTAGTGTTTACGGTGTTGGCCCGGCCAGTTGCGGTGTGTAGCTTGTGCATGTGTGCACTGCCAAGTGCCCTTCCCATGCTCCCTTCAGTGGTACTACCTTCCAATGCCTTGCTCCCAAGGAGTGGATGGAGCAGATAGGGCCACTGCGATTCCCTTGTCTTGCGCCTGTGATGTTCTTGTCATGCATTGCACATTTGACTGGGAAGTGTTGTGTGTGTGTGGCTCTGTACTCTGTAGTGCAAGGGAGCGGCAGAAGCAGTGGCACTTACACATACATGTAGATAATGTTGTTATCTGTATAGATTGCCTGTGTGGCAAGTGTTGTGTCGGCCCTGTGATGGCGAGAGTGTGTTGAGAGTGTGCGACATCGACATGGACCAGCTGTTGTCTTCGCTCAGTGTTTGTTGTAGCAGTTGACTGCGGCTGCTCAACAGGAAGGAATATATTTTGATGCATCTGATTTGCCCCTTGAATGCTGGTCTGGAGCCCGCGCCTCTCCTGGATTCGATTAGCTTCAGGGCATTCAAAAACAACAGACCCTCATTTGATGGTCCATCAACTACCAGGAACTTCCTTTGCCTGACACAATCTAATCTGAAGGGGGGGGGGGGGGGGTATACTTATACCCACACCACCTTGATGTAGAGAAGGGCTGCTTTGTTCCGACTTAGTTGTAGTAACTGCTGTATGTTGTATTTCGGAGTGTCTAACTACATTGAACATCCAGGACGCGGTTGTCTTTTCTTCCTGTTTTGGTGTCCACCTGCCTTGTCGTTCTTGTTGTTTGGTACTGCAGATCTGTATTACTTGACTGAAGACATCCTGGGAGAAGGAGCCCTATCCTCTGTACACACTTGCATTGAGAAATCTTCTGGCGAGGAATTTGCCGTGAAAGTAAGTTGTGCTACAGCATTGCCATGTCACGGCCGTTGTTATTGCTACTGACAAGTTCCTGCCACTACTGCTACTACTACTTGTGGCCGTGCGTGTGTGTTCTAATGTAGCCGTTGTGTAGGTTGGCACTCCCGGGTAAAGTAAGAAACTAGAGGACTTCTTTTTGCCTCTGCTGCGGCACATCTTTCTTGTAGACATATGTCTTCCTTTGTTGTTCTCTGTCATTATTGGTTCTATCAATTCTCTTCTGTCTTTTTTTGGTATTTTCTATTCCCACAGATTGTGAATTGTGTTTCGATTGATCATCGTCGACGTTTGCTGCGAGAAATTGAAATACTTCATCTCTGCCAGCACCAGAACCATGTTGTTCACCTGAAAGAGTACTTTGAAGCCGAAGATGCGTAAGTCTTCTCCCTTTTGCCTGCCAGTGCCATGTGGATAATGCTGAACACTGCGCTGGTGACATGCAGAAGTGTATCCCACTGTACTCACTACTCACTCTATTGCTCCATGCCAGTAGACACTGGTTCCAGGCTTGGTCTCTGCACACTACTGGACCTTGCTCGTTATGCTTGTGACTTATTCCTGTGTGTGTGTGTGTGTGTGTGTGTGTGTGTGTGTGTGTGTGTGTGTGTGTGTGTGTGTGTGTGTGTGTGTGTGTGTGTGTGTGTGTGTGTGTGTGTGTGTGTGTGTGTGTGTGTGTGTGTGTGTGTGTGTGTGTGTGTGTGTGTGTGTGTGTGTGTGTGTGTGTGTGTGTGTGTGTGTGTGTGTGTGTGTGTGTGTGTGTGTGTGTGTGTGTGTGTGTGTGTGTGTGTGTGTGTGTGTGTGTGTGTGTGTGTGTCATGTTGTGTTTGGGTCTTCCTGGCTTTGTGCAGATTTTTTGTCGTCTTTTTCAAGGCACAAGGAGGTAGGTTTTGCTATTTCATTTGCCTGGGTTTCAGTGAATACCTCTTGGGATTTCTAATTTGTTTGAGCCAAGTGAATTTTGGCTTTGTTTCCGTACTAATCTTTGGTGGCATGAAGTGCTCCTAACATGAAAATGTTGTTACCTGTCCAGGCCCAATTATTTGTTGGCTGCCATGGCCAAATTTGGTGCCTGTCCAGCACTAATTATAATATTTGTGCCATTTTCATAATGTCCGTACAGGCCCATTGCTGGAGCATATCAGACGGCGGCGTTGCTTCAGTGAAGATGAAGCCAGGGCGGTGACACTGGAGATAGCCGAGGCACTTGTTTTTCTTCATCACAAAGGTAAAGAGGGGACGACGAGAGCCGAGAAGACAATGATCATGTGTTGAGATGATGGGGATTACGATGAAATAGCGACACTCGTTTTTGATTCACATGATTCTGTAGCCATGGCTCAATGATACAAGTCACCAGGACTGGCCTCGGACCCGTCACCGAATATTTCCCGATGATGGGGATTCCAGTCTTTTCACGGAGACCTGTGTCTTGAATCTACTAAAGGTGGTGTGTGTGTTATTTGATTGTCTCAACAGGAATTGCTCATCGTGATCTGAAGCCTGCCAACATCCTATGTGAACGTAGTGATCAGGTAAGTGGCTCCAGCCATGTTGTTGTGATGTTGGTATAAGGTATTGAGCATGTTTCACTCCAGCTACACACGTCAGTGCTTGTTGCTTGCTACCCTTGGCTGGCTCGGGCAGTGTGTGCATCATATTCAGTAGTCTTCTGTGCTGTCTGCCGCTCCTGTCCAGGTCACTCCGATCAGGATTTGTGATTTTGATCTTGGCTCGAATCTATCCTCTTCGAAGTCGCCCACGTTCACACCACAGCTCGGAACACCTGTTGGCTCGTGTGAGTTCATGGCACCTGAAGTGATAGCAGCCTTTGCCAATCAAGACCTGACCTACGACAAGAAATGTGATACATGGAGTCTTGGCGTCATTCTGTAAGTTGCTGCTCGCTTGTGTTGCAGCAGTGACCGGTGCCCTAAAGTTGGTTGCTCGCGCTTGTGTGCGCGAGGGCCAGTGCCGCAAGCTGGTAGCATGTGCGTGTGTGTGTGTGTGTGCGCGCGTGTGCGTGTGTGTGCGCGCGCTTGTGCGTGCATGTGTGTGCATGCATGCGGGTGTGCGTGCCTGTGTGAACCTGCGTGTGTGTATCTGAGGGCCAATGCCTCAGGTTTATGATTTCAACGTGTTCAGGGAGTCATTTGTTAGGGTGTTTCACATCAAGTGGACACCTTTCTGAGCCCGGGAGCTTATTGTATTCGTATACGACTTTCAGGTGAAAACTGTGTTGCCAGCAGACTATACGTTGTGACCAGTGCAGGACTCACGGATGTTCTATGTGCTGTCTTGTGCGCATCGTCTGCAGATACATCATGCTGTCTGGGCGCCCTCCGTTTGGCGGAGGTTGTGGTGCGGAGAGCTGTGCGTGGGAAATGGGTGGTAACTGCGCGGAGTGCCAGGTTAGTGCCTTACTCCCCACACTGTGCAGCAGCCATTGTTGCATGTCCTTTGTCCAGTACGTCATGTGAACTTGCTTGTCAGTCATTGATTGCTAGTACCGTATTTCCCCGAATGTAAGTTGCACCTTTTTACACTATACTTCAAAACAAAGAAGGGGGTGCGACTTACAATCGAGTGTGACTTCCTACTTGTGTGAATGTATTGATACAATTTGGTTCAGACCTAAAAAGGCGGTGCGACGAATAGTCGGGGAAATACGGTAGTATTGTACTGTGTGGAGATGTGTAGAGATGGCTGGTGACCATGTCTCTCAAACATGATCTTTTCCTGCATTGTTTCCATGGACAGGATATCTTGATTGAGGCTATCAAGAATGGCGAAGTGCGCTTCCCAGAAGAGGTGAGGCGTTTTCTGTATTGCTACTCCTGCTTCTCCTGCTACTCCTGCTACTCGCTGGTCATCACGTAGTGTTGCGATTGTACTAGTAGTGGGTTTATGGCGAGTTAGATATGGAGATGAAGAGGGACAGTGTGTGTGTCTGTGTGCCTGTGTCTGTCTGTGTATGTATGTATGTATCAGGGATCGATTTATCCGGGTTCGCATCGCAGTTTGCGAATCAAAATTGACCTGCTGCGATTCGCTTTTCGTTTTTTGTCGCCCAAAACTGCGATGCACTTCGCGCAAATCGTCAACTGACTGTCGTAGATCTACAGAATACACTGCACTGAGTGGCCCGGGCCGTGCATGCAACTAGCCAGTACAGGTACACGCGCGCACTTCCAAGCAGGGAGTAGTAAAAATGTACTAGTAGTACTGGCACGATCCGTACTCCCTGCACCTGGCTGGGACCATTTCAGGCGCGCGCGGCTCACGGATCGCTTGTTCGTAATTTTGGACACTGGAAAGTGACTGGGTAAGTACGAGTGGTGTCTTTTGAAGTTCCGGTAGGGGCTCTACTCGTGATCGTAGTCGTAGTCGTACTGTGTGTTATGTAACGAAAAAACCGGTGGTGTGCCACTTTCAGCGTTACTAGTAGGCGCCTTGCACTGGCTGAAGTAAGTTTTTTCTTCCTTCTTTCACCAGGTTCACTCTCTGTTTAGCTGTTTGTTTCTGTTCGACAAGTCAAATAGATCGTTTTGTCAGTGTCTAAGACTCTTGAATATCGAAAGCTAACATGTCAGTTAATCTGACTACTGTGCAGAAGTGGGTAAAGGAACTGGACTCGCTAGGAGAGTGGGTTCGTTTGGGTGAGGAAAAAGGGAGAGTAACGCGAATATTCTGTGCGCTTTGTTCGAAGCATCACGATCGCCTGAGAGCTATCCGCAACTTCAGTGTCTCCTTTGTTGACGGCATCAGAGGAACTGCCCTGAAGAAGGACAATGTTGTGAAGCACTCGCGTTCGGATATGCACTCCAAGGCGCTGAACATGGAGCGAGCCCCAACGAAAACTCTGACGCAGATTTTCAAGTCCACACCGCTTGGAAAAGCAATGGCAACTGCGTCTAGCGAGGAGTCGGTCAGGTTGGGCAAGCTGTTCGACGTTGCCTACATGATGGCTAAGGAGGAAATGCCATTCACAAAGTACCCTTGCATCGTGGAGCTTGAGAAACGCCACGGAGTATCGCTTGGTACTGCCTACAGCACAGACAGAAAGTGCAAAGAATTCACGTGCGTGATTGGCGATACATTGAAGGACGATGTGGTTGCTGCAGTCCGGCGGTCGCGGTATTTGGGAGTGCTGATGGACGGCTCCACGGATTCGAGCGTGGTGGAGAACGAGCTTATCTACGTCTTGATGGTGGATAGCAATGGCAAGCCTGACTGTTGTTTCTTCACAATGAAGCACGTTCCCAGCGCTACCGCAGCAGGGATCAAGCAGTTGCTTGAACAAGCATTTGCTGACATTGGAGTCGACCTAGCTGACAAGCTGGTTAGCATCTGCGTTGATGGAGCAGCAGTCAACCTTGGTGTTAACCGTGGACTGGCTGCTTTGCTCAGAGGAAACTCGCCATGGCTAGTGGCTATTCATTGCATGAATCACCGTCTTGAGCTGGCCGCAAAGGACGCATTCAGCAACACCTTCATGGACGACGTCAGCACGATGTTGATGAACCTCTACTACGCGTATGAGAAAAGTCCTAAACGCCTGAGAGAGTACCGAGAGATGGCTGAGGAGATGGAGGAGGCTGTGCGAAAGCCAGAAAAGGCCTGTGGAACTCGATGGGTGCAGCATAAATCCAGGGCCATCCAAACCCTAATCCTCGGCTATGGCGTTATTGCTCGTCATCTGCAAGCCATGTCGTCTGACGAATCATCACTGAGGCCAGCTGACAAGGTGAAGTTCGGGGCATACCTGAAGAAGCTGACAAGCTTCAAGTTCGTCCTTCACCTGCTGTTCTTCGACAGTCTAGTCAACCCTCTTGCAGCTCTGTGTTGCTGCTTGCAAGGTTCAGCGGCTGATCTTCAGTTCGCATCCGCCAAACTGAAGGCGTTCCGGACTACCCTGCAGAAGTTACGAGAAGAGGACACTGCAGCTGAAACAGAGCTGGCCAAGTTTGTGTCGGCAGCTGCTGACCCCGAGCACCGTGTATTCAGAGGCGTGAAGCTGAATCACGCAACCGATGCCGTGCTTCACGCATTCAACGATGGGCGTTCAAGGTATATTGACAGGCTCAACAACTGTGTGGCTAACCGGTTTGATGATCTGGAGAAGGAAGACGCCATGAAGGGCATCTCTCTCTTGGATAGCCGCTCCTGGCCTGCGGATAGCGCTGACCTTGAAGAGTTTGGTACTGCTGACCTCACGGCAGTGGTTGAAAAGTTCAAGCCGTTGCTGGAAAAGAACAAAGTGTCGGTCAGTTCCATCAGCAGCGAGTGGGTAGCTTTCAAGGCCTACTCCAATGAGTCTCTTCGGCACTTGGATAACATCTGGCAGCTGCTCCTCACGCACTACCGGGAGACATTTCCAAACCTCTGCCATGTCATTGAGCTGCTGCTGGTGTTTCCAGTCAGCAATGCCAAAGTGGAGCGTGGATTCAGCACTATGCGGAGGATCAAGACTGACTGGCGGTCTCGGCTTTCGGAGGAGACGATGGACCATCTGATGCGGATCAGCACTGACGGTGTGGCTTTCTCCGAGTTTGACTCGGCACCTGCTGTACGTCGGTTCTTCAGCACACCCCGGCGACCAGATGCAACGCCGTACGGACCCCGTAAGAGAAAGCATGGTGAGGTGGAGCAACTGGATGTCTCCGACAGTGACTCTGAGTAAACGCAGCAAACTTACCTGTGCCCATCACCCCTCACTGCTGAAATATCTGTTTTTTGATATAGTGTTTTGAATTGGTTTTTTTGCTGCTGGGGGTCTTCTCTTCTTTTCGTTATATTTTCGCCTTTGTTTCTCGCTTCTTCTTTCAGATGATCCAATCCCAGTGTTTTTCTTCACGCTTGCAGGTTTTGAGACATAAAACATAAAACATGCATGCGTAAACTTGACAACAAATTATGAAATCTCTTGATTCGCACAGCAATTATAAATATCTAAAGTTATGCTCAGCGGCTGCACATCATTGGACAATGGTTATACATGTATCTGTCACATCACGTGCCTACCAGCCTGTGATTACGTCTAGTAGACATTGCTGGTCTTTTCTGCACAAATTCATGTGATATGGCTGGAAAATGGATGAAAAAAAACTGCTAATCAATACTGGGAGTTGCTAATCGACTCTGAATTTGTGTAGCAGTGACTGCTACGCAAAAAAAAAAAAGTAAATCGATCCCTGATGTATGTATGTGCATGTGTACGCTTTCAATGTGATCTTTACTGTGCTGATACGTGTTCTCGTAGAGGTAACTCTTCCTATGATCGTATTGAGCATGAATGCTGATGCGAAGGCTCGCACAGCATGGCTTATTTGTATTTCTCCTGTGTTATGCTAACACCAGGACTGGGAGAATGTTTCCGAAAGTGCCAAGGACCTGATCCGAGGCTTGCTAACACAGTGCCCCCGAAAGCGTCTTAGCTCGTCTGAGGTGCTGGAGCATCCATGGATGACACAACAGGTGGGGTTACGTGATGACACGTGTGTGTGTGGGGGGGGGGGGGGGGGCTTTTGTACGTGTCATTCGTCTAGGTTGATGCGGGCATGGATGTTTCGCATGGCACACCTTCATACTACTACTTGCATGCGTTATCAGCTTTTTGTACATTTCAACATTTGTGCGTACCTACGTTTGATGGCGAGTCTTGCTCCAAACAGTCTCATGTACATTCTGCTTTGTGTGGAATTCTACAAGTACGTGTATGTTAAACTTTGTGCTATATCCTGTGTTGTTGTTGTTGTTGTTGTTGTTGTGGTCGTCGTCGTCGTCGTCATTGTTGTTGTTCTGCGTAGGTCAGTACCACGCCGTTGAACACTACACATAACCTGAACAAGCACGGTACGCAGACGCACGCCATTCCGCGCCTGCTGATGGCATACAGCGTGTCCAACTTTGCACCGAGACCGATTCCAACTCTGTCACCCATGGACTTCACCAGTGCCGACAACAACGAGTCCAGTGTAGACGCTTTGGGCCGCTTGCCTGGTGCCAGGAAATGGGGCATACGAGATACACAATCTTCTCCACCTTATTTCTACTACAGGCACCTGACGGAAGCCGTTCAAACTGCTTTCTCCAATCCTGAAGACGTGCCGGAGCCTGACATCTTCGGAGTGCCGCTTGAACTCCAATAGCAAGCGGAAATTCGCTACCGATAATTGCTGGCGTGTTGAAGAGTGTTTTGTGTGAGTGAGTATGATGTGAACTATGTGCAATTTCTGATTCTAGAGTGCGAGCATGCGTGTGTGTGTGTGCGCACGCAAATGTCAGTCCCATGGTGGCCACTTACGGTACATCTGCCGCATTTCTTCTCTGGCAGCTTGTCTTCTGCGTCTGCCTGTGTGGCATCTTCAAGATGTACCCACAGTATCACAGTTTCCTCTACTCATTATTACACCCGTGTATCACATTATAGATAGCTAGAGTGGTTTTGGCTATTGTGAGCCAATGTTCGTCGAAAGCACCGACCAACTGCTTTGCCATATCTTACCCAAACACATCATATGATCAATAGTGGAATTCCCCGGCCTCAGTATCTTGGCAATTATATTTCATCCCTCGGTCTCCCCCCTCGCCCTTGACGTGTCCAGGTTTAGCTAGCCTTCCTATGAAGTGTGAACACTGGTAGTGTGCAACGCTGTGCTTTTACTCTTTCTTAGCTAGGCGTACGTCGTATAGAGAACTAGTCGTTTGTGAGCCGTGAAGATTTGAGCAAACATCCGTTGGATAGCAAACGGGTATCCCCACTTTACAATTTTGTACCCTCTCCCCTGCCCCATAAGCCCAGGACCTTCTTTCTCTGCCCATCTAGAGCCCTAGGAACATGTTTATCATCCTATCAAGTACTAGCAAGACGACTTCTACTAATCACTATCCGAATTCCAGAAGAATACTTCGATTATAGTACCATAATAACTTTAGTGGAGTGCAATCAATATCTCTGCCTTATAATAATACTCAATGCAACATAGAAAAAGGACGATTAATTTTGGTTGCTGGATGATTGGCCTGTTGTGTGTTGTGCACCCGGGCCATGCTCGTATCAGGTGTCCGGTTTGAGGGCTGGGCCGTGGTTGCTCTGGAGGGGTTTACTCTCCTCTTTTTTTTTAGAAAGGAATGGGATCCTCCTGTGAAAGGAAAGGGACATGTGGATACAAGTTTTTCCCCGCAGAAAACCAGATGGCTTGTTAGGAGATTGTAGGCAACAGCACACCGAGTGCATGAAAGCTACAAACAGGTCTGCGGTCCTGATGTCAGAGGGGAGTAATTATGAATTATGATTATGAGTCCCTCTCTTGTGTGTTTGTATAAAGTATACAAACAAACGAACAAGAGAGGGACTCATAATAAAACTTATAAGCACCACGCCCATCGCCAGAGTACTCGTACAGGTAGTAAAATGTACGAAACGCTCAGGCAACTGACTCAGTACCGCAACCGCTACCACCACCACCACCACCAGCAGCTAATTATGGTGCCATCGTGAGAATAAAGAATTCAACAACAACTCGTATGGCTCGTTTTAAAAGTGTTTCGCAATATTGCATGATGCTACCGGTATTTTGTATATAGAATTCCCATTCCGTTTTTGCTTTAGTGTAGCCCTGAGGTCGACTCACCTACTGAAGTATTTATTTTCTACCCTTCCTCTCTCCGTATTTCTGCCCCCCCCCCCCCCCCTCTCATTCTCCCTGTTGTCCACTCCACATGTATCAAAGGAGGCGAGACGTTTTAAAGGGGAAGTTAAGGCAAAAATTAAAATTTCACCAGTTGTAGTCTTCGGGGTGCTGAGTCGAATGGTCTTGGTCCGAGGAAGCTGAGACGCTTCCTTCCTACTTGAATCCCAATCGAACTCGCACACTTCCACTGAAACTGGGTGACTGCGCCCTACTAGATGGGGATTTGTATGCAAAATGTCACTAAAAGCGCCATTTCGTTCTTATAAAAGCACGGATGACCGCGATTGGCCCATATGTTGTAGTCTTTTGGACGCTGAGTCGACTGGTTTTGGTCCGAAAAGGCTGCGAAGCAGCGTTCCTCCTTTATTCCCAATCGAACATGGTCGAACAAGTGGTCACGTGCTGCTGCGTACACCAGTCACCTGGTCACCGTGCCTGCAGGGTACAACTATGTTACTTACTAGCCTGTTTGACCTTTTTTAGGTGCAGTCCTGTCACTCGAGTTGACCTCGAGTTGAACCTTGGTGTGAAAGTTGTCGCCTGCTGGCGTGGTGACCAGGTGATTTGGGCACCCAGGAGCACGTGACCGCTTCTTCAACCATGTTCGATTGGGAATAAAGGAGGAACGCTGCATCGCAGCCTTTTCGGACCAAAACCAATCGACTCAGCGTCCAAAAGAGTACAACATATGGGCCAATCGCGGTCATCCGTGCTTTTATAAGAACGAAATGACGCTTTTAGTGACATTTTGCATACAAATCCCCATCTAGTAGGGCGCAGTCACCCAGTTTCGGTGGAAGTGCGCGAGTTCGATTGGGATTCAAGTAGGAAGGGAGCGTCTCAGCTTTCTCGGACCAAGACCATTCGACTCAGCACCCCGAAGACTACAACTGGTGAAATTTTAATTTTTGCCTTAACATCCCCTTTAAATAAACTTCTACAACAACAACAACAACTCTTACTGGCCACAGGCCATCGTGAGAATAAAGATTTGAACCAGCAACAGCAACACACTGACAACCACCGTTGAACAACAGCATCAGCATCAGCAGCAGCAACGACGACGACGACGAAAGATTAGAAACAGTGAAAAACAGCACTACAGACAACATTGTTCAAGTACATGTAGTACTTTTTTTTTTTTTTTTTTTTCGGGTAACGGCCTCTTTTACGGGCAAAATAAAGTCATGTAGATGTGAAAAAATTTGAGATACCATGAAAGGTAAAATAGAATTTTATTCAAGTACAATACATTGGGAAACTCCAAGAAATTCCACGTAAAACAGACGGAATTCAGTTTTCAATGGCCGATGCCAACCCCAGCACCATCCTGCGTCGACAGGCCTGTCAGGCGCCTTCTAGACCCGCGTAACCGGAGGTCGACCGCATGGATCACTGCAAATTGGCTGCGAACTCGCACCCAAGCCATGATGATTGAAAATGGCTTGTCCCACTTGAGGGCGAGGCGACCAGCAAGTCGCTTCTGATAGCTGGCGTATTCGCGATGTAGCACCCCATCCGTGGAACAAACCAGTGGTGTGAACGACCCACGGAGGTCCTCGGAGGCCTGACGATACTTCTTTTTCTTCGCGTTAGCAGCGCGGTTGGAAGTAGCTTCCCAGGATGAATGGGAGTAACTTGGTGCGTTGGCATCAATGATGCGATTATCAAAAAACGCCACCCTGTTATCCTCCCACACACCCCGGGCAAGCCAATCTGCCCGAAGAGCAGGCTGCCCCGTCCGATCACCCTCCGGCACCATGATCGGCTCAACGACAACACCACCGAATGCCATATCAGCTAGCTTTGCATCGCTATCACGCAGATCATTGTGGCCTCGCTTGATAAGTCCACCTTTCGGGCAGTCAAGGCCATGCTGGAGAGAGAAGGGCTTCCCGCAACCATCACATTGCGCTGGCAGGGCAAGCGGCTGCCGACCATAGCGGATGGCAAGTTGATCGCGGAATTCTGTACTCGACAGATCATACCCCTCGCGCTTCAGGGGCAACACCGTAAGCCATCCGGAGGCATTTCCCCGTTCGATGCGGGAGAGGGTGCGCTGCTCAAGCTGTGGCAGGTCACTGAGAATTGATTGGCTGATTTCAGCGGAAATCATGGCACATCTCGTTCCCTGCTGATTTGGCTTGTGATGCGGCGACAGTGAGCGCTGTGATCATTTACGTTTACGGGGTTACCAGATTGGATGGAGTTGCGCAGGATGTCAGTTGCGTTTCTCGAATTCTGGTAAGCCTGGGGTGCTGTGTGGACAGGATCGGCCAAAGCCAAGCCACCATACTTGACTGGTAGGGTGAGGAGCTGGTGTTCCCGAGGAAGAACCTCCCGCCCAAGGATGGCTGGGGCAAATTGCTCCAGGATGACGTCTCGAAGCGGAGCAAACTCCTCCTCAAGACCCTGGACAACACGCTGCAGGTATGACCACTCACATGAGAGCGAGCGATTCAACGCACAATACGCCGACTGGGGGTATTTCCTGGCAGCAGCGGCAAGGCAATTGACACTGCTCACCCACGTCTCCACTCTCTCCTTGACAAACGATTTCACTCCGTCAGGTTCACCGATACAGCCTCCTAGGAAACGGGCGGATGTGGCTACTTGGATGTTCAGATCCCCAAAGATATCATTAGCTTGCTGAACGAGATCCGGGGAAACAATAATGATACTCTTTGTCGGCTCAACTTGGTAGCCGAAAGCTTCACCCTGATCGATAAGGCGGTCGAGCCACTTCCTGATGTTGCGCAACCGTCCCGCACAAGAAGAATCATCAGCGTACCAGTTTTGAGTGTGCTGGCTGGGTTCCTTCAAACTCTCAATCAGAGGGTGCAGACCAATGGCATACATTAGCATAGCCAGGGGACATCCTTGAGTAGTACCTTCCCGGCTGAGAAGGGTATGGACCTCAGATGTACAGGAACCTTTCAAGATGATCACAGCGTACCCACGGTAGGCGTTGAATAGAAACCTTGCGCATCTCGGCCAGAGCACCCGGCAGTTCCATAGGGCCGCGGGACGGCTTAGCGAGTTAAATGCATTAGCTGCATCGACAAGAAGGAGTCCTTCGGTGTCATCCTCGGTGAAAACGTCGCTCATAGCATGAACAGCTGCCTCAATCCCAGCTTTTGCACCCGAGCATAGCTGGTCAGCCCCACAGACCTCCTGGACATCAATTCCCGTAGCAAGGGCCATGGCCTTTGCCTCAATGCACTGCCTGCATTCGCCCACTCCGATTGGCCGCACTCCTCGTAGCTTGTCCAGTGCAATGCCTCTCCGAGCAAGGAATGCTCGCATGTTGCACCAAGGCACGATTCCATTTGCATGTCGACGGGTTGAGGCGGCCACAGCTTCCCGCAGGCGACTGCTGGCGTTGCCATGGGATAGCAAGAACGTTCTCCACTGCTCAGAGTTGGTCCCACTGGGACCGGCACTGCCGAAGAGTCGACGGGCCACCTGTTCAATCATTGCACCAGTGATATGAACATCCTCCAGCAGGGGCAGATCCTCGCACTCAAGGAATGCTCTTGGATCGGCGGGTTGTTGCTCCGGGTGTTTCTCTTGCAGCACATCGTGCACGGTCCTACCAAGTGGGCTAGCCTTGCCATGAGCCTCACCACCAGGGTCCAGTACACCTCCACCACATCGATCTGTGATTAGACGCACCGCGGATCTGACCCTGCCTTCGAGCATAAGACGGTTGAAGGTCCGCTCTATTTGCTCTGGCGACATAGGACACATGCTGGTCGGCAGCTGAGTATCACACCGTTGAGCCTCACGCAGTAGTTCAGAGAGGTGACCATTCTCCCACATATCCATCCGTCTTGTGAGGAGTGACCGGATGTCCTTTCCTTTGCGAATAGACTTGTTACGT